TTACTCAATTCAGGGTTGTGGCCTTGATGTGGGAGGCTGCTTTGTACTGTTGGGCCATTAACTCAGTGATGCCTTCCTTGGCTAACTGGGATCTTGGGTGGGAAAGGATCTTTCCCTGTCCTGGTCCCTGGGATCCTTTTGATTGGAGATGCCAGGGGCAGATGCCCAGGGGCTTATGCACACAAAGAGGGTGCTGCACCCCTGAGCTAAGACACCTCCAGCTAGCTGCCAAGTCCTCCTCACTGGCCTGATTACAAATACACACACCGCAACTTGTTATTTTCCAAAACAGGGCTAGCAAAATAGAAAACCACATAACTTCTGCAGATAGACAGACAGACAATTAGATGGATAAACCATTGGTGAGTCGTCTCCCTTCCTTATAGGCTTATTTTTTCTGCCATCACAAAGTTGCAGGCAAAAGGTTTGTTCTTTTTGAGTTCAGTTACAGTTCAAAATCCAGTTCCTGAGGTGCTTTTAATGGTGGCATTTATAAAAGAGGGAGGGGAGAATTAAGTGCTCAAAACGGTGTAGGCACAGGGGGAAGAACATTGTCTCTCTAGCTGTGGCTAATTGGCAAACCTGTCTGGTACTTTCACCAAACCGGCATCATCAAGGGGCCCAGACTGAAAAGGGGATTGGGCTGCCACACGAGTAGCCATGTGGAACAGGCAGTTTTAGTAGGTGCAGTCTGCATGACAAAGAACAACTGCCGACATTGCATTTCCTCTACTTCTCAAGGCGCAGGAGAGCCTGTCATCTTTCCTACACCTGGCCATGGCCCCTGCCAGGATGAAGCTGCACATCAGGCTGGCTGCTCTTAGACCTATCCCACCTCATTGGTTGTTCTCTGGTCCCCTCCCACACTGCCCTTCCTGCTGCTTGGATATCCAGCCCAGGTCACTCTGGGACGCCTTTGTTCTTGATGATTTCCTGCCTGCTCAGTTGAAGTCCCCTCCCCATCCGTGCTCTGTCTTGCAGCCAATTGCATGCTCACCTGTTGCCCAATATTCTTGAATGGGTTCCAAGGCAGGTAAGAAAGGCGGGGGAGGAGGGAAGAGTGGAAAATACTCTTGCCACACCCAGCCTGATAAGAATTTGCAGCTGTGGCTGTTGACATGGCAACACTTTCTTCGGAGCTTTGTTTTTGCATTATATATGTTTTTAACCTGGTGCATGATGCAGGTTGGGACGCGGGTGGCACTGTAGGTTAAACCACAGAGCCTAGGACTTGCCAATCAGAAGGCCAGCGGTTCGAATCCCAGCGACAGGGTGAGCTCCCGTTGTTCGGTCCCTGCTCCTGCCAACCTAGCAGTTCGAAAGCACGTCAAAGTGCAAGTAGATAAATAGGTACCACTCCGGCGGGAAGGTAAACGGCGTTTCCATGTGCTGCTCTGGTTTGGCAGAAGCAGCTTAGTCATGCTGGCCACATGACCTGAAAGATGTACGCCGCAACCCCAGAGTTGGTCACGACTGGACCTAATGATCAGGGGTCCCTTTACCTTTACCTATAATGCAGGTTGTTGTTGTTTAGTCGTTTAGTCATGTCCGACTCTTCGTGACCCCATGGACACCCAAATAAAAGGGCAGAGAGCAAAATTTTGACATACTAGCATTCAGGGGTACCACTTTATCTGTTTGGGCCACTGACCTGTTTCTCACCCTTCATTTATTGTGGTTTTTATCCCACTTTTTCTCCAATGAATTCAGGGTGGTGCACATGGTCCATCCTTCTCCCTATTTTATCATCACAAAGATCCTGTGAGATAGACTAGGATTAGAGAGGGAAACTGATCCAAGGCCAAGGGGTTGAGGATACAGAATTTATTCACACTGTTGACAAAGTAAGAGATAAATTTGAGGGAATGTATGATAAGCAGCTGGTTTAGGTAGAGAATTGGGAGATCTAGTGACCAGCGAGTATTGCCCTGCAACCTTTCGTTTCCCACTGCATTGTATTTACTGTGTTATGTGTGAGCCAAACACACACAGAAAAATCTCACCACTGATATCTATATCTGTAGCGGCCTCTTGTGGCCAAAGGGGTGCCTTGACCTCCCAAAAGGGTCACCAAACTCCTCATTGCAAGCCCATGTTTTGTTGCTGAGCCTTTCTTGCCAGCAGCATCAGCCTCTGGAGGGGAGGGGCAGAGCCAGGTCCCAGGGGGAGGAGGAGACAGAGGGGGGAGGAGGGCGACTCTTGCAACTCTGGACACGATGCAAAACTGAGACCACTTTCCGAGCAAATCTTCCCTTCTTTGGAAAATCATCACCGACAGCTGCAGCAAATGTGGTGATTCAGATTTTCCCCAGGAGAACATGATCCAAATGTTCTCTGCACCCTCTTCTCTCAGGAACAGGCAGAGAGAGAAATTCATGATTCCAGGGCATCTCCTGGGCCTGCAGCATTCGGGTGAAGTAGGAAAGCTGGCTAAAGGCAGCTGAGCAAAGCATTTCCCCTAGTGGGAAAGGGACCAATCATCCATGTCTGCGGTACCCTCCTGACTGAGAACTGAGACCCCAGGCAGCTGACTCTCCTGCCTTTGGGCACTTTCCCAGCCCTTCCCTTCATTTCTGTGTAGGATGACCAGAGGAAGATGAGGCCAGGCCCTTTGGACATTAGCCATGCAAGCAGCTGACCCTGCCAAAATCCCTTCTTCTACTACACAACCCTTGAGGGCCCAGGGAGCCTGTCCTAGCCTTCCTCTGACCACTCTGTTTGTAGGGCAAGAAAAGTCCCCCTTGTGGAATTCCTTTACAAACCCTCAACATGAAGTCACAGGAAGAGCTCTGCTAGAACAAAATCATTCTAATGCTCTCTCTATGGATCATGATGGCTGGGGCTGGTGGTATTGCACCCCAAATCATCTGGAGGGCACCAGGTTGGGGAAGCTTGTAGTACCATAGTGGAAGCAGCCTTGGACCAGTCACTACTGCATCCTAACCTACCTCACAGGGTTGTTATGAGAATAAAATGGGGGTGGAGGACCATGCATGCTTCTTGGAGGAAAGGCAGGATACTATTGTTGTAAGTGTTTCAAGTAAATATGAGACTATTTATGTCACATTTTTGAAGAAAAAAATATTGTTGCAGCATAAATTACTTAATAAGCATTGACAGTGGAACAGATGCGCTTGGGAGATTTTGGACTCTCCTTCCTTGGAGGTTTTTAAGCTTCTTCTTCTTTGGCGATCACTCGTAGCTGAGTAAGATTGTCTTCCATGAACACAGTCTTAGCAGTGAGTCCGTAGGTGACGGTGGAGGCCAATTCTGGATCCACACATCCTTCCACAGTGGGGACATAGGTTTCCAGGCAGGAGCTGATCATGGTGAGGGTTTGCCAAACATGCCTTCCTCTTAGCTTGTTTCTCCCTTTTGTCCTGAGTTTTAAAGCAGAGGTGGGATGGCCATCTATCCTGTATGATCTATTTGAGATTCCTGCATTGCAGGGGGGTGGACTAGATGATCCTCAGGGTCCCCTCCAACTCTCCAATTCTATGACTCCTTACAACAACCCTGTTTGGTAGGCCAGTACTAATTTGTTTGCTGAGTATTGGGCGGCTGTGTGTGTGTGCTGAGGCTGAGGCTGAGAGAAAGCCGTTTGACTATCTCTTGGCAATGAGTGCTTGGCAAGAGGTGGTTTGCTGTTATGCTGAACCTGTTCTCAGGATGCCTCTTGATACAACTTTCCCTTTTCACTTAGTCTGTGGATGCCAACCCTGAGCCTTAAGTGCTTCTGCAATTACATAAATAACAACTGTTCTGTAATGGATGGGCTGGGCTTCCCCTGCAGCAGAAGCAAAAAGCTCAAGGGTGAATAATGGCGGGACTTAAAGTTCCGCCTGAAAAACTGGAGAAGATCCAAGCCCCATTTTCTGCCTGCACCTCCCAGCAGCCAGCGGCAGTAAAAACAGCACACAGAAAATGAGGGAAACAATCACTGAAGAGCTCTGATGGAATCAGGAAAGGGAGACAGCAAAGAAGAAGGAACACTAAAGGGGAAGATCTCTACACCTGGGGTAAAAGAGTGAAAGAGCTCCGTTTAAATGAAAAGGTTGCTTCCAGACAACCTGCTCATTCAGCATTCATCCTGATATTTGCAGGGAGTTTACATTATGCCGGCTGTTCATTGAGCATTCATTCCAGTTTGCTCATCTGGAGGCTATGCAATGTTGCATCAAACAACTGTCATGAGACACCTTCCCATGCATTTCCCCGTTACTTTCATTATTGAAAAAAGTCCAGTTTAGGGCAGGAAGCAGATTTATTCTGCAAGGACGCCAAATCAGTTTTAACTGCATTACCTGAATTTGCTGGTATGTGATTACATCCCACCTGAAAATAGCAGCTACGCTCCAGGAGCTGTGCCATAGCAGGGTCACCGCTGGATAAACCAATGGAGTGCTAAGAACATGCATAGGGTGGTAGTGGATCTTGGGGAGATGGACACTGCAGCAGCCTTCTCCCACCGGGTGTTCTGATCTATAGCTCCCATTAGCCCCAGCCATCATTGCCTGGGGAGGGGGGCAGCGGCAGGCTGGGGAAGGCTGCACTACAGGCATATACACTGGTGTAACAGTCATTCCCTTTCACTAAGCAGCTCTGGGAATTCTGTGAGGGAGGTGGGCATGAGATATTTAAGCAAATAATTCCAGCACCCTCATCAAACAACAATGCCCCAGAACCATAGCAAGTCAAACGGATGACTGATACAAATAACCCAGAATCGGATAGTAACTTTATCAGTACCAACTAAAAAGTCACAAATATGTGTCAGGTTTTTGCAGAATTCTTCATCAGGCAAGATGCTATGCAAGGCAAGGGGCAGGGGGGTGAGGAAAACTAAAAATCAAACCAGAAATAACAACCACAACCATAACAACAACAAGAAGAAGAAGGTTGGATGTTATTGCCATGAAGTTCCAAGATGGAGACTGCAGACTAACTTCTCTACTATACTGTAAATGTGTGTGTGATTCTGCCTTATTTTGGCAGGCGATATGGGAGAAGGGACGGGGAGAGAGGGAGAGAGAGAGAGAACAAGACAAAAGACAAAAGAGCAAGGACTTGGACAGAAAGAGGCAAGCTTTGTGTTCCCTCTTTTTAATGGTTGTGGAAGTCAGTCTGAAGAAAATGAAGCAATTAAATCAGCGGATCTTGATCTGCCACTGGAGCGCGGTTTGCACACAAACCTCCTTGTGGAGGAGGAGCTGGAGGTGGGGAGTCTCTAGCTAGCAGCGAGCCACAGAGATTGCTAAATACAAATTGATTTTGCTTAATGACTTGGAAGGCTGAAAATGCAGTTGGCTGATGATGGAAGGAGGAGAAGGAAGAAGAAGGGAGATACAGAGAAGAGGCACAGAACAACCAACAGAATGAATGCTTCTGCTGGGCTTGAGGAAAGGGTGTGGAGGAGGTGGAACAAAACCTCATTTGTGCCAAATGTGCTTAAGTGGCTGGTCACCTGAGAAAAGGATATTATAGGCCATTCTCCAAAAGAGTTGCTGACTAGATAATTGGAAATTTGGATAAAGGAGTGCAGTTTAAGACTCTTCCTTATACAGTCATACCTCAGGTTACAGACACTTCAGGTTGCTTCAGGTTGTGCATGCGCAAAAGTGCCAAATCGCAACCCACAGGTGCGCAGACGCAGCGCTGCGGGTTGCGAACATGCCTCCCGCATGGATCACGTTCACAACCCGAGCGTCCACTGTACCTGCAACTCCCCATGGCACCACCTCTCTCTCCTCAGCCGCTTCAGACTGTCAGTGTTTTGTAGGAAACTGAGAAGAGGTGTGATAGCCATCTTCAAATAACTAAAGGGCTGTCACAGGGAAGAAGGAGCAAGCTTGTTTCCTGCTGCTCCAGAGGGCCGGGTCTGAACCAATGGATTCAAATGACAAGAAAAGAGATTCCAACTAAATGTTAGGAAGAACTTTCTGACAGTAAGAGCTGTTTGACAGTAGAACAGTGGAATCTCCTTCACTGGAGGTTTTAAAGCAGAGGATGGCTGGCTGTCATGGATGATTTGGCTGAGATTCCTGCATGGCAGGGGTTGGACTAGATGACCATCAGAGTCCCCTCCAAGACTACAATTCTATGAAACCACAACTTAGGTCAGTGCAATGCAAGCAGCAGATTCACTGCAGGAGGAAGAACGTGGCCATGGTATCGTTTTCAGGATTTGTACTAAGCCATAGTTTGGCTTAATGTTACATGTGAATGAGATCATTGCATTCCAGCTAGGCTGTTCATTAATTGTACCAATGACGGTTAAAGTGTTGCTATCACCCAGCACGGCCAATCATCAGGGATAACAGGTGTTGTAACCCAACATCTGGAGGGCCACAAGTTGCCCCCCAGCTCTGCCCTAAAATGACAGGTCTGAAGCTTTGGGGTGCTTGTCCATCCACCTTTGTCATTAGGGGCACATGGCCTCTGAGGCTTGGGGCGCCCAGAGCCTTAGACTGCGGCACCAGCTACAGCCCTACCTGGACAGAATGCGGGTTCATGCCCTGATAATCTCCTGTTGTTGTATGTGGGGCTACTTTTGAAAACAACCCAGGAACTTTAGTTGGTAGAAATTATCGCTGCCTGGGTGCTAATGAGGACTGGGCAGGTTGTTACGGAAATATTATGCTTATCACCTTCACTGACTCCTAGTCAATCTCCAGGCTCAATTTAAATTGCTGGTTTTGACTGCTGAAGCTATTCATGGCCTGTGCCCTTGGTACCTGAAGTACTGCCTCATCTCACATGCTCCTGGACCCTGAGGTCATCACCTGGGGCTCCTTTGTGTGTCGATGCCAGGTGAAATACAAATACAACCCTCTGTGGATTTTTATTCCTCTGCTCTCCATTTCAAATTGGCTTGTTGTAGCAACATTCCTTTCTCTCTGCAATGTGTGTAGTTAAACTAATGTGTTACTTTATAGTGGTGGGTGTTATATTGGTTGTACCTTGTTTGTTTGTTTACAACTTTGCTTCCATATAACCTATCCTCACTGAAAGCATTGATTCCTACCCTGTTAGATAGTTATACATGATAATTTTGTTTTCATTAGCTATGTGCATGCAGATTTTCTTTAATGCTGCCAAATAAGGAAAATATGGCTTTCCTGTGAAGGAATGTGCAGTTGTCAGTATTAAAGAATTCTTAAACATCTATGCACTGACTTTGGCTAGTTCACACGAAGCAAAAACACATCACACACAAAGCAGAAAGGTACTGTGAGTGTTGTCACTGATAGAAAATGTCAGTGGGTGGGTGATAAAATCTATTCCGTCCTAACAGTGCATGGTCTGATTGTTGCATACTTTCAAAGAGCAGGATAAATGGATAAAAATTTGATGTAGGAACTGTCTGTTATATACCAAACTTTTATCCATTTATCCAGCTCTTTGAAAGTATGCAACAACCAGGCCATGCACTATTAGATCAAATATGAGGGCTCTGGGAGCTAGTTTTTCTTGCTTAAGAAGAACCTGAGTAACAAGATTTATTCTATCTACATTTTGTGCTATCTAATTTGCATCTTTTCCATGATGCGCTCACAAATTATTTCAGTACATTGCAGATCTCTTGCAGTCATTCTGAACTCATGAAGGCCCAAATTGGGCAAAAAGTGTGGAAGTTACTGCACCAAACTCCTATATACTGACTAGGTACCAAAGTACGTATAATATAGGGCTGTTCCTTTAAATGTGGCTTAGCAGGGAAATACTACAGAAAATTTAAAGAGTGTTTAAACTAGGGTCTGAAGGAGAATTGCCTATTCAAATTACTGATATTACCTAGTCCCCTAGTGGGTAGGGTTGCCACTAAACTCATTTTCTAAGTACTTCCCTTCCTGCCCCAATTCACCTAAACCCCACTCTGCTGTCCAAAATTTACCACTACATTTTGCTCCAGGACAGGGCTATCTCTGCTTCTGGAGCACAGCACGTTCTGAATCTGCCATAAGTTGCATTGTCCTTGGAAATGGTCATCGCCTCAGGCATTATCATCTGCTTACCCCCTTCCCCTACAGATGACACACCACCATCTGGTTGCCTAGCTATGTCCACAAACAGAGAGCAGCCGGGCTAACTCAAGGCATCTGATTGCAGCCCACAACAGTTCCCATGTCCCTCTGTTCCCCTTCCCCAAACAGGTTATTTCTAGGATAAACTAGAAAGAGGTGTCTGGGCTTGCCATTTCACAAGTAGACTCCTTTTTTGTTATTTTTATGCCATAGAAGGCTCTTTTCTACCAGCCCAGCTGACCCTCACTGGTAACCTTGCTGGCAGTTTTAACGTTAGATAGATTTAGGTGGGTATTTATACACACATGAAACATTGTTCAAGTTAACAGCATTCCTACGCTATTGAGTCAAACGCCTCCACAAATAGAGGGGAGAGACATGTGGCTTGCACTACTCGGTGTTTTATTATTATTTTAAAAAATAACCCTTTATTCCTCTTAAATATGCTTCTTGTAGTTAGCCAGGAGAGGCATGGGTTCACAGTGCAACTGCACTTCTGACCTGAAATTCAAAGCCAACAAGGGAGCAAGCCAGGGCGAGTAACCTTATCCCTGGACAAGGAAGCTGAAGAAAACTGAGTGAGGAGGTCTGAGCAGCAGCAGGGTGGGCTTATTGCCCGTGGGTGTTGAATGATGCATTTTGCTGCCTGGACAATTGTCCTCCAGGCAGGAAGAGGTCAGTTAGCAAGTAGGACTTGGGGGAGCTACATAAGGCCAAATGCCTTTTGCAGGGTTGATGCCATATTAATGTACAGTAATACTAGGACTGTCCCCCTGCCACTCCTCTGTGATGCCTTCTGCTCCTTCAAACCCCTCATATTTTGCCAGTCACCCTTTAGGGCTTGCTACCTTAGTCATCTTTGCCCAATTAAAGTTCATTCTTAACCTGCAATCCTATTACGGTGGTACCTCTGGTTAGGAACTTAATTCGTCCGTTCTTAACCTGAAACTGTTCTTAACCTAAGGTACCACTTTAGCTAAAGGGGCCCCCCACTGCCGCCGCGCAATTTCTGTTCTCATCCTGAAGCAAAGTTCTTAACCCAAGGTACTATTTCTGGGTTAGCGGAGTCTGTAACCTGAAGCGTCTGTAACCTGAAGCGTCTGTAACCCGAGGTACCACTGTACATGCCTACCTAAGAAGCAGCCCTACAGAACGCAGTGGGACTGAGCTGGCATACAAAAGATTGTGCAGCAAGGCTATGCATTTCCTAACACCCAACCATTACTACTCTGGTCTCATCCTTTCCTCCTCTCTCCCTCTCCCTCTCCTATCACAAAACCAGACATTTAGTCTTCCCTCCCACCGCACCTTGGGAACATAACAGCAGCAAGTACTGGAAAGCACACGTCCATGACCCTTGGCATGCACAGGTGTCTCCTCGGTTTCTAGACATTCCTGTATTTCATGTACGCATTCACACGTGGCTGCCAACATACATGCAAAGGGGGGGGGGGAGAGGTGATGGAAAGAGAGAGGGTTAAAGAGGCTTGCTCCTTCCCAGCCCCTCCCAACGCAGCCTTCCTCTTGCCGCTGCTGAAAGTTCAGACAGAGCCAAGCGCCAACCACTCTGCCTCTGGCACTGGGAGGCGAGTGGAGAGGCCTGCCAGCCGGCCGCCTCCTCTTCCCCGCCTCCTCCCCCACCCCACTCCGTAGGCAGGGATCTGGTGTCAGCCTTTCCACTAGAATTGCACAGCCGTTTCCAGAGAGACTGAGGTGGGGGTGGCCCCGGGGGCTCCGGTTTCTTGCACTGTTTATTAATAACCTCACACCCACCCCATGCCAAAAGCCTGTCCGGCCGGGGGCACAAGGAACTTGGTTCCTGGAGAGAAAGGTAAGAAGAGCTAAATTGCTACCATTCATTGGTGAGTGTGGGCTCTCTTTTCTGTTCTAGTAGCTGGAAAGGAGATGCTCCCAGCTAAAAAGGACTAGGCTCATTTAAGGGGGAGAGGGGAGCAACCTAACGGTTTTGGAAATGGGGTGTGGTTGGCGAATAATTCAGATTCGAAAGCATCAGGTTTATTAAGGGTGGGCTCGATTGGGTTGCCTGCCAGACCATTTGTGGCCAGCGCAGGCCTGACTGGAAAAAGGAAGAAGGGTACAGTGCCTTCCCCCGCTGCTGGACCACTGAGAAAGAGGCTGTCTCCCCTAGCTTTGTACGTTTCTTTTCTTTGCCCAAGTAAGAAATATCAGCCTGGATGCACGACATCCTGCTACAGAGAGGAGGGGGGAGAAGCAAGGACTGTCTGAATCTGCCTGGGTGGAAAGCGAGACCATTTGCCTGTGAAAAAATGTTCACAAGGAAGGAATCGTGCTGCTGCTAGATAGATGATTGGTGACAGATTCCGGTCCTAATTCAGAAGTTGAAACCAAAGAGCTTTGCACCAGTCCTCACCTAAGCTTTCTGTATCCAACTACTAAGAAATAGCAAGCATGGAAGTGAAGGCTGCTTCACTTTGCTGTTTTCACAAGGGTGGGAAAATGCCTTATTTGGGAAAAGAGAAGGTTTATCTCTGAAAATAATCTCCAGTGGTGCTCAGAGCTGAAGTCGAACATGCAAATGGCACTCCCTTCCCCAACAACTTAACAGGGGGTAGGGTACCATCTGCCATGAAGCTCTCATGTACCCACCTTACTGAAATGTCAATGGGCCTCTGAAGGGCAGGGGGCTGGTGCCCCCTGGATGTGCCCTTTGTCTCCTCCTCTGACATCCTGATGGCAGGGCCACCCTGCAGGTGCTCTCCCCTTAAATATTCCATGGAAGTTTCCCTGCTCCCCTTGTTAAAGTGCCTGTTACCCAACTGGCCCTTCAATGTGCTGCTCATATTGGGTAGGGCTTCAGCCCCACCCCATTGGGTATTTCACTACAGCTGGTTCTATTTCAGAACATTTACCTCTTTTTAGTTGTTCAGGTGCTCCACATTCTTAAAGACAGCAGATTAAACACCTCCTTCTCTGCCATTTAGACACAGTGCACATTCACCCAAGCCTTATCTTGTGAAGAGGTCTTTCATCTGCGGACAGCTGCTGCACACACCCTCTTCCTTCAGGGAATGGCACTACTCTACAATGCTTGCTTGCTTGGAAACCAGGGCCCCTCAATAATATCCCTTGCCTGCTGTGATATTTTGATCCATCCTCAGCCATCTTGCAGAGCGTGCATGCAAGCTCATTTGGGCACTCTCTTCTGTACATCTGAGGCTGCGTCAGCATTTTCAATTAAAATAAAAAAAGCTGCCCTCTTTTCAGTAATCAATGACTTAAAGCAACACAGATTCCCCTCCAACTGACCAGTTGGTACTTAAGTAGCCTGGCAAAAAACAAAACAAAGCAAAACAAAAAAACCACCTCTCAGCTCATTTGCCCCACATTTGTCAACACAATACAACACATGCTTAAAGTATATTTATTTATTCACTTAATACAGCTGTTCTGGTCAGTGTATTTCTGTCAGGGTTCCCCTACCCCCGATCTTCTCTTACAACAAGCCATTACTTGTTATTTATATTTTATACCCATTTTTGTATCTATCTTTTTATCCATATACATGGCACTTTATAAAGAGTAAGAGAATAAGTCTCTGCCCCATATTGGTTACAGTCTAGAAAACGATGTGAGGGAAATGGAGGTGGGTTGGCGGAAGAATGATGGCAGGTGTATTTACTTAGGCTCAGTTACAGTATGGCATGGGGGGCAAGGAAGGGGTGACCAAAGCTTCGTGGAAAAGATGAGTTTTGAGGAGAACTTGAAGGAAGTAACAATATGCAGCATCACAGATGCATATGTTAAACAAACACGTTGCAACACAGTTTAAATTTAAGCAGGTTTAAATTCATTAAAACCCATGGAGTTAGGGTTAAGCTATCACTAAGGAGAGTAAGGTGATCCCACTGGGTAGCAGATCCGGAGCATCATTAATGAGCAGAAGACTTGACAATTTTTAAATTATTGTCTTATTTTTACTGCCAAGGTAGAAAGCAGATTTTGATTCCAAAATTTATTCAGCCATACCTAGTTTACCACATTCAACTCAACATATAGAGACTTGTTCAACAAGGTTACAAGTTGTCTCTAAACATGTAGAATTGTTACAGGAACAACAATGGTATACTACTTCATTAAGAGCACATTTTAAAAGCCTTTGTGATTTTTATAATGGTCCTGATATTTTTATTAGATAACTGTTGTGCCTAGATTTTTTTCCCTGACGCACCAAGAGAATTATGGGTTCTGCCCATACGGGGTACACAGGAAAATCATGTATACCCAAACTCTTGGAGCTATCCCTGCAGCTTGCGGGTGAGGGGAGAAAGAGGAAAAAAAATCCCCGGACTCCCAGAGCCCGTGTAACAAGTAGATCTTAAAAGCCCTTTTCGCGCCAGGTACAGTAACCCCAAATGGGCCTGGTGCAAAAATAGCTTCTAAGCAATCCACCTTGATTGGATTTAAGTTGTATAATTTCAACCAGCCTGCCTTCAACCATGTTGAAATTGCTCAAATTAAAAGTTTGTAAGATTTTCTCATACTGCATTCACAGAGAGATAGGTAAAGGTAAAGGGACCCCTGAGCATTAGGTCCAGTCGTGGCCGACTCTGGGGTTGCGGCGCTCATCTCGCTTTATTGGCCAAGGGAGCCGGCGTACAGCTTCCGGGTCATGTGACCAGCATGACTAAGCCGCTGCTGGTGAACCAGAGCAGTGCACGGAAATGCCGTTTACCTTCCCGCCGGAGCGGTACCTATTTATCTACTTGCACTGCTGGGTTGGCAGGAGGAGGGACCGAGCAACGGGAGATCACCCCGTCGCGGGGATTCGAACCACCGACCTTCTGATCGGCAAGTCCTAGGCTCTGTGGTTTAACCCACAGCCCCACCCATGTCCCTTAACAGAAAGATAAGGTATGTGAAATACGGGGTATTATTATTATTATTAATGTTCAAGGGCAGTGTTTCCCAAATTTACAATAACCGCGTACTCCTTTTGAGAGTTTAGTCTTAGCAGCATACCCAGTCTTGGACAAAGATAATTTGGGGGGTAGTTTTAATACAGCACACCATTCTCACACTAAATTCTAATGAATTGTTTTCTGCAGCTAAAAAAAAAACTAAAAAGCAAAATAAAAATGTATGCCATGCACCCTTTGAAACCCTTTTGTGTACCACTGGGACTACATGTACCACACTTTGAGAAAAATTGTTCTAGGGGAACCAGCTGGGGTATATGGTGAGAAGTTGGGGGAGGAAGCTAACTTCTTGGTCTTGGTAACAAAGCATCAAATTCTTCAAAGTTTTCTGCAGTTGCAGGATTCTCAGCTGAAGGATGGCACATCTGCTTCTTCTCAAATGCCTGCCTATGCTCAATGAGCTCCGTTGTTCAGCCGTTTGTAGGCCTGATTCCATGATTGCTTTTTATTTCCAGGGAAGTGATGGCAGACTCCGAGCCTGCTCTGGATTTGGACAATGCAGAAGCCTTCTCAGAGCTAGGTGCTGGGGTTCCAGGAGCACTCTTAGAGCTTGATGGAGAAGACACCCCTGAGATGCTGTATATGGATCCCACCAACATGCCATTCCTTCAAGACACAGAAAGCACAGACTCTCCAGTGGTGCTGCAGGAAGACATGGAAGACGATGAAGTATATTATGATGCAGAAGACATAAGCATTGAGGATCTCGGAAAGCATTTTCAGGAGTGCATTGAAGCAGTGGAAGAGCTGGAGAGGGAGAGGGACCAGCTTATTCGGGAACTGATGCTCCTACGGGAACCAGCTCTTGAGGAAATCAGACAAGCCCATGAAGAGATCCTCGAAGCCTACAGGCTGCATGCCAAGGTGGAGCTTGAAAGGGACAGTCTGCGGGATGAAATTCGGCAAGTGAAACGGAAGCTTTTTAGGGTGACTCGGGAATGTGTGGCGTGCCAGTACCAGCTGGAAAACAGGAGGCACGACGTGGCCCAGTTTGCTGTCTACCGGGAAGAACTGGAAAGCAGGGTCAGCCAGCTTTCAGAGGAGCTATCCCAATTGAGAGAGACTTGTGAGAAAGAGAAAGAGCAGTTGAGAGAACAGCTGAAGGCTCCGAGGAGGCGGAGGAGCAGCTGCTACCTCCAGGCAAGCAGGCGGCTTTCCATGGAGTTTGAGAGCTTTGTGGCGGAGAGCCGTCAGGGCCTGGAAGAACAGTATGAGCCTAAGCTGATGCGCCTCTTAGAAAGGAGAGAAGCCAGCAGAAAGGCTTTGCAAAAGACACAGGGCGAGATTCACAGATTAAAGGAAACTCTGAGGCCACTGCAGGGAGAGGTCAGCAAGTTATTGCTGCAGAACAAAAACCTGGAGCAACAGATCCTGCTCATTAAGCAAAAACGGGATGAAGAAGTTCTTCAGTACAAGGTATGCCTGATGGCAGCCTTTCCCAGCATGGTACCCTCCAGATGATTTGGACTCCAGCTCACATTAGCCAATGGGGAAGGAGGATGGAAGTCACTATCCAAAACACCTGGAGGGCACCAGTTGGAAAAGGCTGCCTAACAGCCTTGCAGCCTCCCCTGCTCTAAAGCTAGTTGCCAAGCAGGTCGATGTAGCACCTGCCTATCTGATGAAATGCCGCCTGCCATGACACAGACTCCAGAGTATCTGAACTCACATACACTATTGGGAGAATGAGATGCCACTCCTGTCAGGCTGTACCAGGGAAATTTCTGTCTGACTGGTCCTTTATAGAGGTGTATCTTAGCTATCAGCTCCAGGAGAGAGAAATAGTGAAGGAGAAAGTTAAACCTTTTCCTTCCTGTAAAAAGAACTAGCACGTCAGGTAGAAGACTATATTAATACTGTGCATGCAAGATGTTTTTCATACAAGGGAGCCCCTCAAAGAGACATCACAATTTGGCTTGGAAAAGAACCTATTGGGAGCCAAGAGGAGGGGCTTTGAAGTCAACCAGCCCACAGCATCCCCTCTTCCTTAACACTGCAATCAGGAAAGCTCCCCCCCCCCAAGCCTAAATCCAGAATGGGGGGCAGAGAGAGATTTTCAGCAGGATGAATTGCATCTAGAGTGGACTTAATCCTTTCTTCCCCAGCTGAGACTATCCCAAAATATCTCCTGACGTGTTTTATATTATTATTACAAACTTTACTGATTTTTAAAAAAACAATTACCAAGCATAAAGTATTGCCTTCCAGGAAAATGCATGTACAGATGCTAAGTCTTAGATGCACCTCACACGTTTAACACTTGTTAAAATGTCACATTAACACATAATTTATATATGGAATTAATACAGGGGTCATGGCTCAGTGACACAGCACCTATAGACAGTCCCAGATGCAATCTGTGGCATCTCCAGGTAGGGCTGGGAAAGACTGATGTCACTCAGTGTTAGACAATTATGAGCTAGATGAACCGACTTGCTATGTTCCATACTTGATCTGTAGTGAAAGGCACTATTTTAGATGAATTAGACAAATGCCTGGAGGACAGACATGTCGGTGGTTCTCAGCCATGTCGCTAAATGACGCCTCTGCATTCAGAGGCAGTGTACTTCAGAATACCAGCATCTGGTAATGACACAACAGAGAAATCACTATGGCCTTAAATCCCTGTTTCTGAACTTTCAGAGGCATTCAGTTGGCCACTGTGGAAACAGAACCATGGACTAGGTAGACCTTTCACTTAATGCACTGACACAGTCATGCCAAGAAACAAGGCTGATGTGTAAATGCTATTTCTTTAAAAATAAGAACTACTTCTAAATGGAACAGGGAGGAGACTAGCCTGGCCAGCATCCATATCTGGATTTTACCAAACCATCAACAGTTCCTACGAGGCTCAGTTGCCTTCCTTGACTCAAGTTTATTTACAGATGGTAGGAAATGCTGTATATTAAAAGGTTTAGCGTTCTCTAAGGTCCAAGGAAGTTTACAGGAATTGAGTGAGACACATTCCTTGCTATGCAAATGTGACTGCTCTTTTCCAGCCCTTCTACTCACATATGCAAGCTCCTCCAAAGGCTGGGTTCTACAGGGTGAGTCCTTTAAAAGAGGCCCCATGGATACAGACTAAACATGTTCCATGGGGCTGCTTTTAAAAGACTCACCCTGTATAATCCCTCCCATAATCCCTGCAGAGGTTTTAGCAGATTTTCACCAAGGTACATGCAAAAACAGATGCCGCAGGACCTTTTACTTTGTTGTTGTTTAGTCGTTTAGTCATGTCCGACTCTTCGTTACCCCATGGACCAGAGCACGCCAGGCACTTCTGTCTTCCACTGTCTCCCGCAGTTTGGTCAGACTCATGTTTGTAGCTTCGAGAACACTGTCCAACCATCTCGTCCTCTGTCGTCCCCTTCTCCTTGTGCCCTTAATCTTTCCCAACATCAGGGTCTTTTCCAGGAGTCTTCTCTTCTCATGAGGTGGCCAAAGTATTGGAGCCTCAGCTTCACGATCTGTCCTTCCAGTGAGCACTCAGGGCTGATTTCCTTAAGAATGGATGCGTTTGATCTTCTTGCAGTCCATGGGACTCTCAAGAGTCTCCTCCAGCACCATAATTCAAAAGCATCAATTCTTCGGCGATCAGCCTTCTTTATGTTCCAGCTCTCACTTCCATACATCACTACTGGGAAAACCATGGCTTTAAGTATACTGACCTTTGTTGGCAAGGTGATGTCTCTGCTTTTTAAGATGCTGTCTAGGTTTGCCATCGCCTTTCTCCCAAGAAGCAGGCGTCTTTTAATTTCGTGGCTGCTGTCACCATCTGCAGTGATCATGGAGCCCAAGAAAGTAAAATCTCTCACTGCCTCCAATTCTTCCCCTTCTATTTGCCAGGAGGTGATGGGACCAGTGGCCATGATCTTTGTTTTTTGATGTTGAGCTTCAGACCATATTTTGCGCTCTCCTCTTTCACCCTCATTAAAAGGTTCTTTAATTCCTCCTCACTTTCTGCCATCAAGGTTGTGTCATCTGCATATCTGAGGTTGTTGATATTTCTTCCGGCAATCTTAATTCTGGCTTGGGATTCATCCAGCCCAGCCTTTCACATGATTAATTCTGCATATAAGTTAAATAAGCAGGGAGACAATATACAGCCTTGCCATACTCCTTTCCCAATTTTGAACCAATCAGTTGTTCCATATCCAGTTCTAACTGTAGCTTCTTGTCCCACATAGAGATTTCTCAGGAGACAGATGAGGTGATCAGGCACTCCCATTTCTTTAAGAACTGGCCATAGTTTGCTGTGGTCGACACAGTCAAAGGCTTTTGCATAGTCAATGAAGCAAAAGTAGATGTCTTTCTGGAACTCTCTAGCTTTCTCCATAATCCAGCGCATGTTTGCAATTTGGTCTCTGGTTCCTCTGCCTCTTCTAAATCCAGCTTGCACTTCTGGGAGTTCTCGGTCCACATACTGCTTAAGCCTGCCTTGTAGAATTTTAAGCATAACCTTGCTAGCGTGTGTAATCAGTGCAATGGTGCGGTAGTTGGAGCATTCTTTGGCACTGCCCTTCTTTGGGATTGGGATGTAGACTGATCTTCTCCAATCCTCTGGCCACTGCTGAGTTTTCCAAACTTGCTGGCATATTGAGTGTAGCACCTTAACAGCATCATCTTTTAAAATTTTAAGTAGTTCAGCTGGAATACCATCACTTCCACTGGCCTTGTTATTTGCAGTGCTTTCTAAGGCCCATTTGACTTCACTCTCCAGGATGTCTGGCTCAAGGCAACAACCACGCTACCTGGGGTGTATGAGCCATCCATATCTTTCTGGTATAATTCCTCTGTGTATTCTTGCCACCTCTTCTTGATGTCTTCTGCTTCTGTTAGGTCATTACCACTTTTGTCCTTTATTATGGTAATCTTTGTACGAAATGTCACTTTCATATCTCCAATTTCATATCTCCAAATTTCATATCTCCAAAACAGATGCCGCAGGACCTTTTACTTACACTTCCTTTTAACATTGCTTATGCTGTTTCGAAGCTGAAGGAAGAGCGACACCCTGATCACTCTTGGTTTTTTCATTTCCTCTTCTTACACTGGACATATTGAAAAACTGGGCTCCAATCATTTTTCTATTTACTTCTTTTTTGAGTGTTACAAGGGGTGACTAACCCCCATTTCAGGGGCCAGATCCAACACCCTGCTTCCCTGCTCTCTCCTAGATGTCACTTTGGGCAGTGCCAAATTTTATTTACATATACACATATTTATATACACACAGCACTGAAATGGGTGGAATAGAACTCAAATCACTCCCTCGCTGGTTGCTTAATGAGTGGAGAGGGGGCAATAACCTCCTCTCAGCTATTTAGGATCAGCTGGGGAAGGAGGGCTGTGCCCCTGTGTGGGCACTTTTGGCCACACCCACTGGCGGCATGTGGGCTCAGCCTAAAGAAGGTTAACCACCCCTGCTTCAAACCATGTGATTAGATCCCTCTCTGGAACCACACAAATAGCAGCCTATTTTTGTGGCAAGGCAGGCAAGAAGCATTCAGTGGGTAGGAACGGCCTATGACACATTCAGCCAAGTTGAATTCTGAGAGCAACTGAGTCTTGTGTAACATCAGGAATCTCAGCAGTGCTTTATTTGTACCAAGGGCTCAGCTTTAGAACCAGGCCTGAGTACTGCAATACGGGAAATGTAAGGAAAATGCCTTTGAAATAATGCATGGCTTGCCACTGTGACTCCATCCTTGCCGCCGTCTGTGTAGACACCCTGCACCCCCACTAATGGTTGAAGACTAAGGCTCCCTGTCTTGATTGGGGGATGGTTGAAAATCAAACACTCGCTAGCAGTCAATCCTGGAAATGTCACAGCTGAAGTATAACATGCAGGTAGTTTAAAAATACAAATCTTCAATCCATTGAGGAAAGTAACTCCAATAAAAATAGGAATAATTTAGACTTCCGGGCTCAAAACACGGAGCCTTCTAACAAATTTGTCCTGAGCAGTGGCTGTGGTATATTTTTGTATGGCTGAAATAATCCCACAAACCAGTCTGGCATTCAGCATATATTCTGCATTTTGCATTGCAAGTAACGTCAGATTCTCTCTCCACCAGCAAGTTTCTAGACTTCACAATGATACGAGGGGGGTGGAAACTTTGGGAGAGATCGGTTGTAGTATGAGCAGACATCCACTAGGACAATGAAGCTTCTCCATCCTTCCTCCACTGTCCCCAAAATCTGCTCTGGAGGAATCCTCCCAAGATTTCACACAACACTTACCGTATTTATCTGAACTGCACCAACTTCACGAATCTTTGAGTTCTTATGCTGCCAGTTTTAGCTAGTGCAAATCAGCATAGTTGCTGTTTGGCTGGCATTATCTCAGTCAGTTGGGGGCAAGGGCACCCCTACAAAAGTACCATGCCATCAGTAATGAGTCAGACTCTGCTTTCAATTGGTTTCTGAGCAATATGTTATGCTTGCATTGTGAAGACAACTCCTTCCTTCTTCAATCCTACTTCAAGTTATGCACAACTGGAAAATTGAGAATATTTTATTTTTATTCTGCCTTTCAACCAAGGAGCTACAAAGCAAATTATATATAATACAAAAACTGGGTGGCTCCATCCACACATTGCATTATTCTGCAGAACCACTTATGTAAGGTGGATGGTCTTTATATAGTTTAAAGATGAGTATACTTAATTTCAGTCTGACAGCTTTACAAAAGTTGAGAATTCTACTTGAAGGCTGCAAAAAAAAAGAAAAAGAAAATCCAGACTACCTAAGAAAAAGCATAGAGTTCAGTCTCTCAAGAACCAAACATGTCTCCTTTTTAATATATAAAGAGACATTTTTAGTTTTCAGGCTACAGAGATGGGTCTGAAAGTTTATAAGCAACATCAGGTGAAACCTGCAGTCAAAGGAAGGGTTAGCAAGAGTTTTTCCTGGTTCCCAGCTATGCACATGACTAACAGTACAAGTTAGTCAAATTAACTTGCATAATTTATATAAGCCACAGACACTTTTATTATCTTTATAACAAATTTTTATTTTAAGCATGTAATTCACAAAAGGGAATGAACAATTTAAACTGATTGATTCTGATAGAATGCTGTGGTTTTCTTCCTTCTGATGTGAAATATGTGCTTGGACAGCAAAATGTGATGCCCTCTAGAATAATTAAGTTATCAGCCATATGCTGGCCCTGATTACAACAGGCACAAAACACTACATGATGAATTTAAAATGCAGGCTACATTCCTTTCTGAAACATTTCAATGCTTTTCCATCCACAGGACCAGGTGGAAGAGATGGAAGAAAGGCTGAGGGAGCTGAAGAATGGAGTCCAACTTCAGCAGAAGAAGAACCAAGAATTGGAAGAGCTGAGGGCCAGCTTACACCAGGAACTATCAATTTACAAGTAGGTTTTACTATCTTTCTTGAAACACTATCCACATGAAAGCAAAGCCTGCAAGAAAATCTGAAAGCAGCAGTGAGAAAGGAGTGACAAATTCTCACTATAGGTCCTTCCAGTTACCATGCTTGCTCAAGATATGTCTCTGTATTCTGCAGACTAGCCCTTTGTGTTTGGGGAGTAGGATGTTCTAGAATATGACTGACCTGGGACATATATCTTAAAAATAGTAGGGAACTGCTTCCCACTGAGGGTCTAGCTCTATTCTGGCGGACAGGCTCCTGTCACTTTAGAACTTCCCTTCCCTATGCTCAGTCCAAAACACAGGAGAACACAAGTATTCTCAGCGGCAGAATAAAATCCAAAGAAAGTGAAAAGTCTGCCCTAGGCCACAGCAAGACTTTATGGATAGAGTCTGATAGTAAGGGAACAAATCTAGGGTTCCAAAGGTATAAGAGGCACCCAGTCAGGAATTCAAAAATTAAGAGTGTTGGGCAGTAGTTTATATAACCATGTAAAATTTCATGATCCAAGATGCTTCGACTCACAAGTGTACAGGTTGGTCATGGTGTGTTTTCCAGGTGAACAAAGATTTACGATCTTAATTCTGCTTAACAAGAGGTGGTCTAGACTTTGTAGTAGAATGTGAAATTCTTATTGGATAGGCCATTCAAAAGCTCCTTTCTTTGCAACGGACAACACTATATAAACTAGGATAGTTTAGGCATGGAGAAGGCTGAATATTTTAATTCTGGACAGTGTGTAAAGAATGTGGACATTTCCCTGTCCATTTAACAAAGGTTTTCAGGGGAAACTTTCAAGCACAAGCCTGCCTTTTCACTCTCATTTTCTCGAACAAAATGTAGCCTTTTTAACTGAAGTGATTGTGAGAGACACTCAAAATGGCACAGTAGTGCTTGCCAGCAAAAGAGCCTCTATATTTCTGAAAGCATTCCAAAATTACTTGTTTTTTGGAACCATATAGAATGTAAATTCTGTCTTTGTACAGCATTTTTCTGGTCTCTTCTTCTAAGAGTAGTACTGGTGCTTATTTATTTTCATAAATGTAAACATACGCAGTAATGCTCTGTCTGCATAAGTTTTACAACCTTTTAAAAGGTTACTGCTTTAAAATGTGCCAAGCACCACAAAAGGCAAATGTCCTGCTGGAACCACTGTCTTCTCCATCTCCTTGGGAAAATGCAAAAATGCATATTGTGACCAAATATTGCTCAATGTTCAGCAAAAAGACCCTAAACAGCATGTATAGCCAGAAAACACACTAACACCACAAGCACAAGGTGCGCAGGTAAGGATCAGCTAGTTTGCAACCTCTCTGTTTAGCAAAACAAAAAAGGGAGGTGATAAGAAAATAAAGAGGGGAAAGTGCCTCCACAAGAAAATGAGCCAGTGTCATAAGGACAAGGCAGATAAAGGGCCTGCCAGCTCTAGCACCCATTTAGCAAAAAGAGAAAAGGGGGTGAATGGCCTCTGTAGGCAGAGTGCCTGCTACCACAAGGTAGATGGAAGTGAGCAGCAATGCCCTATTGATTCAAGCACACACACACCCTGCCCCTCAGGTCAACAACCTGATCTACCTATTTGTAGTCAGCTGCTTCCTCCAGTCAGTGTGTTGTTCCCTCTCCTATTTTCTTGTAGGGGCCAGAAAGGGAAGGGAAGGTGACTGAATGGGCAAAAGCGGGTGTGCTCAGGCCAAGAAACAGAGGCAAAGATGAACCACTTTAAAAGCTAGTGCAATCATACACACACAACAGCAGCACTACTGGGCAAACTGATGCCACAAGCACCAGGTTCGCAACCACCATTGTATACCATTCTACAACAGACTGAGCCAGGAGGCAAAAGTGAAAAGTGTCAAAAGAGAAAGTCAAGGGTTCATGTCTAATCAGTAGGGTAGATGGTGACAAATGAAAATGAATGAGGTCACATGTCATAGGAGATAATGCAGTTAGAAATACTGCTGAAACATTCAGGCAGCAATATCAGAGAGGCTGTTGGAAAGGTAGGATTGGATTGGATGGAGGGCAAAAGATGTGGGGTGTCATGAGCACAGGTCTCCCACTCGACCTCTGGAATAAGCTGAGTGGAACGATGAGAGTCCCACAAGGGAAAGAACAGCAAAGAAATCTGATTTCCTTGTGAAATGTTATTTCATTGAGCAACTGGTTACTCAATTTCTATCCCTACAGAGACTGCTTAGAAATCTATGGACAACTCTGCAAGTCTGAAGCTAAACAAGACCAAGATTGAATCATGGATTTATAAGTATGGACATCCTTCCCCTTCCTTACTTACTTGCTGTCTCTTTAGTGGGAATGATAGTACATCCTCTCCATCTGACGACACAGCCAATAAGCAAAACTATGATGGTTTGCATCTTTATTATTATAAAAAGGGCTGCAAATGGTCTGAAACCTGGTAGTTACACTGGACAGATGTCACATCAGCAGGATACCAGATGTGCATTATGCACAACTTCAAAGTTTAAGGTTTGTGTAAAGCTGACGTGTCAGTACATTAAATCAACCTTTCTTTAATGTTATAATTCTGTACAAAACCTGTTTGAGAACAGGATTGTTTAGTTATTTTAGGCAACAGTTTGTAATTTTGACATGTTATGGATAGGAAGCAGAAGTCCTAATTAAATGCTTTTTTACACGCACATAGAGCATTTTGCTATTAATGGATGAAAAATCAGTGTTGTTTTGATAACATAGCAACAGGGTTAAACAGATTGAAAATCCACTTAAGAAGACTGCAGGTCAGTAGTCATCCCTATTCTACCCCAATGGCAAACCAACCAGGTTTGTCTTCATTTTCTTTCCATTACCCTCACCTCAGTAAAAATTCTACAAATAAGAGTGTTTTCCAGTTTGAAGGTTAACATCTTCAAGAACAGTTCTACACTTAGGATAAAAGGACCTGCGACATACACTAGTGGAGCGCTATTGACTGTTATGTGTAAAACCTGTACAAGGTGACGACCATGATGTGAACCGCTGGGGCCAAAGTAACGGCATTACTTCCATTCTCCCACTGACACAGCATCCAAGCCAAAGTACAAAGTTAGGCCTACAGTGTCAGGAGATTTGGGCACAAGCCTTCCTTCTGCATCTCAACAATGTCAGGTAGGTGGGGGAAATGACAAGGTTACTGAATGCCTTCAAGCAAGAACTGCTGGGTGGGAATGAAAACTGAGAGGTTCTGACATCCAGCCCAGGGTGGAGGGTATTTCAGACAGAGTTGAGCTGGCAAAGGAAATCCAGTTTGAAACAAGAACCAGAGAGACCTGTAGGAATCAACTTTAACCTGGAAAGGAGTTACCTAAACATCTCCAGCCGCAAACTACTAAATGATACATACCCACCAGCGCTTTCTGGTGGCCAGCTTGTTGTATTATTTTAGCAGATCATATCAAATTGGTTCTTTCAACAGGCAGCTCACCACTCTCAACCTCCTCAAAACACAGGAAGCAGCAAGTTCTGCCATTTTACATCATACTCTCATTGCCAGTTGTAAAGTTATTTCCACATATTTCAAGATTTCAACTTCATAATATATCATTCCGTTCCATTCTTTAGCATAACTGTACTTCATTAACAATTTAGAAGCCGCACAATTAAGCCGCCACTTTGGTTCATGAAAACTTAAAAGTGTCGATTTTTTTAAAAAGAAAAGACAATCACATCCCACATAGAAAACCAAATTTATTTAATCTGAAGCACTTGTATGGTTCATGGAAAGTTAAATGGGCTGCTGGTGGAACAGTTCACCCTCACAGGAGATGTGCTGATACAAGGTGAAATATCATGTAATCATTCTTTATATCAGTCTTTATTACATATATCAGCTGAAAACAAACACTTTCATAACTTGGTGGTCCCCCCAGTTAAAAAAAAACCACAGAAAGGAAAGATAATAGAACACAGTTCAAGAAACACACAAGAGGGCAAAGTAATGTGCAGTTATAGGTGACTACCATATTCATATCCACATCCTAAGTTGCCCCATCAGAAAAGGATAGAAGGACCAAAGTATTATGAAGAAAACTCAGGCATTATCTGGACAGAGCGACTTACTCTAATCAAGGACAGCAGCTAGAAACAAAGTTAAGAATAGGTGACCCTGCACTGGATTTATCTGTATCTGAAACAAGACTAGAGCTAAAGCTCTAAACATATTCTTTTATCAGGAGGGACCAATAAAAATAAAATAGAGAGAAGCTTCTACTCTAAAATTCCCCTCAGTAGAAAACATTCAGATCTTACCAATGCTTGTACTGAAACAATTCAGGCATAGTTTATATTAAAATTTCTTGTAGCAGGCTGTGTACACCAGCTCTCAATCAATGAGTTTTTAGGTGAAAAATTGTCAACCAAGAAGCCACTGTGTGATGCTAGCTCAAGTCAGGTTCAACTTTCAACAGCAACAGTTCACTTTCTGAGTTAGAAGCAAGGCTGATGGATAATATCTACAGATGGGCTGTTGAATGCACAGTGCATGTGTTTGTCTCTCGCAAAACGGCACAGCTGACAATCTCAAGAAACTTAGGAGAACAGGGCAGGGAGAGGACAACAACAGGAAACAAACAGCAAGGATTGAAGGGGTCAAGTATCTAAGAGCCTTGCCCTTCCGGATCCACACTTCCTTCAGGATCTTCATCATTATATATGTTCTCTGCCTATACAGAGAGAGAGGAATGAAGAATTAGACAGAAGTATCAATCTGACAGTTAAGCAAATTCCTATTCTAAGGGCACAATCCAAACACTACAATAACGAACTTTACCCTAAGTAACTTCCAACACATAGCAAATTCAATACCTTTGTCAGACACAAGGATTCAGTCATTATTCTGCCAAATATTTATTAAGAAGACAAGACTTCCTTCTACAGTTTGAGATTACCGTAAATTCTGGCATATAAGACAACTTTTTAACCCCGAAAAAGAGGTTAAAAAGTCAGCCTCCGCTCCACACCAGGAAAGAGCCGCCTGGTGCAGGGCCCGCCCACTGCTGCTTCGGAAGCAGCAGGTGGCTGGCTCGGCTCCGCGCCAGGCGGCTTTCTCCTGGAGCGTAACTGCCCAGCGTATTAGGCAACTGGGCTTATAAGATGAACCCCCAAATTGCAGCTGCCAATTTGGGAGTAGTCTAATATGCCCAGTCGCCTAATACGCCGGAATCTATGGTATATGCCTCTTATGGGTGCTCTGTGCACACAGTTTTGGATTCACTTTCCCGTCAAATAATCAACCAAGTACTTACCATTTGCCAGACTTGCATGATATTGTCTTCTGATACCGAACAAATTACCCAGGGTTCATTTGGATTCCAGGAGAAGTCAGATATCTTTGCAGTGTGACCACCATGAATAAACTAACATTGAGAATAAGATAGGTATTTAAGTACACAATTCCAATACAGAATACATATTTCAAGAACAGGGTTACAATTCTTATGTGTGAATCATATCATAGATACCCATAGTAGATTACCAACATAAAACCCCCCAATCTTCAATAAAGGCTGGACTATCAGTAAGGCAAAATTTAAAATAAAAATCTAAACCTAGGTCTAAAATACAATGAAGTATCAACAATTGAGCTAATCCATTTTTATTTTTATTTTTTCCCCTCCCCCTCTCAACTGCAGGGCTTAATTCATTCACAGCTGGGGGGAGGGGGTTTGAGATGGAAGAAAAGTCACAGAAAGTATCCTGGACTCAGAAAGCATCTCATTCACAGATCAGCTGGGAGAGTTCATGGAAGGAAGAGTACATGCAAAGCAGAATGAAACACGTTAGGACTACTCAACTCTGATCAAGGATGGTGTACACAAGTGCCAGCCTCTCCCCAGCTGACCAAGCCCAAACAAAGGCATAAAACCTCATTTTTTGTTGGGGAGTGGGGGGAGAATTGGTGGCAACACCAAAACTCTCACTTACCAACAGCTCAGGTGGGCCATCCTCTGCATCTTCGGGAGACTGCTCTTCTCCAATTTTACTGAAACAGAAGACAGTAATTAGAGACACACAAAAAGCACTTCTGGTGAACTCAGCATTTCCACAACACTACACACATCTGAGGCTTACCTTAAATCCCAGACATTCAGTCTGCGATCAGTACCACTGGAAGCCAGAATGGTTTCATTATGTGGTGACCACTGAACCTGCAACAATTAGGATGAGATAGTACATTTTGCCTTAGTATCTATCACAGTTTTGATGCAATTTTTATTGTTCTTACACAGTATATCAAACAATAACTGTTCATTAATGCCAGCCAATCACTTTAATATCCCTATTTATTATTCTGCTCTTGAAAACTGCTCACAGTTCAAATATGCTACACAATTAGTTGAGCAGAGGAGGGATACCATCAATCATAATGACCAGAAAGCTAAACACACTTTAATTATTTGAAAATGTATAATCCACTCTTTCATAATATATAACAAGGCAGCCTACAACATACAAAATGCAATTAAATCAATCTATAAAACATAATTTAAAAACTCAGTAGATACTGGTTGGTTTAAAGAAAAATACAGTATCATATTGTGAAGGTCTGTTTCGACAGCAGTTTTCAGAAAATATCTGAAAGAAGGCAGGGATGGGTCCTGCTGAATATCTACAGGTAGGGAGTTTCACAGGGCAGGGCAGGGCCTGCCACATTTAAGGCTCAGTCCCTATTGGAAGCCAATGGAACCTCAAGGGCTTGGGGAATCTGCAGACATGCCGCATCAGAGGATCTGAGGTGGAGAACAAAAGATCAGATAGTCCTTAAGGTACTCTGGGCCAAAGCTGTTTAGGGCTTTGTGAATTAACACAAGAATCTTGAACCTAGTCTGGCAGTAAATCAGTAACCAGTTCAGCTTTCTCAACAGCAGACTAACAGGCTGTCAGCACTCTGCTCCTTTGAGCAGTCTGTCTTTGGAAACCAAATTATGGAGAGGCGGCCCCCATTTATGCGTGTTCAATATGTACACAACTGTGCATACACGCCAAACCTGGAAGAGACCCGAAAAGCCACAAAAAGGGCAGAACAGTATGAGGAGTTTGCCAGCTTTTTCAATGGTATTTCAAATATACACGATTTCACTGACACAAGTGGTGCCTCAGAACACAACCCCCACGTAAATAGTGGGTTGCCTGTACTTTAAATTCTAGAAGCACCTCATAAAGCTAGTATATCATGAAACCACCCAAGTCTTTAAGATTTATCACCAGACCTATTAGTTATATTTTCCACCCCTGGGAATGTGCAATGCATCAAATGGGATGCATTTATGGAACTCAAAAAGTCTCCAAATGTCTTCATTAGTCATTACTTGCACAGTTTACTGATGCATACTTTATCACCATAACAAATGAAAAAATTAGTACTCTGAGTCATCAAATAAGTAATCTTGCCCTACACTTATTCTGGTATTCTAACCCTCTCTTTGTAACTGCCAATTTTTTCTGTCAGCCAAGTCAGTCACTTAAACCTCACTGCCCAAATATTACATTCCAATTTTTTTAATCTGCTGCTAAGGATCAGAAACATGCTTTTTCCACAAGCAGAAAAATCAACATATCTGCTGTAAGTTTTCTAACTGAACTAACACAGAGATGAGCAAACCTGTCAATAGTTGGTCTGAAACTTTAATAGCAAGGCCAATTCTGAGAAGGAAAAATCAAAGACCCTTTTAAGAGCAGCCATGTTGTCAAATGATCAGAAAATGATGTCACATGATATTATGTGAGCTTACCTGGAATATTTCATCTTTGTGTGACTCAAAGGAGTGCAACTTCAGTTTCAGGTTTCGCAGATCCCATAATGCAACAGTCTGGCCAGGAAAACCAGAGCATAATTAATAAATGAGAATATTCCTTTATTGTACTGTACACAGCCCCACAGACTAGGACCATTCAACACAACACATTCTGTTCTACAGTATAACAATCCCCTTAATTCCGCAACTATGGATTAGGCAATGTTTTCTGCGAATTCTGGACAGTCACCTTATCAGCTGATCCCGTGGCCAAGATGAACTCGCTATAAGGATTGAAAGACAGACAGTTCACTTCAGCAGTGTGAGCATCCACTGAATGGCTTGGCTTGGAAGTGTTGTTTGACCGGGTGTCCCAACTGTAAAAAACGAAATTCAAGATAAGAAACACATTTGATGGACTGATTAACACACACTAATTGCAAGTGTAACTATTAATAGGAGCCTATCCCTCTAACTTTTAAAGAAAATTCAAGGGAAAATAATTCAATGTGAACAAAATATATAACTTTGCTTACATCATAAGTTTCTGATCATCAGCAACAGATCCAAAGAGAGATTCATGCAGCAAATGCCAGGAAACATCTTCCACCACAGCTGTATGGCCTGTAAAGATAGTCTTCGCATCCACCACTTTCCCTTCCTTTGGAACAGCACTTATGTCCCACAAGCAAATGGTCTTAAAGAGATAAAATGGGAAAATACATTAACATAAGAAACATTCATTTGGCAGATATGTACATTATGTATACCTGGACTAACTAAGCATACAATACTCACATGATCATCAGATGCACTAAGCAGATGACCACTAAGGTTTGGATTCCAAGACAAACCATAGCCTTCTTTTTGATGCCCACGAAGACGTAGATCTGGATTACACTCACCAGAAGGGTCTGCAAAGGAGATAGAGTTATTGCTTGTGTTATTCATGCAGTATTATAAAATAGCAAACAAGGATAAATTAATCACTTAAAACATATGGTCAGATCTTCTTCTTGGCTTATAGTAGAAATGGCACCACAGGGGCCGCTTTAAAGCAGTCCTTAATAGTATTTTTTAAAGTCTCCACCATCTTCTTCTTTCATTTAAAGGAGATAGGGGAAAGATGATTCAAAAAGCGCTCTGGCGAAAGATTTTAATATAACCCCTACAGGCCTTTCCAACACTCCTTTTAAAGTTCTGAGACTGGGAGTTTAAAAAAGGAGAGGTGGAAGCCTTGCAAAGCTGCTTATTGACAGGTGGGCACCCTGCCCACATGTCAAATTGGAGCTAAAAAATTATTCACCCTGATTTAGTTGGACAATACAAGATGTCACTTAAAATTCACCCCCCGTCGCAGATTTCAGCAGTCTATGTTAATTCTATTTGTCTGAACTTATACTGTTTTTCCTAATTAAACCTTTTCTTCGTTCTGCTTTCAGGTTTTTCAAACTATGCTTGTCCATCACAAATCTTAATAAATTATCTGAAAACATGACTCTTATATTCTGTTCCAGCATGAAATCAGATTAGTATAGCCTCACTTGAAAGTGTCTTGCTTTCTGAGGCAGTTCTGGGACCGCAACTGTGGTGAACAACTAAAGAGCAGTCTCATTATTAATTTTCCTGCTATACATTCCTAGCCTAGATTCAACCAATAAAACGAAATTAAATGGCAGTAAACAAAGCATACATTAATATACAACAAATGAGAAAAGAAGCAGCTTTCCACACTTTAAAAATAATCTCCTCAATACAATACTTGGAATCAACAAGGCCTATCAATTTATTTTATCCCTAAAGTACATATATAAAAGGAGCAAGGTTCAGATATGACAACAGACAAATACCTGGTTTAGATGGATGCTTGGTATAATCAAACACAAGTACATCACTGGATGGAGTCTTTGTGGCAATAATGCAAGGATTCTGGGGCATGTAGCGTGCTCTATTCACTTCTCCTTCATGGTTAATTTTTATTTCAATTTCAATTTTCCCACTAACAGAGCCAAATCCTCCAAACTCTGAAAATAAAGAAGGCATTTCTATAATAGATACATGTTTCAAGTCATTCATACTAGAAAATAAACCAATTAAAACCAAAAATCTATGCCATATGGACATTATGGAACTAAAAAAAGGTAATTTTTGAATACAGTATGTCTTTGTTTACATTTGGAAAACAATATCCCAAAGTATCTTTAAGCAATATGATTTTAGAAAGCTTTATTTATCAATCAAGATATATTTAAATAGGTACAACACTGCTGACATATCATATTAACACTCTGTAACATGTTTTATCACCCATTAAGCAAAAAAGTTCAAGACAGCAGTAAGCCAACATATTGCTAATCAACCAGATGTTGAAACATAATTCCTGTAACAGCAGGACTTCAATTTCAGACAAGTACTTCATCTACTAAGTTGCACTGTTTAATGTATATCCAATTTTCTGGACAGAAAATACATCCTGGAAACCAAAGTGTCACTGGGCCATTTATTAGTTTAGTTTTTTATCTTAGCTTAACACCAACAGTCCTCTCCAAGATCTGTGCCTTGTTAACCTAATAAGATAAAACATCAGGAAGATTCAGGAAGAAACCCACTCTTCTTTCCCATTTTGTTCTCTTACCTCCCTTCTCACTATCATAGTGTGAGGCATCAAACTGTGCATCATCATTAGGGAGCTGCACGCTGGCTATCACAAGGTGATTTTGTTCATCAGAGGTATGGGTCCCAAGAACTAGCCGGTGAATACTGAAGTCTTTGCCTTCAGGTCTACAATGCCATAAAAGAACAATGGAACAATGAGGTCAAAGGGTGTTTGTTTATTTGGACTGACTCCTCATTAGGGTCACTGGCATGAATGTTAGGAACACCAATAGAGTCAATGTGAATTTCCTTTACTACTACTACAGAAACTGTTACTAGAGTAGCTGGTTTTCCTTACCCAACAATATGAAACATTACAAGCAGGAAAACAATGTAGCAATTAGAGTTACAATAGAGTTACATTCCATCATGCATCTGTTTATCAGTCAGAAATGCTCAACTTCTTTGCTCCTCCCTCTGCCACAACTAAACAAGTACATCCGATTAACTATAGTTTCCAGCTTCAGAAGCCAGTATACTAAACCAGGGTTTGAAGTTGATATAATATTATGGCTTGTTCCAGAGCTGTTAACCAGTTTCTTATTTTGAACAAGGCAAGAAGCTACAGTTATAAATTTCCTGATTTAATGTTGGTGTGCACAAACTGGCCCTTACTTAGTTTAACAAACTTGTTCATATACAAAAGAAATGCAGGCATAGTCCTATGGATGTTTACTCAAAAGTAAGCCTCTATGTTGCATAGGCCTTAATCAACTAAATGAGTGTTTATGCTGCAGTCATGTGTGTTACCTGGTTACATCAGGAAGCCATTGTGCAGTCAAGCTGGGCCATTCCAAAGCATGGGTCATTACAAGATCATAGAGAAATGGAGTGTTCTTTTTCCAGATTTTATATTCTTCATTGATCACTCGCTCCTCCACAGCATCATCAAAGGCAGCTGATAATTATAAGAAAAGAATGCATTAATTAATGCTGGCAAATAAACCTAAAAACCTTATGGGCACATACCATAGCTCTCCAGCAAAATATATTTATAATTTAGGATAGAGAGGAAGAGATTCATATCTTCTGTACTCAGGAATTTCTTCCATGCCCCAAACTGTGTCACCCTGATTAATCACTGAGGGAGCATAGCAGGCCAGAAAGATCACCCATGGCTGCAACCTTATGCTTACTTCCTTGGGAATAAGTCCCATTAGGCACAATCAAACTTACTTCTACATAATCATGCACTGTTAAACATGGTATTGTTTTTCTATGCCAGCAGGAATCATTTTCACTAAGTAAGTCATGTTTGTCAGTTGCATCATAACATAGTTTACAAGTAAACTCATGCAATGCTGCATTCGCTTTCCTTCAAACAGGATAGAAAAAAAGCTTTCTCCTAAAGAGCATCAGAGCTACTATTCTACTGTGCTTTAGTTTTTCTCAAACTAACATCTGAACAGCAACAAGAAGTTAAATTCTATTGCAAAGCAGCAGTTATGTAAGACCTCAGATAGGAAATCTGTGATTCAAAATTAGGCAGGAATTCTCTCAGCAGCATTTATCAGCCCCAACTTGTAATATGCAGCTAAGAGATAACTCCTACGACGTGGCTGTAAGACTGCTGAACTGTAAGTTGTACACCTCTTTCTGGCAACTCCTGCAGCCAAGTTGATGCCAAACATATTGCTCGGATTTCCTTTGGACCACATCGGCAAGGCCAGGACAGGGATCTTGACCTCTGGGCAGCCCAGGACCTCCATACACACTGCACAGGTTTGCACCCCTCAATGGTGCACACCATTGTGTCTCTAGAAACACTGATGCCAACACATTGGGAAGCATCTCCACACAAAGTTCATTCATAATATCATTAAGTCAATTGATGGCTTTAGACAAATTACTGTATTCTCAACCTCCCATCTGCAAGAGGAGCAAGATCTACTTTACAGGGCTTTTGTACTGATTACTTAGGTAACAGAACTGAGGTACTTTGAACACTGCTAAAACAAGGCTAAAAAGAAAGTAGAGGAGTGACCTCTGGACAATTTGCAGCAAGCACTTCTCACTCTCAAAATCTGAATGGCACTATTATACAAAAAAAGTTGGGGGCTTGGATAGGCAGTGGCTTGCTGAAGGATGCAAGCTTAACTTCTGTTACTGAAAACGAATCCCTGGATTATGCATGCTCTTATTTAACTGTGCATTGTGCCTCTTTCCCCCTAGACACTAGCCTGAATCTGGCTTCAGGTGTATCTCAGAGTTCTAGTTTAAAAAACAAAAAATCAGCCACGTGGAAATCTGCCCACTCCCTTCTCTAAAGAAGAGCACTTCTTAATAACAGAACAACCCATCTAGGTTGTTTGGAACACAAAGAGAAAGTGTGAAAAGAAATGGCATCGTTCTCTTTCTTTTCTAGGGCCCTGTGCCTTTAAGACACACTCTCGCCCCCGCCCCTCCCGCCAACCTAATGTACCTCACAGGTTGCTGAGAATCTAAAGCGGGGGCGGGGGAAGAGGAGAGGGGAAGGAAGCCATGTACGCAGCCCTGTGCCCCGTGTAGAAAAAGGAACATTCTACACATGATGCTACATAACACCCCCCCCCCAGAAGCAGAAATCTACGAGGCGGTGGGACCCCTCCCGCGCCCCAATTCTCCTCCTCCTCCTCCTCCTCCTCCTCCTCGCGAGCGTCTCCCTCCCCGGCTGGAGAAGCGCCGCCGGCGGAATCGCCGCAGTTTGTTCGAGGCCCATGGGGGGAGGGGGGTTGAGAGGCCGGCGAGCCGCCCTTGCGAAAAGCCCACCTGAGCCATCCTGCAGCCCTCCCCGCCTCATTACAAAGCAGCTCCACGCAAAGAACCCGAGAACCACGAAGGAGGCGAGGGAAGAGGAGGGGGTGGGAGGGAAGGTGCCAGGAAAGGAGGGAGGAGCGCCCCATTGGGCGGCTCCCAGGGAAAGGGGGCAGGGCCGAGAAAGCAGGCGCGGGGATTGGACGAGGCGCTTTTCTGCCAGGGCCCGCGCAGAGGCCGGAAAGGGAGGGGGAAGGGGGGGAGTGAGGCCTAGTCGAGTCTCCCGCCTCAGCAGCGCCCGCTCCGCTCACCTTCTTTATCCGCCATGATTCCGACTCTCTTCGGGAGCGCCGGCGACGTCGCGGCCTTCCTAGTTTACCTTAGAACTCAGCCCGCCCTTCACTAGGCGCCTCGTGCTACCTGCGCTGGGCTGCTGAGCGCTCCTCTATTGTTTCCTGAGTCGTCGTAGTTCTCCTCCTTTCCCCCCCCCCCTTCACAATTCACTTCAGAACGGCAGTGGCGCGCGAGACGGGTTCGCGCCAACTCCGTCCAATCGCAGACCCAGCCGCCGCGATCTTCTCGGCGAATCACGACGGCGGGAATGGGGGAGAAGGGGCGGGGCCGAGTGGGCGTGCTCGCGGAGGGAAGGATGGCGCACGCGCTCTCTCCTCCCCTCCCTTCTCCCGTTTCGTCGTTGCGGAAGAAGGGCAGTGGCTTGCCGAAGCTTCCGTAGGGGCCGCCATTTTGTTTTTGGTTAGGCGGCCTGAGAGTTGCTAGGCCGCTCTTGCGAAACGGGGGTGGTTGTACGAGTCGATTGGAGGAGCAAACATTGCCTTTTGGGCTGAGATTAGGGAAATGTGATAGCTGAAAAAAATCTCCTGAATGTTATTGGCTTTTGAGGTACATGTGGCTGCTTCCGCACTCCCACCTGTAAAATGGGAGTAACAATCAAAATAATAATAATACATTTTTATTTGTATCCCGCCCTCCCTGGCCAAGGCTGGGCTCAGAGCAGCTAACATCATAAAATGCCCAACTTCACAAGTGCTTTGGCACATAGAAACAAAATAAATTTCGTCAGGGGCTTTGTGTATTTATCCCTGCCCTTTATATGCCAACAAAAAAGCGAAATGGTCTAATTGTATTTCTTGCATTATATATAAGTGGGTGTAAGTAAGTAAGTAAACACGTATATGCACATCATCCAGGGAGTAAGGCCCATTGCATACTGTGGGGCTTGTTATAATCACCTCAAAAGAGATGAAGTACTTCCAATATGAGATTAACCGAAAGAGTGAGAGTAACATGATTTGCTTAAAGCATGTAGTATATTTCTTAATATATTTTTATTTATTAAAAAAAAAGAGTGATCATGCATTGTGCACTGCTTTGTTCCAGCAGTGTCAAACGAGGACTGATGATACCCAGGTCCAAATTCCCTTTAAGTGATGGTGTGCCAGTCCCCCATCACTCAGCCTTGGTTATTTTACAGTGGTGATAACCAGGTTGTGAAGGGAAGAATCCTGAACTCCACTCTATGGTTCTGGGAGGGTGGAATGAAAGCGTACTGAAAAAATTAATATACACATGCCAATCTTAAAATTATGGCACCGTTACTACGCTAGCAATAAAAAAAAAACCAAAGGATTGTCAACTATCTTCTTCTTAGGCCACACTTGTGCCTTTCTCAGCTGTATAAGGCCAGATATCCAGCAGGTGAAGCTTTCCCTGCCCTTGCACTGGCATATATGCCAGGAAAAGCTGCTCCTAATGAATTTCTGCTTGACAGGAGTCAGCTGTTGAAGGACACACAGCAGCCCTGGTTTGAATGTTTCCTTTAAAAATAGCAAGTATAGCTCAGGAAAAGGGAGCATCTTGTTTAATTGTCTTTTTGCCAGATTGATGTGTAGGTCTAAGAATTAAAAGCACAAAATTTCAAATTGCCGCTTTTCAGGGGAGGGGGAAGTACTAATAAAGCAGCATGGATACAGATACACAAATATGATACAGATAGATCTATAATGAAGGGAACTGTTCCTTTAAATGCGGGCTTGGCTGCGGCTGACATGTTTAGGCAGGAAGGAGGCCATCTTTCGCCTCTTCTGTCCTAAGAGGAGGAAGTGAATTGAGTTTTGCATGGCAAAAGCAGCAAGTCATGGCAGATAACTACCGGGACTACAACTTGACAGAGGACCAGAAAATCGTTAAGACGAAGTACCCGCCTCTCAATAAGAAGTATGAATGTGAGTGTATTCCTGAGCGGTCTTAGTCTGTGCGTGGATTTATAGTTCTTTGGTGGAAATGCAGCGCTGGGCTCAGCTCCAGAGTTTCCACAAACCGAGTGCCTGTACATCTTGAACCGGGGGCGGGGAAAGAGGGTGCCGGTTACAGGCTGCGAGGCATTGCTGGGTGGGATTCTTCTCCGGAGTCTTGTATTGCGCCCCGGAGAGAGAAGTGGGTGCGGGGCGGCGGATTGGAGCAATAGCGTTGGCTCCGCACACCCATAAACAGCGTAGCTCTGTTGGGTCTGTAGGAGAAAATAAACCAAAATCTTTAGCAAGGCAATTCTATTTATTTGGACCCAGACTGTCACTTTGGGGTTTGTCCAACATGCTGAAAGTTTTGCCCTCCTGTAAAGCGTTGCTGTTCCCCGGGCTAGGAGAGCGTGTTGAAACTTGGCAGACAAGGCGATGTTTTGCTCTCGAAAATAAAATCTGAGACTGCTTGCTGTGGAGGGCTTAATATACTTCTGTGCAGTTCACTTTGTCTTAACTTCCTTTTTGGTGACACGAACCTGCTACACCCCCTGTCCTCACTCTAGAAGCGTCAGCTTCTTGCGGTGTAATGTTATGCTGTACGTGTAAATGAATTTACTGTGTTTGGAATATTCTTGTTCTAACTGCTTATTCTCCCTACCTTGGTCTTTTAGATCTGTTTTTTTCCCTTTTCTTTTTTTCCTTTTTTTAATTGAAAAAATTATTTTAAGTTGCCCCAGGTAGCTTCATATTTTTTCATATTTTTAATCCCTATTTAGATCTGGATCATACTGCTGATGTGCAGTAAGTATTTATTTATAAACTTACAATCTAACAGGGACAATGAGAAGGCAAAACAAAAAGCAAAATGACCCAAATAGTCTTTTAAGGGGGAAATATTCCTCAGTTGCATAATGCATGTATTTTCCCACCCTGGTAATACTATATTTCACCAGTTATTCTCCCCATTGCTGATGATAGCACAACTGATCTTTTCTGTATAAACAAGCACAAGCGTGCTGCTTACATCAAATCTGCCTAGGTACATGGGTTAGCTGTCCTCTGCTGAGTCAGATTTTTGGTCCATTAAGCTCAGGTGCATCTGCGATCATTGACTGGCAGCAGCTCTCCAGGGTTTCAGAGAAAGACTTTTCCTGGCTTTTCCAAGAGGTGCCAGGAATTGAAATCTGGACCTTTTCTGTGCAAAGCAGACGTTCTGCCTCTTGAATCAACAGCTTTTCTTCAAAGGTATCTGGCATTATCCCAATAGATGGGGTTATATGAGAAAACCCGAAAGCCTCAGGGATTTCAATGGGGGAATAGTGTTGTCAGTATTTTCAAATTGTATATTGCCTTTCCATATAATAATATAAGCAACATCCAGTTCATCAAAACTGCCAAGAGCTGGGAAGTATGGCAACATATATAATTAACTCATGAGTTGTGTGTGTGCGTTACCTCTTTACACAGTTCTTGTCTGCTACAGAGTGAAGTAGGTTGGATGGTGTGCCATCTATAACTCCTCTAAACGAGATGTATGCCTAGAGTTTCGTTGTTATGTTTTCTTGTCATGGCTTCTGTATTTCAGCACAAGGCTGCTTTGGATTTTTGCTATCACTCTATGGTAATAAGAAAAAATACCCAAAAAAGTGCCAAGTGCAAGAAATGGCAAACCAGATTTCTTAGAGTCTGCAGCAGATTACCTCTCACAGGCCCCCCATTCCCACAATGCTCGTATTTTAGCACAATTATTGAAAACACCAACAGCAACAAGTACGGGGAAGTGGGGATTGATGCTGCACACCTTCTGTTGTGTGCTGGATGTTCCTGCTGCTCTATTTTCCACCTACAAAGGAAGTTCCTAGTTGTGCAGAGGATGAAGCTAGGAATTCATAAATTCCAAGTACAAAGTTTTCAAGGGTAACTACTATATGCAGATCCTTAGAATGGACAATTCTTAAACTGCAAATAGTGAACTTGTTGGAAGTGGAGCCAACTGTTCTTTCCTATATTTAGTGCAAGTTTCTCCCTTGTACATTCTCATCTTTTGCTTATAACTACTGCCCTGTAATGTGTGTGTGTTTTTAGGTTGCATGCCTGGGGAGATACCTTGGAAGAAGCATTTGAACAATGCGCCATGGCCATGTTTGGGTACATGACGGATACAGAGACGGTTGAACCTCTGGACACAGTAGAGGTGGAAGCAGAGGGTAAGGTGTTGCTTTGAGAAGTACAGCAGTACAGATTAATAAACACAGTGGCAAATTATTGTCTTTACTATTTTGCCAACATAACTGTCACTTGCTGTTTCCCAAACACATTTATAACAGAGTAACACCCTATAGTTTGAGGCCTGTGCTTATTCAGGATTCACTGAAATTGGACTGCTTAAACTTAGCATAGCAGGCCTGTAAGTATAAATGGTGATGCTTTTGCAAGCAGGAAACAGGCAAGCAGAAAGTTCAGCTTAAAATCATAGAATTTGAATTATAGAGTCATAGAGTTAGAAGGGACCCTCAGGACCATTTAGTCCAATTCCCCTGCAATGCAAGAATATGCACCTGTCCCTTACGGGGATCAAACCTGCAGCCTTGGCATTATGAGCACCACACTTTTAACTAACTGAGCTATCCAGATGATGTTCAGTCTCAGAGGCAAGCAGAGCAACAAAAAAACCCATGACATTTATTTATTCATTTTTATTAAATTTGTTTATCACCCTTCATCCGAAGATCACAGGGCAGTTCACTGCATAAAAATACAAAATGAGAACACAAAATGCATAATAAAAACAAAAGCAAACCAATAACGCACGCGCCCCCTCCACAAACACATTAAAAAAGACATAGAATGTTAATTGGCCCAAGCTGAAGGCCTGGTTATAGAAAAACATTTTTGCCTGACGCCTAAAGATACGGTCCATGGTTTGTGAGGTGTCCTATCTGTCCCCACGCAAGGGTTGGCTCTCTGATCTCTTGCTGAGCCATGATCTGTGGTGCAAGGGGAATTGAGTGGGAGTTTGAGCCTACACTGACATCTGTCTGTCATTAGGAAGGCTTGCCACACATACCTGGGTTGGAGGCAGTCCTGCACCTTAAAACTCCCAATATGTCCGTCTGCCCCCCCCCCCCGCTTCTCTCCAACAGGACATGACATGCTGTCTCTTCTCTTCCACTTTCTGGATGAGTGGCTTTATAAATTCAGCGCCAATGAGTTTTTCATTCCCAGGGTGAGTGTTTGCTCTCTTCCTCCTTACAGTCTTGAGATATTTCTCAATTATTGGATTGTGTTCTGCACAGTGTCACAGTTTGGTCACATGTTGTTGCATTGCCAAGGTATTGAATCCATTAATTTCTGAGGTAGCATCAAGAAACTAACGAGCTAAGGAAAAAACATAAAGAGGAACATTATTGTACTGTCCTTATTAGCATCAACTGTAATCATAAAGCAGGGAGCCAGCATTCAACTTTCACAGAAGTCTTCTCCAGGCTTGATAATCAACAACAGAAAAGGGGGGGAAATGATGTTCCTCAGAGTAGCAGGTGGTGAACTTCTCTGCAATTTGCTTACAGTTTATAGATTAAGGTTCTGGAAATTCTTTGCAAAACTAGTTAGATTATAAGCGAAGTTGAAGATGCTAGAATGGGGAGAAAGAAATTGTTATACAGACTGAAAGAGAAGCTCCTTTGACTTCTGAAATGTATTGCTTTTCATATGCCTTGAGGTTGTGTGGATGGTTGGGATTTATACTTCTGCAAGGAATTGAAATACCTGGTACCTTTTCCAGTTATTACTGGAGCTATGTGAAAGTTTTAAATTGTTTGAAATCAACTAATTATATGTTTGTTCCCCTCCCCCATTTTGTAGGAAGTTAAAGTGCTCCACATTGACCGATTAAGATTCAGAATAAGATCTATTGGGTGAGTTAAGTGGAATCATGCCATTTAAAAATGTTGATGGAAATGCCAGGGAGTCAAGACATGTTGGCTCTGTGTGAAAGTTTCCATAGAGAGTGTACCAGGTGTCCTTTTGCATGTGCCAGGAGCCTTTTTAGTTCCCCACTTACTCTCACCATGGGCCCCTCCAGGATCCTTCCTGGATGGGGACAGCGAAGAGTTTGCTTTCTTTAAAGAGAATGCATATTTCCGCTTTGGCAATGTTGCTTTGCTGTAAGGGCTCAAACTAATCCCTGGTTCTGAAGAAGAAATGGAGGCCTTTGAAGATGCCAGGAGCTGTCTTGGCCTTCTTAATTCCTGATTCACACTTCAGCATGTGGGACAGTGTTCCTCCAATGGATCCCTGCACTGTCTCCTGGGTATGGACCATTTGGGAACTGGAGTAGAGAGCCTTGTATGCCATAGCTCTCTAGGTTCTTGGGTGGGAAATCATTCTGGCTGCTAGGGGTGCCAGAATGGCCTCCTCTTTCCCTCAACATTCATCATTGTTCCACGTGTCTTTCGTAAAATGACCAGAGGTGTTTCCTGCACTGTGACATAATTCAGTAACCTTGTAATAATCGTTACCCTTTTTCCCTCTTTAAGGTGGGGAGAAGAGTTCTCTTTGCCCAAGCATCCCCAGGTATGTTATGAATGTTGTCGTTTTCCTTCCTGAGTACTAGAGGCCCAGAGACAAATCAGGCTTAACTAACAAATCACCCCTTCCATTCATGTATTCTTAGACCTACCAGAGATTCTGCCTATCATTGTGCAGTTGAGCTCCTAAACTCCTGTTCTGGGCCAACTCAAATAGTCTTTTTTCTTCCCTCGCAGGGCACAGAGGTCAAAGCTATAACCTATTCAGCAATGCAGATTCATGAGGATGAAAAGCCCGAGGTCTTTGTCATTATTGATATCTAAACAAAGTGCCACAAAAAACTTCATCACCCTGGTTTATCTGTACATCTTAATCGAACTGTTTGCCCTCCTGGAAATGACTCGGCAGAGGGCTAAATGAACCAAAGTGGTGAGGAGCATCAGGTTGGATGTAGCAGCTTGAATAGAAGACTCCCGAGTAATGTCCAGCTCTGGTGTGTTACTGAGGCTGATGCATCAAGCAGGAAGCATTGAAAAGATGGTGTGCATGTGTTGATTACCAGCCCAAGCATGATCCGGTACTGCAGCCTATAATGTGGTTTTTAAATGCTGGATTCTAATTCCTTATCTACTCTGGTGGGAGACTAATATTCTTAGTGACAGGAAATGCAGGGATTTAAGACTATTCACTCTCTTCTGTCTTAATAATACTACCTCTTCTATTGCTTCTTTTGTCATTTATAGCCCATTGTAAAATACCCACCATAAAATGCTGCTTTCCTCCAGTGAGAAGTTGCCAGGAAATTAGCCTAAATCCTCTCCCCTTACAAAGCCATTTGAAACAGTAGTCTGATGCTGTCATAATGTTCCCAGTCACCTTCAACCACGGTTAGGAGATGACAGAAGCCTACCTCTCAGGCTTCCTCTTCTCCTGTTCATGTGTATGTTCCCACAACAACACTATGGTTTGCCCTAGCAGATAGGTTGTTCCAGAACAGGGTTACAAAAGAAATCCTGGTTAGCGTTTCTGATTAATGCTGCTTCAGACATTATACTACACCAGGAACCCCCAAACTTGGCCCTCCAGATGTTTTGGGACTACAATTCCCATCATCCCTGACCACTGGTCCTGTTAGCTAGGGATGATGGGAGTTGTAGTCCCAAAACCTCTGGAGGGCCGAGTTTGGGGGTGCCTGCACTACACCATGGTTAGAGCTGTAGTGGCTGGTGAGGCACGTTTGCTTGGCTGGCTTCCTAACAGCAGGTTGCTGGTGCTTATCAAAGGGTGAGGTGTGGGGAGATTGGTCTGGTGTGGCACATGGCAGTGGATCCAAGCTCCCTATGCCTCAGTCCTCCCCTCTCCACAGCGACCTGCTGTGTTGGCAGGCCAGGAGAACCAAGATACCCCACCTGCACTGCCTCACCAACTGCTGCTGGTTAAACCAAACCATGGGATGGAGAAGGGAATTCATGCATGCTGGGGGAAAGGGAGCCTTGCAGTCGATGCCACACTCCCAATGCCTTAACCACAGTTAAAGATCAGAGCTATTATGTCTCCACTGAAAGGAAAGAGGATAGGAAAGGAACAGAGCGCACACACAAATGCCCCCCCCCCCGAGGAGCAGCATTTGTTTTTGACAATCTATATGAACACACACACATAACTTGAATTGCAGACTTAACACACACACACACCTTGGGATTGAAGCAATGGGTCTCAGTCTCTTATAAGCAGCATTTGTTTCATGGGGCTTGCAGAGGAGCATAGCTTGGTGGCAGGTGTCTTACACTGGGCCACCCCTTTGCACCATGATAAAAATCCAGCATTTTTTGTCAGGAGAGGGTACAAAATATTTCTAGAAGGCAGCCTTCGTCAACGCCCATCAGTCTCAGCTAGCATGGCCTTGCAGGCTGAGGCTGATAGGCCTTGTAGTTCAAAACAGCTGGTGGGCATTAGGCTGATGATGGCTGCATGTAAGAAGAGAAGGCATCCTAAGAGGTGTAGACAGAGTGGTACTCTGTGTTAATCTGTGTGTGCTTTCAGTTTTGATGTGTTTCACTTAGCTCTACAATTGTGTGAGGTCATTGATGTATTGATTGGAGTAGGCACCCTTCTATTTATGTAAATGACAGAAAAAGGAGAATCTTGGTTTTAATTTAAAAGAACTATTTTTAAAAAACATATAAAAATCCATTTTACAAAATGTAAGTTCATACTTGTGTGCATATAGTAGTTTTATTGGTTGGCAATATTATTGCATTAGAAGTAATGAATAGAAACTTCCAACAAGAGACCTGCAGGTATAGGGTGGAATATAAATTTAATTGATAATAATAATAAAAAATAATAATGGTTACATGGCTAGCTGGGCTCCTGAAAAGGAGCCACAACATTATCTTGCAGGTCCCACATACCCCCCCCCCCACACACAAAATCACACACACACACACCCCTTTCTGATTGGGTTCAATTGACATCCATGTTTTATTGCAAGGGCTTTGTGTATAACAAATAGCCGCTGATTTGGGGCATGTCCTTTGCCATTTCAGCTGCACGCCCCCAGGGTGAGCTTGTCAAATAGGTGCTCTCCCAAGCCATCCTGGGGCACTCTCAGGCGCCTCAAGTTAGATAGATGGTCTGCCAACTGCTTGATGGCCTTCACTTGTTCCTCCAAAAACTGAGACTTTAGAAAGTGACACAGCTGCACCGAGAAGGCAAGCAAGGGAGGGAGAAGAATTGCTCAGGGCTTGCGATTCCTTTTTCTTTTGAAACAGTCACTGGTGGTGAGTCCCAACCCAGATCATCCTCATCACATCTGGGATCTGCTAGCTCAGAAAAAAAGGAGACTTTGAATGCTCAAAGGCTTTGATACTAGATAAGACGAGCGCTGTGAGCAGAGGGCTCATAGCTCAGGGGTGAAGCACCTGCTTTAAATGCTCAACGGCCCAGGGCCCAAGTTCACTCATGAAAGTGATCTTGTGTATTATCATAGTGTGGCTGGGAAAGGCTTCTGCCTGAGCTGTCATTGGCTCAAGCCAATATTTGAGAATATGAAATGGTCTTTCCAAGGGGGCTGCCTGTCTCTGAATGTTGGGCCAGCTCCTGGTCTACATGTTTTGTTTAGAGATTCTAGCGTAGCCTTCCCCCACCCGGTGCCCTCCAGTTGGTTTGGGCTGCAACTCCCATCAGCCCAGACTTGCATGGCAATTCTGGCTGGAGGCTGGTGGAAGTTGTACTCCAAAAATCCAGAGGGCACCAGGTGACTAGAATGAGCTTTTCAGTGCCTTCTCAGGGTTCTCCATTCTCCCCAAATGTCTACCCATTTATTTATTTTTATTTTGCTCACTAACCACAGGTGACATACATGAGGATCCTCCTTCTCCAGAGCCAGCCTGTGTAAGTCTAGGAGACCTTGGTTCACGTTTCCTTCCAGCCGCAGGGCACTCTGGAAGGCTTCAAGGCTGGACTGCCACTCATCCTGCTCCGGCTTCTGTTAAGGAGAGGCCGAGGAAGAATTGGGTTAGCAAGACACTCCTTGCCCTAATTTCCAATCAGAGTTCTTTGAGAGTGTCAGCAAGCATATAGACAGACATCCTACATCTTTGGTGGTGCTGTGACAAGGTGTTCTGCTTTTGGTCAGCAGTCTTTGAAGAAATCAGATTAATCTGTAATATAAATCCAACGCCTTTGTTAGCCTTGCTAGGAATAATAAATGAATCAAATCAACATTTATCTCATTGGGCGATGTTGGCACTGTTGCTGGTAGCCGCTCATTTAGAAATAGCTAGATTTTGGTGATCTGCAACAAGCCTGACAATAGACTCATGGTATGTGCTCAGGTGTGGTCTGTAACCAGGACAAGGGCAAGATAAGTTCCTCATCCTTTTACAACATATAGAATCCATCCATCTCCCATTTGAGATGTGACCATCAGTCAAGACAACCTGCCCAGCCCCACAGAAACATCTGGAAAGACCTAGTGGATTACAGTCTTTAAAATACATTATGAATGGGTTCTAAGTAGTGGTTCCAGCTTCAAGCTGCTGTTACACCTTTTTCCAAGGAACAAGAGATTTGCTGATACTGTTTTAGTTTATTGTATTTTAAAGTATGTTTATTCCATGTGAAAAGACTATTTTTTAATTTTAAAAAGCAAAATAAAATAAAAGATACAAGCATATAGATAGACATCCAGACACTGGTAAACCAAACAGAGGCGGATGCCCTGATTGTGGCACCACAGGGAATGGACTAGTTTGCCTCAATTGCTGGCTACTGTAATCAAGAAAGCAGACACCACACACCTGAATGTCATGAAGAACGATGCACCCCCCTCTCTTGTTCTGGTATTTCAATAACATCTCTGCATATCCCCTCTTCTTGAGTGATTCCTCTTTCAAGAATGTAGCTACATGCTTGAGGGCAACATCATCACGGCTGAAGTAGTAGGACTGAGGTCAGGGAGGGGGAGAAAAACAGAAAAGTCCAGTCAACAATTAAGCAGACTATGCAGCAATTTAGCTGCTGTTTCAACCATCTGTGGATCAGGTTTAGGCAAAGGTGCCTGGCGGCTTTCTTAGTTCTTTGCTGCTAAAACAGAAGGGAGCATGAAATTTGACCATTCACTGAGAACACTCCATTGGCAAGTGTTAGAATTTTCTGACAATTCCAGCCGGTCTCTTAAAATCTTAAGAATTATAAATCAATGTCAATATTGGCAAAACTGTTCAGTCTTTATTATGATGCACCTGTTGTTAACAAGGCTGTTACGCTAAAGCAGCCCAGGAAAATGCATCAGCCTTTACACTTTGACTTGACCCGTGACAGGAAATAGGGGACACTAATTGCCATACTACACGCTAGCAAGGTTATACACCTAGCAAGGCTATGCTTAAAATTCTACAAGGCAGGCTTAAGCAGTATGTGGACTGAGAACTCCCAGAAGGGCAAGCTGGATTTAGAAGAGGCAGAGGAACCAGAGACCAAATTGCAAACATGCGCTGGATTATGGAGAAAGCTGGAGAGTTCCAGAAAAACATCTACTTCTGCTTCATTGACTATGCAAAAGCCTTTGACTGTGTCAACCACAGCAAACTATGGCAAGTTCTTAAAGAAATGGGAGTGCCTGAGGCAGTGGAAGACAGGAGTGCCTGGCGTGCTCTGGTCCATGGGGTCACGAAAAGTCGGACACAACAACAACAACAACAACAATTGTCATACTGGGGACCAACAGTAGCTTTGCTTAAAATTTTGGGAGTTGCAAATATGGTTAATGGGAAAAACTGTGTTTGGATTTCAGGGTGGGCCAACACCAATGTTGAAGAGATTCCCCAACTCTTGCTGGACCCCCCCCCAACATGCCCCCTGCCACCTTGTGCTTACAGGCAATGCCAGTGAGAGGGTAGCTGCATGATGACTACAGTGGCCCTGATTTCAGATATCTTTGTTGCTCCAGGTAATCACTGCCTGTCTGCAGGCTCTCTTCTGTGCCTTCCTGTGTGACCAGGTCCAACCAGCTGTCATGCCAGTGGAGGCTGGTCCATGGGGCGAATGCAGCACTGCCACGCCAACTTCGGTCTGCTCTCAGACTACCCACACCTTCCTGCCTTCTGACATGGAACCAGTCCAGGGTGTGGCACTGCTTGCCAGCTTCCTCCTCCTCCTTAGTCTTAGTCTCACTCTTGCCCTTGTAGAACTCAACAGGGAGGAGGGTAGGGACAAAACTAGTGTTTGTTGGCTTTGCTTAAAATTCGCTCTAGCGCCACCTGCTGCTGACCTCTCTGCTTTCCACCCCACCAAGCACCAGCCACTGTTGAGTGGTGGTTTTGGCACCAGCCCCATTAAATGTTCACTTAAAACAGACTTGGGTGACACAACTCTCAGCCCCCTGCAAAGGCACACACGAGGCCATTTGACATTCATAAGGCAAAAGGGCTTCTCTCTGGTGATGCTCCCTCAAAGCGCAAGAGAGATGAAAAAGCAAGCAGGTACCATGGAAAGATAGACGTAACTGGCATGGAGCTCCAGGTTCACCATGTGGTTAACAGCAGCCTCACAGTCCACGTGGTAGTTCTGCTGCACCTGGGAATTCATATCTATTGCTCAACACTAAACTGGCAAGTAAAATACTTCCCTCTTAAAGGGCTGATCTAGCTCTGCACCCTGAAAGTTTCCACAGTAACTGACCAGCCACCATAGCTGGCCTTTCAGCTCAAAGCAAGAAGGTCAGGACACAGGAAGAAACCATTCAGCAGGGAAGACAGAGGTCCTCTGTCACTCGGATCTTTAATGACCTTTCTGCAGGCAAGAGCATGACTCTGCAGTGTGGCACAAGGGTTGCCATGACACCTGGGAAGGTAGGCTGATGCCAGGGAAACAGCAAAGAAATACACCAGGGTGCTGATCCTGCAAGCACTCGGTGTGAGTTTTCACCAGCATTCATCAAACAACCACACATGGAAGGCCTTCCTGGTCCTCCTTCTCAGGTGACCTTGCCCTGGCCGCCAGCCACACAGCAGGGAAAACCCTTCTGGAGAACCATCTTGCCCTTCAAGGGGAGGAGAGGAGAAGCAGAAGCAGCCTGGTAAGTCCCTGCCACCCAGTTCCTGGTATCCCCTCCCAGAAAGCTGAAAAGCCACCTGGCCCCCCTGAGAAGGTAGTCCATGAGTCAGGACAACCATATTGTTGGCATTCTTTCCTGGGAAACAATGGAGGAGAGTGTGCCTTTGGGGGTAAAGTCAAACCCTTGGAGAGTTGCAGTGCCTGCTGTGGCTGTAGAAATCAATACTGCAGAGATGTATTATTGCAAGTGGGGCAGTTTTTTGCCATTTTTTTGCCAGTAATGTGACTTACAGATGAGAGTTTTTGTATCGGCACCCCACATTATAGACAACATGTTGTATAGTCTGGCTTTTGAAGTGTTTGTGTTAAATTGATGCAGACATTGTTTGTATGGACTATGTTGCAGACTTGAGCTAAGTGATGGCGATGGTTGTTTTTTCCGTTGTTGTTTTTTAATTGTTTCTTTCTTTGTTTTAAAAAAGTGGCCCATGACCCCCTTTGTGATATCTGAATGACCTATTTTGCACTGTTAAGCCTCTGACATTGGAGGTACACAGTCGAGTGGAGGCTGGCCCAAGGGGGCTTATGGGACACCGCCCCACCTCTCTGCCTTCTTATTTACAACTAGTCCAGAGGGGAGCACTGCCAGCCAGCTTCCTCCCCCTCCTTAGTCTGCGTGCTGCCTTTGCAAAACTCAGCAGGGAGGAGGAGAGAGACAAAACTAGAATGAATTGGCTCTGCTTGTCATTGGCTCTGGCGCCACCTACTGTTGGGCTCCCTGCCTTCTGCCCTATCGGTCCCAATGGGCAACAGCAATCCTGGCTAGTAGATGTTGAATCAACGGGTGTTGGAGAGAGGGAGGGAGGCCAGGTGGCCGGGCAATGGTCCCGGTCCATCATCAACACTAGGTGCTGCCAGCCACACAGCTGGGTCCTCTAGAATCAGCCACGACGGGGCAAGTGGCAGGTGGAGTCGGCGGGAAAGACCCTCTTCGTGCTTCCCCTCGGGGCCTCCTCCGAGGGCGCCGGTGCTGTCGACCCAAAAACCCAATGATAGTCCCTTTTGCAAGAAAGAGAAACGGTGCGTGGGGGTTCGCAAGCTCCAGGGGCTCAGAATGAGATGGATTCCTTCCTGGGGTGGACACAGGCTGGAAGGTTGAGCCACGGGGACCCTACGCGTGACAGAAGCTCAGCTGGTTTTGGAGTGGACTGGAAGACACCCAGGAAAGCCCCCCCCCCCCACGGAAGACAGAGTGGGAGAGAAATGTCCGAAACCAGGACACTGCAGCCACCAGCCTTACAGGGGCCGATCTCTTGCAGCAGGGAGCCTTGTTCTTTCTTCGTGGGTCGTGGTGGGGGGTGTCTCCCAACGCGGATGTGGGCGTCGGAGAGAGAGGTGCAGGGGCGGCGTTTAAAGGGGCAACGCGCCCCTTTAAGACATAGTCTCCTCTCCCCGCTGCGCTTCAGCGTCGCCTATTGACCCCCGCGATCCCACCCCACCCCACCCCCCATGATGCTACGGAGAAAACGACGCCAAGGTCCAGGTTGCCTTCCCTGCCCTAGCACCGTTGCGGGGTAGGTTGGATTTAAAGCTGTGGGGAGAAAGAGGAGCTGGAGGAGAAACACCCTCCACCCCCAAATGCTCAGTCTTGGATTGAGCTACTTGCGTTTACAACTGCGGCTTGTTAGGTTTCAACTTGTTTCGTTGTTTTGTTTTGTTTTTAGTGTGCATTCGGTCATGGTTTGAGATTGCATCATTCATCTCTTATTCGGCACCTTTTTCGTTCCGCCTTTCGTGTGCTGTTGCAGAAAGGCGAGGGATATAAATTCATTAATGGAGCGTAAACAGTCCACGCCTAATTCAGCTCCTCTCCTCCCTTCCACACTTGCAACTTCAGCTGTTCGGGGCTGCCTGCAAGTGCGCCAAGGGAGCCTGCCTGGAATAGGTGCTGCAAGCCTCCCTGACCATCAAATGGGAACGCTATAGGACAGGCATAGGCAAAGTCGTCCCTCTAGATGGTTTTTTTTGGACTACAACTCCCATCATCCCTGACCACTGGTCCTGTTAGCCAGGGATGATGGGAGTTGTAGTCCCAAAACATCTGGAGGGCCGTTTGCCTATGCCTGCTATAGGAGCTTTCCTGTGATACAGCACAGGTATCAGAGCCCCCAGCAGCCGCATTTCAAGAGGAAAACAAATGTGTCCAGGAGACTCACCTGCTTCCCACCTCCTGCTTATAGCTTGATTCTGGAATACCATGTTGCTTACTCAATATGCTTTCTTTAGGGTGCTTCTAGGCAATGCTGTAAATGGGTTATTCAGATATCATAAACGTGGCACTAGCAACAGTGGTGCTTTTAAAAATAACTTACCTGATTTTTCCTAGAAAGGGTAAATCTTGACTAAACAGAAAAAAAAAATAGCTGGCATTTTGATGCCAGCATGCGGATGCTGCAAAAAAATAGAAATGCATGTGGAGCACCCATCGTGCAGCGAGCACCCATCCGGAAGCACCCTTTGACTCAAGACTCCTTTCTGTAAATGAACCAATTACAGTGATTTATTTAAAAGGGTCACACTGTGAGATGAACTGATAAAACATTGGTACCCATTTCAAATTTAGTGATAGTGCAGGTTTAAAATATCCAGTTTGAAAAATGGGTGGGCAAAGATGGGTACGCCCAAAGAACTTCAAGGAAACATTTGAATTGCCACGACGTGTTTTGGTTCTGCATTTGAAAATAGTGAATCTGCTGCTTGCAAGACATACAAAAACTTGCTTTTCAAAGATTTTGAAATCAAGAGAGTTGGTTCTGAAAGGCTGAATTACCCTAATGTTTCTCAGTAAATAATCATCTCAAGGAAGTTGTGCATTTTGGGGAAGGATTATGCATTGTTCTCCACTTAAATTTCCTTTGGAAGAATGGGGGATGGGAGTGATGTGCCAGGTTAGAGCAAGGCAACAACTCAAATAGCTGGGTGATTTAGCAACATTTGCAGTTCTTTGCATTCTGTGTACATTCACCTGGGAAAAGGCTCCATTGAACTTGCTTACTTCTGAGTAGACATGCATAGGATTGCAGTGTGTGTGACTGTGTATATTTAAATATAAATTAATTATCATTGCACCTTTTTATGCTTGCGGTTTTTAAAAAACAAAACCCTCACGCTGTCAAAAGCTTTAATAGAGTAACTTACAATGAAGCTGTTAACTTTATTTTGAAGTGCTCCCCAACATTGAAAAAGGTTTGAGAAGAGATCCATTTTATTCTATCAAAAGTTATCACTGTCGCACTTCAGTAGGTAATTGTTCATACATGGTACCATCTCAGGATGGATGCTTGCTTATGGAACAAAATATTGATACCCTTGAGTAACTAAATTCAATATAGACACAATGGCATGTCCATAAATGCATGCAAGTTTAGCCCAAGTCATAGAAAGCCTATATAATAGATTGTATGTTAACCACAGGCTGGTTGGGAGTCAATGGTCAAAACAAAGGAATGACAACGTAAAGGGGGAACCTTTATTTAACATCCAGTCCATTCATAACTACCTAATGTTTGGTTTTATATCTTTTTCCTCAGCTTCATCATCGCTATCGTCCACTTGCTGGATGACCAAATCGGTAGACCCGTCCTCTACAATTTCCACATCGGATCTGTTGTCTTCACCGTAATTCCAGTTAGAATCCTTGTCCTCTTCTAGTGGGAACTCAGGTGGTGGCTCAGTGTCCAAATCAATGCGGATGCTATCTATGCCAGCTTCGGAGAGGCACTCATTGCAAAGTCTGTAGCGCCTCGTCCCTTCTTGGACCACTTGCCCCGTCATCTCAGTCACGTGACGCTTGCATTTTCTGCAGATGGGCTTGCAAGCTTGATGGATCTGTGAAAATTGAAAGTGAGAATGCTGATCACTGCTCAAAAGGGAAATAGAAAAATGATTTGTTCCCCTTCCATACAGCAATGCTCTCAGTATCGAGAGGCTGCTACTAAAATTTAACACATGCAGCCTAGCGTGGTGAAAAGGAAGAATTCCAGGATACGAAGAATCATTTTGGTTCAAGATATGGCTTGAACCAATTAATTCATGGTCCCCAAGGCACAGAAACTGTGAGCTAAGGTAACTTCCTGCCTTAACATCCACAGTGTGTAGTGGTAAAATGATTGTATCACTTCACATACTGTGCTCTATTACAAATTACTCCCTTGTGTTCCCATAATTAATTAATTAATTATTAAATTTGTGTATCGCCCTATACCCGTAGATGAAGCTGTTCCCATAATTGTATTTCCATACTAGAAAATGTTTAACTTGCCTACCGCACAACTGTTAAAGGCAGAAGAACACTGAATTCTCCCAATGCCCAGCCTACACCAAAGCCTAGGCTGCAATACTGTACCCGCTAACCAGGGGGTTTGCTCAGTTAAACACAAAGAGACTTTCAGGAGACATGAACACTGCTGTACTGCAAGTTACATTGGATTCTTAGTGAGTTCTTAAGTCTTCAGCTCTGCTGCCTATGCCTCGTTGCAAAGGCTTCACATCTTCCATGTCATTTGGGGGTGTGTTTAACATCCACACACAGTTATTGTATAGTAGTATTTATAGAAAATAACATCTAGGGAGTATCTGATCTCAGACAAGCCCACCACAGGAAATATACACCATGGTTGCTAGAGAAAAAAAAGGAAAGAGCACTGGAATATAAGAAAAAAACCAAGAAAAGTACACTAAAGGAAAACAGCAGCTCTTTAGAGTCCTATAGTCTGGTGTCCCAACAACTAACTCATCAATTCCAGCTTTGACTTTACTCATTGAAAGGCAGGAGCAGCCAGACTGGCACATCTCACAGATATCACTTATAAGGATACCTGCACATTTTGCTTTAAAACATTCTTTCTAGAAGGGCTAGAGACTTACTTTTTTAATGAATGCTCTGGGGCTCCTGCTGACTATAGGGCCCAGTGCATTATTACCCCCTGTGCCACCTATCAGCATCCCTACATGATTATGTCTATTCACTCAAGTTGGTTTTTTTAATGATAATTTCAGTAATCCACAATAAGCATCTATTGCAACAGGAAGAAGAAAGGGGGAAGGTACTAAGTGATTAACTGAGCAATAAATTCCATAGAATATGTACTTGTTTATTTTGTATTTCTTTAAATCACTGAAAGTGAAAATATTCCAGATGGTGGTGGAGAAACGGTTGCTTAGATTAAGGTAGGCAGAAAAGAAATGGTACAATGTTTTATATAGTGCAATTTTACTCATCATATCACATTCATGCTACAAGGCATTTTACTTACACATTTTTATCATGTTAGGATTTTCTGCCTTTGGTTCTCAAGACAGGGCACTCTAGAAATTCAGTAGAAACAATATAGGGCATGATCCAGCTGAAGTTGACCACATAAGAAGAGCCTTGCTGCTGAATTAAGCCAGTGGCCCATCTAGTCCAGCATCCTGTACTCACAGGGGCCAACCAAATGCCTATGGGAAACCCATGAGAAGGACCAGAGCCCTAGAGCCCTCTGGCCTCCTATGGCTTCCAGGAACATTGCTGCCTCTGACTGTGGAGGCAGAGCATAAGCATCATGGCTAATAGCTATCTAGAGCCCTCTCCTCCATGTATTTGTCTAATCCTCTTTTAAAGCCATCCAAGTTGGTGGTCATCACTGCCTCCTGTGACAGTGAGTTCCAGAGTTTAACTATCACTTTGCCATTCTATTGGCTTCAGTGGGAGACACCCAGCATATGGTGAACTCTACCACTGAAATTAAAGGGGATTCAAAGAGATTTACTGTGGCTGAATCACACCAATATTAACATTTTTTTGTTTAGGTCCTGGCCCCATTGGGATTAAGATTCGAGGTATGCTGAGAAATAGGTCCTCCTAGGAAATTAGAAATGTAGACAAGCCCAGCGTCAGAATAAAGCAAGTTTCCTAAAAACAGACTGATGCAAGTCAATGCATCTCTATGTTAAGTAGTTACCGGGGGTGTATCATCTCAAAATACAACATGTGCCAACGTACTGTTCGGAAATGGCTGCTCAGGTGATCCAGCCTGCTGAATCTCTTTCCACATGCTTCACATGGATACGGCCGTTCTCCCGTATGGCAGCGAAGGTGGCGCTTCAGGTCTGCTTTCCGCTTTACCACGTGCGTGCAGAAGGGGCATTTGAACCTCATCCTAGGCAGATCATCTGTGAGTACCAAGCAAAGCTTTTAAAATGCTGCAAAAATTGTAACACGCCTAGCACAGTGACACTTCTAGTCAAAATAAAGTACCTGACTTCAAGACTGCAAACACTGTATTATTATTATTTTTAAAGTTCTGCAATGGGTATAAATGATACAATTTTACTTAATCTGCCTGTGTTTATTCTGCCCAATCTTGCGGCTGCTAGTTATTAGAAGCTGTAGTGAACTCTGTCACTACAGTCACTGACAGCCAGTGTGGTGTAGTGGTTAAGAGTGGTGGACTCGTAATCTGGTGAACCGGGTTCGTGTCCCAGCTCCTCCACATGCAGCTGCTGGGTGACCTCAGCCTCACTCACCTCACAGAGTGTTTGTTGTGGGAGAGGAAGGGAAAGGAGAATGTTAGCCACTTTGAGACTCCTTAGGGTAGTGATAAAGTGGGATATCAAATCCAAACTCCTCCTCTTCTTCTGTCAGGTCCTGCCCCAACACCATGCAACTACAAGAAACCATGTCCAGCAACACTCTGGATTCTGAGACCCAGACACTTTCACCTTTTTAGGATTTTCAGGATGCTGAATTTAGTACAAGAAGCTGCCTTATATAGAGTCAGGCCAGTCAATCTAGCTCAGTATTGTCTACAGGCCAGCAGCTCTCCAGGGTTTCAGGTGGAAATCTTTCCCAGCTCTAAAGGGAGAAACCAAGGATCAAACCTGGGGCCTAGTGCATGCAGGGCATGTGCTTTACACCCACTGAGCTACAGCCCTTCTGTTTTGCACCCAATACGGCATTCTGCTCTTGCACACTGCAGTCACCGGAACACACAGAGCCCTCTTGAAGGGGCTTTATGAATCTCCTTGCTAGGGGCAGTTCCCCTGCTCCATCATGGCTGGCCTTACCATACAGCAAAGGCTATACAATTTAAGGGAACAGATGGAACTGATATCTGAATGGTCAAGCAAAACTTTTAAAGCACTAGTCCAAGTGTTGGTGTTGGTGGGAGGCATTTGGTCATCTGATTCAGACAGCAATACTCCTTGGGGCTACACCAAGTCCTCTTTTCAGAATGGGAAAAGCCTTCCCCACTCTGCACTCTCTCTGCAAAAGTGGTGTAAGAGATGTATTTTTTTCCGCCTCCCATAACAGCCCCACTGGAAACTAAGCAAGACTCAGTCTTCCTTGCCACCAGTGCAGAAAGCACAAAGCAAAAGCGCTGGGTTGCAGATATGCTTTATTGAAAGCACACACACAATCCTAGGAAGCACTGCTAAGAAATTATGATCTTACTGAGGAGGGTGGCACCACAACTGGCCCTGCCAGGCAGCGGGGAGAAGAAGCATCTTGCTACAGGTGGCAATATGATGGGGGAAGAGATGGAGGGAAGAACTGGTGCCTCAGTGACGCAGCAAGACTTTTTAAAAAGTGCAGGCCCTTGGCTGCAGGGAGAGGGGGGAGGAAATCTGCTTCAGGTACCACAAGCCCAAACACAAAAATGACGGATTTCAGTGGGTGCAAGAAGCAGTTTTATTTTTCATTTCATCAAAACCGTATCCCACAAAACTTGACCTCTACCTTGAGTAAGCTGAACAGAAAAAGGAGACTGCTCAACACACAATGAGGTTATTGTTGCAATTATGATAGCTGGATCCATTTGAATCATTCTCCTTGCATGCAAAATTTAGTTCACCTCCGATAAATGACACTCATTTTTAAAAGGTAAAGTTTTAAACTTTTATGCAGCCAAGGGCCAAGAAGGCAATTGACTGTATGCTAAATGAATATCCTTACCATCCGTCCAGTTCCCCATCACACCCAGTACCGAGGGCATGCTAGGGTATGGCTCGTCCCCTTTGGAAGATTTTGACTTGCCAGCAGGGTGTGGAGAATCATGCTCTTGCTGTGACACAGCCGAGCCTCTGGGGACGGTGTCGGATCCCTGGCCGTACTGGTAGCTGGAATGGCCAGAGTCACCTTCTGAATCAATTTGGACGTCCTCTTCAGATGGAGAAGTGTGGCTTATAGGCTCTGAAACTCGCTCTTCAAGTTTACTTGCCTTATAGTGAGGAACATCAGAGGGTTGTGGCAGCCCTATATGTCTACTGGTTTTCTTCATGGGTTCTTGCCTTTGGTCATGCTTGGACAGCTGCTGGGCATTTCTCTGAGTGGCTGGGTAATAATTGAAATTGGTCCAAGAATTTCCACCCACTATACATGTCCCTTGATCTGGGCTTAAGTGCGAATGAGGGGGACTGCTCTCTGTTCTCCACCCAGTCCCATACAGGCATAAACGCTCCACGCCATTCGAGTTCACTTCCTTGTCCGAGAGACTAAAATAGCGATCTTTTTCCTTCTCGCTGATGTCCAAGGAGGATTTAATGAATGTCTTGCAAACACTAATAACGTCAGTCATTTGCAGATAGCTGGCAGCTGACATGACCTCAATCACATTCTGGCCAGTGAGGGAGAGTTTGCCTGAATACACAAAATCCAGGATCACGGAAAATGTTTCGGGAGAAAATGCCTGGAAAGTTGCGGTTGTTGGTTGACTGGTTTCCTTTGAGCACTGTGAAAGGAGCATTTTGAAGTAGCCACTACTGGCAAACAGCACATTCCGGTGGGCTTTGAAGACCTTCCCCTCAACCAAAATGCTGCAGTCACAAAATAAGTCTTGCCTGCGCTGTTCGTTTAATTGTTGCAGGAGATGAAACTGATGGGAAGAAATCTCCATTCTCAAACAGGGTTGTGTTGCTCTACAAAAAAAAAAAAAAAAGAATAAACAGGTCTCTTTGCTACATATAAACCACAGCTGAAAGATTTTCAGAAATGGCTGCTACTTTCTAAGTCATTCACAGAGACATGGTGAAGCACATGGTGAAGTGACAGAATGCAATCTTCAAGGGCCAAACTGGATGTGAGCATTGGGAAGGTGCCATTGGGAGGTCAGACTATTAGACAGCTTAACTCAAGTCTTGTCTGCAATAAGTAGTGAATGGGAGCCTTTCCCAGCCCAACCTGGAGATGCCAAGGATTGAACCAGGGACTTTCTGTATGCAAAGCACATGCTCCACCACTGACCAGTACACTTCCAAGAACTGTCCACTACTGGTTGGTCTGTTTTTAGTGTCTTTAGTGTGGCGGGGCGGGGAGAGCAACAGGCCAAATATGTCTGGGACAGCAGCAATTCCTATGGGCCATTTCCCCCGATCAAAATCTTCCTAACTACTTTTCTCCCTTTGGGGGGAAATATTTGTAGAACCTCTCTGTCTGCCCCACGGGTGGCAAAGCACCCTGGGGTAAAACTTTAATGAGAAAAATGGCCCATTTGGAAAGGGCTAATCTGCCCCAGGCTATGGTCTCAAACATAGTTACCAACATGGTCATTTCTGCAACTGAATTCAAGTAAAAATAAATACAAATCAGTGTTGTGTACTAGTTGGAGTGCAGGGGTGCAGCTTGGGAGACCCAGGTTCAAAAATCCCCAATTGGTCATGAAGCTCACTGGGAGTTGGAGCTGGTCACTTTCTCTGTCAGCTAACCTACCTCACAGGGTTGTTATGAGGATAAAATAGGGGTATGCTTGCTTGAGCTTTTTAGAACTAAGGGAGAAGATAAAACATTTAAATGTACAATAATACTGTACTGAGAGGCACTTCACATCACACCTGGTCTGAACCAGAGTCCCCCTGAAACTCTTAAGTACTTCTGAATGAGGTGTGGGGGATATGCAGCCCATCAGATGTTGCTGGACTACAGTTCCCATCATCCCCGATGACTGGGGCTGATGGGATTTGGAGTCCATCAACATCCAGAGGGGCCAGGAAAGGGGTGCTCAGTACACAGCATTTTCTCTCGCACCTGTAGCAGCTTCCTAACTTGTGTATCCAGAGCCCAATAAATAGCTGCACCATAAGGGCACGGTTGTACACCAGCATCTTTGCCTCTGTGGAGCTGAGCATGATGGAAGGAGCCAGTGTCCTTCACCTCAGTTATGATGAGCTGGACATTTTGGCCACATATAAGAGACTGAATCTCTCTGGGTGATGACCCTCAAGCAGGCACATTTCAATTGCTTGTTTGAATTTTCCAGATAAAATACGGCATCAAAATGGCAGTCTGTATTCCTCCAATCCACTTTAATCTGGATTTACCCATTCTGGGGGAAATCCAATAAATTGGGGGGGGGGAGGAAACCCTGCTGTTAACAACCAGTTTGCAAATTAAGCCCCTGTCTGGAAGCCCCCAGACTCACAACATCTGCCTACATGAAACCCCAGAGCAGTAAGGTCAGTTGGTTTAAATGCCAACAGGTTTGCATCCCCTCACACAGCTTGTGAAACCGGAATCACATGCAAGGCCAGTTTGCCTAACATTGCAAGCTGTCATTATTTAGAGGTCCAGCAAGCTCAACCCACCATTCCTAAGCAATCACTACTTTCTTCCCATCATCAGACTGTCACATGGAAGTTGTCCCTCACCCCGTTATGCCCTAATTGTATGTCCCGTTTTTGTCGTGGGGGAGGGAGGGGGCCGGCGCTTGCTTCTTAGTCCCGACAGCAGCCAGCTGGATCGCTATTCCCAAGGCAGCCGATCTGGGCTTAACCTGCAACGGGCACGCCAGTTGGGTTGGGCGGCTGCTTTCCAAGCCCGCAGCTAGCAGCGCGACGCCTTGTCACACCACTCAGCGCCCCAGCCCTTCGCACCGCGGAGCTCCGCGACTCTAGCGCAGAGGTCAGCAACTGGAGACTCCGCTCGCCAAATCCGGGCCCCCGAGACAACAGGCGTCCTTCCAGCCTGGAGGCGAAAAGTGGGGAAACGGGACTTGCTGGCATGCCGAGTGTGTGGCGTGGAGGGGCCGGCGGGGGATCGAGGAGCCACTGCTCCCGCCGCCTCCCTCTCGTCCCAGCCCCGCACCCACCGGCAGGGCTGCCCCTCCGCTCGCCAGGTGCGCCGCGCTCGCCGCCAGAAAGGGCGCCCAGGCGGCGGCGCGGACGCTGCAATCGGAGGAGCTGCCTCCGAGCAGGCGGCCGACACCGCGGCAGCGCCGGTCCTCCCCTAGCCCTGCCCGGCAGCACAAGGGGCGCCGGCGCCGCACATTGGCAGAGGGCGCCGTCAGTCTCTCGCCCGCCCACCCCGAGCTGGAGGCTCGGCCATCGGGAGCCAGGGACGCCCGACGGCGCTGGAGGCGCGCCCGCCAAGTCACCAGGGACCGATCCCTGGCGTCGCCTCCAGAGGGGGACCGGTCCGCGCGCCCTGCCGAGAGGACCACCACCACCACCACCACCCAACCCGCCCGCCTTTCCTGGGAAGGGCGCCGGGAGGCGATGCGGAATTCCCAGCCGTTGCTGCAGCCGGGCTGCCTAGCGTGGCCTTTCCCGCTGCTGCCGCCGCCGCCACTCGATGCCCGGGCGCGGAAGGTGCCCCTGCCCGGCTCGGAGCTCCGCACGCGCGGCAGGGAGGACTCCGTCGGTCCCTCGCCAGCCCTTTGTTGCGAGCCGAACGCCGCGCCCGGGGCGGCATCGGCAGCAAATGGCGCCCGCCTGACGGGGCTGGCCGGGCGCTGCCCGACTGGGGCGCCGCGCAGGATGAGGGAGAGGCGGCGCGGCCGGACATCCTCCGCTAGCCGGGGAAGCAGAGGCGCGCCCGGCTCACCCTCGAGCCGCCTCAGCCCGGAGGACGCCCTGCTCGGCCTGCTGGCGCTGCCGCGGAGGCGCCGCTGACTTACCGCTCGGCAGAGGCGCGGGCTGGGCGGCGGCGGCGGCGAGGCGGGCGTTCGAGGGGCGGCGGGGCTCTGCAAGCGGCGCTGGCTCGGGGTTCGACGGGTGAGGGCGCGAAACCTCGCCGGGCGCCGCCGCCCCAAAGCGCTGAGCAGCCCGGCCGGGAGAGAAACAAAAGGTAGTTGCTGACGTGGGCGTTGGAGAGAGACGCCCGAGGGCTGGGGACACAATTAAAGGGGCAACGCAGCGAGCGCGGCAGGGGCCAGGCGCGCACGCCGCTCTGCGCCTGCCGACGGCGCGGGCGCCTCCCCCTCCCCTCCGCCGCCGCCTCCTCCTCCGCCGCCTCGCCTTGCCAGCCCCAGCTGGGCGCCCGGCTGCCCCCCGCTTCTCCAGCGGGCGCAAGCGCGCTCGCCTCCCCGGGGTCTCCAGGGCGGCTGCAGTAGGGCGAGCCTCTCGAAGCCCAAAGGAGCCGCGCGAAATGGGCACTTACTGGAGGAGCCCCTCTAGACGGGCCTCCCTCGCCGGGCTCTGTTCTGCTCAAAAGGTCAACGACCGCTGCTCTTGCAGCTCCGAACCGCCTTGGTTTTAATGGTGCGGCTCCTTTCTCGCCCTCAGAGCTGGAACGTGAGGGCTTAGCTGGAGAATAGGCAAGCCCCGAGGCGGAGCTGGGCCAAGACACGGTGTGCTGCGTGGATCTGGCTGGAAACCCAGCGAGCCATCCGGGGCTGCTGAACACGAAACACTTGGTCTCTGTGTACTGGAACTCTTGAATGGTTAAACGCCTTTGGTTAACGAATAAACTCTACCGACCTCCTGCCCTTTCACGGTGCTCTTAAATCTGTCCCCTCACTTAGCTGGAAGGGTAGAGGCAGTTCCTTCTGGATCAAGGGAAATGGTTTGGGGACCTAAAACAGACAAACCTCCCAGCAGGAAAAGAAATTGGGCATGCAAATGACTTTGAAAATTGTAACACTTCTTTTTTAAAAAGGGAACACTTTTAGGATTATTCATATCCACCACCTTTTGATCCATTTTGAGCTTAAGATGGGCTTTGAAACAGCTACCAAGAGCTGACAGCATGTTTCTATGAAGGGATTTCCCCTAGAATAAAATAAATCCAGAAAAAGGGCTTGCACTGGTGACTGCGTGGTACCCCCCCCCCCTTTGGGGTGAGTGTCCCACTGGTTTCTATTTATGGGTCAGGACAGCAGCTCATTAGCAGTGCATCTGCTTTGCATGCAGGTCTTCGATTCAACCTCCTGAAACGTCACTACCAGACAATACTGAGCTAGATGGGTCAACGGTTTGACATGGTATAAGGCAGCTTCTCATGACAATCTCTCTAATCCAAGTTCTAGTTGTGCATAAAAGAAGCTGGTTTCCTGTTACTCCCCATTATAAAAGACCACACATCCCTCCGAACTCACTAAAGACCTATTCAACCAATTCACTGAGACTGGATGAGCACCACAGTGCATATGACAGTTCATATCCAGAAGTGCATCCTTATTGGCTGTGTGCATAAGAAAGGCTGCTTCAACCGGCAGATCCCCTTTATGTATGCGGTTGGGGTTTTTGCATTTACATCCTGCCAAGGGTAGGGCTGCCATACGACCAGAACTTCCTGGACATAGCTGGTATTTGGCCCTTGTAAACAGCGTCCAGGCGGAAATTGCTTTTTTAAAAAATGTCCGGGAAAATCTGGATACATGGAAGATCTGAATTGTAGATTTTGGTGGCAGGGAGAGGGGGGAGTTCAACAACTTTTGTGTCCAGATTTTCACTTTTTGAAATATGGTTACCCTAGATGGTATAATTTATACACTTATATCCAAGCAACTCAAGGTAGCATATGAGACTTGCCCATTTTAGCCTACCTTGCTGAGGCTAAGAGTTAGTGGTTGGGCTGACTGGCGATTTGAACCCTGGTCTCCCCGTTCCCAGGAATGCTGTTCCCAGGGAGGTTTGTCTGGCACCTTCATTATACATCTTTAGGTGCCATATGAATAATTTTCTCTTTGGCCTTTGGCTGATTAATATTCTACAGCCTTTAAAATGTGTTGTGGAAGGTACTTTTATCCTGTACTTTTATCTTGAGAACTGCCCTGAGATCTTCGGGTGAAGGGAGGTATATAAATTTAATGATAATAATAATAATAATAATAATAATAATAATAATAATAAATAATTCCTAGTCTGATACTCCAGCCGCAGGAGCACCAGGCAAATGCTCAGTTCCAAGTCTACATCTGAAGTTGGTGGGTTGGAAAACCACCCTACTATTTGTGCACCCCAAAGTACCTTCTTACACAGCTGAGTACCTTACATACAAATAGAAGGCGGCACCGTTATTTCAATGTTATTTTGATATTTATTTATTTTTTCACATTTTCAGCTATAAAAGTACTGGACTACAGTTATATAAACATGTATAGTACATAAACAGTTTAAACATACAAGACTTGATAATGCACCACTGCAGAAACAAAATTACAAAAGCACTTCATATTTGTTTCTCCCGCCTCCCCGGGAAGAAAAAGACAAAATAAAAATAGCTGCTATAGTGGTGGTCTCTGCAGTTTTTCAACTTTGGTTTATTTCTGATCTACCCTGACACAAGTCAAACATCAGAAAGGAGACACCAGAAATTAGGCAGGCAGTGATGGCACTTCAGTACTACTTTCCCTTTAGGGACCCACAGATAAACACACAGTTCTGATTAGTCTCTTGAGCCCTGGTATGTTAAGAAAGCAATCAGATCAGGTCGTTTCCCTGCATACCACCAAGACCACTTTAATTCTTACACCTTTGGCCCCCTTACTATTTATTATTTATATAACCACTTATATGCCAAAATGGCTTCCAAGTCGTTTATAATTTACAGGTCAAATGGGCCATATTCCAGTCCAAAGCTCCACAGGCACATAGAACTCAAGTTTGGGGAATATGAGTCACTCCATTCCCTGTAATATCAGTTGCAGCTCCGTGCATGCAGTGGAAATGTGTACACAGAGCTGTGCTGACTGCGTTAAACAGAAGACCCCCCCCCCCCAGCTCTTGGTGCATACACACATCAGAACTACATGTGCAAAAAACACCTGCTGCCAATGAAGAGCATATGACTTAAGTTATGTGCAAGCTCTTACCTGACCAACTAAGAATGTGGCATCTTTCTTTGAGATATTCAAGGAAACTTTTTTAAAGAGCTTTGTACTCGAGCTGTAATCATGGCATTAGTCACTCCCTTATCTCTCCCTACCCTTGCTCTGTTCTATGTAGGATTTTGAAAGCTTGTTGGGAGCACAGAGCAGCTTTTACAAATATTTTCCTTACGAAGCTATATAAAGTAACCTGTAAACTGATGGTGTACTTCTTCCCACAGGACACAGTTAAAACTATAGTAATAGCCACAGGCATGGATGGTTTTAAAAGAGGATTAGACAAACTCATGCAGCCATGAATGGCTGTGTACCACCTTCCAGGACAGCTTGCCTCTGAATACCAATTGCTGGAAAGCACAAGTGGGGAGAGTTGCTCTTGCACTTGGCTCCTCTCTGTGGGATTTCCACAGGCATCTGGTTGACCGCTGAGAGAACAGGATGTTGGATGATGGATGGACTTTTGGCCTGATCCAGCAGGGCTCTTCTATGTTGCTGTGTCAGAACATCCACTTACAACAAATCCAAACTGATATGACTGCACTTTCAGAAATTCACACACAATCCATTGTTGCATTGGTCCAATTGATTTCAATAGGATGCCTGCAGAACAGAATCAAGTTAACACAGATGACAGGAAGAGTCATATCATATGCAGCATGTGAGAACATTGAGCTGTCTGCTTGAAATTCAGCCAATATCTTTTCTGTTTACTTACAGTAATTTGTTTTTTGCTTCCATTTAGCTTGCAGTCCTTGATTAAAACTTCATAAATTAAAGGAAGATTTCCCTAAAGAGTCATAATTTCTAATATATGTTTATATTCTTAGATTGGTTCTAATCACAACTTTCATTTGTAAAAACAAACAAACAACTGTTTAAAAAGGGCTATGGCTATAAAGTTACCATTCACTGTTAACAAAATCAAGCATATGAATTTCTGAAAGGCAGACACCATAAATGCTTAAAAAGCAACTTCCACTGAAATCAATGGGATTTAATTCCAAGTATGAACATTTAGGACAGGAGTAAGATTGCAAGATGAAGAAGTTTACCTAGCAGTACAATGTGCCATTAATATACCAACTGCATATTTATTTAGGAGGAGGGGGAAACTAGGGAAATTACACTTGGGGGGGGGAGGAAACTCCCTCTGCAAAATTAGTTATGGCAAGCTCAGGTGGCTTTCAATTTCTTCTTTAAGCACCATGAAATGGTCTCTTAGAACTGCAGTATCTCTTTTGCTTGCACACTTTTAATGGAGGGTTCCAAGGACACGTCATGGAACTGAGCTAGAATCACAGCATGTACTACACTTACAAAACACCTGCCACAGATGAGCAAGTCAAGTGCATCATTTTCAATTAAACACAAGATGACACACGGGATCCACTTGAAAACAATTAGAAATCTTATTTTGGCAGTCTCCTAACAGGAATGAGATTGGAATCTGTTCCACTCCAACTCCCATAACACAAAAATGTCAACAGATTCATTCTTTACTCACAAGGTACACAAGAAAACTTCTAACGATCAAAAGAAGCAGCCTAAAAGGAATCTGCATCTCTCAAATCTAGAAGAGTGGTCCATTTCCTCCTAGTTCTGCTTATGCACCTCCAGGACGCACTGTGTGAAAAGCCACTCATCATATCAGTTTTAGCATACAAGCCATTACAAATCTTGGGCATCACAAGTCTTCAGTGGTTTCTAAAGAACTCAAAACAAAGTGATAAGCCGTCCGAATGAGGACAGTAAGGAGCAAGTATCCCAAATGCTCTGAGCTAATGGGTTAAGAATAGCCTTCACCAACTTGGGGCTCTCCAAGTGTTGCAATACAGCTAGCCTCAGCCAACACACTGTGCTGTACGTGCTGAGTTGTAGTTCAACTTCTGGAGGGCACCAGGTTGGCAAAGCCTGAGTTAGGAGCACAAATTGTGTCCCTAACCTGCATTCAATGAAAAACTCCATTCGTTAGAGGTTCAAGAGCACCTTCAACTGCTTTGTAAACTCCAGGCTCCCTTGTGCTCAGCTTTGGGGAAAGCCATTGCTAATTTTCAGGGCTGAACCTTTCAAAATGTTTCTCAAGACCAATTTTCTGAAAGATCAGATTACATCCCCCCCCCCACTGTGTTTTCCAATAACTATGCAAGTCTCACCTATTCAGAAAGACACCTTACAAAAGTGGTCTCAGGACTTTGCACTTCAGAGTCTTGGTTCTTTTAAGGAAAATGGGAGCCTATTGTAAATATCTTTTTTTCTTTTTTCTTTTGCTATACAGTTACAACTTTTTTTTAAAAAAAGAAAGATTATTGCTTCTTTCCTTGCCTTGTTTCATCCTGCACAATCTCATGATGATATAAAAATGCTACATTTATGACATCATAACCCCTTCTACAGTAGTGTTTTATGAACGCACAAGAAAATTTACACCTTCATTTCAAGAAGAAGCAGGTGGAAGAAACCTGCATGTTAAAAGTTAATATAATCCATCAAGCATCACAAATTATACAGAATTCTGTTTGCAAGACAGTCCATATCAGAGCTGCCCAACATAGAACAGGAACACCAGCCTCATTAAGGCAGACCTGTAAGACAGGTGGCCAACCTGAGTGTGCCATTGTCATTCAGGTAAGCAGGTTTAGGTATAATCCCAAATCTTTCAAATGACCAAGATGGCTAGGAACTGCCATGTACAGTTATGCACCTTGATTTTAACTGAATTGTTTTGGTATCTTCATTATCTTATGTCTACAGACATTTCACAGTTTTCCAGCCAGTTTAATAGCCTAGAGAAATTCAGCACTAGAAAAGTAAAACAAGTAACCTCACATCCTTCAAGAAGCCAAATTCCTGCCATTCAACAGGAAAAGGGTGGAGCCCAAGATGAAATTTTTAACAAGGAATAGTACTCAAGACCAATTCATGAGACAGTACAAATGTAGAAACCACAATGATCAACAAATACGACCAACTGACTGTACAAGTAGCAGGAACATATACAGGGGGTGGGTGGGGGGTTTGTAGGACAGCCAGAGCACAGGGGCTACGTCAGAGAAGTCGTATAAGCAGAAGAGCGGCCAGCTACCTTGCTTATTCACATTTTTTACAATAATTGAATGAGTATAGTTATTTGAGAAGGGGGCAATTCACGCCATCTACAATGACCAGAACTCTGATGTTCTTGTAGCCTCGAGTAGTTTGTTGCTTAAATGAGGGGGAGGAAACTGAGGTTCTTGCAATTCCAACAAGCATTTGTATGGCCAGCTCTCAGGCATTTCATGAGATCCTCTTCAGGATTTTATATTTATCCCTCTCACATTTCCCCTCATTGTGAGGGACTTCCTGCTGCTGCCATGTCTGCTCTCCTGGTGCTTAAGAGATATAAGCAGGTACGATTTTGCAAATCCATTAAAGGCACGCAGGCATGCTGGTTTTGTTTTGTTTTTTTTCTTAAGGAAAAAAATGGGCCTGCACAATGAGAAGAACATCTTCAGTAATTACTTAAATAAATATTTAACAGATTGTGTGCTGGACCTGTCTCCAGACAGATCAGAAACAAAAATACTCTAATTCATAGGAAGGTATGTCCACCCAGCCCATTATTTTCTATGCTGATTTGTGACAGCAGCAGCAGTTCCTCTCAGTGGGGCCTCAGGCAGTGACTTCTTTTCCTACTGCCTGCTGCTACCTGATCCTTCTAGCTGGTGATGTTGCCAGGATCCTACCTGGGGCTTTCTGTACCACTGAGTTATGGTCCCACTTCAAAACTCGTCAAAAGTATGGGGCTAGTAGTAGATATATGGCCTAACCCTGAAAGGCCTTTTACGGTTCAAGCACTACAAAAAACGGTCAGTGCCTGGTTGAATGGCTCAGACCCTCAAGTAAGTTGCCACAGAAATCTGCATACTGTTTATCTGCTGCCTGACTAGATACCTTCCTCACAAGTTTCTTGAGGATGAACAGAAGTGTCAGTATTTAGTTTTTATAAACATACAGTAAAAAATAAAATACTGTATAAAAAGAGCCATTTCTAGATTTATGTATACACAACTGTTCATTCTTGGATATGCTTTAATGGTGGTGGACTTTTAGCCTTGTTTGCATTGATTAAGTCCTCATCTACATTTCTAAGGTAGAATTAAAAGTCCAGGAAAGAGAGCAGCAGCTCAGAATTAAGTTTGAAACCCTGATCCTGAGAGGAGAGGGAGAGGCAGAAACGGGGGGGGGGGGGGAGAGGCAAGATCACAGGAACATGGAAGATTACTGGCCATAAAAGGACAAAGCCTGGCCTCATATCCAAAGGGTGGAAGAAGGTCTGCAAGGGACATAGCCTCTGCTCAGCCTGGACACACAATTCATTTCAAAGGTGTAGCGCACAGCACTAACAAGTTAAAAAGACATTTCAGAATTTTAAAAGTCCAGTTGTTCCTACCTGTTCTAGGAAATGGAATTTATTCATATAAAAAAACCCCACAAACTTCACAACTTGGGATAAATATGCAGTTTTCCGGCTGTCAAGATGACAAATCAAATAAGAAAAAGAATTTACATCTCCCCACCCTCTTTTTGCTGCTACATAAGTGCTTCTCGATGGAGATCCTGCTTGTCGTCAGGATCAGGGTCAGCATCATCATCTTCAGGGGGGTCGTTTTCATCACCAGATTCCACATAGATGGGCCAATCGTTGTCTGGGTCGCTCTTTTCTTGGCCTTCAGATGAAGGTTCCATCAGACTGAGGTTAATGGGCATCGAATCCTCGTGCGTAGTCGTGACACAAGTGCAGCTGTCGCACAATCCAAAGCGGCGCAAGCCTTGGGACAGGCTGCTTGTAAACGTTCTCCTGCAGCCCTTGCAGATGATTGGCTTGTTTGACCGATGGACCTGGAGCATCGTGACACAAAGCAGGAAGGGTCAGTGGCTGGCACAAGCATGACAGGTTGAACTAGATCTGGCCTTCTGGCCAGGCTCTGCACTCCCCACAGATCAATTTTGACAGGTCAGCAGCCCCAACCACCTATCAAGGTTCAGAAGGGATCTATTTAACTGCTGATCATGGCAAAAGTCCATTTCCAGGGCTGGTTTGAATCCAAACCCCACCTGAAAATGGACAAAGTGGACGTCAAAATGGTCGCCACATACAATGCCAGGTGTGGAGCAGGTGGCTATCAGTTTGGGGAACATCATCTCCTGGACAAAAGTCAGCACCATGCCAGGCCCAATTATACTGGGGGGTGGGGGCAGAGGTTCCTACAAGTGGTTTGAAGTCTGCTTTTTTTAATTTATTTTTTATTAAAGATTTCTTGGTTTACAAAAGTATGTGCAATGTCTCTATTTTCAAGTTACATTTTCTACAGATCAGTTTCATTTGTTGAGACATTAGTGTTACGTTAGGATGAAAAGGGGGAAAGAGGTGGAGGGGGCCATGGTGAGTGGGGGTGGAGTTGGGTGACGATGTTTCTATTTTACTTAATGGATGTGTGAGGTTTTGTGTCAGCGTTGCTTGTGCGGGTTCTCTTTACTATTCACTTGTGTTCCTTTGGTAGTGAGAGAGGTTGGGGTTGGCCTAGGGTGTGGTTGTTTGTTTGTGATTGGCTGTGGTGAACTTTGTTTTCATGTGTGAGTTGGATGGGTGGGTGTTTTTGAATCAAGTTAGCCAAATTGATTCGTATGCTGTTGGTGGATTCTTGTCATTGTCTTGTTGGACTGTGTATGTGATAAAGAAGGCTTTTTCTATTTGTCCCCGTGTCAGTTTCAGTTTATTGGTTAGTTTTTCTAATAAGGCTGTTTCCCATACTATTTGGTACCATTGGTCCATGCTTACTCCTGACAGGTCTCTCCAGTGTCTGGCTATGATGTTTCTGGCTGCTCAGATTAGGTGCGTTATGAGCTCTTTATGATGTAGTGGGCATTATTATCTTGGAAGATGTTTAGTAGGGTGAGTTCTGGGGTGACTTCTAATACAGTGGTGCCTCGCAAGACGAAATTAATCCGTTCCGCAAGAGTCTTCGTCTAGCGGTTTTTTCGTCTTGCGAAGCAAGCCCATTGACGGATTAGCGCTATTAGCGCTATCAGCTGTTTAGCGGCTATTAAAGGCTTAAAGGCTTAGGGGATTAGCTGCTAAAAGGCTATTAAAGGCTATTAAAGGCTTAGCAGATTAGATAAAGGGGGGGAAAAGGGAAAAAAAAATCTCAAGACTCGCAAGACATTTTCGTCTTGCGAAGCAAGCCCATAGGGGAATTCGTCCTGCAAAGCAACTTCAAAACGGAAAACCCTTTCGTCTAGCGGTTTTTCCGTCTTGCGAGGCATTCGTCTTGCGGGGCACCACTGTACTTGCTTAGTTATTTTGCATATTTCTTGTATGGTTGTTGTCCAGAATAGTTGGATTTTGGAACATTCCCACCACATGTGGAGGTATGTCCCTGTGAGGTGCATCCTCTCCAGCATTTTGGTGAGGTTCCTGGGCGTATTAGCACTAGTTGAAGTCTGCTTTTTAAAATCAACAGGTGTTAAGGATTCTGCTGTCAGAGTCCTGGGAGTGACAGCAGCACCAGCCACCCCACAATTTAGCTTCCTCTTTAACTCGTCTCTTGTTGCACATCTCTGACTTACACTCAGAGCATGACTCCGGAGGTGCTCCTGCCGTGTGAAGCGCTTGCCGCATATCTCGCATGGGTAGGGCCTCTCGCCCGTGTGCGAACGGATGTGCCGCTTCAGGATCCCTTTCTGTTTGGCCGTGTATGGGCAGAATGGGCACTTGTGCAGCTTGATCGGCACAACCAGCACATCACCTTTGGAAACAGAAGCATTTCAGAGGTGTCAACTCGCTGTTCTTGAAGTGGGGTCAGAATTTAAAATGCTGGTAACTGAAGAAAAACACATTTTTTTGGTTTAGAATATATAAAGGAGAAAGAGGTTGTTTTGCTGTGCATCATTAGCCATGTCACACACATGCCACACAACACTACTGCTGCAGCTAACACAGCATCAGGGTGTGGTGGGAATTCCCTTAGTGCAGCCTTCCTCCAACCTGGTGGCCTTCAGATGTTTTGGACTACAACTTCCATCAACCCCAGCCAGGGAGTTGTAGTCCAAAACAGCTGGAGGGCACTGGGTCAAGAAGAAACTAAGGAAATGGAATCTCCCTGCAAAAGGAGGGATTTTCCCTGCTTTCTTTGGGGGAAATGTATCCAAATTCCACACAGAAACATAGCAACTCTTGTCTTGGGAAAATGCATTTTCATGATTTTTTACTAGCCTGCCCAGCCTCAACATATTACTGCAAACCATTTTTCTGCACATCAACAGCAGAAAATAAATGCTACAAAATTTGCTTTTTATTCATAAGGATGTTTGTGCCTGCTCACCCACGGCTTGATATTTCAAGCTTGTTATAAACACTGTTTATTTCTACCAAAAGTCTGCAGTCCAGCAATTTCCTGCTGCAATTAATTCTATGGGACTTACGTTGGAGTAAACTCGAATAGGATTACTCTATTAACCTTCCAGGAGAGAAATCTTCAAACTGAAAGAAAAAAGGTATTTTACGACCTGAAACTAGGATATTGGGGAGGGGGGCAGCAGGCTATATATGCCCTCCAACCATGAAGTGATGCCACCTAATTTGGCTTTGAATTACTGTTTAGTGTACCATCTAAAATTATTCTCCATCTTTGCTAACAAAAAGACCACAATGGAATTCTTAACCTGCTTACAAAAGACCCCTGCATTCCATTTGGTGCTGGAGACAGACCCAGGGAACTGTTTGAGGCTTTTAAAATATATATAAAGGGACAAATAGTAATTGCTTCTTTTTTCTTTACAGCCCTGTTCAGTACCACCTGAAATCTGTTTTGCACCAAGCAAAGTCTCAGCTAATTCAGTCTGGTTAACAGACTTCTGCTCTCGAGTTTAAGACTGTTACGTGCTGTAGATTTGTAGGCTTGTATATTGTACCCTCCTCCTTTTCTCTCCTGCAGCCCCTTGCCCACCCCACCCCTTTTTGCCCAATATCCAGCCCTTTCTGAAAAACTTGCTCGTGATTTTGTGACATTCTGGTTGGCCCTAATAAAAGTGAACTCTTGGTAATGTGCACTGCCAAGGCAATGTTACAAGTCATCAAAACAGGGTGTATGTTTATTCTTTGCTGTCTCTCCCCTACTCCCCCTTGCAGGTATCTACAGTTTCATCCAGAAAGCTATCCACTGCAACAGAGGAATCTCATCCAGCCTCATGTGATCTGATCTCACCTGCATCCTCTCCATACCAGTCATTGTGAATGTCCACCACAGAACTCATGGGCACTCCTGCATCCTCTGGCCTACCCTCAAACCCGCGGACAAAATGATGGACCACATCGTCCTTCCTCTGGGCTGCACTGTTGCGCAGCAGAGCTTCTAAAAACTGCTTCATGTGATAGTTGTTGCATGCCAGGTCCATGGCCTGGCCACTATGGAGCCCCTCCTCTATCTGCTCAATCGTCAGCGGTGTTGGATACTGCTGTAGTCGCTCGCCAACTTCTACTTCCACTTCGTCTGCATCAAACTCTACTTTGGGTTCTACCACTTTGGGCAGTGAAGAATTTGTATCATCTGGAGAGTCACTGCTTACAGGGTCCCGCACTACAAGCTGAATGGGGTGGCAGCTGCAACATTCCCCGCAGGGAGGGTCTCGCTGGCAATCTGGAACCCTCTCTTTCTCCTGCAGAGATGAAACTGATGCTGAGCACTGGCTCTTTGCCCCATACGACGTGCCCTCTCGGGCAGAACTAGAGCTCCCACTGTCAGCCTGATAAAAGGCAGCTTCTCTCTCTATTTTCCTGCAGATGTCCAGTGACGACCTGATGTATGTCTTGCAGAAGTTGACAACATCAGTCATCTGCAGGTAACTGGCTGCAGACATAACTTCAATCACGTTTTCCCCACAAAGATCCAACTTCCCTGAATAAAGGAAGTCCAGGATAATTGAGAAGGCCTCTGATGTAACAATGTCCAAGGAAGCAGTGCTGTGTCGGCCACTGTCTTGGATGTAGTGGATCAGCAAAGCTCTGAAGTAACCACTGTTGGCAAACAGAATGTTTTTGTGGGCTTTGAAAATCCTCCCCTCCACAATGATGCTACAGTCACAAAAGAAGTCCCTCTTCCGCTGCTCATTGAGCTCTCCCAAGAGTTTGGTGTAGTAAGATTGCATCTCCATTGCTCCTACAGCAAAGAACTACCTCTTGACTCTGAAAGAAAATGCAGGAACAGAACATCAGCACAGAAATGCCTTTCCTTTCATGCACAGAGATCGAGTCCCTCCCCATGGTAGTGTATCTCCCCACCCCTCCAAGGCACACAGAACTGAATCTGGAAAACTTGAGGACCAGAGAAAAATTCCAGCCAGAACAGCTGATGCATACGCTGGCAATAAACCTTTAAAAACCCAGTAATCTGAATACTCCATCTACATTGGCCTATATTGAACACATCACCTCAACCAGAAGCTGAGCACACTAGGACGCTTTCAGACTACTGCTATTTTCAGATGAGATTCAATCAAATATTGGCAAATTCAGGAAGTGCATTTGAAGTTGCTCTGGAGCTCTTGAACAACAAACCCACTTTGAACTTTTTGTGTGAAGTGATGAGGAAATCGTGTGAAACAACATTTGCTTGATGCAACATCATCTAATCTCCCCACAGACAAATTAGCATGAGATTGTCTGAAAATGGCTTGACTTAGGAGAATTGTATCCACTCAGGGGTTTGTCAGCATTCATTACCAATTCACACATTATGCTAAAAGTTGCTTTCAATGATCTATTGATGTATGGAACTGCCCAATTACAAGTTGGACAACTGGTTAATCTCTAGCTCACTACTGTCTGGTCCAAAAGACGCTCTCCACAGTTGCATGCAGAAAAATGCATTTCCCAGTCTGGCTATCAACTCCTTCACCATTTAACATATTTTAGGAGCCCTTAAAAAGGTAAAGGTAAAGGGACCCCTGACCATTAGGTCCAGTCGTGGCCGACTCTGGGGTTGCGGCGCTCATCTCGCTTTATTGGCCGAGGGAGCCAGCGTACAGCTTCCGGGTCATGTGGCCAGCATGACTAAGCTGCTTCTGGCAAACCAGAGCAGCGCACAGAAACGCCGTTTACCTTCCCGCCGGAGCGGTACCTATTTATCTACTTGCACTTTGATGTGCTTTCGAACTGCTAGGTTGGCAGGAGCAAGGACCGAGCAAGGAGAGCTCACCCTGTCATGGGGATTCGAACCGCTGACCTTCTGATCAGCAAGTCCTAGGCTCTGTGGTTTAACCCACAGCGCCTGCCACAAAAGGCAGATAGGCCTGAATCTGAACATCAAATTCATCAGGGGTGTTAAGCAGCCAGCTGGTGTACCAGGATTATAGGACTTATTTGTCCATATATGGGTTCTTAAAATGCACAAGTGGAATGGAGAAGCAAAGAGAAAAACCTGTGCTTTTTAATGGGATATCTAATCACTGTGCCTGAAGAAGCGGAGAAAGTGGGAACAGGAATGCAGCTTCTCTCGCTACATTCCTCTTGCGAGAGTCCAAAACTATGCAAGGTCACCCTTCTACAGAGAGGGCATTAGGACCCAAGCAGACTCTTCTTCCTCCTCAACCATGTGGCTTGTGTAGCATAACCCTCCAGGGGAAGCCAGTCAGTCCTAGGAACAAAGAATTTTCAGCACAGCCAGCAAGGAAAACACACACCAAAAACTGGAGCATCCGGGAGATCACTCAGCCTTTTCGCCCCTGAAATACTTGCATGCTTTTGTCAGTTCTGAGCTACCACATCTCCTTCAGTGCCCCTCGCCTCCGCTTCTCCAGTCTAACTCTCCTTAATAATCTTCTCCAGAAATCTCACTTTCCACACTTTTTTTGCCATAACTATTCCAAACCTATTTCCCTTCACAAATTGGCTGCAGACAGAAGAAAACAGTCCTCACTACAGAGGTTAAGAATAAATGGCAGGGGGAAAATCACATTTATTGTGTGACTGACACAATGGTAACCTTCTTTCTTTGCTATTGCTAGAATAAAAATGAGTGAAACACAGTTGGGATGAGGCACCCATTTTGCAGGCAAGAGAATCAAGGCATGCTATAAATTCCTTTTGAGATTATAGATGAGTTTCATCCCTGAAACCACCACATTAGTGTTGCTGCAGTCAGTACAGTGGTACCTTGGTTGTCGAACGGCTTGGCTACCAAACAAATCGGCTCCCAAACACCACAAACCCGGAAGTAAGTGTTCTGGTTTGCAAACATTTTTTGGATGCCAAACATCCAATGCGGCTTCCGATTGAGTGCAGGAAGCTCCTGCAGCCAATCAGAAGCCGCACCTTGGTTTTCAAACAGTTCCAGGAGTCCAATGGACTCCCAGAATGGATTAAGTTTGACAACCAAGGTACCACTGTACAGGGGTGTATGGGATATTAGGGGTGGGGCAATACCTCAGCTTGGGGACACATCATGCTTTTCTAGGCTGGTTTGTCCACCTTTAGTCCCTACCCTGAACTCAGCTCTCAGCTATGGCTCCTAGAAACTGTCCGCATGTGACAACAGCCACTACCTGGGAACAGCTTCCACTGGCCAGCTAAACCAGGTGATGGTAGCTGATGGGCCTCAAACCCTCCCTGAGTTAGGGACTTCCCTGCATGTGAAGACAGGCTCTGGAGGATTGAGCGAACAAGTCCAGTACTGGGTCCAACAGTCAAGAAGGTGGTTTCTGAATAAGCTGTAGAGTGAAGCCAGGGACAGATGGGAGAAGGAAATTCTGATCCTAAACCTCCACTGCCTTGCAGGATATTTTTGGGAGAAGGACTAAACCCTACACAAATCCAGAGATCAGTCCCTAAGTTGGATGGCACCTTATATGCCTCCTTCTGGCAAGTCCTGCAACCAAGCTGGTGCCAATTGTTTTCCTCTGGACATCAGTTAGGCTCAGAGGTAGAGGGGTTATTCTTGTCTGGGCTGCCCAGGTCCTCAATACACATTGCCCAGGCTTGCGCCCCAGGGAGGTCACTTAAGTGCTGCTAACACAGCGGTTTGACTTCACTCCTGGAGCACTCCTTTGTCCCCTGAGACAAATGGATGCCAACAAAGTCGGTACATAGAATAAGATCTCATTTTCTTCTAAATTTGAGAGCATGCAAGTATAAGGGGGGACTGCAACATTTGTTGGCAAGAAGGTAGCCTTGACAATCCAGGGGACCAAACTTATCACACTATCCCAGGCATAGGCTAACTCGGCCCTCCAGATGTGTTGAGCCTACAATTCCCATCATCCCTGACCACTGGTCCTGTTAGCTAGGGATGGTGGGAGCTGTAGTCCCAAAACATCTGGAGGGCCAAGTTTGCCTATGCCTACACTATCCTCTGTCCCACCCGCACTGTGTGCAAACAGTGAGGGGATGGAATGGGACCCTTTTACAAAAATGCCAATACAGCCACAGACCAAACCAAAATGATTAATACAGAACACACTTTTGGAAATGCAAGGACTTAAGAGAAGTAAAATAAAGAGCCCCAAAGCATGTACAGTGGTACCTCGGGTTACATACGCTTCAGGTTACAGACTCCGCTAACCCAGAAATAGTACCTCAGGTTAAGAACTTTGCTTCAGGATGAGAACAGAAATCGTGCTCTGGCGGCGCGGCGGCAGCAGGAGGCCCCATTAACTAAAGTGGTGCTTCAGGTTAAGAATAGTTTCAGGTTAAGAACGGACCTCCAGAACGAATTAAGTACTTAACCCGAGGTACCACTGTACAGAGTGCATTCCCCTTACCATCAAGGTACCCCCAAGCTGCCCACACATATTTGTTCCTAGAAATTTAGCACTGGAGAATTCCCTTCATAGGCAACACAAGATCACAGCTCTGTAAAGCTCAGGGACACCAAGTCCAGCACTTTGAAGCTGGATCTTTCAACCTGCAAAATAAGTGCCATCCAGCTCCCACTTCAAATGTCTCAAATTGGCCCAGTGCCACTAAGCAATAGGGACAGTGCCTCTGAGCTCGTACAGATTGCCCTTCCCTACTGAGCACCCAGAATCTGCCTACAGTGGGAAATTCCAGGTCACCGCACCCATGCTTGCCACAGAGACTCAGCCCCAGCAGGTCTCCTTTTAAGCAGCAAGTCCCAAAGACACACACGAAAGCACCCTCTTCAGCGTCATTCAAGACTCAGCCCTGGCAACTGTTTTCGATATAAGATCTCAGCCTTGGAGCATAGGACGTAAGAGCAGCCAGGGTACCGGGTGCTTCCACTACCTCTCTCCCAGAACTACAAGGACAAGGAGGAAAGGTGCAATTCTCATACAAAGCTGGCTCCAACATCTTTCTAGCGCTGCCAACTTTCCCCACCCCTTTTTTGCTCCGTTACCCCAGCAAACAGCACCTTTGCCTGGACACACACACGCTCACAGGTGACAAAAAGGTTTCTCTCTCTGCTATTACAGCCTTCACCTCCTACTGATTTCTACAGAAGATGAAATATCACAGGTACAGGAGAAGCTCAGGATAGGCTTCTTGGGCCAATGCTTTCCCCCCTCCCCATTAAGGCTGTAACGGGGGGGAATGGGAGGGGGAGAAGAGGCGGGTACCACCCAAGTCCAGCAGTCTCCGGAGGAGGGGAAGGGCAGTGGCCCTTTCTGGCAGCGCCCACCTATGCTCACGCCCGGCTAGCCAGGAAAGGCTTCCTCCTCTTCCCCCTCAATGCAAAGGCGGAGCAGCGACACCAAAAACCGCAGTAGCAGCCGCTTCCATTCTCCCTGTGCTGCTCACCTTCCAGCCGGTCCCTTGCCTTGCACGGCTCTACCTAGCCTAACACACACACATAGACACACGCTTCGCAGGAGCCGCCCAAACTCCCCGAGCATCGCCAGCCGCCAATCGCAGCTTCAGCCGCGAGCGAAAGAAGGCGGAGGTAGCCCAGCAAGTTCAGCTGCGCCTGTGCGGCGGTTTCATCGCCCCCTACCCTTCTCCTCCCACAGAGAATGCGCCGTGCCTATGGCCTGATGGGGATTGTAGTTCCCTCATCTTGAGGCGCTGTGATAAAGCGGGCGCGGGGTGGGTTAGTGTCAATGGGAAGGAAATATTTCTGTGTATTGCTTTAAAGGTTTGTTTGTTTGCTTGCTTGCTTGCTTGCTCTGGTTATTATATCTCCATAATAGTGCACCTCTAAGATGCTAGCAAGATAATGCACATAGCCTCAGATTGGGGACAACTGAGGCCCCTCAGCTTTTCTTAATAGGGCCAAAGGGAGGATGGAAGTCTACCCAGCAAGCCAGAAGAAATTCCTTTATAGTTCGTTATTAGACACTCTCATTACATACGAATGCAGCTATCATATTATTTCTATCACGAATTACTTCCTTTAAAGCATCTTGGAGAAATTTCACAATACCATAAAAAAAAATCTGTAAAACAGTTAAAACAACTGCATGTACAAAAATAGTTAAAATCATTTACATTATAATGAGTAATAAATTAATCGCCTTCTAAACCGCCATCTCGAGGTGAGTTTACACATAAGATATTTAAAAGCACAAGAACAACAAATACATTTAAAACAAGACTCGTAGTACGTTTATCCAGCTAGGGAAAGCCCATCAGAACAAAAATGCCTTCAGTTGTTTCTGGAAAGTGCAGATAGTGGGTGCCTGGCAGAACTGGACAGGTATGCTCTTCCACAAAACAGTCAACCACACAAAAGCCCTGTTCCGAGTTTCTGTGGAAGGGGCTTCCGAGTTTTTTGGAACATGCAGGTTAAACTCTCCTGCAGACCATGGTGGCCTGTTGGATGCAAAATAGGCAGCCTCTCAAGTAACCTGGTTCTCAGCTATGTGGGGACTTAAATGTTAGTATCCCAGTTTGAACTTGGTTTGGTAACAGACTGGCAGCAAGTGCAAATCCCATAAGCAGGGTGCTGCTATATGTTGGTGGTAGTTTCCCCGCTACAAGCAACCTAGCCGCCACATTCTGCACCAGTTGCACCCTCTGGACCAACTCAAAGAGTAATATTAAAAGAATTACAAATGTAAAAACAATTTCAAATCCAGTATGGATACTGGCTGAAATAATCATCTCCACTCAGAAGGGTTGTTGAAAGAGACCCTCACTAAAGATAAGAGCAGGGCAACATGACCAATTTCCAATTTTCTGAGTTAAGAGATAAAAACTCCCTGTTATTAATGCATAAGAGGTCTCGAATAGCTATTTGTCGTAGCGTTTATGATCAAACAGCAGCTAGGTATTGTACTTCTGCCCAGTGTCCACTCAATCCTCAGAGCTTCAAAGGATGAAGATGCACTTCTGAAATAAAACTGAAATGTTTATTTAATTACACTCTCTCTAGATTTCGGGCTTGGTGGTTTCACAAGTTAGGCACAAAACACCAGTGTTCATCAAGTCACCCACACCTTTATTTGCCCCATATGCTTTCCATGGTTTATTGCTGAATTGGAACAAGTGGCAAGGTCAGTGCTTTTTTTCTGGGGGGACATGGGTACGCATACCCTTAAACATTTTGTGAATCTAAGTTTGGCCTCATTGAGAGGCAGTATTTCAATATGAGTAGGAAAATGAGAGTAACTCTAAACATTTTTTAGAAGAAAAAAAAGCACTGCGCAAGGTAGGCTTTTCCCATCTGCTCAGCCCCTTCTAGGATTTAATATTCCCTGAAGGAATCAAAACTGGGTTCCCCTGTTAACTGAACTCAGATAGTTCAAACCCCAACTGCCCACACTGACAGTCACTGTCTATCCTCACATATAGTCCCTCTCTCATACACATGGAGAGTCCCTACCTGATGGTTAAACTGTCACCTCACTTAAATCCCCCCCTCTGTTTGGATTGAGTGCTGGCCCTACCAGCTTACACTGGTCTCTGGGTCACCTGGAGGCAGACCCAGGGCCTGTCCATCACAGAGGCAAGTCTTCAACAGATTCCAACAAGACGGTAGAGATGGCGTCCATCTGATATGTAATGGGATTAAGTTCCAAAGGGTAGGAGGTGCCACCACACTAGAAGCCCAATTCTGACATCACACAAAATGAGCCTTTGCTGAGGTGATATCAGTAGGATGCCCTCTCCTGCAAGTACAATAGTTGGTAAGGTCTTCAAGGGAGGTGATAATATTTTAGGTAACCTGGTCCCAGGTTGTAGAGGGCTTTGTATACCACTACCTCTAGCACCTTGAATGTTGCCCAGTGGCTAATTGGCAGCCAAGGGGTTGAACATGTGGCCTTCTGAATGAGAAGAATGTACTTACTGCTGAGTTATGACCCTTCCCTATAGCAAGCTTCAAGGCTGATAAAATATTTGAACAAAGCCAAATTAAGAGATAAATATACCTGTTGCTGTTGTTGTTTAGTCGTGTCCAACTCTTCGTGACCCCCATGGACCATAGCACGCCAGGCACATCTGTCTTCCACTGCCTCCAGCAGCTTGGTCAAACTCATGTTGGTAGCTTCGAGAACACTGTCCAATCATCTCGTCCTCTGTCATCCCCTTCTCCTTGTGCCCTCAATCTTTCCCAACATCAGGGTCTTTTCCAGGGAGGCTTCTCTTCTCATGAGGTGGCCAAAGTACTGGAGTCTCAGCTTCAGGATCTGTCCTTCCAGTGAGCATTCAGGGCTGATTTCCTTAAGAATGGAGAGGTTTGATCTTCTTGCAGTCAATGGGACTCTCAAGAGTCTCCTCCAGCACCATAATTCAAAAGCATCAATTCTTCGGCGATCAGCCTTCTTTATGGTCCATATTTATTTGATAAATTTCTATGCCTAAGAAGAGTCCTGCTGGATCAGACCAAAGACCTGTCTAGATACTCAGTCACATCACTGATCCACCTAGCTTAGTTTTGTATTCACTTCTAGGGCAACAACTTGAAGAGTTCCAAAACAAAGCCCAAACAAGGCCATCCTCCTCCCCTTGCATGGAGGATCTCTACACACATACCTCAGTGTACATACGGTATATATATAAACCTCCGTCACACACTGACGGAATGGCACCAGTGTGGAGGGCCACTGGGTGCATCAGCAGCATGGGTGGGGTTTATTCCACTTTTCCAGCTGATGCACATGGACCACAAGGGGCTCATAATGCAGTTTCTTGAAATAATTTTAAACAACTCTTGTATTGTTAATAGAACACACCCCCTAGGTTGGGAACAAACTGATATTAGGCATAACATGCTAGGAGGACACTTTCAGTTAACATTCCAAAGGATCTTTGCTGAATGGGATTCACTTGTGAGTAAACTTTACAGAAGCATCTTTGCCATAAGAGAGAGCATTGCATGGGAAACATGTTTTAATTTTGCTTTCTGTTGATTGAGAAAATGTGATGCCTTAACAGTATGAAGGCTCTAGTACAGTCTTTGCCCTCCTGGTGTCCTGAACCCCTAGCGCACCTGGCAGCAAGTCTCCACTGGTACATACAGTCCCAAAAAGTAGTCCCGTAGAGCTCCTAGAACATCCAAACCAAGGTCCATCAATGTGGGAAGCTGAGCAGACCTCCTCACCTCCTACTTCATTTTTATACCATGAATGTTGACTGCAGCATCTGGGTTTGACAAAGCATGTGACCCTACCTTTCCTGAGCTTACTCCAGCTGAGGACTCTCACACCTCCTTCCAGAGCTAACAAGCCCCTACCTGGCCAGCTACCCCCCGCTGCTTCCTATGCCTCCAAGCCTGCTGTGTTCATGGACACAGGGGCCCCTCTGACTCTGGGGACGAGTCCTGCTCCTCTGGTTCCTCTGGATCCCCTAGCCATCCTCTACTGCCCTTGAGTACTTTCTATGCCCCCAACCTCTCCTTCTCCACCCCCAGCTTGCCCCGGTGTGTACCAGTCACAGCTACACATCTTGCTGGGTTGTCCTCTCTCCTCATTGTCCTGCCAGTTCATGACACCTGGTGTTCTTCAGATGTTTTGGGCTGCAACTCCCATCAGCCTGTCACTGTACATATGTGAAATGTTTTGACTCCTCTAAACCCCTATCATATATTTTTTATTTGGATCATTTTTACCCTGCTTTTCAGCCAAAAAGGCTTCCAGAGAGGCTTACATACTACCAAAACAGGCAATCCCTAGCCTACAGGTTTATAATCTAGAAAAGAAAAACATGGCACACAAGGGAAAAGGGGGGCTTATTTGTGGTTACGTTCTGGTGTCAGGTGAAGACTTTTTTAAAATTCCCCCAGGGTTGTTTTTTTTTTTTTTAAATAATAATCTGTGGCTTTGGTTTTGTGCATGTGTGATTTTTCAGACACCTGGTTTTATGCTTTCTGCTGGAATTTTGTAGGCAGAAATTTGTTTGATTTTGTTATTTTTATTGTATGTGAACATTTTATGTTGTGAGCTTATACAAATATGGTTCTACAAATGTAGTTAAGTAAATAAATAATCTAAAGTGAGGGCAGCTGCAAAACAACTGTCAAAGGTAGCAGCTGGAAGAAGGCAGACAAAAAGCCCCTCTGTGTCCTCTACCCCTTGGATCCCACCTGGGCTTGCTGCATTTCTTGGCAGTTGCCCCAGAAAGACTCCAAATGGAGGGGGGGGGAGAGGAGGAAGGGAGAATTTGTGGCCAGGGAGAGGGGTGCTTTAAACAAAGAGATGTGCTACTACAAATTTATGTTTTGTGATTGGGATCTATAGAGATGTAAAATAACAGAAGGCTACACTCTGGATAAAAGGAATCTTCTCAGGATACAAGCAACAGCATCATAGGCACAACCCCTAGTTTGCAGACTAGGTGGTACTCAGCATTTCCCCAGTCTACAATCTACACCCCCTACAGCTCCAAATCTACTCCCAGCTTGGAGGGAGAATGCTAGTACATATATGTGTGTGTACTGCATTAAGCATTCTTTCTGAAATATAGGTATGTATATGGTAGCCTCATGCTAGAATAATTGGACCCACCAACTTGTGTGAAGCCGACTCTCAGAGAGTCACTGATTGAAAGCAGATGGCATGAATTCACTGGCTGCTTTATCAGCCAAGCGTATTTCCTCTGGAAATTCCCTGTGGAGCAAGGGAGTGGAGGAATAGATAGATGAGAAAGAAAGAGAAAAAAGAGGAATATCCATCCTACTCTATAAATAGCACAAGCTATATAGGAGCACAAGAGTGGCCTTACTAAGATAGGCATTGGCTAAATTTTAACACACACTAAAGACTAAAGATACAAGGAAGACTAGATGTTCATGGCTTAAATGTATTTATTTCTTTTCAACAAATTGTGTACTGCCTTTCTCCTACAAATAAGAACAATTTGCCATTATGTACAATTATTATTATTATTATTATTATTATTATCATTTGTTGCTCAGTACTAAAAATTATCTCAAAACAAATTAGTCTTTAGTTAGTTGTACAACTAATAAGAGGAGCAAGAACTCCCTAGGGTGGCAGTTAAAATATTTTTAAAATGATGGTGGTGGTGACTCACAACCAGTAATTAAAATTACCCACCAAAGACCTGAGTGAATAAGATAGGGTTTATGTGGTATGTAAGATAATGACCAATGTGCCAGGCAAGTCTCCCTGGGGATGGCAAGCACTCCTTGGAGGAAGGATAGGATGAAAATGAGATGAACAGTTTAGGCCTAGTTGCCTCCCCTTTCACTGCTGTCTCTCTTGTGTAGTTTTCAGGCCAAGGATCTATTCTTTGTAAAGTCTCATGTGCACAGATGGCAATATAAAGCTAATGATTATAGCTGGACAAGAGGGGTTCAGGTCAAATTATCTGGAAACTTGAGTTTCTTCGCTACTATGGCAGCCTTCCCAAAACTGGTGCCCTCCAGGTGCTTTGAACTACAATTCCCAACAGCTCCCATAGCACCAGCACAATACAGCTGTGCTGGCTGGGGCTGATTGAAGCTCAAAGCATATGAAGGGCACCAGCTCTTTTTGTTTATATAGCATATCACAGTAGTGTCCTTCATTAACAAAAGCCCTCCAGTTTTATTTGTATATAAATGGTGGGGAGAACAAATAGGAGCCTTGAGGCGCTGGTGCATTTGGTCCTAGATTATTATTTTTATATGAGCTTGCACTTGTTTCCCTTTAAGATACTCAGGAAAGCGTTTCATCAGCTTCCCACCTAATTTGTGTGCTTGATAGAATGGAAAGGTCACCCCATTACACTGCCTTCGCCACCCTGGTGCCGTCCAGATGTTTTGAACCGCAGCGCCCACCAGCCCCAGTCAGCACAGTCACAACCCTATGCGCATTTACCCGTAAGTCCCATTGAACACAGTGGGATTTACTTCTGAGATGACACGCACAAAATTGTTCTGCTAAGTTTCTCGGATAGAAAAGTTCCCCTACAACCTTGGTCCACCGTATAGTCTATTAAAGTGTGTTGGGCTCTTCTGAAGTTAGTGGTAAAGATTGAAGTTATCCTGTTGATATCAATGATGCAGCTTTGCTGCCCCTCTCCTCAGCTGGGCAGTGCTGCGCGAGGATGCTACTGAAACAGCATTCCTGGGCCCGGCGGGGCTGGGTGCAGTGGGCTTCCTCCGCGCCCCTGGCACCAAAAATGGTGGATGCCCGCCCCTCCATAGGGAATGTTGTGCGGGTTGGAACACCCAGAGCCCCCGCAGCCAGCGCCTATGATACCACTAGAGCTGTGGTTCCCAATTAGCTAAGTACTGCGGTCCCCCTGTTTTTCAAAAGCCTACTTTAGGGAGTACTTTTGGACTTCCTATTTTTCGTTATTATTTTTTTGATATCTCTGTGTTAGTTTTTGTTGTATAAATGGTGCCACGGACCCCCTGTGTGGGTTACGTGGACCCTCTGGGGTCCACGGACCAACAGTTGGTAACCACTGCACTAGTCTTTCCATGCCCACTGCCCAGGCTTGCGCCTCAGGAGAGTCACTTTGGTGCTGCCTACGCAGCGGTTTGACTTCACCCCTGGAGGAATGCTCCATGGTCTCTCGGGACAGACGGATGCCAACAAACATGTTGAGATCGGGTGAGGAGGGATGAGAGTTTTAAAATGCAAATGATACATACATGCATGCATACATATGTATCTATTAGATTATATTTTAAATGCGCTATTATGAAATACCGGTAAGTGTAAGAGCTGCGGCTGATTGCAGAACGCTAACTTCAACGGGGCTACGGAATTTCCTTCGTAAGATCCAGGGAGGGGAAAGGGGAGGACCTTTCTCCCGGCTCCGCCTCGATGCTGCAGAGAGAAGGGAGGAAAACGCTGAACGTGCTTCGCGTGAATATTTTTGGCCCTCGGCGGTTGCCGTATCCACAGAGGCCGACCAAACCGAGGAGAAGCATACAGATTAAAAAGAGAGTGAGAGAAGACGCTCCCCACTCCAGCCCTCACTTCCGGGTTCCTTTTGACAGCCGCCCGTGTGAGGAGTATAATGCGAAAACAACGGCATCGCCAAAAGGCTTTTCTACTTCGATGTGTAACCCTAGGGAAGCCACTCTACCCAGAGCTCTCTATCGTGGAAGCCGGAAGTGTTTCTATGGTAACACTGAAGTTGTGACAGCCCGATTGAGAGAAAGTGGGGGATCCCCCGGAAGTAGTGGCGGTTGCTGCGTCAAAAGGGCGGGGCTTCTGCTGGGTGTCAAAGGTCAGTAAATATTGGTGACGTCAGACGGCCAAGATGGCGGAAGGGTGAGCGTAACTGGTATCGCTGGGAGTGGTGCCTTTGCGACTGGGGTGGGGGAGACCTGGGGGCGAATGAGGAGGAGGGGCGGGAGGTTGTGCCAGAGCTCCGCCTCGGGACCCCTGGACTGATTAGGCAGGAAAGAGTACCGCTGGTAATGCATAGAGTGCGTTCCTTTGGCCCTGAGTTAGTGTTGTTGGCCCCGCCCCCTCCCTCTTGAGTCTGGGCACTCTTGTTTTGTAGAGGCAGCCCTGGCGGTGGTCGCGAAGCCTGAAGATGAGGTGTGGGTTTTTCAGGGGAACAGGTTGCGGAGGAGAAAGGTAGGATTGTACTGTATAGTATGGGGGGGTGGCCAGTTTAGGATTGCTTGGGGGTAGGGCAGCGTTGGCTATATTGGGAAGAGATCTAGGAATTCGGGGTTAATAGTGCGGTGAGGCCTCAGAATTGTCAAAGTGGGCATATCTGGGGACAACTGGAAAAGAGGGTCCTGAAAAACATCTGCTTTATTACAGCACCTCAAATGATGTGTTTGGATGTGTGGGACTTGGGTTCAGACTCTCTGGCAGCCTTGGGTAAGCCACTGTGTTGCAGTCTGGCCCGTTTTGTAGGTCTGTTGTTAATATATGAGATTATTCATCACTGACTCGCTTTACCTTTCTTGCCATGTGCATCTGTTGAGCTGCCTTGTAAGGTAGTGCCTTAGTGTCAGAGATGGTGGGGGCATGCAGATTGAAGTGCAGTTGATTGCTATGCAGGGGGTTTAATGGTTTGAGGAAGGCTTTGAATCAAAGGTTGCTTGGCCAAGCCCTGCTCTTAGACCACTTGTATAGTCATTTATATACAGAACTCTAAAGTAGCACTAGAATATGTTTGTGGTTATAGTGTGTTCCATGATGATGTATTAATTGTGGCAAACTAAAAAGGCTGTGTGGGAGGAGGGAACCAGTAAATCCACATTCTTTCACTACTCCCCAAACTAAATTATATGATTTAAACAGGTGGCATAGAAGCCTCTAATTCACTTGTATGTCTTTGAGACTGTGTGCTGTAAAAGCCTGAGTGATTATTTTGTTCATACCCTTTTTCATAGATTTCTAGTAAATACTGTAGGAGGCTTGAGTTTGTATTACATTTTTTGCATTGTTCACATCATGTTGTAGGAGTTCAATAATATTCCCTTAAACTTAAATAAGTATTTAAATACCTGCTAAGTTGTTAAAGTGCTTTCTATCTTGGTTGTAATTGGTTATTTTGGGAGGTAATGTTGAGAAAGGGCAAAAGAGAGAGAAGACAGGAGGTGATGTGTAACAATTCATGAGAAAAATGGGAGCCTTGGTCTGCAGTAGTGCTTGAAAGTGTCGCACAAGTTTTGAAATCTTTGGAACGTGTGCCTAAGAATTTAAATTATTATTCTACTTGTGGCAGGAGGAGGCCAAGCCAAGGACACAAGTGTAGTACCGTACTGATTTTAAGGTGTTTCTGCATTGGCTCCTGAAAGGGAAGGTCCTGAACTGGGGTTGGAAAAAGATTCTGTTAACATTTCATAGAAATAAAAGCTGCCGTTGTAGGATTTGCTGCAGTAGCTGACTGTTCTGCATTCTTTGTCTTGAGTTTATTATGTAAAATTCCCAATTTCAGCTTCATATGTTTGTCCTGTAATAGGGAAGATGGAGGCTGGTGGAGGAGCTGGCTACAGCAAAGCCTTCAGACAGTCAAAGATAAGGTAGGTGGGTTTGCTTTTTGTCCACTGGTAAACTAGAGAGAGAGGTAAGGTAAAGGTACCCCTGCCCGTATGGGCCAGTCTTGCCAGACTCTAGGGTTGTGCGCTCATTTCACTCTATAGGCCGGGAGCCAGCGCTGTCCGCAGACACTTCCGGGTCACGTGGCCAGCGTGACAAGCTGCATCTGGCGAGCCAGCGCAGCACACGGAACGCCGTTTACCTTCCCGCTGGTAAGCGGTCCCTATTTATCTACTTGCACCCGGAGGTGCTTTCGAACTGCTAGGTTGGCAGGCGCTGGGACCGAACGACGGGAGCGCACCCCGCCACGGGGATTCGAACCGCCGACCATGCGATCGGCAAGTCCTAGGCGCTGAGGTTTTACCCACAGCGCCACCCGCGCTTAGAGAGAGAGAGGATGTCAAAAAGACACAGCTCAAACTCTGATATTTGGCCATGCTGCCTGAGGCTGGTGGGAGTCCATCATGGTCTGGGGGTATCAAGTTGGCTATTTCTGAATTAATGACTGATGACTCCCTTTGTAAGAAAAACCTCTTTGCTTATTATACTACTTAGTATTAGGTGCCAATGAAAGGCCATGATCTTTGTGCCCCAGCTTATGAGCCTTTCTCAGGCACCTGCTTGCTAGCTGTTGGAAATGAAATACTGAACTAGTCCTGCCTTCCCCAACCTGGTATTCTCCAACTGTTTTGGACTACAGCTCAGTCCCACACAGCATGGCTGTAGGATCTTGAGGATGATGGGAGTTGTAGTTAAAAGCAGCTGGAGGACCCCAGGTTGGGGAAGGCTGAACTAGATGGACCCACCTTGGCCTGAGCTGCCAGGGTAATACTTTGGTTCATTGGAGTAGCATTCACATCTCACAGTCACGCTTCATGTATCTGTTATTGGATTTAAAAATGCTTGTTTTGGGATCAGTTGTGAACATGCTGCTGAAGCCACGTGAGGTGATTGGAACAAAAGCTGTCAGGTGCTTATTGTTTTGGATGTATGAATTCTGTTTTCTCCTCCTGATGGCCACACTCTTAGATTGATAAACACTTGGTGTTCTTTGATTGTTAACCCCCAACCCAGGCTAACTACCACACTCATTAGAAATTCAGCCACAGTGTACCCAACAATAAGTATATTCTCCTCTCACTCTGTTGCAGTCCACAGAGGCCTTGGAGTTCATGAAACGTGACCTGACCGAGTTCACGCAAGTGGTCCAGCATGACACAGCCTGCACCATTGCTGCCACTGCCAGTGTGGTCAAGGAGAAGCTGGCTGTGAGTGGGCATCGAAAACAAAAATGGAGGGAGAGGCAGGGGCAGGAATGCATGTCATTGGGAAGGTCTGGCAGGTTTTCATTTGTGTTTGCCATTTCCCTCTCTCCACAACTTTTTTCATTATTCTCTTTGTTGATTTGGTGTATCAAGCCCAAAGCAATCCTAGGCTTTGTGGGATACTGCCCACTCTGGTTCTTCTGCCTTAGATTAATTTTCATTGTGAATTTCTTTGTTTTTGTAAAGACGGAAAGTTCCTCGGGTGCGACAGAGAAAGTGAGAAAAGGGCTCTCCAACTTCCTGGGTGTTATCTCCGACACATTTGCACCTTCACCAGATATGACCATTGACTGTGACGTCATAACCTTGATGGCGACCCCTTCTGGAACAACAGAGTTATACGACAGTGCCAAGGTGCCTCCAGCCTCTACCCCCAAAAGGTGGCTTCTGTCCCCGCCATTAATGTCTTGTGCTCATATGCTTCTCCCTGTCTGTCCCCTTCCAGGCTCGGCTGTACAGCCTTCAGTCTGACCCAGCCACCTATTGCAATGAACCTGATGGTAAGTTGGGGGCTGATTTGGACTGAAAAACCCCACAGTCAGGGAAGTGTTTGGGTGAACTATCTACCTGGAGGGTGACTGAAGTCCACAACATGCTGTTTGCTTTCATAAAGCAAAACCTGATGGGATGGCCCAAATTTTGAAATGCAGGCCTTGCTAAAAGAAAAAGTAACTTCTAGGTTTGGGGGCTGCAGTAGAAAGGTCTGAAGGAGGTAGGGTGACAGGTTGGGGATTGGTGCATGATGCAGTGGAAGCGTTATTCTTCATCATGGGAGGCTATTCTCAGAATTCCTGCTCAGCCACAGGTGGCCTCTGGCAAGTTAGACTTTTTGCAGATAATGAGAGAGGGTTTCAAGGTACCTGCTTCTCATGAAAGCCAAGTTGCACCTTCCCCTCCCCTCTCCTGCTGCTTTCCCCCACTCTCTGCCACTCCCTCTATCCTCACAGTCTTTTGTACCAGACTGGCAAGGGTGAAGCTACTCTGCCACCTTCATAGCCTGGAGAGGCAACCAGGATAGTTTTGCACTCCACTTTCCAGCCATTAGTGGCTGCACACACATGCTGGTCTTTTAAGGTCAGAAGAGTCAGTTCTGGCAGGCTGAGACCCTGCCTGCAATATAGGCGTGTGGGCAGAAACCATGGAAACTTGAGCCTAAGAACAGTGTAATGCAGGGGTGTAGAAGCCTTTTAGGCTAGCTAGCCCATATCCTTATCACCCCAGCCCTGGAGGGCCATCTTGAACCCCCTAGATGGACAAGATTGGCCCACAGTCCAGAGGTTTTACATCCATGGCATAGCCTGACCTCTGCCATCTGCAGAGTGCCTTAAGAAAGGGCAGGAATTGTAAACAAATGTGTGGGAAGTCTCCTGGTGGATGCCTGCCTGCCAAACCTGCTTTGGGGATGCCAGCTTGGAGTGTTAAACCTACATACAGGTGGAGGGTGGGGAGGCATTTTGTGAAATTAGTTGAATCTATGTATTGTTGTTGTTTCATTTGTTCCTTGTCTTAGCCAAAAAATCTCAAGATGATTAATAATAAAGAATACAATACAAATTCCAAAATTATATAGGAGATTCAAAGCACTGAAAGTGATCATACTTAATAATTTAAGATATAGAGGATTTAAATAATCTTGGAAGAATATAGATACGTTATTTCTACCATATGTTTATGTTTTATACCTATGCTATCTTTTTTCTATTAGTTTATGTATGACTGTAACCTAGTATGTGTTGAAGATGAGATATAGCAGAAAAGCATGCATATATATATGTGTGTGTGTGTGTGTGTGTGTGTAATATATATATATGTGTGTGTGTGTGTGTGTGTGTACATACATATATATGTATATGTATATGAATATGTATATAAAAGTAAAATGGCCAGAGCAGCAAGAAAAGGAGAGGGGGGGAAATAATCATTATATATTTGGGGAAAGAGGCAAGTCTTTAACTGGTGCCAATATGATGTTGATGTAGGTGTCAGGCAAGTTTCTTTGGGAAGAGAATTCTGCTGAAGAGGTCCCTTCGTGCCTACTGTTTCTTTGTTTTTCTTGTATCATTTACACACACACACAGCCGAATACTATCTTGGTGATGCAATGTCATTGTACTGGAGTAATTTCCCTGTGGGGGGTATTAATTTTATTTACAAAAGAATGACAAAGCAAAGGAATGATAATGGTTAGGAAAATCACCCCTCTTCTTTCTATAACACTATAATTTGGGATGACCCAATTTGATTTGGTGGTAGGTTCAGGAAAGGTAAAAGGAATCAGCAGTTTTACACAAGGTATAATTAACTTTTGAGATTTACTGTCGCTAAACATGGGGTACCTATATTGTAAAGGGCTTTAAAGAAAAGGATTGAACAAATTCATGGTTGCATGATCTCTCAACAGCATTGAGGCCAAATGAACATAGTTAAAGGAACTTTTCGTGTGCAGAGGCGCTGCTTATATTATGGGGATGGGGCCAAAGGGGGGCTGCCCCTTTTACTTTTTGTCATGGCACCCTTAGGTACTGTCTTCAGAAAGCATATTCCACTAAAGCCAGGAAGGTGTGGATGTGTCAATGTCCAGACCTTGAGAATTTCAATGTGTCTAATCTTCCAACCCCCACCCTCCATTTGAGCTCTCTGTGATATATCTCTGTCTATAAGCCTCTCTCAAATAGCAGACTTACTGAAATCAAGGCTTCTCATCCACGGCTATAGTTCCACAGTTAAGCAGGCTGTGCTTTATCTCTTAGTCCATGTCACTTCGTTTACACTGCCAAAGTAGCTTTATCTCACAAGCAGCAGTGTGGCAGGAATCCCGTTGTCATAATCACACACAGCACAGCATACATTACAGGAAAAACAAGTTAACGTAATTTTCACCACTGCCTCCTTGAGCGACTGCAGTCTGTCATGGTGTAGCGCTGGTTTTGGTTTGTTATCCAACAAACTTTGGCCATTTAAGAACATAAGAGCCTGCTGGATCAGGCCAGTTGCCCATCTGATGTGGCATCTTGTTCTCACAGTGACAAAACAGATGGCTGTAGGAAGCATACAAGGATGACAGACTTGAGTGCAACAGCACTCTCCCCTCCAGTGTTTTCCAGTAACTGGTATTCAGAAGTATACTGCCTCCAGCAGTGGAGTAGAACATGGCCCTCTTGGTTAGTAGCTGTTGTGGGCTTTATCCATGAATTTGTGTGATCCTCTTTTAAAGCCATCCAAGAGCCATCACTGCCTCTTGGGGGAGCAAATTTTATATATGCTTTTTGGAAAAGTACTTTTGTTTCTCCTGAATCTTCTAACATTCAGCTTCATCAAAGGTCCCTGAGTTCTAGTGTTATGAGAGAGGGTCAAAAACCTTTCTCTGTCCACTTTCTGCACACCATGCATAATTTTGTTATTTATTTATTAGATTTGTGTACGGCCCTTCCTCTGAAGGTCACAGGGCAGTTCGTAACACGATACAAAGTGAAAACGCAAAATACATAATACAACCAACAAACACGTTTAAAAAGTTATAGAATGATAATCAGCCAAATGCCTAGTTGAAGAGAAATGTTTTTACCTGGCACCTAAAGATAATGTAATGAAGGTGCCAGGCAAACCTCCTTAGAGAGGGCATTCCAGAAACAGGGAGCCATGACAGTAAGGCCCATGCTCATGTTGCTACCTTCCAGATTTCTTTAACAATACTTTCCACCAGTCTTCCTGGGAAAGATGTTAAGCTAACCAGACTGCAATTTTCCAGGATCCCCCTTGGTTCCCATTTCAAAAATTGTTGTTACGTTGGTCACTTTCTAGTCCTCGGGTATGGAAGCTGATTGTACCACTTCCACTGTGATATGGTGGTGTTCTTCTATCCTCTGCAGTGTTGGTTTCTATTTCCCTCACTGAGCAGCAACTGCAGTCACAAGACATTGTTTTACATTCCACAGTCTGTACTGTTGGAGTTTCTCACGGGAAAGGGAGACTGGATGTGACGTACACTGGTTTCCTGTTTTTTCACTGTGTGATTCTCTCCAAGCTGTCGAGGAGAGAGGATGCATTTCTCTGCTCCTGCAGAGGCAAGATGTCTTTCTGTAATATACCAGCTTTGAACTGTAAATAAAGCAATATAGCAATATAGAGTATGTATCACGTATTCCTCATCCTTCCGCTGGGCACGACAGACTCTGCTTAAATCAACACGTGGTTATGGACTCCAGAGGTCGAATCGGAGTGCCGGCAAAGGATCGGAATGCAGAGGGACGGATCGGAAAGGAATCTGCTCTGCGCGTAGAAGTGATTGATGAGGTATGTGCTACTGCTCCGGGCAGCCTGCCAGCTTCAAGTTAATGGCTTTATGGCTGGACTTTGAACTTTTAAAGCCGGTTTTGCTGGGAATAGGCAAAAGGCTCCCAGGCACAAGTCACTATGCTGGGGAAATCGAAAGTAACTTTTAAGTGTGCCTTTGTAATCAAGCAGCTGCAGCAGTGACGCAGCAAGATTTAAAGCAGCAAATGACGCTGAAGGCTAATGCCAGAGTCATGATGGCCCTTCAGGATGCTTGTGGGATTCCTAAGCTCAACAAGAAAAATTATAGCGACTGGGTTCAGTATGCAGAGGCAATTCTGCGGAAAGAGGTTTGTTTGAGGTGATTACAGGAACCCCCCCAGTTCCAGTTACAGATGCATGGCAAGCTAAGGATTCCAAAGCAAGGGGAACTCTTACATTGATAGTATCCCCAGAAGAGCTCTGTCTATTGCGTGATAAGACCTCAGCCAGAGAAGTTTGGGACGCTCTGAGAGAGGCTCACTTAAGGACAGAAGCTGGATCAACTATGTTTTACTTTAACAAGCTGCATAATATGGCTCTTGCTGAAGGTGGAGATGTGCGTTTACATCTGATGCAGATGCAAAATCTCAGACATGAGCTGCAACAGAGAGGACTCAACTTTCCAGAGGCTGTGTATTCTTTCATGATACTACAATCTTTGGGTTCAGGTTGGGAGTCTGTTGCAACCCAGATTGCTGTGCAACCAACTGCTCAGCTGACAGTGGACTTTGTTACTGCCGTGATTTTAAATGAAGCAGATCGCCGGGGTGCTAGCTGCTTGGGCACGGGGGAGTCTTCACAGACGTCATCCCATAGTGCAGTGGAACCACCAGATGGCGCCAGAGCTTTGAAGGCAGTGAAATGCTACTCGTGTGGACGTCTAGGCCATATGAAGAGGGAATGCAGACATCCCAGGGCCAAGACAGAGCAGCGCAGCGAAGCTCATTGCGCGGAAAAGGCCGAGGCAAAGGCAAAGGTCCGGTGTCTAGGACAACGCAGCACAAGGCTATGGTTTCACGCTTCACTCCAAAGGTTGCAGAGGTCCAGAAGACGTCTAGATCTTTCTTCGTTGTTGATTCAGCGGCCACCCACCACATGTGCAACGATAAGAAACTGTTTGTGTCTTTTACACCGCAGGAAGGTGCGATTCACCAGGCGGATGACCACACTATTCCTAGTAAAGGCTACGGAACTGTTGTTCTTCACAGTTTGGACTTATCGATACAGAATGTGCTTTACGTGCCAGAAGCCAAACATAATCTGCTCAGCGTTGGACAGCTGAATGAGTGGAACATTGACGTTTCCTTCAAGAACAAGAAGTGCATCATCACAAAGAAAAATGATTATGTATTGCATGCAGAATATGTTGATCATTTGTTTGTTTTGTATTATGATGATGTGGTGCAGGATGACACTTGTTGCATTGCAGGTTCTAACAAAAGTTTGCATGCAGAATGTATTCACGATTTTCATCGAAAATTTGGTCATTTGCATTTTGAGGCAGTATCTAAAATGCCTGCCTTGGTTGAAGGTATGACAATTAAACCCTGCAGGTACCACATGAAGTGCAAAGCATGCGCAGCAAACAAGGTGAAAATGGCTGCGAAAGGTAAGGTGTCTAGTAGGAAAGCTACAGAACCATACCAGGTTGTTCATGCTGATTTGGTTGGACCACTAACGCCCTCTTTGGGTGGAAATAGATACTTCATGGTTCTCATTGATGCATTTTCTAGATATATTTTTGTGTACAATCTCAAGCAGAAATCGGAGGCTTTTCCTAGGTTCAAGGAATTCTGTGCTTGGTTGGGAAATGTGCATGGTAAGAAGATAAAGACTCTTTTCAGTGATCGCGGGGGGGAATTCACTTCTCAGCAGTTTGAAGCTTTTCTGACTGAGAAAGGAATTCAACACGATTTGTCTAGTCCTCGCTCGCCATGGCAGAATGGACTTGCGGAACGGGCAAATCAGACATTGCTTCAAGGATTAAAAACCTTGCTGCATGATGCCAATCTTCCAGAGAGTTATTGGGCCGAATCTCTCTCGTGTTTTGTTTACAGTTACAATCGCAGGCTATCTTCAGCGATTGGTTGTACCCCCTATGAGAAGATGTTTGGCAAGAAGCCATACATCAAACACATGAAGATTTTTGGTTCTGACATGTGGGTTCGCTCACCACAAAACTCCAAGTTAGACAAGCGTGGATTGCATGGTATCTTTCTAGGTTATCAGAAAGGGTCTTACAGAATAATGATGACTGACTCTAAGACAATTAAGCTCACGAGAAGTGTTGAGTACAATGCAAAGTGGGGGGGAATGTGGGACTGGTCCAATGTTATCCTGATGACGGTGATGAGACTGAGGATAGTCAAAAGCAACCACAACAACCCACACCCACAGATGAAGGTTCTGAGTCTGAATCTGAAACTGAATCGGGTGATTCAGAGGATTTCAAGAGTGCGAAAGCCTCTATGCGACCCTCTGAAAGCTCTGATCAAGAATTGGAGGAACCATTGTTCACAATAGGTCGTTTTTCTCCTAAGAAGGAAGAGGAGAGTGTTGAAGACTTAAGGCTAATTCGTAGGTCACAGAGAGCCACAAAAGGCAAACCTCCAAAGAGATTTGCTGATGAGTTTGCTACGATAGCAGTAACAGCTGTTAAAAGCTCCAAGAAGGTATTTGAACCTTCAAGTTTCCAAGAAATCCAGGGTTTGGATTCGAAGGAAGCTGAGCCATGGTTAAATGCCATGAAGGCTGAGCTTGATTCCTTAGAAAGGAACAAAACATGGGAGCTAGTTCCAGTAGTTCCAGGAATGAAACTGCTTGGAAGCAAATGGGTCTTCAAAGCGAAGACAGATCAAAATGGCAAGATAGTCAGACACAAAGCCAGATTGGTAGCCAGAGGTTTTGCACAGGTACCAGGTGAAGACTATCACGAGACCTATTCACCCACAGTGAGATATGAAAGCATTAGGCTTATGCTTAAGCTAGCTGCAGAGGAAAATCTACACATTAGTCACCATGATATTAATACAGCTTTTCTGTACGGATCTCTAGATGAATCACTTTATATGCTTCCACCTGATGGCGTACAGGTAAAACAGGGATTTGTTTGTGCTCTGAAGAAATCCCTTTATGGTCTCAAACAAAGTGCACGGTGTTGGCACACAAAACTCACTGAAGTATTGTTTTCTCTAGGTTTTCAGCAAGGGAAAGCTGATCCATGTGTATTTGTCAAAGAGGAGGGGCAAAGAAACTGTACTGTTTGTTTTATGTTGATGATTTATTATTCTTTTGGAAAGATGTCGCAATGTACAATAACGCCCTAGCTCAACTGAAAGAGCACTTTGACATGAAAGATCTTGGTGAGGTAAACAACTACCTATCTCTGGAAATAGAGAGAGATCAAGATGGTAACATTCTAGTACACCAGTCACGGAAAATTGCTGATGTGTTAAGCAAACTAAATCTGATGGATGCTAACCCTGTAGACACACCGATGACAACAGGTTATCAGGTAGATGACACTGAAGAAGCATTTTCTGACACTACACTGTACAGGAGTGTGCTAGGCAAGCTAAACTTCATTGCCAGATGTTCAAGACCAGACATTGCTGTTAGCTGTAATTTGCTAAGCAGACAAGTCAACAATCCTAGTGTCAAGGATTGGAAAGCTCTGAAGCGCATAGCGCGGTATTTGAAAGGCACTATGCATTACAGACTGAGATTTAACAATCAGAAGTCTGGTGGTCTTGAGATATTTGCAGATGCAAGTTTTGGAAGTGACGCTACAGACAGGAAAAGTACGTCTGGAGTTTGCTACATGTACAATCAGAGTCTGTTTGATTGGTCATGCAAGAAGCAAACAACAGTTAGCTTAAATACTTGTGAAGCCGAACTGAATGCACTGTCTTATTCACTTAAGGATTGTGAATGGTTAGTACAATTGTGCAAAGATATGAAAATTCCTGTCAAATGTCCAATCCAGGTTTACCAGGACAACAAAGCATGTTTGGCTTTGCTGAAGTCTGAAGGTTATAAGCAAAGCACAAAGCACTTGCAATTAAAGTTGCAGCATGCTAGGGAATGTATTCAGAAGGGACTCAGTAACGGTGTCCTATATGCCAGGTAATGAAATTCCTGCTGATGTATTGTCCAAGATTGTATCAAGGGATCAACACTGTACCTATGTGCAGAAGTTGGGTTTGTACTGATATTGTGCAAACACGCTGCCCAGTGATGTTCACAGAAAGGGGAGGATGTTGGTTTCTATTTCCCTCACTGAGCAGCAACTGCAGTCACAAGACATTGTTTTACATTCCACAGTCTGTACTGTTGGAGTTTCTCACGGGAAAGGGAGACTGGATGTGACGTACACTGGTTTCCTGTTTTTTCACTGTGTGATTCTCTCCAAGCTGTCGAGGAGAGAGGATGCATTTCTCTGCTCCTGCAGAGGCAAGATGTCTTTCTGTAATATACCAGCTTTGAACTGTAAATAAAGCAATATAGCAATATAGAGTATGTATCACGTATTCCTCATCCTTCCGCTGGGCACGACAGACTCTGCTACCTTCCAGATTTCTTTAACAATACTTTCCACCAGTCTTCCTGGGAAAGATGTTAAGCTAACCAGACTGCAATTTTCCAGGATCCCCCTTGGTTCCCATTTCAAAAATTGGTGTTACGTTGGTCACTTTCTAGTCCTCGGGTATGGAAGCTGATTGTACCACTTCCACTGTGATATGGTGGTGTTTCTTCTATCCTCTGCAGGACCCTCTCAGCTCTTTGAAGCCTGGCTATTGCACTTCAACCTAGAGGAGAAGAAAGGGGAGATCTCGGAGCTGCTGGTGAACAGCCCTTCCATCCGCTCTCTCTACTCCAAGATGGTAAGGTGGTGCAGTGTGGCTTAGTCCCTTGATCTTCTGGGTCTTGTTTTCAAACAGTTGCTCTAGAAGTTAGTTGCTCACATTTATCTGTGGGGTGGTGCTGTTCTCTATTCTGAAGGAAGAGGCAGGGCTCCAGAACATGTCCATTGCAATTCCTGTGTAATGCTTTTGAATGCAGAAAATTTGGTTCCTAACAGAAGATTCTAGGGAGCAGCAGTGTCTTAAAATCCTAGGGGTTTCTTCTCTTACATCTTACAGACGTAATCTCTCCACCCATAATTCCCTACACACATTCAGCCATGCAGTCTGTCTTATTAGAGTCCCCCCAGTGGGAGGAGTCTCTGTATATGCATGCAGGGCCTGTCTCACACTTGGTGTTGATGGGGCTATGGAGTGCAACCCCACAACTGCCTTGCTCTCCTGGGTGAACCTATGAGGGGGTTTTGTGTACTCCCCTAATGTGATTCTGGTTTAAGACAACTGTATCCACTGCATCCCTGTTCATCCTTCTGTTTCCTTCTATTGACATCAGGTGCCAGTGGCTGTGTCCCATTCTGAATTCTGGCAACGCTACTTCTACAAAGTCCATCAGCTGGAGCAGGTGAGTTTGTAGAGGTTATCTCTGGGAGCGACTGAGACAGAGTCAGTTTTTCTCCATTGCAGGATGCAGTAAGGGGCAACACAAGGGTGTTTGAAGGAGGGTGCAACAGTGTCTTTCCAGGACAGTCTTCTAAGTCACATTTCCAGAGAGAGGCTCTAAGTTCAGGGAAAGATGCTTATAGGCCTTTCTCATGAGAGCCAGTGTGGTGTAGTGGTTAAGAGCGGTAGTCTCGTAATCTGGGGAACCGGGTTCATGTCTCCGCTCCTCCACATGCAGCTGCTGGGTGACCTTGGGCCAGTCACACTTCTTTGAAGTCTCACAGCCCCACTCACCTCACAGAGTGTTTGTTGTGGGGGAGGAAGGGAAAGGAGAATGTTAGCCGCTTTGAGACTCCTGAAGGGGAGTGAAAGGCGGGATATCAAATCCAAACTCCTCCTCCTCCTCCTCCTCCTCCTCCTCCTCCTCCTCTTCTTCTTCTTCTTCTTCTTCTTCTTCTTCTTCTTCTTCTTCTTCTTCTTCATGTGCACCTGTGGGCACACAGAGTGGCTCATTCCTCATCCCTTAATGCAGCTTGCTTGCCAAGCCCTTCCTGTCTTTTTTCCTGAAGCAGACAGTGTGTCACTTAGCATTCAGTTGCACTGTGGAACAGCAGAAATGTCCTAGACTTGTAGTATTCTTTGAGATTCTGGCCTACTCAGTTTGGGGGGTGGGAAGTGGTAAGAGAGTGCTGCTGCTTCAGACTACAGGAATCATGCTCTTATGAAGAGACTGGAGCAGTTGGAAGAATCAAGCATGCAAGTGGTAAGGCGGCATATGTGGTCACATTTCAAATGACTTGGTAGTCTAGATGCAAAGTGCAGCTTGAACTAAGGAGAAGTGGAAGGAGTGGCTGTTTTGTATGGTGAGGGATTGTTTGTTAGCAGGAAATTCTTTGCTTGTGCCAAGACATTTTAAAGTCAAGCCTTTGTTAGCCCAAGACTTGTCAGCCTGCCAGAATCATGAGCAATGAACATCAACTGGTAAACCTGCAGATGAGGGTTTACACTCAGGCCTATGGGGTTCCTGTTGATCTGTTCTGATGCTCAGGTGAGGACTTTCCATAGTACCTTCCAGGGGGCTGAGGGCTTGCCTTGAGGCCTGGCCCCAGAAGCTTCTGTCCTACTCTTGGGCATGTCCCTTTGGTTTAGCTCTATAAGTATTTCCTCTCTTCCCCTTCCTTGCCACCTTCCTTCCCATGTGCAGCTGTCAGAAATCTTTTCTCACCCAGGAGTATGAGCTCTTGAACTCTGCCTGCAGGGGTAGTCTTGTGCCCTCTCCCTGGTCAGCAGGTGAGCAACTTCTGACAGCCATCTGAATTCCTTTCTGTCCCAGGAGGAGGTCCGGAGAGAGGTTTTGAAGCAGCGGGCAGAACAAAGTGTTCATTCAGAGGAGCCAGGCTGGGAAGAGGAAGAAGGTTAGTGAACAGAAATTGCTTCCCAGCTGGGCAAGATGCCTGGAGGGGTCTTCTGGCCCTTTTGTTTATAGTTTCCTGCACTTTATGCACAATTTATTTATTGAAAAGATGCCTACTGCATCTTTCCACTAATACCTTTTGGGGAAACTTCCATGCCAAATTAAAACCATGCAAGGATAAAATACAAAATAAAACTCAGATCAACCTCGGAAGAGCATCTGCCTTGAGAACAAATACAATGACTAAACCACTCATGCTTTTTATCTCCAGAAATTGGGACAATAGAGAAGAATTCACTTGGTGCCTAAAAGAATAGTAAAGGGGAAGGGCCTTCCATCATTTTGGTGCAATGGTAGAAAAGGTCTTGTCTTTGGTAGCCACCTGTGTAACCCCTGAAGGTGGAGTTAATTGAAGCAAGGCCTCAGCTGATGAATTCAGGACATGAGCAGATCTATTTGACAGGTGACAGTTCTTCAGGTAACCAGTTCCCAGGTCATTCAGGCCTCCACATAGTTGAGAACCAGCATTTTGAAATCTTCTTGGAGACAGATTTGGAATTGGTGTGTTTTCTTTAGGCCGAAAGTTGCAATATTGGCTGCCTCCTTAGCAGCTGGGCTTGTTTTGGCTATTTAAACATGGTGAGGGCCACTGTTTGCTCCTTTCCTGATGGAGTCTGCAAACATGCTCTAGCCCCCTAAAGTTTTGCTCTACGTTGCAGTGCAAGAGTGGGTTTTTCTAGGCAAGTTGCCCATCCTCCTCTTAACTGTTTCTGTTTGGGGATTCCCAGGTTAGTCTGCCTTGATGGTTAACATAGCCTTATTGGTGTACAGAGTAACATAAGCCACACATATATATATATAAAGATGGGGCCCTCACCTGAAATTTCACTAATGAATGCAGATGAAGTTTTTGCTTGTCTTATTGCACAAAAAAAAATCTTAGGAGCTGTTTTGCTTAGCAGTGTTACAATTTTTGGACATTTGTAAAGCTTGGGAGAAAGGGAGAAAAAATTCCAGGCATCCTGGCAGGGGGAAATTAAATGGCTTATTGCCTGGTAGTGCCCTCATTGCTAAGAAATAACACGCCAGGAAGTACAAAAGAGAAGGGCAGGGGAGAGAAACCTTCTCTTTGTAGGGAAACTCTGGCATTATTAGTATTCAGAAGGCTGTAAGGAAAACTTCCTGATCAGTCTTTCCCTTACCAAGTCAGAGGGGAAAGCAAGAATTTCCCCCTGCTTGTTTCCCACTGCTCATTTTCCCCTGCTTATGAATGTCATCAGTGACACATTCACTCACCCATTTTGCCTCACTCTCTCCCCTCTTCTACCGCAGAGGAATTCCTTGGGTCATCCTCCTCCCAGTCTAACGTCTGCTCGCAATCTCCCCAAGAGGTGAAGCCAGCTTCCCCCACCTCTGCAGCAGTGCTCACTCCGACCCTAGAGGCATCGGTGGAAAGCTGGGCTATGTTGGGCACTGCCCCGGCAGAGGTGACTCCATCTGAAAGCAGCGAAAGCATCTCTTTGGTGACTCAGGTTGCAAACCCTGCTGCTGCTGCTGCACCTGCTGCTGCTGCTTCACCTGCTGTGCCCTTACAGACTGGAGCCCAGCTCTCTGGGGCAGGGGACATCTCTCAGAGGCTGCAGGAAGCTACCGCAGAGGAGCAGACCTCACTCGCAAAGCCAGCGGAGCCTGCACATCCTTCCCCAGCTGCTCCAGAGGCAAAGCCTTCCCCAAAGCAACCCAAGGAGCAAGTGGAGGCCAAGCCAGTGAGCAGGACAGAGACTCTGCGAGAGGACGGGCCAATGGATCTGCGACTCTTTGAACTCAACTCCGACAGCGGGAAATCCACGCCCTCCAACAATGGGAAAAAAGGTGGGTAGCCTGGACAGTGCTCAGTGAGCCAAACCTCTGCCCTCTGTAAATGTCCATTAGCATGTGGAAAGTTACCCATTTGCAAGCCCCTCTTGACCCTTGACAGCTCTGGAACAACACCCATTTCCATGTTGGTGTGGTCTGGCTACCAAGGTGTGGATGCCGCACAGCCTTGAGTGCATTTGTTGTTGTTTAGTGATTTACTTCCTGCTGTGGCATTTGTGGTACATCAAAAGCCTTGAGCAACGCCTCTGTTGTTCTTTTCATTTCAGGCTCTAGCACAGATATTAGTGAGGATTGGGAAAAGGACTTTGACCTGGACATGACTGAAGAAGAGGTGCAGTTGGCCCTCTCCAAGGTGGACATCTCTGGGGAGGTGAGTCCTTGCAGGCAGCCAGGTCCAGAAGACTGTCCCTGGGGTTCTTGGGATGGTTGCAGAACATATTACAAAGGCTTTTTGAAAAAAGGCTGCTGTTTGGTCACTGGCTTACTCCCAGGAAAGGGTTGTAGGGTTGCAGCCTAAGAAGGCTTTCAGAAGAGACAATGAGGACCTTATTTTTCTTTATTTTGTTGCTCACACCTTTGTGATACTGTGACACTAACATGTACATGACTTGTGTTGGACACAGGCGTGTCCTTGTGCTCCAGAAAAAATGCCATGCTTGCTCTTTTGTAGAAGGGGAGCAGCCAGGCACTGAGGAGGAGGAAGAGGAGGACTATCTTAATGCTTTAGTTCTCTCTCTGGCAAGACTGCTGACTGGGATCCAATCATTTGTATCTTCAAGGCCACATCTATTTTAGCTGATTTTGGGGGAACCACTTGAAGCATCTGTTGGGTTGAGCTATTTCAATTACATTTGTGTGATTTCCTCATTGCCAACAGCTGAAAGTCTGTAAAATTTTGATAATAAACCTGATTTGGATTGGGGGCTGAATAATTTTGATTGCAACTGTATATATGGATTCTAGTCTCAGGTTTTAATAGTGTTTCAGCAGCACATAGACTGGATTGCCTGGTTGGTTCTTTGCAAGGCAAAGGATCAATCAACGTAAAATGCTTTAATTTGCTGGCAGCTCTTGGTCTAATCCCGTGCACAATCATTGTGTGACCTCGGTCAGTGCTTGCTCTTTGTCCCTTTGTAACATCCTACCTTAAAACACCTTTCTTCTTGTGCTCCCTCCCTCTCCTACTGCAGATGGAAGATGAAGAATGGGAAGACTGGGAATAACATGGGGTCGTCACTTCCGTGGTGCATCTTGGTATCTTCCCCCACCCCCTTCCCCCCTCCGCACCATCCAATGTGAATTAAACCACAGAGCAACCGGTTCCTTTTTCCTGTGTAAATGTGTTCCGGGCTGGCTGCATCTCATCTCTGCTGAAATCCTGTTGGGGACCTTGGACCATAACCCACACTTGGATCCTGGTGGTGGCTGGTATCACGTGGGGCTGCCGAAGAGCCTCGGCAGAGGGAGTGGGGCACAGGGATAGGTGCATCTTCCCAGTAGGTCCTCTGGACTATTGCTTCTCTCAGAGCTGTCTCAGTGTGGATTTATTTTCCTTTGGGGAGGGCATGGTTTGAGGTGGGTGTCAGTTGATGGTGGTTTGGGGTGGGTGTGGGGTGAGTCTGACTGGGCTCTAGAAGATAATTAGGATTATTATGCCTGTTCTTCACTAGGCTGACCACTTCCTAGCTGTGCCTCCTTCTGTGTGAGTGTTTTCATGAAACCCAATAAGCTTTTAGAGAAGGAGGAGACAACCCCTCTAGCATGGTGTCTGATTGCTCATACCCATTTCCCTTAGCATCTTGCACTGCCTGATAGGAAGCCAGGACACTGAAAAGCTGGGAGAGTCCTCTCATCCCTACCTATCCCTCCTGAACTGCTCCTTCTCTGCTTTTCTGGGACTTGAAGCACTTTTTAAAAAATAAAAATGAAATCTTAAGCTGAATCCTTGCTTAGCAGCACGTGACACTAGCGGGAGCATCTGCTGCACAAGCTCCCCTGAATTGAACGCAAGTGGAAGGAGATGTTCCTGCTGGGTTGTGCTGCTGAGACCTTCTTTGAAAAGGGCTGGGTGTGAGTTTCTGTGGAGCTGCTGAATGGCGCAAGTGCAGCTCCTCTGCTGGTGGCCTTGCTATTAGGCATCCCTGAGAAGCACTGACAGTCAGTGTTGAAGGACCAGCATTTGCCAAAGCCTCATGCCCCTCTTTCCCGCCCCCACTTGGGCTGATGCATTTGTCAATCTCTGTCTATGGCAGCCTTCACCAACCTAGTGAAGGCTAGTATGCAGCTAGCCTCTGGAAAAACCCCATCCCCGGGGAGAGGTCTCTCATGCTCCCCAACCTTGCCAAGAGCTACAACTGCCTACAAGGCTGTGTTCCTTCCTTGCCCGCATCCCTCTGACCTTCTCGAGGCATATCTGTTTCCTTTTGGTGCGATCCCCCCCTTCTCCTGATATGCTCCTTGCCACAACATAGTTGAGTCGAAAGCGTATGTAACTACTTGAGCATCTCTGACCTCAGAACTGATTAGCTCTGTTCATGCATTTCTAAAATGGGTCCAAAATGGGCTTCCTCTCCATTAGGAAGCTCTCGTGCACAAACTCCGTTGAAGCAAATGGGAGTTGTGCAGAGGTTCAGCATCTCTCTGATTCATACAGCTGTGACAGGAAATGTGCTTATGTTCTTCCCCAATGATGCAATATACCTGGGGGGGGGGTTCTGACTTAGGCTGGTTTCATACCAGAGCCCCTGTGGTTGAGCCTTCAGAAGCATCTGATATTTGTCAGAGCCATCCAAAGGCGACTCCCTTCCAGCCTTCTCACAGTGCTGCTGCTCATACATTCATCTTCTCAATAGTGCCTGGCTTCTTAAGAGTACCAGACAGGAATAAGAAAGTTCCTGCTACTTATTTCTCTTTCCTGCTCCTATTGGAAGCCACACACTGCCAAAAGGAAAGTAAGCAAGTGAGCACGCAGCAGTGCTGTGCAAGAGCTGGAAGGAGGCTCTCCATGGGTCGCTTAGTAGCTGTCAGAATTTATAGCTGCTACAGTCACCTTTCCTAGAGGCTTCTGATGGTGTGGAGACATGTTTGCAGGCTCCTGTATGAGCCAGCCCATGTAAAGGAACCCCCATTTGGGGGAAACTAGCAACAGAGTCAGCCCTAAAAGCAGATTAAGGAGAGTGAAGCACCCAAGTTTCTTGGTTGCTTTGTTCACAGTATTTCTTGTTGTGTTTGTCCTCGGTTCACATGAGCTGTTGCTTCTGAAATGGGGATCAGTGGTGGAGCACATACATACATGCTGCATCCCTGTCTCGGTCCCTGCCATCTCCCTTTAGAAAGATCATGTAGCAGCAGGAGGTGGGTTTGGCCTTCTGCCTGAGTTGCTGGTATAAGGCCACTTCTATTCCTGTGATCTAAAACAGGATAGTTTTTTGGGGGGCAGGGTAGCGTGTGCCCCACTGCCCTTCTCCAGCGTAGTGCAAAAATGAATGTTCCCTGCGTTTGCAGGTACGAGCTCCACCACAGTCTTGAGGGGGCTGCTTTTGGATGTGTCTTAATCATCCATATGAGGGCCTGGCTAAGCCACGGGACAAGAAGATAGTTTAGAAAATGAGCTATGTTCTATATCCCCTTGAAGACTGGATCTCATGGAGTTTAGCAGAGCATAGGGGTGCCAAGAATCAGTGGTGTGACATCTGCCTAGAAGAGCCCAAATCCAAGTGTCTGAGAAGGATGGTGATTGTCAAGGGACATCTGTGGCTCCTGGGTCAGCTTGCTTTTTTAGATGTGTCTGTGTGATGATGGGGCAAAGCATGGTAGTAGAGAGCCAGATTCTGTTTCAAGGAGGTAGCCTGCCAAGGGGACGAGGCTCATTCCCAGTTGGGGTTGGGGAAAAGTACTGAGGCTCTGATTTCATCATAATTCTCCGTAGTTCATTTTCTTCTCTCTTGGTTGTGCAATATTCTCTCATTTTTAAATTATACTGCAACTCCCTGGACTGTTTTCTAGCTGGGGTGAAGAAGTGACTCTAACAGCTGTTTAGTTTTGTAATGATGACTTTCTCCTGAACCTTTTACAGACTTGCCGTTAACAGCAATTAAAAGAGTTCTACAGAAATGGCCTGGTGATATTGGTTTCTTGACTCCTCCCCCCCCCCACCAACCCTGTTGTGCAAGTAGGTGTAGCAGCCATAGTTTGGGAAGTGTGTGTTTTTTCAAATTCAGTTCAGATTCAAAGTCTTAGGAAGAACTTTCTGACGCTGATAACTGTTTGACAGTGGAATCAACAACTTCGGAAGGTGGTGGTTTTTCAACCGAGGTTGGCTGCCCACCTGCCAGAGATTCGTTAGCTTTGATTCCTGCATGGTAGGGGGTTGGACTAGATGACCCTTGGGGTCTCTTCCAGCTCTGCCATTCTATGATTCTCTTCCTTTCAGAGATGCCAAATAACACACTGCTGTCTTAGAGGGGATGAGCAACAAGACAGGCTGCATTGCCAGAATAGGGGTTACAACTAGCCGCTGTCCTCTTGGAAGATATGGTAGGATGGGAGGGTGAAGGAGCTGTACCCTCTAGTCTGAAGGGCAAGGTGTTTAGGGGTAGCTGAAGAGGAGAGAGAATGTGGGAGTGGCAGTGGGATTCCCCCCCCCCAGCTCTAGGTCCATCATGACAAAAATAAAAGCAGCTGCTTCCTTCAGCTTCTGTTTGGAAAGTTCCTTCTTTGTGGCCTTCATGAGAAGGGAGAAAGCACTCTTGAGAGCAAGTAATCCACAGCCCCTGCTTGGCCTCTGGCTGCAAGAGCTCTAGGGTGTCTTTCCTACCCTATTAGTTGCCTCAGTTTGCTCTTTGCCCACTCGTAGCCAAAGAGATTGCAGAAGCTTGTTAGATATATCTATCAGCTATGGAAGGATGGGCTGCCACTCAGCAGACCCTGTGCTCTACATGCTTGAGGCCTCCAGTTAAAATGCTCTTGAGGTACCAGCCTGGGAAAAACCTCCCTATCAGAGCAGACCAGTCTCTGCCAACCTGCTGCCCTGCATTTGTTTAGTCTAAAATATATTCACAGCACCAGGTTGGTGTAGGCTGGAGCTTTTTACCTCTTCTTTTAGGCTGGAGCTGAAAATGCTGAGCTAGATGGATTGATGGATCAGTACAAGACAGCTTCTTAGGATTTTATATTTGACATGGGGGGATATTTTTTGCAAAGTAGCAAGTACTCCTGTGGGATGCCCACTGAAAACAGTGCCTTTAAGAGGCAGCTGGGGAGGAGCCAATCACCCTCCTTAAGAGTGCTCACACATGCCCTTGGTCTGTATTGGAATGCTTCTTAGAGGCAGCTTTGGATGGCAGAGAGAGAGAGAGAGAGAGAGAGAGAGAGACTGGCAAGGGAAGACACACCTCTCTGCTCTTGTTCATATATCTCTGGAAGCCGGGGCCACTTCAAATTTGCCCAGTGAGAGGGGGAAGTGTGCAAAGAATTGGGCAAGGATAGACCAGAAACTGAGCATAACGTTAAAATATATGTGAGCATTTTGGAAACAGCCTGTCCCCTTTTATTTGGGGAGAGTTTTTGACACGGTCCTTTTCTCAGGAGCTTGCTAACCACGGGTGCCAACTCACTTCTTCGATGGAAGGTCTCAGGATCATGTCCGGTTCCAACAGGCTTTTGAGGAGGTCCTGGCATTCCTCAGAAATCCCCAAGTGGCCAGGAATGGAGACCCCCTTCTGCTGGTGGCACAGCATCTTGGGGATATCCGTGTCGTCGAAGGGCAGGTTTGCACAGAGCATGACGTAGAGAACCACGCCCATGCTCCAAATGTCCCCTTTCCGGCTGTCGTGGGGCACGCCCTGCAGCACCTCGGGGGCTGCGTAGGCTGTGCTGCCACAGAATGTCTGGCTCAGGTCCTTCCGGTTTTTGGGGAGCAGCTTGGCAAATCCGAAATCGGTCAGTTTCAGGTTGAAACCCTGCAGGAGCGCATTCTCGCACTTGAGGTCACGGTGCGCCACGCCACAGCTGTGGCAGTAGCGGATTGCCTCCACCAGCTGGCGGAAGAGCGATTTGGCCCGGCTCTCAGGCAAGGGCCCCCCTTGCAGGACACAGTCGAACACGTCTCCATCCTCTGCTAGTTCCATCACCAGGTAGATCTTCCCGTCCGTTGACTCCAGCATCTCGTACACTCGGATGATGTTCTTGTGGTCCAAGCGCTTGACGATCTGGAGCTCTCTGGGCAGGAATCTCTCGATAAACTCTGCAGAGGGAAATGACAGAGTAAGCAAAGATGCATCAGGGGCTAACTAGCAGCTAAGCTGGCTGGAGAAGAGCTTATTTACACATTCCTGGTAAAATTAAATCAGGAGTCCCTCCAGGGAAATTATGTGTTTCTGTTAATGACTATGATGGTACCGGGGAAGTTCTCAAACAAGACGTGATGACAATATACATTGTCCATCACCAATTATAGCTCACTGTCAAACAAAGACATAAAATAAACCATAATAAATAAACCACAGGTATGTGAATGTGTGGAAGGTAGCCATTACATAGATGTAATGGTTAAAAAAAGAGAGTTACAAAACATATGCCCTATTATACAAGGGAAAGTTATTACATTTGATTCAGGACATTTGAATACTTTATAAGTCATATTAGTTCATAGGCTGAGGGGGAATCCTTGGCCATGTTCCTCCTTGCTTACAAACGAAATGAAGTCAGACCAAACAGGCATGAAATCCCTTTTTCTTTGGCCCCTAAGGACTCTTAGCTTATTAGTTTTTCCAGCAGGCAATATCCAAACTTCAGTGTACCAAGTAGTAAGATTGGCCCCGTCCCAATTTTTTGAAAACGGTGCCACGGTCATTCTAGCTATTATAATCAGGTGTACTAGCAAGTCTTTATTATGCAATTTTTTATCACCCTCGACAAATATAAATAAAAGGGCTAATTGAGAAGTTGGGAGAAAGTGGTAGTTCAAAATCTTACTAATTTCTCTGAATACCATTGCCCAAAATTCTTGCACTCTTAATACAACCCCACCATAGGTGGAGATATGATTCAATTGAAGCATTTATATGCTGACTTTCAATATGCTAAAACAGTACACTAGAAATGAATGTTAAAAACAATCTAGTTTTAAAAAGCTTGAGAAAATAAATAGGGGTTTGCCTGGTGCCTAAAAGGCCTCTAAGCAGGTACTGGGCAAGCTTCCCTGGGAAAAGAGGGGTTAAAACCAAAAAAGTCCTCATCCTAATTGCCACTCAGCACCCCTCAGACAAGGGAGTGAAGAAGACCTTCATAGATTTTGGGGCTTGGACTGGTCAATGTTGGAATGTTCCATCAGTTGCCCAGATCATAAGCCATGGATTGAAAACTTAGCACCTAGAATTGCACTTGAAAACACACCAGGAGCTAGTGGAGACCATTATTGGTGAAATGTGTTTCCAATACCTGATCCTAGTGAGGAAGCTTGCATCTGTGTCTGGAATTAGCTGTCCTTCCCAAGCAATCTTCAAAGCTGGTCCCCACACAACCCATTGTACTAACTAGGAGAATGTCAGACCATGGATAACTATGGCCAGGCTCTATGTGCAAGAAAAAGCCACAGCTAGTGTACCAGTTTTGCTGGTTGGAAGCTGCTCTGTGCCACTTGGCCCTCCAGCAAAAAGCTGGAGCTGTGATACACCCCCCTTCTCAACTGTCCACAACAGGCTGAATAGCAATGCCACCTCCATGGGCAAGGACTAACCTCAGACGTCTTCCCATGGGGAGCTTCCTTTGTTGGTTGCTGCATAATCAGCCCTGCTGTTTTGGTGGTTCCTTTTACCACTTGCATAAAAGCAATTTGGACAAAACCAGAGTGATGTTTAAAGGGGCCCCGTATTTCCAGACAAGATAGAGTAGGAGGCTGTTCCTGCTTGCTCTTAGGGATCTTTAGTTCACTGTCCTTACCTCCTCTTCTCCCCACCCCACCCCAAATATTCTGGTGAAGCACCTGCAGAAAGGACAAATCCTGCAAAGTAGTAAGCAGTTTGCTACATTTTGTAGTAAAACAATCTGGTCAGCCACATCGGCAAAGACAGCCCAGTCTCCGTTCAGAGGAATGGCAATGCTTTTGCAGAGTGTTTCAATGACAATTGCAGGCAATTGTGCCACAGGATCCCAACTCCCTGGAGGAAAATACAACCTACTGGGCCTATTCGTTCCTCAATTTAGGTGTGTGAACTGGCAGAACCTTATCTGTCTTGTGCTTAATGCTTTTTCCTGGCTCTTACCTTCTGGTCCTCCCATTTTGTCTATAATTTTCACGGCCACTTTTCGTTGGTGTTTTTTTGAAAAAGCTTCCTTGACCTTTGAATATGTCCCTTCTCCAATGGTTTTACCCATCTGGTAACCATGGGAGAGAAGAAACTCCTCCATTGTGTCTTGAACGTGCTCATCTGTCATTCTCAGGACATCATGTCATCACAAAGTATATACATCGCCGTCCTTCGCCTCCCAGACCAGGGTCTGCATTGGTTGCAGCCCAGGATGCTAGATCATTTTTCCTGCCCAGACAAGGTCCTTTGATGAGGGGTGAAACTGAGGTTGGACATCTTGAAACTTTGAGCCCCCATTGTGATGCAACCTTGTGTTACCTGAGGACCCCGGGCTGGAGGTAGTAGTTTTGCACCAATGGGAGGAAAGCAGACATGCTTCCTTGGAGAGCCTGCATTGCCCAAGCCCTCAGCTTCCTCCAGTGCCCTCCAGGGGGGTGATGGGTTAACCTGCCAAGAGGCCTACAGCTTTGAGGCCTTGGGTAAGAGATGAATATAGTCCACACTGTAGTGTAGTGAACCTCTTTATTTGTCCAGGGTGAACATGGACAATTAAATTAGTCTCCTTTTCCCCATCATGGAAGTCTGCTGGCTTGAGGCTACTTGGCAGGATTTGGGTCTAACTACGTCAGGCAACTCTTAAGAGTAAGTATTCTAATTCCCTCAACCATTTTCTTATTCAGTGAGATGATTTCCTTAAGATAAGAGTTTGTCGTTGGACACATCTGCAAACCAGATAATCTGTTGTGGGTGCCACACACAACGCAACTTGTTCATTCAAACCAAATTTCAAGTACGGAGAAGGGAACCTGTGGACACTGTGGGAGGGGGGCTTTGCATGTGCTTCTGTATCTGTGAACACCACATTGGGAGTTGCACCTGTGGCTGCTGGAATTGCTGGGGATCAGTCGGCGGTCTACTTCGAATCACTCATCTATGATATATAATGGGACTTATCAGCACAGAGAGAGCCAAGTGTGGTACAGTAGCCTCGTGGGTTGGGACTGGGCACGGGGAGAGATGCCCTAGAGGCATTTGCAGCCAGAAGCCAAGCAGGGGCTTTGCTCCAAATAACTTGCTCTCTCACTCATCAAGACCCCCAAGGAAGAACTATCCAAACAGAAACTGAAGGATGCAGCTGATTTTATTCCTGTCCTTGAAGACCTACAGCAAGCTGGTGGGCCTCTACTGCCATCCCCACTGCCTCTCCTATATTCCCTATATTCCCTCATTCCTCAATTCTGGCCAGATAGCATGCCCTCCAACATTTCTCAGAAAATAGGGACATTCTTTTCTACACCAGTAGAATGTCCCTATTTGCTGAGGAATGTTGGAGGGTATGACAGCTCCTTCACCCTCCCACTCACTGTATTCTCCAAAAGGATAGTGGCTAGTGCTAGCCCCTATTTTGGCAATGTATCCAGTCTCATTGCCCATCCCCTCTAAGACAGCAGTGTTTCATCTGGAACCTCTGAAAGGAAGAGAACACACACACTTCCCAAACTTATGACTGCACACCTATTTGTGTGAACAACAGAGAGCTTCCAGAATTTGCAAAAAAACAGGGCACAGTATTCTGTCAAAATGAACCCCAAAACTAATTTTAACCCCAGTAGGCCACCTAGCTGAGCATTATGCCTTCTGAAGGGCCAGCCAGGTTTATCAGAGAAATTTAACAGCAGGGTCTGATGGGTTTTTTTCCCTCCTTGTTTTTCTCCATCATCTGTTAACTAGAGAACCCCTCACAATTACCATTTTTTTATAAGCTAAAGGTCCCAGCAGTTCAAGCAGATCTTTATAAGGAAGATGATCAGTTTCTGAAAGAAAATACAACAGTAATTTTGTTCTTTGGACTTCTGTAATAATGGCTGCCTGATAGCACTTTGGGCTTTGATGTTGGTGCTTTTGGGGAAACTGAAGACCACCATCTTGTAAGTTGGTAGCAAGACCTGGAATTATGCAGCTATGATGTTAAATGTATGAATAACTCAAGAACTGAAGGGTTGAGATGACATAACTTGGAGTTTGGAAACAAATATATCCATTGTAAGTGGTTTTTCAAACGAAATCTTCAAGGCCTATGTTGTACACTAGAAAGTTAGAAACCAAAATTAAGCTGATCCCTCCCTTACCCATTAAGTAAAGACTGGTGTTTCTCTTTCTAAACCAGAGATGGGGAACTTGTGGTCCAACAGACGTTGGTAGACTCCAGCTCCCCTTAGCTACAGTTAGCATGGACAAAGGGAACTGTAGCCCAAGGACATCTAGAGAGCCACAGGTTCCTCATCCCTGCTCTAAGCAGACCTGTGGTGGTGGAGTCCCAACTTCTGCTTGGCATCTTTAAGGCACTGTGGGCATTTTCATACAGCGCCACACATTAAGGAAGACAAGAGAGACAGGTTTTCTAGCATCACCTTTGTGCCTCAGGAGGACCTGAAAGCCACATCACTAGAGAGGCTGGAGGAGGAGGAGGGTTTGTTAAAGGGAAAATTGCTAGGAGCTGAGCAACACTGAACCCTTGGAGGTATCATATAAACCTGTCAGCTGATATGAATAAAGAAGCTCTTACCTGGGGGTAATAGAAGACACTGGTGCTACAATAAGGGCAAAACATATAGGGTTGGCTGGTTTGCGAATGTAAATGAGATTGTCCTCTCACAAACGTCCCAGATTTGGATGCCATTATGGATGGATATTGTCAGAGAGCAAGAAGTGACTCTTGAGTTCATTGTCCACAAGGCTAGGAAGGGAATGGGCCAGGCTGGCTTGGGCTGAGCTTTCAGCCTAGGATTCCCTGCCCTGGAGACCATCAGCAGAGAGAAGGCTGGGTGCATTGTGATGCAAGCATAGCCCTTCCGAGTCACAATGCCGCTGAGCCGCTGCCTCCCTCTGGGCTCCGTCCCAGCCTGCCCTTTGCAATAGGCGCTTCAACCTGCCCAGTGGACTCTTAGGGAGCACTCCTCCGCCTTTGATAGGTAAGGCTGGGACGGAGGAGCCAAGGGCAAGACAGAAGAATGGGCCGGCCCAGGATGCCAGACTCCAGGCACCCCATGGTGGGGCCACCCAAACAATACTCAACCAAAGCAGGAGTGGAACCAGTTGGCCCTGTCATGAGGCAGAGTGGAGCAACCACCTCAGGTGGTAGATTCTGGGGGGCAGTGGCAATAGCAGTGGCCCCTCAGCTGCTGCTCCTTAACACCCCAAGCTGTACCCCTTGGTTGGAGTTGTTCATGCTATGTGGTCTGCCCTGCCCCCTCCCAAACTAACCTGGAGCCTTGGGTGCAGCAGAGGACACCACCCTGTTGCTTGTGATTCACTTGCAAGCCCAGCAACTTTCCTCTGCAGGATGGGTAGCAGCTGTCCTCTTGCCCTTTGCCTTGGGAGCAGTGAAATGTATTGGGCTGGGCTGGCCTGGAGTCCGTTTAGAGTGACTGGGGCGAACTTTTCTCCACACCAGGAAAAGGCCTCCCCTGCACAATTTCTGTGTCAGGTTTCGGTTGAAGGTACAAGGTGAAGTTATTTTAAATAATGTTGCAGCCATACTGTAGTGCATGGGGGGACGGGACAGGAACAGGAAGACAGACACTTACCTTCCTGGCAGCTGAAGTATGGGGTTGGCTGGGGCTTCCAGGCAGCTTCTGGCACCCCTCTGAGTTCTTTCATACATGGTCAGAAATGTAGAACTGTTGGATGTTTAGCGATGCACAAATACACGGGATCCACTCCCCCTTGTGAACACACTATTGCTGCATTTCCAATAACATAAACCAGATTCTCTCTTGCTCCCCTCCCTTTCTGTGACTCGCATATCAATGTATTATCTAAGCAGGCAGCATATACAAAAACACTGTAGACATTAAGAGTATTTTTCAAAAGATCACAACCCTAAAACGAACCAATGGAGTAAAGAATTCATTGGTATGGGCAGATATGTCTTCTGAGCACCCACTTGTGAGGCCTGAGAGTGGGGCAGGGGACCCTCAGAAGAACCAGGAGCTTCCTAGGCTGGTGTGTGATGCTCCTAGAGTTGCTTACGCAGCTGGCATTTTGGAGTAGGTGGATGAGCCTGGCGCAGGGGCAGAGGGATGTCCCACTGAACACTTCTCTTCCATAGACAGGTCTGGGGCTCGGACATGAGCTCCCAAGAGACCCCACAAGCTCGGAGATTTCCAATAGAGGCAGGAGATTCTCCCAGCCTGGCGACTGCCCCCGAAACACAGGAGCCAGTTGCCCCTGAGCGCACTGCAACAAGGTAAGGAAACGTTTCACAGTGGGACAGGCAGGATTCAACCCTGACACCACAGCTGAAGGAGAAGGGCTGTGGTGGCTCAGTTGGCAGAGCATTTCCTTTGCACACAGAAGGTCCCAGGTTTAGTCTCTGCTATAGCCAAGCAGGTCTGGAAACTGCCCTTCCCTCAATCCCTGGAGAGCCACTGCCAGTCAGCATAGATGATAATGGGCTAGATGGACTTCAACAAAGGCAGGTTCCTGTTTCCCTAACCTGCCACTCCTCCTCTTTCTGTGGAGAGCAGGTGCTAACCCGTCTTCTATTGCATCGAGCAGCCAAGTGTATGAGGGAATCTGCCTCTGAAAATATGGGTGGACAGAACTAGTTACAGTGGTACTTTGGGTTACATACGCTTCAGGTTATAGATGCTTCAGGTTACAGACTCCGCTAACCCAGAAACAGTACCTCAGGTTAAGAACTTTGCTTCAGGATATGAATAGAAATCGTGCTCCAGCGGTGCGGCGGCAGCGGGAGACCCCATTAGCTAAAGTGGTGCTTCAGGTTAAGAACAGTTTCAGGTTAAGAACAGACTTCCAGAACGAATTAAGTACTTAACCCGAGGTACCACTGTACACCCAAACCATCAGGCAGCGCGGAAGAAATGACACTAAACTTGCTCTGGATCATCTTTTGGTAATTTAGCAGCAAATCACTTCTAGTCATATGCAAACTTCACAGGGCTCAGTCAACAGTTGTCAGTTGCTAGCCTGACTGCAGCTTATGCAGAGACCAGATGAAAGGCTGTTAGACTAAATTAGCTGATGAGGGATAGAAATGGTCAAGAAAATATGTGTGGGGTGGATAAAATATATTATTTTCCTGGTGGTAGGGAAACTAACAGGCAATAGATGTCTACAGAAAGTATAAGACTATGACCAGGGAGACCAGGGGTCAAATCCCCTCTCAGCCATAAAGCTCACTAGGTGACCTTGGGCCAGTCACTCACTTTCAGCCTAACCTAACTCACAGGGTTGTTGTGAGGATAAAATGGGAGTGGAGAACCATGTAAGCCACCTTGATCTCTTGGGAGGAAAAGTGGGATCCAAATATAAATAGTAATGATTAAGAACAACAACTGTACTGTGCTTTGTCACACTCTCTGTGCAGCATTTTGAAGGTAGATGGGAAAATCTGGAATTGATGTTCCGCTGGCCTACAATGTTTTGATGCCTGAAGTGGCAAATCCAGATCTGTATCTCCCCCCACCCTGCCATGTGCTAATTAATATATTTCAATTAGTCCAGTAGGGCTTGTGCAGGCAAATATCCAGCTGTCCTCAACTTGGTTCCCTCCTGATGTTTTGGACTACAACTCAAATCAGAGGTTGATGGGAGCTGTAGTCCAAAACATCAAGGGGGGGACCGGGGGGGGGGGGAAAGGTTGTGTTAAGCAGCACTTCCCATTCTGCTGCTCCTAGTGGTTTCCTAAATGTGTCCCCAAAGGTAAGACTTGGTGCAACAATGATAACTAGAGGAATCTGTCCTTGTCTTGAGCACCTCCCATCATGGGTCCTGGTGAATTGCACCCACTTACTAGCTCCACACATGGAAACGATTGCCTGTGTTAGTGAAGTGGAGCACCTAAGTTCTGTTTGAAATTGGAACTTGGATTTTATTTTATTTTAAATAGAATGACATTCTGAGACACATTCCATTTTGCACAGTGCATATGAATATGCAGCTCCTAACAAATGCAGGGATCAACTCTCTCTGTCTTTTGGGCAGGCAGCTGCGAAGATGTCCAGGGTGCCACTGCCTGACCCTGCCCAACGTCCCCATTGACGTCTACATTGCCATGGGTGGGAGCCACAGGCCACGAACCACCTGAAGGCTCCCCTAGGTCGGGCTCGAGTGCTGAGGCCACAGCGGCTGTCCCAGGAAACACACTGACAGCCAGACAACAGCAAAGCAAGCCACACAGAACAGTGACGCACATTTTAATAAAAGGACACCTTAAAATGTTTCTGTGGGTGTCCTTCCTGGAGTTCTGCTTCATTTCTCTCTGTTGCTGCTCCCCTCCCCGTATCAACCTTGCAGTGGGGAGTGGAATCAGCCCCAGGACATGCAGGTAATAAAAGGGTGCAACTGGACCTTTCCCTCCTTGATGCAGTAAGCCCAGCCAGCTGCCATGACCACCCTGTCCCCAAATCCTTGCTGGGATTTGGAGGGATAGCTTCTCTGTCAGAGAGTTTTATTTGCATGGAAGCTCAAACTCTTATTCTCTCTTAAAAAAATAATTCCACCCATGCTGCTAACACTCAGTTCTGCTATGCCTTGGAGGCTGTGAAAGCACTAAAACAGCATCCGGGGTCAGTAATGGATGATGGCTAATAAACAGGCTCCATGCTAAGAGGATGGCAGTATTGTTGGTGGGTGGCTCATCTGAGTGGGAAAGTTTGCTTTGGATGAGATTGTGCTTACAAACACACCTGAGGCAGGTTCTCAGCCTGAGTGGCACAATGGGTCAATGGGTTTGGCTGTTAACCAGAAGGTTGGTGGTTCGAGCCCACCCAGGGATAGCTGCAAGCAGGATTTTTGCATTGTGGGGCAGAAGGGGGGGGGATTGAACTGGATGATCCTCAGGGGGTCCCTTCTAAACCTACAATTCTGTAGTTCCTTTAAAAGCTCTTCGTGCATCCAATATTGCTACTGGATTTTTAATTTATTTGATAAAGTTCTACTTTATTAAAGACAATCCAAGTAGCACATCTGACATAAAATGATCCCCATCTAACCTGCCCCACTCTGCAACAGAAATAATCTGAGCCATGTTTGTCTACACTATTAACCTGCAGGCTAGACTACTGCAGTGCGTTACATAACGGGCTGTCTTTGCAGACTTCTGAGAAACTTCCGCCAGTTCAAAATACAGTAGTGAGGTTAATAACTTGGCACAGGTGAAATGAACTTTTAAAACTTGTTCTCAAGCAGCTCTACTGGGTGCCAGTTCGTTGTGAGCACCATTTAATTGGTATCTAAAAGGCCACATAGGAGACTGCCTAAATGCTGCAACCATTTGCTGAGACACCCCCCCCCCGGTGGGTGGCAGGTGGCTTTGCATTCATAGCCTTTCACATGGGCAACCCCCCCCCCATTTTTAAATAGATGCTCTGTTTTGTATTCTGTTTTTGGGTACCAAAGGTGGGCATAAAATATTCCCAACTGAATACTGCACTCTTTAGCTGTTTTTTTACTTCATTTCGAAAGAGGCACTTCAAAAAAGTTGTGGGTTTTTTATTTTTAGATTCTATGTGTGCAGTCTTCATCTTAGAAGAGATGGTCCGTCCTACACAGGAGGAGGAATGTCTCTTTTTAGGTGACAAAGAGTGGTAACTTGAAAGGGTAAATGATTTGTTGTGGCACAAGATTTCATGACCTACGGTCAACTTCATGTAATGCATAATGTTCTGACCTATAATTCCGAGTAACACAAAAGGTTATACCATAATAAATTTGTTAGCTTTTAGGTGCCACAAGACTCTTTGTGCTGCAAGAGGCTAACAGGACTATATTGCTGGAAATTATTTTGTGATGGTGCTTAAAGTTCTTGTATTTTTAAAGCACTGATTAACTAGTGGGGGGAGGAGGCCCCTTTCCGAAACGGTCAAAATATCTGAAATCGACTAATTTAACGGACTGACTCTCGTCAAATACAAACACACACACCCCGCCTTATCACTTTACGCAGCGGAGGAAGCGGGCTCTCCTCGCCTAAGGAAATTCAGGCCACAACAAAAACTGCCTCCTTCGAAGCGGCCACCAGGTGCCCGTCTCCTTTCGCTGTCACGGCCTGCCCCGCCGGAATTTCACCCGCTCCTGCATTCCGCTCGAAGCGCTCTGTCCCGTCCTCGCCCCGCCCACCTCCCCACGCCCAGCCCTGAGCTCCGCCCAACTGTCTCTTTAAAAAAGGGGCGTGCTCAGGGAAAGGGGCCGGTCTCGGGCGCTCGGTGCCACCGAGGCTTTCTGTCCCGCTTCGGCCGCCGTCGGCTTCCCTTTCGGCCCCGTCCTCCGCCTCCCGGCGCGTCCGCTTGGCCCACCGCTCCGGCCCCGCCCGCCATATTGCCGCCGCCGCTGCCGCCGCCTTTGGAGGGAAGAGAGAGCGACGGACGCACGCAGGCATGGGTGAGGCTAAGCGCTCGGCGGGGAGGGCCTGCGCCGGGCATGGGGCGCCTCCTCGGGCGCCTCTCCCTCCCCCTCTCTGGGCTCCCGGGGTGGGCGGCGAGAGGGTCTCCTCCCTTCCTTGAGGGCCTCTTCGGCCCTTCTCTCCCGGGTCTCCTCCGCACCCCAGTCCGGCCTCTGGCGTCGCTGCTCCAGCGAGGCCTTCGCGCTCAGTCCCTTGAACGTGGGGCGGGGGCTCCGCTGAGGCCGGGGCTGTATTCTGCTGCCCTTCTGGGCCGCCTCTAAGCAGCAGCAGCAGCAGCAGCAGCAGGAGGAGGAGGAGGGAGTCTCCCCCGTCTCCCTCCGCGGCTGAGTTTGAGGCAGGAGAGAAGTGCCAGCCCTTCACGATACGTCTCTGTGTGAGGGGAGATATATAAATAACCCAACAGGAGGGCGGGTCGTCGGGCGATTCTCCCTCCTCGGCTGCTTCCTCCCTTTCCGGCAGCTCTCACTGCTGCTCCCCGGCGCCCACGCCCCTGGCTCCAGGTATTCCCACCGTGCCGGCGTGGCTTCGGCCCCAGTTCTAGGAGGGTGGGTGAGGTGTCCCCAGTTCTCCTCCCTACGGGCGAGGTGCTCCATCTCGCGCCAAGAGGCAGCGCTTGTTAGGTGTCCGTCTCTTTCCCTCTCTGTGGGCTAGGAAGGCCCGCCGTCGGTGTCCCTGTCGGCATTCGGGGCTTTGCTTTTTGCGCCCAGGAGTCGTGCGTTCTCCCTCCCCAACCCAAAAGTCCCTGTGGCATTGGTTCGGTTGAGGTAGTTTTCCCCCGCTTCTCTGGCTTCAAAATTTATTTATTACTTAGTTATTGATTACATTTATATACCACCTTTCCTTCCAAGGAGCTAAAAGTGGCACACATTAGGGTCTCTCCCTACTATGTTAATCCCCACAACAACCCTGTGAGGTAGATTAGGCTGAGAGTAAGTGACTGGCTCAAGTTCACCCAGTAAACTTCCTGGCTGAGTGGGGGATTCGGACCTTGGTATTCCAAGTCATAGTCCAGCACGCTAACCATTATACCAAATTCGTTCTTATGTTGGTAAGTACATCAGAAGGTGGATATTGGGAGTATTTTGAGGGCCTGTGTGGCTCTAAATTTACATTCCCACTCTTGATAAACTTCTACTTGGCTTTTATTGAGGTCTTCCTGGGCGTGCAAACCTCTTTTTGAGTCTGTTCACACAGCAAGACAAGTGCACTCCTGGGCTAATTTTGCAGAGTAACAATATGAAACAGTAAAGAATGTTTGCATGGGCAGTCACTTTGACATATTGGCGGTTTCTGAAATTATTTTACTTCTGAATGTGTAGTAAGATACAAGTTGTTGCCTTATACCAGGGATGGGAAACGTGGCAGTCCCTTGTTGCTGGATTCCCAGTTCCATAATCCCTGATTTTTGGCCATGGGGCTGAGGGTGATGTGACTTGTACTCCAACATTATCTGGAGGACCACAGCTTCTCTATCTCTTCCTTATACCAGCTACCTTAGTGGACCTTCTGGCCCTGGGCAGAGGGTTTTCCCAGCCCTGATACCTGAAACCCAATGTGTTGAAATTCTGGGGATTTAACCTGGGATCTTCTGCATGGGAAGATCATCCCTGTTACAGCCTTTCAGAGCTGTGCTGCTTCCTCTAAACCCCAAAACCATCTCTGGCTTTTACTTTGGATTGTTTATCCTTATTACCTCTGCATTGATATCAAAGTGGTATTAATAGCTACTCTTGATAGTCTTCATACATTAGATGAAACTCTGTGTGTTTGCAGAGGAGGATTGAAGTGGTGCATCTCTCTAGCCCCACAAACATTTGTCCTGCAAAAATTACTTACCTGTTCTCGCACACTGGTGGTCATTGCAGGCACAGTGAGAACATTAAAAAGTGCAACACCACACCAACTGTTCCAGTTAACAATTTCCCTGAGTAGAGGAGATCTGAACTCTCTACAAGTGACTATTACAAGTTGGCAAAATAATTAGAGTAGGCAGCAACATCTGGTTTCTGAGGCCCAGTAGCAGAAGAGGTGAGGAGGTTTCTGTTATGCAGATCCACTGACAGGAGTGCCATATCGGCTCAGCCAGCACATTTGCCCAGTAATGATCTCCCCATTCTTCCTTGTAAGCAACAGCAGCAGCTCTGCTGCCAGGAGGTCAGATAAACACTGCTCAGGCTCATCACTCTGGGCTTGGTTTCTGCATCTTACTTAAGTTCTAAGTTAAGTGTTGACTTAAGGAAGTTGGAAAAGTCTGTGCATGTCAAATTTGGATGGGCACATCCACACAATTGCAGCTCCAGTTTCGGGGATGCATGTGCAGCTTCAGCACTAATCCTCAGGGTGGGAAATTAAAACCTTCTCGTTCGTGAGCTGCAGCAAGTTGAAGTACAGGCAGCGACCATTTTAGGTACGTCTGATATGTGTGCGACTGCACACACATGCATCACATCAAACTCGGAAGTGTCACAAAAGGGACAGGGCAGGGCAGCCGGAACATAACCCCCATACAAATTGCTTGCTGCCTATACAGGGTTAGATAGCGCAATGGCCTCACTGTATAAGGCAACTTAATATATTTATATGCTTTCTGTGCATGGGATGGCTTGGCTCTTTGTTCTTCCTGCCAGTCCATGTGGAAAAGGGGGTATTGCCAAACCACCTCAAAAGCAGGCATTCTGAACAGGTAGTTACCACACTTGCAAACTATGGAGGAATCTGTTCCCTGATTATCCTGACTTTTACTTTTATCACATGTATTAAAAAGCAGTAAAGTAGAACAGCAAAATAGGATCACATACTGCTGTTGTTTAAAGAACTGCACGGGTTGCCTTTTTGATACTGGGGCCAATTCAAGGTGTTGGGACTGGTGTATAAAGCCCTGAACAACTTAGGACACAAATATTTAACGGAGCACCTCTTTCAATAACTATTAACTTGAGTTTTGAGAACTGTGAGGTAGGCCTGGACGATACCCGGTTTTCAGCGTCGTGATAGACTATCACTAGCTAAACATCACAATATACTGATATACCATGATGGATGGAGCTGTGTAGAGGCATTGGCTGGCTTCATGGTTTTCCCCGCATTGTGATTTTTGTATAGAACACACACATCATGATTCATGATATATTGCCAAGTCAAAAATTATGAAACTGATATAACAATATGGATTTCAGACCAGTTTTGGGCGATATATCAATATATCGCCCAGCCCTATTGTGAGGGGACTCCTGTTTGTCCTGTCAGCACTTGTAGTTTGTTGAGTGGTGACGTGAGATGGGGCCTTCTTGGTTGCAGCACCTCAGTTGTGAAATTACGGTAACTTTCTGTGGAGGTATGGATTTCCCCTTCACTGATAAATTTCCAGTTTCAGTTGAAGCTGCATCTATTTCTTCAGGTCTTCGGGAGATGAATGTTATCTGGAGCTGAGCAGTTCGTAATTGGTTTGTGCTGTACTGAAAGTATTCATGGTTGTAAAGTATTCATAGTTATTGCTTTTTTCAAAGTAGTGCATTTTATACTGTATTTTATTTTATTGTATTTGTATACTTTCCTGGGAGCCTATGAACAGCTATTCAGAGATGAAATAATGATAAAGTATGATCTTCCTAGCATCCTGATAATTTTATTTTATTTTCTACAGAGAAGGCTTTTTGTCTAATATGATTCCATTTGAGGAGTCTGGGGCCAAGGTTCCTAATTTTCTTAAGAATATGTAAGTTCTTCTTTTGGCCCTAAAACAGCTTACAGTAAAATAAAACATTTAACAAATTAAACATCCCAGATAAGGGGAAATACACCTAAAATCAAGGGCAAGGTGGATTCAAATCAAAACTCATTCAGGCAGCTGAAGGAAAAGAAATGGTGGAAGAATTGTAGTGTTATGTAGTTAAATTTGCCTGGAGTACTTTAGGAGTACATTTGGTATACAGTCATACCTCGAGTTGAATGTGCTTCGGGTTTCACCGCATGCGCGGTAGCGGCGAAACACGGCATGCGCCGTCGCGTCTTGCGTTCCATTCGGAATACGAATGGGGCTCCGGAACAGATCCCGTTTGCATCCCGTGGTACCACTGTACTGTACTGGCAATAGTCTATTCCTTGGTTGCTGCAGTATTTCAGTTGGTCTTTGTAACATTGTATCAGTTGCTGGAAGAGCACCTAATGCACATAGCAAGGGTTGAACAGGGCTGAGCCAGGGTCCTGCCTGTAGTTGAGAGACTGAGAACATCAAATCAGCACTGAGCCAGGAAGTCACCAGTTCAAAGTTCATCTCATCACGTTGTCTTAGGCAGGATGTTGTTCTCATAGGCTTCCTGCCTCACCTCATTGTGCTGAGAAAGTTAGCCTACCTTGTGGAGGGCTGTAAGAATTTTTGTGGGTGTGTAAATGCTAAGTTTTTATTGTTGCTTGATAGTTGTTGCTGTTGATTCCCATAAATTTGAAATTGGGGACAGATAATTTATATCACTTCCAAAGCTGTGTTAAGTAAAACCCTAATCTGTTTAAGTGCTGCTAGGAAGGCAGGGCAGATGAATGCCTGGACACTTGCAAAGTAGCAGTTAGTAGCAGTGGATGACACAGCTCCTAAAATGTGGGTTCAGGTGTAGGCTGTTTGGTAGATGCATTGAAGATGCACCTTCAGCTACTTGTCATAGTTAAGGATTCCTTGCTGCTAGCAAGCAAGATACTTTGAGTGTACAAAGCAATTCATACATTATCTCAGTGATCCCTAAGCAGCCCTAAAGCAGCCCTATAGTACCTTAAAAATGGATTTATTGTGGCGTATGTTTTTGTAATGTGTCATGAACTACACAATCTTAGTCTTCAGATGTTGCAAAACTTTGCTTCAACACACTAACACAGCTACTTCTCTGGAATTCACAGCAGTCACTGCAGATCAATATTATTCCCATATTGCAGGTGCTTGTACATGTAGGAGTGAGGCTGAGAGAATAGTGGCTTGCACACCTTTTCGCCGCACCAGCTCTGCAATTGGGGCGTGGAAGGGAGTACTCCAGGAACACCCTGAAGGAGCCTGCAATGATGCTTAAAAGGGAAAAAATCTTATACCCTCAACTTTTGTCCATAACAACTCAAAGTGGCTAACAATAAATCAATTAAACCAACTAAATGTAATAAAAAATTGCCACACACTATGGCTGATGGTCCAGCCATAGTGTAGACTAGTGACATGTGGCCCTGACGTCCTACTCCTACTTTAATGAAAAGACCATGAGACAGAGTAGGATGGTTGCACATCCACGAACTAAACCCTGTTGTTTGGTAATTGATCACCACCCACATAACTGCACTAGTCATTTTGTTTGGTCTGGCTCTCCTTGGATTTAGCTACCTTGGTTGTAACTTCTGCCATTATAATGCAGTTGTCAAAACTCAGATAATGTGTGATCTGATTAGGTGGACTGTATCTGTCTAATCCCCACCGATATTGTGTGACACAGAGCTGGAAACATTTCAGACACCCAGATGTTGAGACATTTGGATATTGCCACCTCTAGGTGTGATGATGGCCTCCATCACCGTCTTTTATAGTATATCTACATCAGGAGAGGGGAGCTTCTGGTTTGTGGGCTAATCTTGGCCAGCCAGGGGATCCAATTTGGCCAACAAGGCCGTTTCCCCCAAAGCAGACCCACCCACTTATCAGCTTATGTCACAGATGATGTTAGCTGAATGGGGCAGGAGAAAAGGGTTTAATCCTGTGTTAGCTGGACTATCCTGTTCCCAGCAATGAACAAGATTGTGCAACCAATGTAGCAGGATTCAAGCCTGTTCATTAGCTGAGCAGGGATTTAAGCCCTGTGCAAAAGTGCCCCATTGAAGCAGCTCTCGTGTGCAAGCTGGTTCAAAAAAGCTTTTGCAAAGGCTCCTGCACTCCTGTCTGATCCTCTGGAAGCTCAAATGGGAGTGCAAAGTCTCCTTCCTACCCCTTTAAGTTCCTGATATTGAAAGCTTAAGCCTCTGAGATCAAGAGCTTAAAAGTGGGGAACAGGAAGACATGCAAAGTGCAAGGTATTTTGACAGGTGGACAGCCCTGAGAGGCAGATTCTGATAAAGATCTGGCCTGTGGAGCCAAAAAGTCTCCCTACTTCTGATCTACATCTCTTACACAAGTGTGGTGGAGTTGTCCAACTGTTGCCCTCCTTTGGCAGGATTGCTTGGCCATCATTATGTCCTAGATCTCAAAATGCTTTATTTTCCTCCCTCGTGTGGGAGCCAGCTTGGTCAGCAAAGTAGTGCATTCCACAGATGCTCATGTGCTGCTGGCTTTTGTGAGATCACTGGGTGGGTGGGATTGAGTAAGCCAGCCGTGACCACAGCACCAGGCGAGCTGAAAGAATTGCTGGGATGAAGATGATGTTGTTGTCAGCACAGAGGGCACTGTGCCCAAAACTCTTGGCTTCGGTAATCAATCTTACCATTGGGATCAGTCCTAGTTTGCAGTGTGTGCATTTCTTTTTTTCTTTCTTTTCTTAAATTTGTCAGTTGCTTTATCTTGCCCAGGGGAGTCTAAAGCAAAGTTGCAACCAAACAAACAGCAGATCCCACATAGATACATTAAAACCAAGAGGAAAGAGAAATGCATTAAAACCAACCCACCTACTTCTAAAAGGCCACAGAAATAGTAACAGAAGACTGTGAGACATGGAAGACATGCTTCCCTGGCTTGTAGCCTTTTTTCTACCTGGCCTGGGAGGGGAAGGCCCTGACTGACTCCCGCTATAAAAGCTGAGGTTGCTGAAGATGCCAGGGACCATCTTGGTTGTCTCTTAGTGCAGACCCAGATAATCAAGTCTGAGCATCTACAGCTGCCAGCCACCGTGAACCAACATTGCCAGGATTGGCAGCAATAACAGCAGAACATGTTCTATGCTTAGGATAATATTTTGTTTTCTTGCTAATTATGCTGTTTTAAATATGTGTTTGACAATTGACTTCCTTTAGCAATGTTTTCTTTTGAAATGTTTTAAGAATTTTTAAAAAATTAACTTTGCTGTGTTAATGTTTTATTTAGGAAAACTTTAAGGTAATATTTTAATTTCCAGTTAATTATACTACTTTTAATGTATACTTTATATTTGACTTTCTTCTGTATTGTTTTCTTCTGTATTGTTTTTATTTGATGTTTTAATGTAGGTTGTAAACTTCTTTGAGATTTCCCCCTCCCCCTCCCCCATGCCCTGCTATCAAGTCTTGCCTACACACTTCCTTATGTGCTCATGGCCGTCCTTCCTTCTAATGCCTTAAGATACTTTGGGCAATCCAGACAGGAAGGCATGTGAGGAGTGGGAATGGGTTTGATTTCAGGGCCATTGCTTGCTGAGCCCTTAAAATGACATTTACCCTAGATTCTGGCGTATTAGGCGACTGGGCGTATAAGACAACTCCCCAAATTGGCAGCACCAATTTGGGGGGTCTTATACGCTTCGGCAGCTTCGCTGGGCAGCGGCAGTGGGTGGCGGGCTCTGCACTGGGAGGAAGCTGCCCAGCGATGCTAAGCCGGCTTTGCTGGGCGGCTTCCTCCCAGCGCGGAGCCCACAGACCACTGCTGCTTCAGAAGCTGCTGCCGCCGCCGTGGGCGGCAGGCTCCACGCCGGGAGGAAGCCAGCCGGCTTAGCATTGCTGGGCGGCTTCCTACTTATGCGGAGCGGAGCGCGTCGCCCACTGCTGCTGCGGCGGCAGCTTCGGAAGCAGCAGTGGGCTCACTGCCGGGAGGAAGCCATACCCGGCGTATAAGACGACCCCCGACTTTTAAACCCCTTTTCCGGGGTTAAAAAGACGTCTTATACACTGGAATCGACGGTACTGGCTTTGCCTACACACATGTTCCTAAAGCAGATTGTATGTTGGGTCTGCTAAACTGGTTGCAAATAGCAAGTGGCTCAGGTATTGTTTGAATGTTGAGTTCAGCCTCTTGTGTCCCACTACATTGAAAACAGGTTCCTAGCTGTACAGGAGCCCAGTTGGTCCTGACAGGAGTCAATATTACCAGAGTTCTAATTACTATACGTGAGCCCTTTGGAGAGGTGGTAACTTTTAGGGGATGACAATTTAATTGTGTCTGTGGCTGTATGTAGAGAGTGGAGCCTCTTTGTTTCTACTGTATGGACAAAGCAGGGCTCTGCTTTCCCTTCCTGTCCTCCCTTTTCTCTTACTGGCTGTAGGTACACATCTGGTAGTGGTTTTGTGTTTGGCCGTGAAATTCACTATGAGCCCTGTTGGAAAGGGAATCTCTGTAAAGCAGGAGGTTGGCTCTGTTTCTGACTTGGGGGAGCAGACAGAAAGCTTGACAGTTCCAAAACCACATTGGACTGCTGGGCCACACCTTCTCAACTTGGGCAAGCACTTGCACCTTCTCTCTCACCCACCCAGTGAAATTCAGGGCACATAACTGGTTTATTTAAGTGGTATTTTTATTTTACCATTTAAATTTTGCATTCTGCATTTTTTATTGATGGGTAAAAACCATCCAGAGAATACAGATATATGCATGGCAAACAGATGTAATAAAACAAATAATTGAGTGACATGATTCAGATCTTCCCATCGCACATTATTTGAATGTATGGAGGGTAGTCTGAGAGGGGCTTCTGTGCCCTTATTTATTTTAGAAAAGCATTTATCAACAGCTTAATATTTGAAAACGATCTAAGTGGTGAAAAGAAACAATGCTGTTAAAACAAAATACAGCCTAAAACCAATTAAGGTAAAGGTAAAGGGACCCCTGACCATTAGGTCCAGTCGTGACCGACTTTGGGGTTGCGGCGCTCATCTCGCTTTATTGGCCGAGGGAGCCGGCGTACAGCTTCCGGGTCATGTGGCCAGCATGACTAAGCCGCTTCTGGCGAACCAGAGCAGCGCACGGAAACGCTGTTTACCTTCCCGCCGGAGCAGTACCTATTTATCTACTTGCACTTTGACGTGCTTTCAAACTGCTAGGTTGGCAGGAGCAGGGACCGAGCAACGGGAGCTCACCCCCTCGCGGGGATTCGAACCGCCGACCTTCTGATCGGCAAGTCCTAGGTTCTGTGGTTTAACCCACAGCACCACCCGTGTCCCTAAAACCAATTAAACAACAGCATGAAAGCATCTAAAAACAAATAAAACAGGGATTTGTGGGATTCAGACACATGAAACGGGATCTAAACTGGGCATGTGTCTTCTGAAGGTGTGATGGTCTTTGCATATTGAGTATGTCAGGAGAAGGCAGGCTTGAACAGAGGTGAGAGTTTCTCTCAATCCAGAGAAATGAGCAAGGGGGAAATCTAGTTGGTCATTCCCTAGTGACTGCCGCATGCTTGGCACAGAGTGAGACCATCACAAAATACTCCTGCTGAATCCTGGACTTAGTTTGCATGGAGGAGCCTGCATTTTAAGCCGATGATGTCTGCAGGTGGTGTTTGCTGCCAAATTGCTCACTGGCTGCTCATACTTCCCTTGGCACCAGGAGCCAAAGATGACAAGCACTCTGTCACACTCTGCCGTCAGCTTGCCAAATTTAACTTGTGAGCCAGTCTCTTAATGGGTGATGGGAGCTCTGTATTGGATAGTACAGGATTTTGTCAGAGAGGTCCCTTAAATACACCTGCTGGGTATATAATTAAGAGAACTGGAGATCTGTGTGTCTATTCTCCCTTCCTTTGCAGTGCCTTAGCAATTCTCCACTGTCCCCCTCAACAGTAGTACTGTCAGATTCCATATTTACTGGGAGCAGCTGTTTGGAACTTGGAATTTCCACAGAGCCTAGCAGGGCTTAGGATATCACTAGTCAAGATGGAAGCAAAGACTGCAAGTGAGGAGATAGCTGGATGAATTTGGGCCCAGTTTCTAGACTGGTGTGCACATCTGATTCCAAGTTGGGAGGGAATGCCAGTGTAGGAGACATGTGGGGAAGGTAGACAGCGTGTTTTGCCATCAAACTATAATGTATACTCCAGCCCTTGACTAAGTTCTTGAGCTCTAAGTGTGTACTTTGCAACCTCTGAGCTGTAGGCGCGGGATGTTACTGTGTCATGAAGGAGCAGAATCTATTCCATGCACTTTTTGCAAGGAATGGATCCTGAGAGTGAACCTACTGCTGCTTTGTTTGCTCTCCGTGACCTCTGCACATAGTCCAGTTGTGTTGCATACTGCCTTGATGCTGGCTGGGCTAGGCTACATGATGGTCAATTGACTAGCATCACCTGTATGACTGATCTAAAGAAAGAGACCCATTTAAAAAACAGTGGTTCCATCAAAATACACCTGATATCTGCAGACAGGTGCCAAAAAGGTGACTGTTCTCAGCATTAGGGTGGTTGGGGAAGAAATCCCCCCCCCCAAAAAAAACCCCCAGGTAAACCTCTGATGCAGCCTTGATTCTTTCACATTTGGCATAATATTTTTTAAAGTGATGTGGGCTGTTTCTAACATTTTGTATAGTTCTGTACAGGTGAATTTCTCTGTCCTGCTGACCCCCAGCACACCCACATTTCTTTTCCCACAAGTCCTGCTGCTTGGGCTTCCCTTTATTGGTATGTGAGTTGGGATAAAAACACTGCTGCATTTGTCTAATCCATGTACACATTAGCTCTCCCCCCCCTTCTGTCTGCTATTGAGTCTGACTCAGCAATGCAAGGCCGAGTTTTAGACATCTGGGTTTCAGCAATTACTCAGCAGAGATGATTGGTGAAGTAGGAAGCACAAAGCGGTGACATAGTTAACAGGAGACTGGAAAGCCAAAGCTGAAGTTTGGACCCGGCTCTGCTGTGCTTCCTGAGTCAATTTTGGTAAAGGCTTGAGCAGCCAAGGCTACTGACCTTCAGTGAGAATGATTAGATAGGTTTATAGCTCTCTGTGTCTTCAAGGACTTAGGGTGGGTGTTGGCCTTTCTAAAAACACCAGTCTTAAGTTTTGATAGGAGACAGAAGCAGGAGGGTGACGAGGGGTGAGAAAATGCAGTTCTACATAGCACTTAGATGGGTGTGGTTGGGAGTGGAGGACTAGCTTGAGCTCAAACAGTTTAGGGAAATCTGGGTTTGGGGGAGTTTTGAAGAAAGAAAGATGAGTGGTACTTCGTAGACAATTCCCAGGCAGAGGCGGCACCAAGGGAGAACAGGAAGAATTCAGGAGCAAATGATCTTAAAGAGTAGTGGAATAAGAGGTTCAAGAGCAGGGAAAAGTAACTAGGAGGATTGAGAGGGAAGTGGATCTGGGCTAGATTGTTAAAGATTTGCAGCCATTCCTTAGACATGTAAGTTTGTGGTGGGAACGATAGTTGAAATTTTCCAGGAAGAGCTTTGCAGTCATCCTGAGTGAAGCAGAGCTGTCTTAGCTGCTTTATTGGTAGTTCCCCACTATAGTCCATTTGACAAGCTTCTTTTGCTACCCAGCTTTGCAGTGAAGTTGAAAATTTTCTTTTGTGACATGTGATGTTGCTATGGGAATGGGGTGCCATTATCATGCATACCTCGTTATGACTTCATTGGTGGGGTTAAGGCCTGGGCAAAGCCTGGACCAAAGGCTGGCTGAAAGTGGGATTGGAAGTTGAGAATTGGGTAAACAGGTGCTAGATCCTACTTGTATCATATAAAAATTCCTTTTCAGTCTCATCCTTCCCTCATTTTTCTTCAACTGCTACCTGCAGTAGCATAAGATTGAAGAAACAATCGGGCGCACTCTGCAGGTTCTGTACCTGGCCAAAGGTGGAATGTTTGACCAACTTGGGTTTTGAGAGCATTCCTGTTTGGTGTTGGAGAAGCAAAGCTTCTAGGGTGTTCTCTGCAGGGAGGTTGGCTTTGGAACAGAGGTGGACTTTTAGGCAGCTGAGCAGCTAATCATTTTAACCATTTATGTCAGATACCTTATAATCCTTTTAGATTGAAATGAACTGCTAGATGATAGATAAGAAGGAAAGAGGAGGATTTGGCCTCCCTGACTTGGAGTTGCAGTGGGTTTGACCTGGTTAAAAGAATGGATTAAACTAGACGATTCGGATGTATTGGATTTAGAAGGAATAGAGACGAGATTTGGATGGCATGCCTATCTAATAGATGAGAAAGTTAAAGTACATAAAGGCTTCCTAGGGCATATAATCAGAAAGTCTATATATAAAATATGGGAGAAATATAAAAGACTCCTAGAGCCAAAAACTCCATGGTGGGCATCGCCGGCAGAAATTGTCGCAGTGAAAAAATTAAATATGAAAGAGAACTGGGCCACTTATAAAACTGTATTAAAGGAAGAAAATGGAGAATTGGAATTAAAGGACTTTACAGAAATTAAAGTTCATATTAGTGATTGGTTCCAATATATTCAAATTAAGTATAGATTAGCGAAAGGCAAAAAGATAGGATTTGAAAAAGAAATTTCTAAATTCGATAAATACAAGAAAAAAAATCTAAATTATACAATTTGAACTTAGAGTGGGAAACAAAGGATGAACTGGTTAAAGCATCCGTTATTAATTGGGCGCAAGATATTGGGAAAAATATTATGCTTGAACAGTGGGGGAAATTGTGGAAAGAAGATATGCAATTCACTGCGTGTTGTATATTGAAAGAAAATTACCTTAAAATACAGCATAGATGGTATTTAACACCTGAAAGAATAGCCAAATGAATAAAAACTGTGGCGATGTCTGCTGGCGATGCAGCACAGAAAAAGGCACTATGATGCATATATGGTGGAATTGTTTAAATATCAAACAATTTTGGGAAACTATATATAATGAAATGAAAAAAATGTTTAGATATTTATTTAGGAAAACATCAGAAGGTTTTCTATTGGGAATAGTGCCAGGAAGTTTAAAGGAAGAAGATAAGACATTATATTTATATGCAACAGTAGCCGCAAGGCTATTGATTGCGAAAAATTGGAAAAGTAGTATAATGCCGACAAAAACAGAGTGGCTTGCCAAATTATTGGAGAATTACAATATATCCAAAACAATGGGAGAAATTGGAAGGATCTCAAAAGAGAAGATAGACAAGGACTGGAAGGTGTTTTAAAGATACTTGCAAAATCATATTGAAAAATCAGAACTCCTATTAGAATAAACAAGTTCCGTTATAAATACTGAAATACTAAATAAGATGGATAACAATGTGTAACAGAAAAAGAAGTAGAAAGTTGTTTTATAAAATAAAAAATATATTTTAAAAAAAGAAATCTGAATCCTAGCTGATTCAGTTCCATCAACCCCTGCTCTACCATCAAAGAGAAAGAGTCCTTGAAGCTGTATGTCATCTTGACATTATCTGGCACTTAATTAAATGGACAGTAGTGGGGTGGATTACATGCCGAGAACATCACCTAATCTTCATTCACCCACACATACCATCTGCTGGAAAATAAAATCTGCAGGTTTATATGGCAAAATAAATAAATAATAATAAAAAGAAATGAACTGCTACTCATTTCCCCTTCTGGGCTCATTGCTCTTAGATAGGGTGTGTGTGTGTACACCTTCCTATAGGAGAAATTTTAAAAAAACTAGAGTTTTGTGGAGGTTTAAGGCATAGGCAGCTGCCTATCCTGATTCAGTCCATTGGTCCATCTAGCCCAGTATTGTCTACACTGATTGGCAGCAGTGGTCCAGGGTTTCAATAAGGAGTCTTTCCCAGCCATACTTTGGGATAGAGCATAGGGAGCCTTATCCGTGCAATGTCCCGACTCACTGCACGATATATTCCTCATCTGCAAATAGATTGTTGGTACCATTTGGCAAGTGTTGAAAACAGTGCCTACGTTTGAGGACTATGCCTATTTTCTTTTGGTTGCCCTAAGAAATGGAGTAAAAATGACCTCCTCTTTTCTTCCACTGTTAGAAACCATGGCGAGCCCAGCAAAAGAGAACAATTACAGAATGAAGAGCTACAAAAACAAGGCACTGAACCCGGAGGAGATGCGCCGGAGGAGAGAAGAAGAAGGGATACAGCTACGCAAACAGAAGCGGGAGCAGCAGGTAACTCCTGTGTGGATGGTGAGCAGGGCATGTAGGTTGACCAGAAATATGGCCCAGGCTGATAGTTTCTACTTCTGGCTGTGCTCTGTGTTTCTAGAGTGTAGGAGACAGATGAGTTTCAACTTCTTGTGTAAATGATTCTTTGGTCATTGCCATCACTGGCTATGCGGTTCCTAGGCAGCTGGCAGAACAACAAAATGGATACTAAAACATTGGGGTCTGAATTGACCTAACCACTTGACGGCTTAAAGTTGCAGGTAGGTGGGTGGGTTCCAGTTTTAATTAGTGGACACATGCATTACCTGGGGCTGTCTTTGATCTGGTATGCTACCATAACAGGTAATAAGAGGAAGTACTAGAGAGCCTTTCCTTTTAATAAACAAAACTACTGTTCTTGATCTCCCACTTGTATCTCAAAAATGCCCTTATATGAAGTTTCAGTAAAATGTAAATAAACTAAATTTCTGGACAGTGCCTTTACACAGTGCTCAACAACTTGAACACTGTGTAAGAGACCAGTGTTTCCTGATGAGGAGTTTTGTGGCCCTTGCAATTAGTGTTGTTCTGTATCTGTTTCAGAAGATGTGGTTCTGCAAATTGGATTTGGGGAGGGGGCAGGAGGGGAGGGAGGCAAACCACAAATTATACCCCTCAGAACCTGTAGATCGTGAGGCTTGAGGAACGAGTAGCAAGCCAGGATGACCTGTGTCTCTTGCTAAGCTAACTGCAGCTGAAGTAAACATTGCTTTGGATGATTGAAAAGGGTTGTTTATTGTTGTTTATTGCCAGCAGTGCACACACTCTTCTTCTCTTCAGTCCTACTGCACTATTATAGAATTTGTGTCCTAGACCTCTGATTTCTTAGAAGTGAAGAGTCCTCACAAGAGGATTTCATGACTGATGAATCTTAAATGCTGATGGGAACAAACAGAACCCTGCTTTCAAAGAGTGAAGGGGACTTAAGTGACCTGAAGGCATTTGCTTATGCCCAACATTTGGCATTTTTGTTTGCCATTGATTTGATACATATCCATTTTCTATTTCAGCTCTTTAAACGAAGAAATGTGGAGCTAATTAATGAAGATGCTGCTATGTCTGACAGTCCTCATGTAGACTCATTTGTCAGTTCCACCACAGGTGGGGTAAGTATTCTCAGAAGCTGTGTCATATTCCCATCTAATGGCATTTATTGTGCTTTGGCTTATACCACTATAATCTTACTAGTACAGAAATGAAGAACTGTTTTAAGTAAACTTAATTTACTCTCTGCTGTTCCTTTTTAGTTTTTTTGCAGAGGTGTAAGATGAGGACCTGGTTTATTAATTAAAAATGAAATAAAAGGACCTTACAAGATCTAAACCTGCATGTTCTTCGGTCCAGTTTGGTAGTTTCTCATCTGAAGAACTGTTAGATTTGGGCATTGCTTTGAAGAACTAGCCTTAGGACTGTTACATATGGGCTTTTTTCAGGAAGGTGTAATCACAAGGGAGATGGTGGAAATGCTGTTCTCTGAGGACCCTGATCTTCAGCTACTAACTACCCAACGCTTCAGGAAACTGCTTTCAAAAGGTAAATATAGCTATTTAGAATTTTCTATTGTAAATAGAAATTGTAGGAATGTTGTGTGTATTTTCTTTGTTTGGTTGACCTTGAGATGCTTTAATTGCTGAAATAGTTTGCCAGAAACTTATGAAAAAATCATAAATGAAAGTGGACTGAATAGGTGAAGTATAATAAGTTAAGAATGGGGATATACAAACATGGGGTTGGAATATTGATAACCTTTCAACCTTGATTGTTCTTGGAATGAGAGATGGTGTTTTTAGTTTTTTAAACCATTTCTTGACCCTTTCCAACAGTGCCTATGGATGTATGTATGCCCTGTTGGCCCTAATTTGAAGAGCTTCTTATGAAGAAAGCAGATGGTTTTAAACAAAACTGAACATAGGGTTAAATCACATATATACAAATAGGACCTGAACTGGTGCCATAGTGGATCAGTTGATGAAAATGTCAACCTTGTGAGTGGCAGCTGTGAAACAGTCAAGTTCCATTTTAATGATCCTTAGGAAAGGGATTGAGAATAAAAGTGACAATGTCATAATGCTGTTATACAAATCTTATGGTGTGACTGTACTTGGCATACTGTATACAATTCTGGTTGTCCCACCTCAGAAAGGATATTGTAGAGCTAGAAAAGTTTACGAAAAGAGCAACCCTGATTTCCAATCAGGAAAGGTTGCAGCATTTGTGGCTTCTTAATGTAGAGAAAAGATGAGCAAGGAGTGATTTGAGAGGTCTGTAGACCTATGCATGGTATATAGAAAGTGGGTAGAAAAGTGAGTTTTTCGCTGTCTTTCATAACATTAAAACCTTGACCATTCAATGAAGCTGAATGTTGAATGATTAAGGGGTGTGAGTCATTGAGAGAAAGTACCTATCCACATAGTGCATAATTAAATTGTGGGATCTGTTTCATATCTTGATGGCTTTAAAAGAGGATTAGACAAATTCATGGAGGATAAAACTATGTTCTGCCTCTAGTCTGCCTCTGTTTATCAGTTCCTGGGAATAGCAAGTGAGGAGAGAGTGCTATTGCACCAGTGTCTTGCTTGCAAGATTCCCATAGGTATTCCACTGCCACTTGGAGTACATGATGCTGGACTATATGGGCTCTTCTGACGTTCTTATGCTATATTCTTAATGCAATGGCCATTTTAATTGAGAATATTAGAGTCTTGAAAATACGGATGGCCTGGTGGTGGTGAGATTTCTGACCTTGAGCTCTATGTTGTCCACCACATGCAGGAGCTAGGCGCTTGTCAATACGTAATCTTCCCTTGCCTCAGGTGTAGCCTTCATTGAACGCTGAGAACCTCAGCTGTCGGAACAAATATCTTGCCTTCGTGTCAGTGATGGAAACCGATAAAAAGGGCATCAGTGCTTAGTGATGTTAAATAATCGAGAACAATCTTTTGGAGAATATTCTCGAGAATATTCTTGATTAATGAGAATAATACAGAATTTTCATTTAAAATGGAGAATATTTGTTTTAATGCATTGAAAATGATATAATACATATGACTTGCTAAAAAAAAATCTTCCTTAGCACGTTATGCTGCTTGCTGTACCAAAATATCTTGTGCATTATATGGTAGACTTGCTGATATTTTGAGATCAGTGAACTTGGTATCTTGAATTTGTTCATCTCGTGATAAATGAACACCATTATACTTGGGATGAAGGATATTTGCAGCAAAGTGAATTGGCTGCAATGCCATTTCTTTTCTTAACTGCCTCTTTCAACTGTTTCTCTTCTTGCTCAAAGGCATCACTTTTTCAAAGTGATCTTCTAGTTCTTTAAATGACTCAACCACCCTACTTAACTTTGGTGTGTCTGATTCTAATAATGTTATCCATTTCACTATTGGAGCAATAAGGTCATGAAATTTTAGTACTCTTAGCCAACATACTGCCTCATCTAGTATCAGGGACTTTATATGATTTGATAAAATATCTTCCACTTCTTCTTTTACAGCCAAAGCTTTTAAAGCATACTTTGTGTCTGACAAACTCTTAAGGCAAAACTGAAGAGAGCTGTGGAGAATATTCTGTGGAGAATTTTCTAGCAGACAATATTCTCATTCTCGAGAATATTCTCCGGAGAATATTCTCATCTCACATCACTATTTGTGCTAACTGCTTACAAAATAAGTACCTAAGTGCTATTTTAGCATACCACTGGTGTCGTGGAGAAAAAAGTATGTGTTAACAGTAGTCTTTCCCCCTATGTTTAGAGCCCAATCCTCCAATAGATGAAGTGATCAATACTCAGGGTGTGGTGGACAGGTTTGTGGAGTTCCTCAAAAAAAGTGAAAACTGCACATTGCAGGTAAGTGAGAATGAGATTCCTTTGCATTTGGTGTTCAGTGCTATCAACAAGGTGGTCATCTGTTTCTCTGGAAATTAAATTGGCCCCGTTGTCACTCTTAGTGTTTGTGCCTTTGCATGGGGTTGTTTGTGACTGTAGCCACGACTGTGGTCGTACTTTCCTTCCCACCAAACGTTAAGCATCCGCCCACAAACCTATAACATAAAAGCTCACTTACATGATGTGATGTCCATAGACTTTGGTTCTGTTGTTTGACTACCTTTCATTTCCCCCACAATCCCAGACACAGCATCAATCTGGGGCATGGTGGGGAAAATAAAATGGAGGCAGTGCTCTCTCAAATTAAAGTTAATTAAAATTTAAAAATTTAAAAGTGAGGCTTTAGCCACTACAGCTAAAATGGGTAAACTTCTTCCATGAGGGTGTCTTTTGTATCTTCAGAGAATCAGTAAAATGGCTCCTGTTTTTTTGGCAGAAGGGGGGAGTAGGGGTTCCAAATTTTGTTTGTACTTGGGTGGATTTTGTGTGGGAGGGTGGGGGGAGGGAGGAAAAATGGGGAAATAAGGATGATATGTTTCTGGATAATATGTTTTGTTTTAATTTTGAATAATTTTTTTTAAAAAGCAAACAAATTTTGCTTGTACATTCCCAATAGAAAATTTGATTAAGTCCTTTGAACTTTCACCACAGCCCTGGTCACGGCATGTCAACAAAGTGTCCAACCTCTGAAATGCTCTGCTCTGTGAAATGTTTCTCTCAAGGCACAAACTGAACAGTTCTGTGAGAAGTCAGTTTTGACTTGCTTTAGCTAAAATCCAGGACAACTAATCCCCTGTTGCAGGAATTTCCAAACTCTAGTCCTTCATTCAAGTGGTCCATGGCATGTCCGTATAAAATATTAATATTGAATTTTTAATTGTATTTTTATTGCTTTTTTGTTGCTTGTGTTGTATTTTATTGCAGTACGATTTGAATTTTGTGGAGTGCGAATTGTAATACAATAAAATACAAAATTAGAAATAACAGAAGCAATAAAAAGACAATTAAAAATCACGCAGCATCTCACACAGCTCATTGCAATTGCTCTAACAGGCAGAAAAACCATTAAGTGGTTCACTATGTCCATCAATGATTTTCAAGTGTTTGGGGTGGGGAGTTTGGGGGCCACTGCTCTGTTGTACAGTGTACTTCTGTTGGAGACTTCCTTTAATTGGTTGCTTGTTACTTTTCAGTTTGAAGCTGCATGGGCATTAACAAACATTGCCTCGGGCACTTCACTACAAACCAAAATAGTAATAGAAGCTGGAGCAGTTCCGATCTTCATTGAATTGTTGAGCTCTGATTTTGAAGATGTCCAAGAGCAGGTAAGGCGTTTTCAGGGAGAGCTTTTGGCTTAGCTGTGGGAGAGCAGTTCCAAATAATTTCTTTGCTGCAAAGCTTTTATATGATAGAAAAACTGGCTGTTCCCTGTTGCTTGTGAAGCCCCTACCCTGCCTCTTCAGTGTCATTGACAAAGCTGCAGTGATGTCACAGAAAGCTCAAGGACTGTCTTTCCCCGTATGAACTGACCCAGACCCTGCAGTCAATATCTGATACCATTCTTCATGTGCACCCTCCACGGGAGGCCCAGAGAGTGGCAACACAAGAATGGGACTTTTCTGTGGTGGCTCCCCATTTGTGGAATGCTTTTTCCAGGGAGGCTTGCCAGGTGCCTTAGTTACATATCATTAGCATTCCTTTTCAACCAGGCCTTGGGCTGTTAATCAATCTATGGCCTTTTAATGCGGTGTGTGTTTGTGTGTGTGTAAACTGCCTTGTGGTCTCTTGATGAAGGGTGGTATATAAATTTAATAAATAGTAATAACAAAAGCATCCTGACTGCTCAGAGCAGTGGGCAGGGCCTGTGGTGGCATTAGTGCTTTGTAGGCATGCTCAAGAGCAGTTGGCAAGAACGGGAATGGGGCAGCAAGGGAACATAGGAGCTTGAATCACTGTGGGTCAATGATTCAAAGTAGAGAGAGCAAGATCAGAATGCTAGGGATGCATTTTACACTGATTTCAACCAAACATTTGGCAGTAGCTCCCTACAGCAATTAACAGCTGCCCACATTGGTGTGTGCAGAAACTCTCAGGAAAAAAAAGCTTTGCTACGTTTTAATTGCAAAAATGACAAATAGCTGAAAGTTGCCGCAAGTTATTGGATTCTTTGAGGGGGCCCAGGGATTCCTGCTCCACCATTCCCTCTCCATTCAATGACTGAGTGCTGAAGCTCCTGTTCTTCTTCCAGGCTGTTTGGGCACTGGGGAACATTGCTGGAGACAGTTCTGCCTGCCGTGATTACGTCCTCAACTGTGGCATCCTCCCTCCCTTGTTGTTGTGAGTAGCTGTTGCATGAAACTCCGACTTCGGGTGCTCCTTGGCAATGCCTGTGTGCGTGTGTTCCTTTGTTTCCATTCTACAGCCATGGACGTAAAGATTTTGTTAGGTGGCATGAAACTGCCCTGGGAAGGGAGGACTTCCGGGGTGGCGCCATCGGCAATGGCGGACTCCCTCTGAACTGGAGGGACCAGCTCCACAGGAATCGGGTCTTTTCCGCTACGGCGAAGTGGGGACCCTTTCAAAAATCACAGGCGGATGAAGCCTGTGACCATGGGACTCGGCGGGCACCTTTAGCGCCCCCCCAACCCGCAAAGGAACCCACTAACGGGCTCCGGAGCGAAGAGGGGGAAGTGGCGCGGTGCTGAGAGTCAACTGCTTCTTCCGTGGAGCGAAGCCGCACAGCCGTTGCCGGAGAGCGCTGCCTTTTTCCTGGGACAATTTGGCTTTTAAAACAATCACCCGTGAGTACTTAAGTTTTGGACAATTGGACTCTAAATAAGGATTTGTGAGCAGAAAGGAAAACTGGACTTAAAAGTTTAACTTAATTTGGCACTGAAACGGGAAGGTCTAAACAGGAAGTCAGCCTTCCGTTTCTTTGTAGATAGATTAAAGCAAAGACACAGCAAACTAAAGTTCTGAAAATCGTTTCTAAAGGATTAACTTTCATCATTTAAAATTGTGGAACCCCTTCGGAAGCAGGAGAAGAGGGGGATTTTTCTGGACTGTTTAAACCTGCAGAAGTGAGTGTAAAGTAAAGTAACTTTCCACCGTCTTGATCCTGGAGCGGGGTGTCAGGACTGACGTTCTTTGAAGCTCATTGACCAGAGACAAACGTTTTTGACAGTTAGCTAAAGGAAGAGATACATAGTGATTCCATTGTTCCCCTTCGCATTTTAAAGGAACAAATATTGACAAAATATCTGAAAAAGGAAACTTTGTTGTTAGATTTGTTTTTAAAAGAAAAGAACAAGCAGAAGTCTTTCCCCTAGAGGGAGCCTGTGAAACTGTAACCAATTTTGAATCGGGAAGCTCGCAGCTGTTACAGATTACGATCGTGGGAATAGTCTTCTGACCTTGCAGGACAATGTATTCAGAAGCTCTGTTGAGTGCTTTCTGTAAAACAAGTGCCCTACTGGAACAGCTACATGAGAAGACGGATTTTATGACTGATGCGATTAGAAATTTTGGACAGGCAGTGGGATATTATATAGAGCCCACCCAGGAATTAGATCAGGAGTGTGCCCTGACAGAACAGATGAGGGAAGAGGATGTTGCTGAATCTTGGGCGCCAGGGATGGAGGAGCTACGGCCCAGCAGGAACATGAATTCTTGGATTTGATAAATGAACTTGGAAAAAGCCAGATTTGGAAAGATAAAGTTTGGTTTGGTTTGGAAATGGGGGGTTGGATAGACCCCCCTATGCAGGGAGGTTTGGGCTTTTCGAGTCTGGCAATGGGCCGTGAGATGTTTGGGGTTGTGGGGGCTCTTAATTTTGGAGGGTTTTTGAAACATGTTCTTAAATACCACATGGAACTTAGTGGGAACTATGGAAAAGGGGCTGATTTGTCGAGAAGGATCAAAAGCATTGTCAAGCTGGAGCTCCCAAGAGTGAAAGAAGTAGGAGATAAAGGAAAATATAGCTATAAATATGAAGAAGAGCTGCGGAAGGGACATGGAAGAGACTTAAGGGCCTCGGACATAAGGTTACCAGGTTAATGCGCTAGATTGATGGGATAGAAAGGACTGACAAAACCCAGGTCCAGGAGGAAGAGACGCTGGATGAAGATTGGATTGTTATTTCTTTTATTATGATTGTTTTATAAAATTGATGAATGTTAGAAAAATGTTGGAATGAAATTATTTGGCTTTAGTAAAAATGTTTAAAGAATTATGTAAGAATATTATGGTTATGAGAAATTGGTAAAAATAAGATTTAAGTTTTAAGTTTTAAGGTTTTCATAGTAAGATAAGATTAAAATAGATTAAGGTAAAGTAATGACAGAATATTATGAAATATGGAAAGGATTTGCTGTTACAATTAATAATCAGGATACAAAAAAAGGGAGGAGGAGGAGGTGAAAGAAAGAAGGTAATGACAGTTAAAGATATGAGAATATTGGATTTATTTTTAAATGTTTGTGGCATATTTGTTTTTTAATTGTGTAGTGTTATTTTTTGATTTTGATTTTTATTAATTTGTATTGTTTGAATGTGGTTTGTCTTTTCTTTGTTTTTTCTTTTTTTCTTTTTTATTCTCTTTTGTAATTTTAAAATTTTCAATAAATATCATTAAAAAAAAGAAAAAAGAAACTGCCCTGGGAAGACCCAGTGGGATTTTTCTCTTGAGTAGGATCAAATTGATCACCATATTTGGAGTCTGGAGGAGACTTCTCCCCAGACGAGACTGGCTAGAGGTCCAGGATAGAGACTCATTTTTCTTAGTAACACGCAGCTTATCACTCCAATAACTTTAAACAACCCTGTAGGTATTTTTGGTGTGACCCACCTTGTGAAGGCCAGATTGCAAGAAGCCCATGGTGGTTTAGCATGATGCTAGTGATGAGGCTCACTTGAGGAGGGATGCGTGGGAAAGATCTCTGCTCAGGGAAAAATGTGCAAGGCCTTCCTTCCTTCCTGATAATGAAGGAAGATGGAATGGTGGGTGAAGATCAGAACGTGGATGAGAGCCAGTTTTATATTGTGAACCTGAGCTCTAAGGGTGTAGGGTGGTATACAATTTTTAAAAATAATTGAATGAATGAATGAATGGATAGATAGGTTAAGACCTAGGACCTGGGAGACAAGGTTTCAAATCCCCACTCATCTCTCAGTGACCTCAGGTCATTCACACTCTTAGCCTAACCTATCTCACAGGGCTGTTATGAGAATAAAATGGGGGAGGAGGAAAACTTTATATGCCACCTTGAGCTGCTTGGAGGAAAGGTGGGATATAAATGTAATAAACAAGCATGTTTAGTTGAGCAACAGAGAGGCTAATAGATTCAGGTTTCCACTTGGTCATTTAAATTTGCTAGGTGACATAAGAGCAGTCCTGCTGGATCAAGCCAAACACATCTCCAGTGTTCTGTTCTCACAATGATCATCCAGATGCTTATAGGAAGCCCTCAACCAGAACAGACCATGATCCAGTTCTCTCAGCCTAAGCAATCTCTCCTAAGTCGTGGTTGGGGGATCTCCAGCCCATGGGACAAATGTGGCCTGGCACAGTTTGCAGTTTGGCTCGCAAGATGGTCCTCCCTCCCCCCACCCCCAAATCTTGCTTACTTGTCCCCCACCTGATGTTACATATGATGCTGGTGTGGGGCAGATAGAGATGTGGCTGGATCTGCTGTGTGGTAGACTTACCTGCGGGGAAGTCAGTCACATAGCTGGTCCCTGCAGAAAGCAGCTTTGCCAGCCCTGTGCTCAGCACTTTGCAAAGCCCCTTGCACTGCAGTTCCCAAGTGCTTGACGGCTAGCTGGCTGCAAGATAGTTGGGTGGGACAGCCCACCTGTCAATCACAAATGTTAAAATAGGATACCCCACAGAAGCTGCCCTGAGTAGGTGGGAGAAAAGGCAGGATAAAACTTGATGATGCGAAATAAGACGTATCTTGCAAGTGTTCATTGTTGCATAGTAGGCATTTTGGATTTTGGATTGAGGTAACTCAGCTTTCCTTTAAACAGACCAGAAAGGTCTGGGTGTGTTTCGGATTCTCCTTTTCTACTTTTGCAGTTCAGCTTGAATTCAAGCTGTCGCTGAAAGGAAAAGGACTTAAGGATTAGAAGAGTTTTAACTGATAAAAATGATGACTGTAAGAACAAACAATCGTAATCTCTAGATTTATATTTAGCAATGTAATATTTATATAAAGTATAATTTGTCTGTTTTCCAGACTCCTCACAAAATCCACCAGGTTGACAATGACACGAAATGCTGTCTGGGCCTTGTCAAACTTGTGCAGAGGGAAAAATCCACCCCCTGAATTTGAGAAGGTGAGATATAAAAGTGTGGCCTCTGCCCTGGCACCTTCCACAGAATGATGTCGTAGAACTCTAGACTATACTATTTGAAGTAGATGCCCACAACCACACTCCACCCACATGCTTCATATTTTGTAATGTGGGGCCAAAAAGTCTGTAAGAAACTACTACATCTGGAAGAAAGTTTCAGGGTTGGCCCTTGGCAAAAATATCCACTGCTAACCCTGGGTTGTGTGCGAAGTAATGAGCATGCCAGGAATAGCCCACCATGAGCTTCTTCTACACGGACATCTCACTGTGACCCTGCTGTGCTCTCCAGTAGACAGTGATTGTGAGCAACAGCCCCAAGCCAGGGTAAGGGAAATGAAGGGGGGCAGATTTGTAGCTTGGGCCATTGGTTCAAACAATCCATCCCCACTTTCCCAAAATGGATTTTTATGTTATGAGTCAAGTTGGACAAGAGTTTGGTCTTGCAGTTGACAGGCATTCAGGCATTCTCCTTCAATGCTTGCAACTTGTCCTGGTCCCCAACCCCAATTGGTCATGGGCTTATTTGTCATTCTGCCTCTCTTGGGATCTTACTATCTTTCCCTTACGATTGTGCTTCTTGGTAGGTGTCATCATGTTTGCCAGTCTTGTCACGCTTACTCTTCAGCAGTGACTCAGACTTGCTGGCGGATGCATGCTGGGCCCTCTCCTACCTGTCGGATGGCCCCAATGAGAAAATCCAGGCTGTAATAGATTCAGGGGTGTGTCGGCGACTGGTGGAACTGCTGATGTAAGTGTCCAGCCTCTGAAGGATGTTGGGGTGTGTGTGTGTGTAATGGCAGAGTTGCCTCCCCTCTATAGCTGGGATTCATAGGAGGACATCTCTCTTACATGACAGGGATATGGGTGCACAATGTTAGCCACATGTTGGCCTGAGAGAAATGTTGGCACCCTTTGGAAGTTTTACAAAAGCAGTATATGCAATTAATATTGACCGTTATTATGGCTAGAGTGGCTTCCATTCATCAGAAGGGGGATAATGTTAATGTACATTATAGGTACTGAGACCTTCTGACATAGGAAGCATGGAATGGCACCAGCCCCTGCATATATGTGTGTGCACACACTGGATTTAAAATGGAATAAATAGGTGGGATAATGTGAACAGCACCATAATTTTTCTTTGGGGTTTTGTTTTTTTTACACACAATTAAGTGGTGCATAAATCTTACAAAATAAATAAAATAAAGTAGATGTCTTAAGTAGGGCAGAAGTACCACACTCAAAATGATAGAGCATAGCTAGTGTGAAGAGGAGTGAAGCATTGAGATAGGGATTGGGGTGTTCCTTCTGCTGGGTAATAAGGTGGGCATCTTTTCCTTTTCTTCTTCTCCTGGCAGGCACAGTGATTACAAGGTGGCCTCCCCAGCTTTGCGAGCTGTTGGCAACATTGTGACGGGGGATGATATCCAGACCCAGGTGACGTTGGGAATAAGAGTTAAATGGGGCCGTCCCAAATTCAGGATACGGGAACCTACAACCACTGCAGAGGCCTGGTTCTGGAAGATGCATTTCTGTTAGGCTTTGGGGAGAAGATGTGAAAGTGTCATCAAAGCAAACACTGGCTTCATTTGGGGGGGGGGTGTGGATTTGCAGTCATACAGGGAAAGCCGGATTGTTTCTTGCCACTGTGAATTGTAACAAAACAGAGACTTTTCAAGATAGCTAGAGAGCAAGAGCTTGGTGCTCTTCTTTTGGGTAGGAGCAGCTGTCTCTAACAAACGCCTCTTCAACTTCCCCTTTTCAGGTGATCCTGAATTGCTCAGCTTTGCCTTGTCTCCTTCATCTACTCAGCAGCTCCAAAGAGTCTATCCGGAAAGAAGCTTGTTGGACGATCTCCAATGTCACAGCGGGGAACAGTGCTCAGATACAGGTACAGCTTGCTTTGACTCAAAGGGCAGCAGACCTTTTGGGTCTTTTACTCTGGTAATGTAATGGGAGAGATGGCATGGGAAGGGCATACATAATTGCTGCTGTTTGAATGTATGAGAATACATTCTCATAATTGCTGAGAAATAATTGGCTATTTCTCAAGCAGTCTCCCTGTTGGGTACCTGGGTGCTGATGCAATAACAGTGCCAGCACTGCATTTGGGGTCAGCCCTTGGGGCAAGGGGATACTCTCCTCCTTGTCGCCACTACTGCTTGTTCACCTGCCTGCTTTCAGGGAGAGGGTGTGCAGGTGGCAGTGGCGAGGTGAAAGAGGGCCAGAAGGCTATAGCAGTTGACAGCAGGCCACTGCTGGAGTATTGACCTTAGCAGGTGCCTGAGAAAGCCAGCCCTGGGGTGTGGCAGCCATACTGTTATGGTACTTTACGGTACAAGCCTGGGGATACTGCAGGGAGGGGAAAGCTGTTAGGTGGGAGATTTATATTAATCTTGCTCCTACAACTTTTACAAATTGTAAGGATGGAAATAAGTAGGCAGTTTCTTACTGCTAAAGCAAAAACACTTTGGAATGTGAAAGCTTCTTCAAAAGAAAGAAATTCTTCTGGACCAAGCATATGTACAAGCCTGCCTGCCTGCTTTTGGATTGCATCTCCTAAGTAGAGGTGTTCTGAGACTTGTTCTCCTTGAATAATACTGCAGAAATGATAGTAGTCAAAGCAAACAAAATGCTCTTGGCTGCATGGCTCGGACAATGACTGATGATCATAAGGAATTGTAGCATTTTTTGAAGGTAGCAAATGATTTCTACAGCAATCACCTGCAGCAGAATGTGTTTTTCCCCTCAGAACATATACTCCCCAAATTGCATCTTAATTCATTTGAGATACCTGGGAACCTTCCATCACATGCTTTCCCGATCATTTGACCTGAAACCAAATGCTCCTTTTCAAAAGATGGGTTTGCAAAGCCTGTAGCAGATATTGAATAGCTACCTTCTGAGTCAAGTGTGGGGAACCTGGTGCTTTCCAGATGTTGCTGAAGTATAATTCCCATCATCCCTAGCCATGGGCCATGTTTGCTGGGGCTGATGGGGGATGTAGTTCAGCAATATCTGGAGGTTCCCCCCACACCAACTCAAAGTATTAAAGACCCCAAAACTTAATGAAATGACACCTGAGGTTCTCCAGAATTTCTTGCTAGAATTTTTGAAAGCCTGAATCTAAAGAGCTGTGGGACTCTTTTGTTGAGTGCCAGCGAGAACCTAATTTTCTGAAACGGCAGCAGCTCCCTTTCCATCCTCCCTTCCTTTGCCATGTGGCAAATTGTTGTTGGAAACTTCTCTTACTTTCCAACAGTAGCTAGTGATAACTGCACAAAGGGCAGTGGTTTAAAGAAAGTTATCTGACAATACTGCCAGGCTACTATAAGGAAAGCTTTGCCTGAGCCTAAGCAAATTTAGGGAAGAGACATCAGCCAGAATCCAGTTTGGGGAGAGTGAGCCCATAGAAAGGAAAGCTGATGGAATGATTGAACTGTCCCATCAATGTGGATGGCAGGAGTTCCTTCTTGCAGGAGAAGAACTCACTGTTCTCTTTTTCACATTCCCCCTGCAGGCAGTCATAGATGCCAACATTTTCCCAGTGCTGATCGAGATCTTGCAGAAGGCTGAATTTCGCACAAGAAAAGAAGCTGCTTGGGCAATCACAAATGCGACATCAGGAGGAACCCCAGAGCAGATCAAGTACGTTGAGGCTGTTCTCATTTTGCAAAGTCTTTCCAGTTGGCTCCCCTCCCTATTTGTATCAGTGTTCTCATTACCCACAGTTCCAGAAGAACTTCGCCGTGAAAGGACTTGTGGGATGAGTTAGCATACATCGTGCCTAGTCTTGACCTGGCATTTATGGTCTTTGACTAAAGTTGGGTAGAAAGAGGAGTTCTGCAGTTACGTTGGGCTGCCTTTTATTTTATTTTGTGTTGTTTTATTTTTTAAAGAATATGGAAGAACTGGTTAAATTGTGGAGGAAGTTAGGGATGGATTGTTGAGAGATTTAAGAATTGGTCAGAAAGAGACACTATTTGTGGTAGGAAGAATGAGTGACATGTAACTCCCTCCCCCCACTTCTTGCTCTCATGAGAAAGGAGGACCAGGTTAGGAGCATGGACAAGAGGAGAGCTCTCTCTCACTCCACACACCCTATTTCTTTATAGTTAACAGAAACTGATTATCACAACAATAGACAATTGGTACAAAATAGTTTGGGAAACAGCCCTCCTTGAGAGAGTAACAAATAAACTATAGTTAACATATGGACAGATCAAGAAAGATGGCTTTGCCCCAGTGTGGTTTAATTTCACAACATATGCCAGTATTCCAGTATTCCAGAAAATGAACGACCCTCCCCATCAGCATTTTAGCCCAATCTAGTTGATGAATTATTATCTTCACTCTGAACCCGCCTCCCATGTTCATCAATGACTATCACTCATACTTAATCTAAGCACAACTGCAAGAACTCCTGATTTGGTGTCTAGCTGTGTGATGCTGAATGTTATCTGTTAACTCTGTTCTATTCTGTTTCACCTTTGTTTTTGTTTAAAGCAATTGCCGAACCAATAACTTGTACATTGACCGCTAATAATGCTCCATATGTTGTAGATATTACTGCAAATTTATTGTGCTACAAATGTCATGAGAAGATGTGGTCTATTTATTTGTATCATTTGTATCAAGATGTGGTCTATTTATTTGTATCATCGCTTCTCGGCCTTTTGGCTAAGATCAAGTGTGTAGTATTTGTATCATTTATTATTCCTATGAGCCTTGTTTATAAAACCCAATTTAAAATTATTCAAAACAACAACAACAAACACACACCAGAAACTGATGATCATCAGTATTACTGGTGAGACAAGGGCATATTTCCCACAGTGTGTGCGGAATTCATTGCCTCAGACCGTTAAATTGCTACATTTTTCATTAGAACAAAGGGCTTCTTTAAAAAAGTATTAATTCACAGCAGGTAAGTCTGATGATTAGTGCAGCATCCTTGTTGAGAGCACTGTAATCTTCCTGTTGGTTGGCAAGCACTTCCCTGGGGGTTTGGAGGGAGGTAATAGAATGTAGATCAAAATGTACATGTCTAAAAACAGAGTAGCACAACTTGGCAACCAGGACATACTTTTTCTGTTACTTTCAGCACTTTAACTTCAGCCGAACCTTGCAGGTTTTTAAACCCTGGCATCTTCCAAGACACTTGCATCTCCAAGCTTACCTAAAGTTTCTCCTGAACAGGGACAGAGTACCATTCTCACATCTTTTGCCATAACCCAGCCCTTTCGTGTGAGAACATGGTGGGGCAGAAGGGCATGTATTCCAAGCAAGCTTGAGTTACTTACCTCCCTGCCTCCCCCCCCACTTGAAACAGTTACATAAATTTGGCCTGAACTTCAGTCAGTAACGTCTGCCTGTTTTGGTTTGGTTTCGAACATAGGTGAAGTTCTGAGCATTTGTGTTCCCTTTCTCAGGTATTTAGTCAATCTTGGCTGCATCAAGCCCCTGTGTGACCTTCTGACTGTCATGGACTCCAAGATCGTTCAAGTGGCCTTGAATGGCCTGGAGAACATTTTGCGACTGGGTGAACAGGAGGCCAAGCAGAATGGCTCTGGCATCAACCCCTATTGCAGCCTCATTGAGGAAGCTTATGGTGAGTTGGCCAGTCTGCATCTTGAAACTCTTTTCCCGAGGCAACTTAATAAGTATACCCTCATTTGCAAACATTTCCCAATAAATTGTCAGTGATTCTTCCTTCACATCCTCACACATACCTGCATGTGACCTATGCTCCTCCATCTCCACCAGCCTCAGCCACCTGCAAGTCCTCTTTCTTTCTTTCTTTCTTTCTTTCTTTCTTTCTTTCTTCTTTTCTTCTCTCTTAATGGCCAGAACCGCCTCCCAGACTCACTGGTGTGATGGAAGCTCTCAACTTCCTCAAAGGTCCACCTTTTCCTTGAACTTTTTGGCACACCTCCTTAGTCTCCCCAAACCCTGCCACAACCTTTGCCAACCTTCAGCTGTTTGGGACTACAGCTCCCATCTGACAAAAAAGATTTGAGCACAAGACCACCCTCTCCTCCTTCTGTGGTTTCCAGCAGCTAGTATTTAGAAGCATTACTGCCTCTGAGCACGAGGGCAGAATTATTGACAGCTGTCTCCTCCATAAATTTGTCCTGTCCTCTTTTAAAGCCATCCACGTTGGTGGCCATCAGTGCCTCCTGTGGGAGTGAGTTCCATAGTTGTAGCTATAGCATAGCACCAGGTGGTGGAGCTGTGTATGCATAATAACAAGGACAATGTGTTTCTCCTCCAGGCTTGGATAAAATAGAGTTTCTCCAGAGCCATGAAAACCAAGAGATCTACCAGAAAGCCTTTGATCTGATTGAGCACTACTTTGGCATCGACGACGACGACTCCACTTTGGCTCCCCAGGTAGACGAGGCCCAGCAGCAGTTTATATTCCAGCAACCAGAGGCCCCCATGGAAGGCTTCCAGCTATAACATGTGTGCAGAGTGGGGGAAGGGGGGAGAACATCGTAACTTTGTTGGAAAGTTAACTGCAGAGAGCCTTCACACCCCCAGCCGTGTTCTCTTCTCAGCCAAACAAAAGGCTGCAAAGTGCCCACTCCACCTGTTGCAAAACAGCTTTCTCCTTCACTGACACATGGCAGCAGTACTTCGCGCTCATGAAGAAGAAGCAGAAAAGGAGAGATTCTTACACACAATACATTTTTTTTCTTTTTGCTGCTGCACATGTGTGTCAAAAAAGCAGGTGCTGAGGTGGATGAAAGTGGAGGTGTAAATCAGTTACACCTTCTAGTGTGTGGTTTTCCTCTGGGGTTTTTTGTGTTGGTTTTTTCCTCAAATGTGTATCTTCATTTGGGTACTTGAGAGATGACTTTTTTCCAGTGGGAGAAGGCAAAATAACGTAGATCACAACCAAGGAATTTAATCCTGGATGCTTGGGTTCAACTATTTAAAAAAATTCTTTTTTGCACATCTTGATTTTTATTAAAGACTCTTGATTGATCTGCCAAAAGCAGCACTTTGGCCCTCATTGTTCTGTGTCTCCCCCCCCCCCCGAAACCCTCTTGCCAAACAGCACCTTTTCAAGGGATTTGGGCCAAGTTGCTGCTGCTCCTGCCCCCTCCGCAAAAATATTCCTGTACCCAGATGCAGGAAAAGTTGGACAGCCCCATCCCACCAGGCATCGGAAAGACTGTGCTTCGTGGAGGGATTCTTTTTTGAACTGCTTCAGAATTCAAACAGTGCAGCAGTTCCCACTGTCTCCTGAAGGCCCAGTCTAAGGAAGAGGAAGAGGCCTCGATTCAAAGGACTCAAAGCACAGCTAACCATGAAGGTGGGCTTCTCTTACATTTGCTACTGACTGAAGTGTTGAACTGGTGGAGGAAACCTCATCCTGCATCTTTACTTGAAGAAAAATTTCAAACCTTATTGAAGCCTTTTGGTTCCATGTCATTTATTTTGAAAGGAATTCTTTCCCTTTTTTGGGTCTTGGCTGGCTGGGGTGGGGACAAACCTGACATGTTTCCTGGAGCAGGTCTTGTGCCTGCACTTGGTGCACAATCTGCTCTCAGCTCAAAGAGTCAAGTGGCCTGTATTTTCTCAGAATTACCTCCTGCTCAACTGTGTCGTATACATTCTACTTCAAAATGAAGAAGAGAAAGCTCTGTATTTTTTATATATTATATATACACGTAGATATTTGTCTAATTTGGTCTCCAGAGGGGGGGAACTATAATTCTTCTAAGGTATATATATTAGGATACTGTGTGGCAGGCCTGCCTAGGAACACATGGCCATGAAAACCTCTTTGGTTATCTTGAGTTCTCCTTTTACCTACTGTAGGAAGTGCCAGATTAGTTGAACTCCCTTTACCAGGTATAGATTACTTGGCCAAGGCAAACTATCAGCTTATTTCTGCGATGGGGAATGGCCCCTTCAGATTGCTTAAATGCTTACGGTATGCACATATCCCCTCCCCCTTTTCTTCTTCTCACTCTCCGACATTTGAATTCAGGGTTCCCAAAGCATTCAAGAAGAGAAGTTCAGGCAGGTGTGAAGCTGGATAAGAAACCTTGGGCTGCATTTTGTAATAGAGATTTGCTCTTTGTTGTTTAAAAGGAAAAAAAAGTGAAACAAATGCCAAGGAAACTAATAAACTACATCTGTGCATTCAGTGATTGCAATTCAGATAAGACTGGAGTGAAGACTGTTTTCCTTAACATAACTAGCAATATCCAGGATCCAATGTGCAAAATGGCATGCATGCTTTTATTTGTGTCTTGCAGTGACCCTGCGAGGTAGGTTAACATCATTTTACTGTTGAAGGGGAATGGAGGCAAAGTACTCCTGACTGAGGCCACAGTGTTCTCTTGATGCTGCTGAGGCTTTGAATCTACTCGGCAGTCATAGGTGGGTCGGCACTCTTAACTGCCGGGCAGCACTGCTTTATGCAGTTGGTGGCATAGTTGTATAAATAAATAAATAAATAAATAAATAAATAAAGGTACTGATTTTAGAGATGCTTGCATAGAGAGTATTGAATTGAAGGTCCCCACCGTACAGGCATAGATCAGGGAATATAAAGGGGGGGGGGATAGAGACAGTTTCACTATTTACCTTTTTGCCTTAAACTGATGCTAGGATTTGAAATCTTGCCAGAAGAAAAACAGCCACAGTAAATATATGGGCTTCTTAGTTCTTGCTGCAAGAAATAAAAGTTAAACAAGAATTCTGCCTGTTGAAATAACCCAAAAGGTCATAGAAAGTGCCTCTCCTGGATCTAAGTCTAGGTTATACAAGTCGTGTCACAGCATGTGGAGGAGTCTGCTTTACTGACACACCAATCTCATCCTCCTGGTGCAGTTTTTCCTTTTTTGTTTTTGTTTCCATGTAATATAAATTGGAGTGGGAAACTTGTGGTTCTCCGGATGATGTTTGGACTACAGCTCCCATCATCCTTGACAATTGGCCAAGTTTTCTTGGTTTGGTAGGAGCTTGAGTCAAATGCCTTCCAAAGGGCTGACAAGTTTCCCTTTCCTGATCTAAATGAACCAAAGGCTCGAGCACAAGCAAAGCAATATAGACGCCTAGACATATTCCCTCAAAAGGCTTAGTACAAGTTAAAATTGAATGTGGGGAATGTGTACCATGCAGGTGCAAATTCTTGGTTAACATGTTCTTCTAGAGTCCAGCTAAAGTGGAAAAGTTCAGGGAGAGGAGGAGCCAAAAACTGCTGCTCTCTGAGCTGTGCTAATGAAGTGGCCCTGCATCCCTTCTTTCCATTCTTTTATTTTGACCTAATGTTGTTGTTGCTATGAAGTGGCAGATGGGAAGAGGCTGGCTTGTTAATGGAACTGGTGGTGGACCTTCACTTGCTACTTAATGACATCCTCGTCTCTCTGAATTTGTACTGGTCTGTTGTCATCCTGTGACCACAGGCTGAGCTGCTGGGGGACGCAAGAGGAACATGGAGTGATCTGATGCCTGGAAGCTGGCCTTTGCAGGAATCCACCTTAGAGCCCACATGGGTCACCAAGGGAGAGGGTGGTGCCACTATAATGTGCTTGGGAGGGGGAACTTCCTCCCTGCTGTTCTTGTTCCCAGCTACTGAGGGAGGCTCTTCCGGTCAGGTGTGAGAGAATTTGAGGTGTGTGGAGAGAGAGATTGTCCTTTTGATGGGAAGTTCTGTGGCTGGGTGGAGGAGATACTATGACCTTTTATGTAGATTTGGAAGCTGAGAAAGAAAAACCAGATTATGGTCATTGGGAGGGAAACTGAGGCAAGGAGATGGGGGTTAGGAAGCAGAGTGAGCAAGGGGGGAAGCCCCAGGTACGTCGATTATGCAAATATAAGTGGATTTTAATATATTTGATCTATATGCTGATGTCTCTGTACAATCTTTGTAATACACCCAGCTGATGGTGTGAAATTCCTGTGCCACACAACTCCTACCTGTATTCTTTCCCCACTCCTTAGGAATTCCAGTCAGGCCAGGGCTGATTTTAATATGTCTGTTTATAACTAAAAACCATACTGCCTCGTCTCAAATACAAGCATATCAACAAATGCAACTGTTGCTCACATTGATTGAGAAATTTAAGTGGGGCTGAATGATGCTCATCCAACAACCAAGCTCTTCTGTTCTCTCACACTCCTAATAAGACGTTAGCTGCATGAGGGGCAAATGTACTTTTCCTTACGATCCCAATGATGTGAAAGTAGAGTTGGTCTGCTTTGTTTGCTTTAAAATATGCATGTAAATATGCAGACGCCTTGAACCTTAAGTAGGTATCCAGATCTACTTGTTCTGTAAAAAAATATGTACGATTCCTTTGCCTACTCGCCTACCTGCTGTTCTGGAGGTCTGAATAATACCGTTTTTGGAACAGGACAAGGCCACTGTGACCAGGACTTGGACTACTGAAAGCATCCATTCTGAGGATTCCCTCTCTTGCCTTAAGAAATTATGTGACCCATCACATCTCAAAGGACATAATCAGAAACAGATGCTTCTTTTAAGGCAGGCTTTGCCCACCTGGTGCCCTCAAATGCTATTGCACTGCAGCTCCCACCAACCCTAGCCAGTACTGAATGGTACTGATAGTTGCGGTCCAGCAATATTTAGAGGACACCAGGTGGATGAAAGCTGCTTTAAACCTTCCAGCGAGTAATTGTGATGCAACTTTGTTGTTGTGGTAGAAAACTTGGTTTATATCTCTTAGCATGATTTTTAAAAATCAGATGAGTGTGAGGCATAATGTATATGCCCCTTATTTGAGCATCTTGGTGAAGGATCTTAATACAGCTGATATGATTTCTCATAGCAGACAAAGGTAGAAGTATTTGGGGTGGTGGTTGTTTTTACTATGGAAGTGTCATTTGGCTAACTGGTCATCAGACTGGGAGAGAAAACTTATTACTGTATTATTACTGTGTAGAAGACTAAATTCTTTTGATAACAAAAAGCCCAAGACCTGTGAGTAATAGAATTCCTGCTTGAAGGAAAGGGGACTGCAGTCTATAATGTTCCAAGGATTAAGTTAGAGGTTGTTGACTGTCATTTTAGGTTGATATTTGGATTTCTGAGTGACATGGGTGCCATCCCCTCTGGCCACTTTTACCCAAATCCCTTGTAAAAGAAACTGTGTGTATTCATGTATGCACTTCCTCTCCGTGAGGGAGCGGCCTAATCCAGGGAAAAAGTTTGATCCAGTAGAACTAATCTAGTCCTTGAAAATCTCATAGAGTATCACTGTTCCAGTTTCCTCCTTCAACTCTGCACTTTTTAAGGGGAGGAGTAAACCATCCACAGAACCACAGAACCTAAAGAGGCTTCATAGGAGGGTTTCTATGTTGGTGAACTGGATAAATGTAGAACGGTGATAATATACTTGAAATTTTCAATTGAAACCTAGAAAAATTATTTCTAGCATAAATAGTCTAGTAAATTTAAGGAAACCTAATTCCTACCTAGAAGCTTTATACTGCTATATGGATAAAACTAGACTAATGCACTGCAAAGTGCACTTTTATTTCTCTCTGGGGTTTTAACAATATATTTATCTGCTTGCCTTTCAGACAGAATAAATCACACTGATGAAAACAACATAATTAGCAAACAGGATAAAATAAGGGAATGCAATAATAACTGCATTAATCTGATAAGTCTATTGTAGAATTGGTGCAACTTGGGAAACCATGCTTTTTTCCTGTCCATATGTTTAATTCAGATTTCCTCATACTGCAGAAAACCTGTTAAGTAAAAATATGGTGCATATCAGAAGTCATGGATGTGGTGGAAGCCTATTAGCATTTTTAAATTTTTATTCATTTATTTTTGAGCGAGTGGTTTGTCACGCCCATTTGCTCCTTGCCTGATCACAAACTACAAGAAAGAAGATTCCACCTAAACATTAGGAAGAACTTCCTGACAGTAAGAGCTGTTCGACAGTGGAATTTGCTGCCAAGGAGTGTGGTGGAGTCTCCTTCTTTGGAGGTCTTTAAACAGAGGCTTGACAACCATATGTCAGGAGTGCTCTGATGGTGTTTCCTGCTTGGCAGGGGGTTGGACTCGATGGCCCTTGTGGTCTTCCAACTCTATGATTCTATGATTCTACAACCTTGCTTAGCCCAAACAACGTCAGCTAGCCTTTTTTCAATTGCTGCGTGTTGGACTCTCATCATTCACAGTCTCTCAAGATAGCAACACGTGTGAGGGGTTACGTTGGAGACAATAACTGTGGCACATATACATTGGAACTTTTTTTTTTTTTAATGGCACAGGTCTTGTGTAAGACCTCTTTATCTGAATTTCCGTATGGTTAAATTTCAGTGTTTTAATAATCTAAGGAAGCCTGGCTTGTTTTAAGGCCGCGGTAGCAAAGCGACCATTGCCAAGGATGAATCTCAACACGCACGGACGGACGTATGATCACTCTAATAGGGAGCAAGGTTATCTACCTTCCACGCTTCTAAGTACAACCAGATAGCGCATCTGAAGCCCTTTTAGCATTTTAAGGGTCAGTGTAAATGTTAATTTGAAAGCTCTCCCTTGCGAGCCGCCGCCCCGCCATTGGGTAAGATCTCTTTCCCTTTGCCACCTTCCTTGCTTGGGGTGGGTGCGTGGAACTAGCCGGGATTTGTTCTCCAGCAAGAATCCCGAGACCGCATTCGAGAGGATGCTGGGAGTTGTAGTTTTAACGAGGCTGCCTCTTACCCCGCCCCGTTCCCCCGGAGTGATGCATGCCGGGAGCTGTAGTGCAGCCCAGACTCCCGCCTCGCGTGCCGCTTTTTTCTTACCCCTTCGAAGTTTCCCAGCATGCTTCTCCCGGCCGCTCCCGCTGATTGGCTGGCGGCGGCTGGCGGCGCATGCGCAATTCTGAGACCCGGGGCCGGAGCTGCGTTCTCGAGCTTTTTGGAACCGCTAAATCCAGACTGGAACCGGGAGGAAGCGCTGGCGGCGGCGGCGACTCGTTAAGAAGAGAGTGGCGGCGGAGCAGCAAAAGGGAAAAAGCAAAAGCGAGCAGAGCAGCCCCGTGGGTGCTGGGCGGTGAGTTTGGTAGAACGCGTCATACCTCTGGGCCGTGACGTCAGAGCACTAAGGGTGACGACAACTCTGAGTGAGTGACGTGGTCGTGTGGCGAGCAGGGAGGGCCGCGGTAGCGCCCTTTCCCCGGGGGAGCATGCGTCGTGGGGTCGGCAAGTTGAGGCTGGGGGGGCGGGAGGAGTCCCGAGTGGGCCAGGACGGAGGCTGGGATTGGCTGGAAAGGTAGGCAAACTGTATGAGGAGCGGGGCTGGGACTGAGTGGCAGGAGGAGGAAGAGGAGGCCTGTGGGTTTCCCTAAGGCCTTCTTTCCCCGTCCCGCAAAGTTGCAAAGGTAAACACAGCAGCAACTCGAAATACCTAAAAGGAAACTTGCGGCAGCAGCCATGGGCTGGTAAAAGCAGTAAAACCCACGCCGGGTATTTGGGGTGCTTGACTGAGTGGCAAAGAAACGGGGGCTGAGGTCAGTAGACTGCTGAGCTGTGTGCATGGAAGAGGGAGAAACAGTAGTGCTGTTTTCTTGAGGGGGCCCTTTGGGGTATATTTGCCAGGGCTTGGTGTGGGAGGTGAACAGGCGAACATTTGGAGCCAAGCAGGGAGCATCTGGGGCCTGAATTCCCAACTCATGTAATAACAAGGTGTTAGGGCTGAGGGAATAAAAATCATAGATGGTGTTGAGCTAAGGGAAGGAGGGGTCCCATGAGTTGCTCATGCCCTAAGGCGGTTGTAGTGGGAGCAGGGAAGTGCTGGCCCAAGACAGTTTGGCACCTGAGACAAACCACAAAATGGCACAAAGCTGCCCACAAGAGAAGAGGTGTGTGAAGATCTGCATCAGGAACAAGCGGATAAAGTTCTACATCGGGAATGAGTGGGAGGAGACCAGCAGTGCCTCCTATTCACCAAGAGGCCACTGCAGAGGGAACATTGGGGAGGGGCAGCAATGCATTCCTTGGGGACTGGATCTGCTGTCCCTGTAGACCCTGCCGCCTGAGGTGGCTGCCCCAACTTGCCTCATGGGTGGGCCAGCCCTGGAGTGGGCCTTGGCTGGTAAGACAGAGAGGTAAGTCACTTGGGGTTCATGAGAGAACATCTGAGGGCATTTTGTTTTCTTGTAAGGGACTGGCAATGTTCTCTGGGACTGTGTGGAAATGTGCCACATATTTTTTTTGCATAGGAGAGGGGTATAATGGGTTAGTTTGAGGTTCCCTCAACTGATAGGGTTCACATGTTAGCTTTTAACAGGCCTCTCTTACCTTGTTTCTGATGGGGATGGGTGTGGCCAGGGCAGGAAGATAAATCAGGGGTGTTTTTAAACCTATGAGAGCAAAGCTCTCCGCTATGCTGACCATACAAATTGTCCCAAGCTGTAATGAATGATACATGATTTCAATGACTGCACCAGCAACTATCCTTTCTCTTGAATGTGGTGTTTTCTTATCTAGTAATGACTTTTGATTTCCATTGAAATTGCCAGTCATCCTCTGAACTTAATGCTAAACAGAGGGCCACATTTTTCTTTTACTAGACGCTGTTGGAAGTGGCTTGGAAGGTGACTTACAATGAAGAGCCAAGATGGGGAAAGCAAAGCTGTCCTTCTACCTGCCAGCCCTTCCAAAATGAGTAGTGTGCTGGGGTTGGAAGACTTAGCTGAGGCTCCCACAGAAAGCTGTGAATGTCCACACCAGCCTGAGCTGTGCAGCTTGAACTCTTTGGTTGACGGAAATGTTGAAAACCCAATGAGTGAGGAGCAGAGTAAGAAAGAGGGTATGTGTTATCATGAGGCCCGTTGCCCTTTCAAATGTTAATTTTTATATCCCTTTACATTTTTCTTCAGCCATAAGCTGCTAGTGGCATTAAACATTTATTTCCTTTGTCTTTGCACCACCACCGCTAAAAGGGATTGTTGTTTCTATTGCATACTTTCTTAAATCTCACAATGCCCATCTTTTCATCGACTGAGAATTCTAAAGCTAAAGCACATCTGAGGCCATACCATGCTCTCTTCCAGGAAGCATTGGTCTCATCTCTTCCCCTCCTCCCCCGTGCTGTAATCCTAATGTACCACCTTTATTCCCAGCACTTTATTTACTAAACACTAGTGTCTACATGGCTAAGAAGTGCAAAAAAAAATAAAAAATGACTGTTATATATTTTCAGTGCAATATATGCAGTGGTTTATGTAAAGTACTTATTTGTTAACTGCTTGAACCTTACCCAGGAAGTTAGTTGTTATGTCAATTTTCTGTTATCAGTTTCCAGGCCTTATTTTACAGGAAAAAAACAGCTCATTTCTTCTGTGCTGTTAGTAAAATGTCTAGCACATTAAGAGCAGAATATTTTGAAATATTATATGCTATTCTAGTAGACTCTATAAACTTTGCACAATGATCTGAAACACAATAATATTTGATATTATTTAGTTAGTAAAATCCTTCGCTCCAGTTTGCACATGTTCACACATTTAACATCTTGTGTATTAATGTTAAATAGTGTTGTTCATTTACTCCTTTTGCAGCACTTTTGGTGGATGAGGCTGTATCCCAACCCCACCAACCGGTTAGCTGTGATGTCTCTGAAGAGCTAAGCAGACAACTAGAGGACATTCTGAACACATATTGCCTGGATACAAACCAGGAAGGACCAGGAGATGACAATGGGCAGAGTGAACCTGTAGAGATGGATGAGGCAGAAAAGTGCCGAAGTGAGTCCCCAAGGAATGGCGAGCAGGAGCAGAGTTGCCCTGAGATGAATGGAGAGAAAGAGGGACCCAGAGGGACCAGTGATGAAGGCGGCGAGCGGGATCAGAAACGAGCTCAAGAAAAAAAGAAAGCTAAGGGGCTTGGTAGGTGGTTCCTTCCTGATAGTGCTCTGCTCTGCTGTCCCATCCTCAGTTTATGTCCTAATCCTAAACGCAGTTGCTAAAGAGTAATCACATACTGTTGCAATCTCTTCATGGGCCTCTGGTCTCTCTGCCTGCTGTGCTCTGATGTTGGAATAGTCATGCCAGGGCTGTTGTGGCTGGTATTGACTCAACTTCTTTCTGTTACAGACATTCTGGACTGCCTAAGTTCAGATTGTAGAGTGCTTAAGGCAGAGATTTTTCACATTATGATGACTGAAAAAATATAATGTGAGCTGGCTGCTCTCTGGAAAATGCTCTTTGTTATAGAGCAATGAGGCAGGCAGGAAAGTGTATAGCAGAGACCAGTCCACATCCTGCCTCCCCACCCCGATCTACAAGCTTATAGAAAACTGGTAGTAATTTCCACAGTCTACAGGTTTCTAGTTCCTTAGATTCTTTTGGTCTCAAACTCTTCACCCCCTAGTTCTTTTCATTGTGATCTGAAGATGTGTCTATATTATCCTTTGTGTTCCAGGCAAGGAGATCACGTTGTTAATGCAGACCCTCAACACACTCAGCACATCTGAGGAGAAACTGACAGCCCTCTGCAAGAAGTATGCTGAACTGGTCAGTGACTGGCAACGTGAGAGGGAGGGATGCTTGAGTGGGGTATTAGTGCAGGAGGCAACAGGAGAGGGCTTATTCTGAAAGTGAGAGCTTATCTCTGAGGAAACCAGATGCCAGGGGCAGGGTGTGCATGCTTTTCCTTTGAATCTTGTATGGTTTGTTGTGGGTCATAACAGGTTCAGAACAAGTGGGACTCCATCACCCAACTCGTCTGCTAAAGCCAAGACATATGCTATTATAGTCTGGTGCAAGTGTAGGTTAAACGTTGGGGACGTGCATGCCATATCCAAATCCCACTTAACCACCTGGTTAAGTGGGCAAACTTTGTCTTCAAGGGACTTGGGAGTTTTTCATAGGGACCATAGATAAAAAAGTTTGTCTATGATGAGGAATGCAAAACACCCAGGCAGCAGAGTGCTCCTTCCTTTTGTACTAGGAGACTCTTTCAGAAACCTTTATGGGCAAGCAGAAGTGCTCAACAGGCTTCTAGCAGTGCCTTGCCTCTTGGGAATCCTAAACTAAACCGCAGGCAGCAGTATGCTTATTGCCAGGTTGCTGCCAGTGCTGGCAGGATGGGTGGGTAGGAGTTGTAGAGCAGGCCTTCCCAAACCACTGGTAAAGGAGGCTTTACCAGAAGATTTACCAGTTAAGGGGTTAAGAGAGCTGCCTTAGACCTGTGAAATACCTAAAACACTTTAGGCACAAGTGGCTCCAGTTTTAGGATTCTCACATTGTTCACTGACCAAGAGTACTTCTGCTAATGGCTTCCAGTGGCAGTTATCTCTTACCCCTGATTGTAATAGGGGGTTATTGTTCAGGTTCATCTCTGCCCCAGTTTGTTCACCAAACCCACAGTGTCAGGTGTAGTGCATATCAATCCACTGACAATTTAGACAATCTCAACTGACCTTCTTTGGAGTTTCATAGTCTTTGCAATGTCCAATCTATGGCAAAATATCTGCAATGCGATGCTTCCTACTCAATATGCTTGTTAAACTGCGGGGTCCAGAACTGGACACAGTGCTCCAGGTGGGGTCAGACCAAGTCAAAAATAAAGTGGTACTATTAACTTTCCTTGATCTGGACACTATTTAACGTCGTTATGTGAATTTGACAGAAGCTTCCTCATGATGAAATGCAGGATACCCTCAGCTTTGAACAGTAAGGTCTGAAGGGGGCTTACAAGTCTGTTTGCCTAAGTGGCACAAACACCCTTCAGATCTTGATGCCCAACACTGCATTGTGCTGCTTGCATTCTTAAGATTTTATAATAACTGAAAAGGACTGCAGAGGTAGAATACATGAGAGTCCCAACAATTAGAGTTGCATCCAGGGAAGAAGGCTGCCCATTGGGACTTGGGTGGCTGATCTCTCTTGTGGCTCAGGGATCTGCCTATCCAAATTCATTGGCCTTTAGCCTAGCCAGAAAAAGAGTGCTGTATTTCTAGCACAGAAGGGCCACCCAGGATGATGCATCCCTCCACCATATTGCTTCAGTACTAGTTTTCCCTCTTCTCTCCTCTCTGTCCTTATTGCTCATATGTTTGGGAACACTCGTTTTACTGCTATGTGGATACCATTACTTATGCCTGTCCTGGTCTGCTTCTCTTTGTCCTGCCAGCTGGAGGAGCACAGAAACTCTCAGAAGCAAATGAAAATCCTTCAGAAGAAGCAGACCCAGTTGGTGCAGGAGAAGGATCATCTACGGAGCGAGCACAGCAAGGCCATCTTGGCCCGCAGCAAGCTGGAGAGCCTGTGCCGGGAGCTCCAGAGGCACAACCGCACCCTCAAGGCAAGTGAGGCCCAACCTGTAGGTAGCCTCTCCCCCACCCCCATCAAAGCCCCAGGTGCTGTACCAGTGTCTGTGCAGGCCTCTCCTCCAGAGACCTGTGTGACGCTGCTGCACCTTTGGGGTCAAAAGAAAGCCTATCCAAGCAGCGTAGTTCAGCCTAAGAAGGGAGATAACATTGTTGTGGGGGCAGCTCCTGGCTTGCTATACTGGATGTCTTAGGTTGCCCTCTTGGCTGATTTTAAATGATCACAGTGGAGACCCCAGTCTGTGACTTTGTAGACAAATTGGTTGGGGGGGCAGGATGGGGGAAGAAGGAAGAAGATAACAGCTTCTGAACTGGATTTCAGCAGGTGTTTTCCAATAAGGGATGATAAATAATTGCTTTTCTCCAGCGAGCCAGTACAATTTTAGCTAAGCTCTGCCTACTGTGACTTGCAGCCATTCCCTTTTCCATCGCTGCCACTGAACAGAAGCCCTTTAAGGGGGGTGCCAAGTATCCCCACCCGGAGAGCCTTCTGCCCACAGGAGTCCTCATTCTCGCCCTTCTTCCGCCCCCTGACTTTCACATGTTCTTTCCAACCTGTCTCTCTAGGAAGAAGGTGTCCAAAGAGCCCGGGAGGAAGAAGAGAAGCGTAAGGAGGTGACATCCCACTTCCAGGTGACCCTCAACGATATCCAGCTGCAGATGGAGCAGCACAACGAGCGCAACTCCAAGCTACGCCAGGAGAATATGGAGCTAGCCGAGAGACTGAAGAAACTCATTGAGCAGTATGAGTTGCGAGAGGAGGTGTGCAGCCCACAGTGAGCGGTGGGGTGTGCATTGTGACTGGGGGGTGAGGGACGACTGGAATGTTGGGGAGGTAGGGAGGAGACGTATCCCCAAATCTCTGCAAGCTTAGTCTTATGATAAGAATTTACTTCTACACCACCTGTTTGTTACCCAAGTGAGGGAACAGCTTTTAAATAAAACACAGAACCAAGGGAATTACAGCAAGCTTCAGCAGATCCAGTTAGGGACCCAGAGTTTATATTGCAAACGTCCCACTTTATCACTGTTTCCTTAGCAACCAGGCCTTTGACAGGGTTGTTGACATTCCTGTCCCTATCTGTTCCTTGGAACCTTTCAAGGAGGTGCCAGATTTCACTCTGGGGCTAACTCAAAACAGACACGGCAAAACACTCTGAGTGACCGGTTGTGCCAATTTCAGGGTCAGATAGGAAAGGAATGCAGCTACTAGGAGTCATAAAATGCAGGCACACAGGAATCATTCATGGATGCATTCTAGCCAAAGGTTAAATGCAATTATTGAAACATTTCTAAAATAAAAAATATGCATTTGGGGTCTCTGGTTTTTACATCAGTCTGAGAAGTGTGCTGGCTGGGGCTGATGGGACTTGTAATCCAAAGCATCTGGAGGCACTAGGTTTGAGAAGGCTGGGATACAGAATGTTGAGCTAGATGGCCCAAGGGTCTGACTTTGTATTAGACAGTTTCCTGTGCTCGTTGTAGCAAGTGGCCTGTTGGCAACAGAAGAAGCACCGTTTTGATACCTGAGTCTGCACACTGGCTTTAAACTGACCTGTCCTATGCAGGCCCCCAAATTAAAATGCTTTCACTTTCAGAAAAAACCCAAAACATTGCAGCTTTTTTCTGGTATACCAGAGGCAACCTCCCCATGAGCGATTGCTTTCCTTTGGCTAACGTGACTTGTAAAAATAAAAGTGATATTTGTGCCTTGGTATTGTGCCTGTGACTTTCTGCTCTTGCATTTGCCAGAAGCGGCTGCTGCTGCTGACTGACAGCCTGTTTTGTCTTTTCATTGGCAGCACATCGACAAGGTCTTTAAACACAAGGACCTGCAGCAGCAGCTGGTGGATGCCAAGCTCCAGCAGGCCCAGGAGATGCTGAAGGAGGCTGAGGACAGGCATCAGCGGGAGAAAGACTTTGTGAGTCTTGCTCAAATGGTCCAAGGAGAAGCCCCAGTCTGGCTGCCGCAGCTGAGCATCTCTTAAGAGGAGAGCTGCGTCCAAGCTAGGGAGTCCTTTCCCCTCCTCCTGGATTCTTTGATATTCCTCAAAGCTGCATCAGGCCCTGCTTGCCTCTTAATTGATCCTCTAAACATGGAGTGGAGGGAAGTTCCAGGCTGCAGGGCGCTGTTCTCCTGCAGTGGTGGTGGTGGTGGGGAGTTAATTTCTCGTACTCCATTGCCTTCCCCCTGTTCCTTCTCTCTTGCACAGCTATTGAAGGAAGCCGTGGAGTCCCAGAGGATGTGCGAGTTGATGAAGCAACAGGAAACGCATCTCAAGGAGCAGGTGTGTGCGTGGGTGGCACTCTTCTCTCTCCGCCCCCCTTGCTATAGTTCACATTTTCTATACAAAATCCACTTTCTTAGAATGGGGAAACAATTTTCCTTCTTGTGACCTGCTGGCAGGATCAGTTGGTCACGACAGGGGCATGGCTAAAGGAACAGTTGCTTCATCCAAACCTAAATTGGGTTGGAAGGTTTTTAGGTACTTAAGATGGTTTAGTTTGAGTTCCCAGCTGAGTCCTGAGTAGCTCCCTCTTCCCACCCAACCTCTGCACTTGCACTGTTTTTCAGTAAATGGTGCTTGAAGAATGTGTGCATATATGTGTGTGTGTGTGTGTGTGTGTGTCAGAGAGCACTTCCCTTTCTCTTACTCAGCCCTGATCTAAAGAAAGAGTTGTAGACACTAACTCTTCTCCTTCCCTTCTCCTTTTTTCCAGCTGGCCCTCTACACAGCAAAGTTTGAAGAGTTTCAGAACACACTATCCAAAAGCAGTGAAGTGTTCACAACCTTCAAGCAAGAAATGGAGAAGGTACTGTATGTTCGTGCTGCTTTCATGTGCTGTGGGAGGAGAGGCTCTGACTTAAATTGTCACTCCTGTTGAACAATTCTGAAGTGCACCAGCCCATCCCTTTGAGCTGCTGCCTTGGGAGGGGAGGACAGCCCCTGAACTTTTTCTCTGCCGGCATCCCAGGACCGACTGACTTTCACTGTTTTTTCCTTTCTTGCTGCAACCCCATAGATGACAAAGAAGATTAAGAAGCTGGAGAAAGAGACCACAATGTACAGATCCCGCTGGGAAAGCAGCAACAAGGCCCTTTTGGAAATGGCAGAAGAGGTAACGTCGCCCCTGCCTTACCCACATTGACTTCTCTAGGGAAAACGAGTCTCAGGGTCAAATACATAGCCATACAGGCCCCAGAAATTCCTATGAGGGATTGAAACTGTGCCCACCCCTTCAAACCTTTGAAATCCTTAAGGATCTAAATAGATTATGTTCATTTCCCCCCTGACTCTGCACTCAGGAGAGAATAATAAATATTGGCAGATCCAGTACAAGATGCTGGTGCCTCTGTAGTTTTAGAGATGAGCTTGGAAATGCTGAGCAACCTTTTGCTGAAGTCTCGACCAGTAGATGGCCTATGCGTAGTTTTTCAGTCCTTGGAAGCATCCTCCTCCCTATGTGCCACTCTTTGGGGGGGGGGGAAAGGCATTTTGGGGAAATCACAAATCCTCTCCATCAGAAGAAACCTCCCTTGCTCTCTCACTTCCTTAGTTTTGCTCTTGGCATTCCGTGCTCTTGAGTCAGGATTCCTTTCAACAAGCCTTTGAGTTTTTGTTCTTGCTCTTTGCCTGGCGCTCAGTCCTGGCTTTGCAGTTGGGCACTGGCCAGTTGACAGAAAGACAACCCAGGAATGGTGCCCTTGTTTTTGTTCTTCATTGCTGGCTGGGACTAGAAGCTCCAGGCCAACCTCGATGCCACAATGAGTTGGAGAGGAGTGGAAAGAAGCAGGGATATGCACCTCCCTGTCCTTGTACTTGGAAGTTTCTTCTTCCAGAGCACACATTGCACTACTTGCTGTGGGGCTTCTACACCCAGTGGTACAAGGAGGGGAGGGTGTGGCTGAGGGTTAGTTAGTCTCTGGTCCAGAGCTGGCCTGTAAGCTGGTTAAGGACATTTCCCATCTTAATGAACAAGCAGCCTTCCTGACGTCTTAGCAGCTGTATTTAAGCAACTTATTTTTGTCGCCTTTTCATGATCTCTTCTGTACCTTGGCAAGCAGGCAGAAGCTGGCCCTGAAATTGATTTTGTTTACCCCTTGCAGAAAACTCTCCGGGACAAAGAACTGGAAGGGCTCCAAGTGAAAATCCAGCGCCTGGAGAAGCTCTGCCGGGCCCTGCAGACAGAGCGCAATGACCTGAACAAGAAGGTGCAGGACCTGTGTGCCCTTGTGCCTCCTGCTGCCAGCACGGACCTCCAGGGACCACCAAAGGACCCATCCCAAGGCAGCTCAGAGGAGCTGGCACCTCAGGGCACCACCGTGGAGGAGTGCCTTGCCCTGGCACAGGCGGTGTGCTGCACGGGACCAGCCGAGAGGTTTGGGGAGCCAAGCATAGGAGGAGCCCCTGCTCGGGAAAAGATGGATGAAGCTGCTGTCTCTCTTGAGTAAAGATGGAGGAAGGGGGAGAGGCGGGCATACCTCTCCAGAGACTGGGCCCCAGGCCTGGGGTGACAAAGCTCAGTCCCCCACCCCCCAGGCACTTAAGGTGTTCCAGTTTAAGTTTGAAGGCGTTTTTCTTTTCTTTTTTGCTTTATAAAAATTATCTCACTATATATTACACGATATGATGTGCAGGGCAACTCCCACTTTTTATATATAGGCCTAGGAACTAGATTGAACCACATTCTTGTGTGTCGTGTGAACATCTCTAAGTGTGTGGCAGTTTCACCAAAATACCTTCTGAAGTATGGGCGTGGGGGAATCTTGCCAACCATAACCCTATTCCCCTCCCCCAAACTCAGTTTGGCTGCTACATCTCACTGTGGGTGCTATGCCATGAATGCAAATTTAGGAGGTTGGCATCAGGGGGCCCTTTGGAGGATTTGTTTATTTTTCTCATATATTGACCAGACCCAGAGGCTTAAAACCAGAACAGGAGACTCAGGAGTTTGCTATCTAGTAGGTTATTTTTAGCATGTAGATTCCCCCAGGAAAGCGGAGAATAAAGTAGATGTGACTTTGCTTCACGGGGACAAGAGACTGAGAGCCCTGTTGGTTTGAGGAGAGGGTGGGTGGGGAGCATCCTCTCTGGGACTTTGCTACTTCGAGAATCTATGTTTCAACAGCCTTACGACTTCACAGTTGCCTCTATGCTTATACACGCACAAGTGTATGTATTAAAGATTTAATCCAAAGGTTTTCCTTCCTTAAGTGTTTTGCACATGATGAGCACCCGTGCACATGGTTGCGTGTGAGGAATGCTCTGGGGGTGGGGTGGGCAGGGGGAGTGAATCCCCCGCATGTGTTATATACTCCTCTTTGGGATACTTTGGTACTAAATGTCCTTCACAGTCCCAGAGGCTCAGGGAGAGAAACCCTAACCTCCCAGGCAGCAAAGCCCAGTAACTAGAAACAAACTTAACACACATCAGGAGCTGCCTGGAGATTGTCCTCCATGACCGGACTCCCATTTCCTTATCTTAACAGCACTTTTCCTTGGGCCACTTTGTCTACACAGCTCCATGTCAGTAAAAAAGAGGTTTCCTATTTAGTCCTCAGTGCTGCCATGGCTAGTTTAAACGCATAGAGGCTTTTTCTGTTTGTGATTTCAATTTCTGCTGCTTCTTGGGCTTAAAACCCAACTACAGACTTCTTTGCGTTTTAGTAGCTGCCTTCTTTGCTTTTAAAACTCTGCATCCCTCCTCTCTGGGGCTATTATTAGCCTTTATTGTAATTCCTGTCTTGCTGAGCTGCCTATTCCTCAGTTAGTTGTGTTTTGAGCTGTTGAGTGTTGGTGTTTGGGAACAGCTGTGGGCAGGCACCATTCAGGCCCAGCCCTATATACTTCAAACACTCTTGTGTTAAAGGAAGCTGGGCTTTAGGAAACAGTATTAGCAATGCATTTTGTATGATCTGACTTCACTCAAGTTGGCAGATTTCTTGCAGAGCTGTTTTGCTTCCTTGTTTCTCTTACTGGAGGTAGTGATTTCATCAAAGCTTTGGGTGACATCCAGCATCGCACCAGCAGATATGGCAGGACTTCACCTTTGTCACAGCCCCTCTCCCCACGTACGCCCAATCTGCTCTGGAGGGTCCCTCAACCCTTGAGCAATTTCAAGGGTGCATGGGGGGCTGGGGTGTGGGTGGGGAGAGCAAGTCTATGCTATGAATGGGCCGCCTCCCATCCTCTTCCTCGTACTTTGCAGGGCTTGGCCAAAAGCTGATGAATGTAAATGGGAGATAGAACTTTACTCTTGGAGCGGGACAGAACTGAACACTGAGATGTTTCAAGAAAACCTTCCAATTTTTTTTAATGCAGTGGTACAGGCAATATCTAGATCTGTTATATATATCTATCTTTGTATCCAATACAAATGAACATAAACTTGACTGCATGTCTGTGCTCCTTTTTTCTCCGCTACCATTATGGATATTGAGGCAGGCTATTGAGCTTGGCACACAGCACCAATTTCCAGATGTCCATCCCAATTCACTAAAAACGGTATTTTGGCCCTTTTCAAGGGGCTTGGGACAGTTTTTGTATCACTTTCATGTGTATTGTAAGTGGTGAAAATGGGTCTGGGAAATATTTTTCACTTGCTTAGCTTCAAAATCATTTTTTGGTTAGGATTCAGAAATAAAACCAATGTAGTGCTTTAGAGGGAGTGTTAGACTTCTTAAGCATTAACACCAAACTTTCAGGTTCCAGTTCAAGAAGACAACTCAGATTATTTTTATTGGTCTAGAATACTGAAGACTGAAGTTACAAGGGGTCTTCCTAATTTGTATTATAATTTAAGTGGAACTCTAGCTACATTTTAAAAAAGGAAACCATGGAGCCGTGAGGGACCTCAAAGACCATCCAGTGTATTGTTACAGCAGCCTTGTATGGGCCACTCAGCTTCTGTTTAAAACCTCTTAACCAAAAAGAGTGTCCACCACTGTTCCAGGATTGAATATATTGTGCTGTTAGCATGGCAAGTTCTTCCCAATGCTTTGTTGAAACCATGTAATTTTGAATGAACTGGTGTGGATCCGACTGGAACGTGTGGTAACCTGACACCCTTCTGATTCTGACCATTGGCCAGGACCGATTTTGAGTTGGGTCCAACAAAATCTGGAGCATGGGTGTAGCAGCACCCATATCTCTAGTCATACAACTCTGCCATGAGGCATCCTAGCCCCAGGCTTTTTTGCGGGGTAGAGGGGACAGGGTGCTTTCAAGTATTGTACTCCTTCAGCAACACTTGTGATAAAGGAATTGTAGCTGTGTGCCCTGCCCCAAAGCCTTAGGCTATGAATATGACCAAACACAGATCCACCCCCACAGGGAGAATATCCTGGGGAGGTTCTGCAGGCCATCATGTCAAGCTTAAAGCTTCTGCTTGGGGCAAGCAGTTAAACTTCTAATTTACATTTTTCAAGGGAGGGGGGTTCCACCTCTCCTTTTCTTTCTTTATAAAGGTCCGGCTTCTACCCTGGAGAAATGTACCAGGTCAAGCTTTCCTGGGCGTGAAGGGAGGGAAGAAGTCTAATGTACTACTTGGGGTGAATGGAAGTTGTGGGGTCAGGGAGGGGAGGATGGGCAGAGGAAGGCCTACCTAGGTGCCTTCCGAGGCCTTCTGTCCACGCCCAGAGACCTTTTCCCTTCGACGTGCTCTTGGGCTACTGAACCCTATCCTCCAAAACTGGTTTAAGACGGGCGTTTGCAATGGGCTGGCTCGGAGCGGGAGTGGGGAGCAAGCCAGTTTTCCAAAGGGCCCGGATCTGAGCGATGGAGCAGCGGCTGCTGTCCACGAAGGCGGTGGCAGCGTCGGATCCAGTGAAAGGGCATGCCATTCTGGCCACCAAAGCCTCCCTCCGCCCGAGCCCTGGGAAACCAGCTGCAGCCGACCAGAGGCGGAGCGGACCCTGAACATCGGGCCGCCGTTTCCACAAGCCCCTTTGCGGAGGGGCCTGCCTGGCCACCGCCTCTCCGAGAGGGAGTGCGCGCACTCGCGCACGCGCTCGGCGCTTCTCGGGCGCGCAGCAGCAAGAGCAGCCGCCGCCGGAGCGTCCCCAGTGGCCCGTCTCCGCCGCAGAGGTCAGTGTCTCCGCAGCGCGTCCTCCACCCCATGCGGTGCGAAGTGGGGGCGGGGGGGGGCGTGGAACCTCGGCGAGGAGAACGTTCTGATTTGGAACGCGGAGCGAGGAATCAGCGTTCCAAATTGGAACATTGGAGGTGGCATCTTTTGTTGCTGGCAGATGGCGGTGGGTGGGATTAACCGGCCTTTTAAGATTGCCGGCGGAGAGCGAGACCTTTCCTTCTCTCGCCCCGGACCTCTTTTCTCGGGCAGCGACCTCTTCTTAGAAGCCAGACAGGGCTGTTTGTTAAGGCGCTGCATCATCGCCGCCTGCTCTGCACGGTCTTGTTTATCGATCTATTTATGTGAGCTCCTTATGTGATGCAAGAGCGAAAATAAGAGAAGGTCGATGAGCCAGGGAGGATTCAAATTAGCAATTCAGCGTTTAGTGTTGTTACCGAAATGAGATGCACAGGGCATTTCTCATAGCAGGAGAACCAGTCCTCCTCACCCAAGCAGTTGACAACCCCAGCAGCTACTGCTGGAGAAGGAGCCCTTGCACCCATCACCCCCCCCCCACGACCGACCTCTGATAATTGGCCCTAAACCAAGAGGTGTCCCTGATGGGACCATGTGCCCTAACAGAGCAGGGGCTGGAACACCAGGGAGCAGTCAGCTTTTGAGAACTGGGCAGAGGAAGGATTACTGCCCCTTCTCAAAATGTCCCTTCTGCAATATTAACACATTTATTTATGGAATCAATTTAAATTCTACTTTAGTTTTCTTACACAGAGCTAAGGGGTGTAAAATACTTACCCCACCCTCACATGGGCATACCCAGGACTTTTGTTGTGGGGGTCAGGCTTCTGTGAGGAGGACAGAACCTCAGATTTGTATTGATTTGTATTGATTTTGATTGATTGGGGGGTAAGCTGCCCCCTGCCCCTCCTGGCTACGCCCATGCATCCTCATTTTATTCTCAAAACAAACCCTGAGAGCTAAGTTAGCCCAAGCAAGCAAGACATCTTCCCAACATCACCTGGTGAGCTTTGTGGCTGTGTGGGGACTGAAGCTGTCTCTCCTTAGCCCCAACGCTGATCAGGGATGCCATTTTCTGGGTTGTATATTCTGGTAGAGCATCTGTTATTCTAGGCTGCATCAACAGTAGTGTCCAGGTCAAGGGAAGTAATAATACCACTTTATTCTACCTTGGTCAGACCACACCTGGGATACTGTGTCCAGTTCTGGGCACCACAGTTTTAAGGAGGATATTGACAAGCTGGAATTTGTGCGGAGGAGGGCAGCCAAGATGATCAGCGGTCTGGAAACCAAGTCTTAGAAGGAACGGTTGAGGAATCTGGGTATGTTTAGCCTGGATAAAAGGAGTCTGAGAGGATATATGATAGCCATTTCAAATATCTGAAGGGCTGTCACATGGAAGATGGAGCATGCTTGTTTTCACCTTGTCCAGAGGATAGGACCCAAACCGATGTATTCAAGTTACAAGAAAGGAGTTTCTGAGTAAACATCAGGAATAACTTTGTGATGGTAAGAGCTGTTTGACAGTCAAACAGCGTCCCTTGGGAGGCTGTGGACTCTCCTTCCTTAGTGGTGTTTAAAGCAGAGATTGGATGGTGCTCTGTCATGGATACTTTAACTGAGATTCCTGCATTGCAAGGGGCTGGACTAGATGACCCCTGGGTCCCTTCCAAGTCTACAATTCTATGGCTCTAAGAAGGTACTTAGGTATCTCCACTGAACCAAAAACACCCAGCACCTCATTTTCTCATATTATTGTCTCCAAGTAATGAGAAACTCCTGGGGTAATACAACCCATGCATGATGAAGGGGAGAGCAGTAGAGACTTAGGCCGCATCCAGACTTACTGAGCAGTCACATTGATTTGTTTGTAGGAAGGTTGTACAATCTTGCATCGAGCAAATGTTATCCCAAAACCTTCCAGTTCATTTTCCCCATCACTTTTCTTATCACCAAAACAATATTTTTTTTGGGGGGGGGGAGAAGCAAAACTGATGTGCTCGAGCATTAAAAAAAACTGTGCAACCTGGATTTGCCAGTGTGTGACTGAATCCTACCCGAAAATAGCAACAGTCAGAAAGTGTTCTCATGTTGTACTTACACAGTTCTCACTGTACTCAAACAACAGCAGAAATCTGAGTAAAGCAGGGCTGGAGACACGGAGGCAAAAAAATGTGGTTTTAACAATGACAGAGGCTTGAGTGCAGCAGGGATGGAGAGACACCGGGGGGGGGGGGTTGTTATTTTAAAAAACAAAGCTGTTTTAACAAGGAGAAGTAGCAGAAATAGGTGCATCATATCAGCTAACACAACAGAGCCTTCCCACCTCCTTGCTGTATTCAAACCTTTTTCTAATCTGCCGCTTCACCCCTCTTAATGTCACCTTGACTCACTCTATTCAAACCTCTGCCACTGTTTAAAACCATCCCCTGCTCTGCTTCATTCCACCCCTGCTTTATTCAGACCTGCGCTGCTGTTTAAAACTACTATTTCCCTACTGTGTTTCTCCCTTCTTGCTGTACTCAGACTTCTCCTTCTATTCCTCACCTGACTCTTGTGTGTGAGAGAGGATGAGGAGCTCTCAATGATTTCATTGTATGGAAAGTTCTTTATTCAAACCTTTGCTGTTGTTTGCTAGATCCAGTTCCCCACCTCTGATTCAAAGGGTTGGAGATGGGATGTGAGGAAGAGGAAGTCTGGAAGTGGTGGAAGTCTGTTTCTTGTCCTGGTTACAGAACGGGCTGCTGTCTTCAGAACGCTCCCTGGCCTTGCAACACCTGACCAAACTGCTTCCCCTCTCAGTGTGCCTCCCTTCTCACTCCCTTGCCGTTGTCATGCTGTTGTACAACCTGCCTTCTCTTTTCCTCCCCTACCCCACCACAACTTCCTGCAAATCCAGGATTGTGATGAGTCCTTCAATGGGGACTTTGCAATGACAGCCTTACATATCTATGTAATTGGGAAAACATATTTATATGTCTCTTATTGTCTCGTTTACCGTTGGGGTTATAAAAAATATTTGCAAGCTGTGTGAAGAGTTTTATTAAAACTTTTGTACACCCTGCACTTTTCTGATGAAAAAATGTTTTTTAAATAATAATAAAGAATATCTGTTCCAGCCTTTTATTTTCGCTGAAGGTCAGCCAGATTCCTTTGGAAGGCGCAAGAGCCATAGCTCAGTAGCAGAGCATCAGCTTTGCCTGCAGAAAGTCCCAGGTTCAATCCCCTATGGCATCTCCAGGTAGGGCTGGGAGAGACCCCTGCCAGAAACCCTGGAGAGCTGCTGCCAGTCAGTGCAGGCAGTACTGAGCTGGATGGACCAAGGAATTGACAGCTTCCTGTGTTCCTATAGAAGCTCCCCTGCAGAGCATGGCGGGACTGGCCACTGCCGTGTTGTTTGTCCCAGCGCCTGATGTTCAGAGGTAGACTGCCTTGGAGCACTGGAGGGTCCATCTAGTTACATTCGTGACTGAAAGCCACCAATATGCTGTTGCTATCTCTTTCTAGCTTATCTTTAGGTTCATTCTCGGTTCCCCTGAGCAGTTTCCGGTGTGTGACTAAGAGAGACCTGCTGCTTCCAGGATGGAGGAGAAGAAGAAGAAGAAAAGCCCCAAAGCCCACCTAGCTCAGCCAGTTCCAGCCAGTGCTCTCCGTAAGCTGCCAGTCCCTTCTAGCAAGAGCACCTCTTTCTCCCTGGGGATGCCTCATCTCCCATCGCCAAAGCAAAGAGCCAAGTTCAAGAGGTCAGCCAAAGGTTGGGGCAGAGCTGCATGGTTTCCTCTGGGAGGGATTTGAACCCAGAGCCCAGCTGGCTAGAATTTCATCCGTCTAGCCACTGCCAAGCAGAAAGATGTGAAACTTGGGTGGAGGTGTTTTAAAGCTTATGTTTGTGTTCCTACCTTTAAATAGGACTGTTCGAAATTGGACACTCCATGCATGCTTAAAGACATTTTAACCTTATGCTGATTTATTTTTTTAAAAAACCAAGCTGCTTTCCATCAGAGAAAGGCATTTTGCCATTGCCCAGAGGCACCCTTTTCTTGCTACTGCTTTGAGTTTGATGATTTGCATTTCAATGGTTGCATCATTGTTGCTTTTTTACATTTTGAAGCTGTTTTGATTGACTTTTCGTAGGGGGAGAGCAGGGTATAATTTTTAAAAGTAAGATAAAATTAATAGGTCTGCTTTTTAAAAAAGCTGGCTGCCTTCACAAAAGGAGGGCACTCGGCACATGCTTAGAGTCACTTAGCCCCTGGAAGCATCATTGGAAATGAAAAACTTGGCAACCCTGCTTTTGAATAAAATTATCTCAGCATCTCCTTGCAGTAGCAAACTGTGCACAGTCAAAAACAGTGAGTCAATGTATGAAGAATTACAGTGTCTTGGTTATGCCTTGCTAAAGTCAGAAGCGGTCCTTGCTCCACCCCACAGTGCCTTAAGGCAGCCTTCAGATGCTTGGGACTACAACTCCCACCAGCTCCAGCCAGGTTGGCAACAGCTTACCTAAGGTCCGTTTCCCTTAGAGAGAGCCCAACTCTTTCCCCTTTGAAATGACAGCTCTCCCCAAATTATAATCCAAGGCAAAGGGGACCCAGGCTTCCAGTTTGGGGCTGCCCTTAAAGGTGGCAGGAGGGAAGATGGACACGATTGAGTGCTGTGAGCAATGTCCTCTGGAGCAGGCCTCACTGAAATGAAAGGAGACCTTTGCTAGAGCAAGTCAGGTGGGTGCCTGGGTGGAATCTAGGCCGTGGCCTTGAGTCAATGGCATTTCTTTATCCAGTAAACAAAGCAAAAGGATTTGACTTCCTAGTCCAGGTCTTGTGGCCTGGTGTGTGGGAGGTGGGAGGGAGTTGGAAGGAATATGTCTCTTGAGCTGAAAGTTCTGGGCTGAGAACTTTTGCTTTGAAGTTGTGGGTAAGCAGATCAATGTCCAGTGGCCGGGGTGATGATATAGCACAATTTCTAGCAGCATTTATGGGGAGGCCAGCTGCTGAGAAGAAGTCTGCATACAAGAAAAAGGCTCTGCTCCTATCCAGTTAGCTGTCCAACTTTCTGTTCCTCCCTGGGAAAAAATCACCCCAATGCCTCCCTGTTAAGAATTTGGGGTGGGGGATCCCTCAGCTCTCCCCCACAACTTCCATAGGAGGAGGTGCGGCTGCCCTCCTAGGAGAGATTTTGGCGTGTTTCCACCCCTGCATGCCCAACTGACCATTGCGTTGGCAGAGCCCTGGCTCCTTGGCAAGGAAAGTGGAAATGATGCTGAGGACAATCTTGGAGGCCGTCTCTGGCTTCCTTTGTGCTCTGAGGAAGGAAGACGGACTTCCTGCCTGGTCCCACCCCACCCATCACCTTTTCTTATTGCTGTTGTCTGATGCAGAGCAAACAAGGAGAAGCCCCGAGCTCCCCAGCCCGGAGGCAGCGCTGCCACAGCAGCTGTGGGGACCCCTCTGCAGCACTCGTTCCTGACCGACGTCTCGGATGTGTACGAGATGGAGGGGGGCCTCCTGAACCTCTTGAACGACTTCCATTCGGGAAAGCTGCAGGCTTTTGGTAAGCGCTTCGGTTATTTCTCGGCCCTTGAGTTCTGAGGGAGAAAAACATCTCAGAAATATCTGTTTCTGGACGGTGTGTTGTAATATGCAGGGTGTTGGATGGGGAACGGCAAGGCCTGAATTCGAATCTTTGCTTAGCAAGTGCAATTAGCTGAATTAAACTTTCTCAGTCTCACCTAGCTAACTGGGGTTGGCATCTCCTAGAAGCTCCATGGAATAACGCTGGTGTTCTTTTTCTCAACTAACGCAGGGAAGGAATGTTCCTTTGAGCAGCTGGAGCACGTTCGGGAGATGCAGGAGAAGTTGGCTCGCCTGCATTTCAGCCTCGATGTCTACGTGGAGGAACTTGCCGAGGACCAGAAGAAGACGGTGGCCGACAGGAACCTGGATCAGCTGCTGACAAATGTGAGTGCTGTGAGGAATTCTGGAATCCCTTTTCTGGCTGAGAGACTCTCGCCCTCTCTGACCTCCTTGTTCAGCCCGGAACTGAAGAGCTCAGGCTGCATACACTTTGAAACACATCCAAAGCACACACTTTCCCTCAAAGAATTCTGGGCAATGTAGTTTAAAGGTTGCTGGGAATTGTTAGACTGTGAGGGGTAAACCATAGGGCCTAGAATTCTTTGAGTTGGGCGGATGTCCTTTACAATATATAGTCACAAATGTTGTCCCGCACAAGACATGTTTGGGTGCATATGCCTTTATTATGGAAACCCAGCATACTTAAAATATAATTGCCTCTGCCCCTGAGAAGTTTATGAGTATCCATGACATCCCAACTACTCAGTCCATCTGTAGGGTGCATTTGCAGGTGATAGGTAACAATCTTTTACTTACTGACAAAATCACACTCATCTGCCTGCTGGGGGAGACCTTGCTCTGTGCTCCTCCAATATTTATGGCCAGCCTGGTGGTTTTGGCCAAGCCCTATACCTGATCAGCTGTTGGGCAGGTAAAGGTGTGGCTGAGACAGAAGAGGTTTGCAGGTACTGGTGATCAGCTGATCATCAGGACTTGCAGTGTTCTGTGAGCAGCACTCTGCAAGCCCCACCAGTGAGCTGATCGTCTGCATGGACAAAAACTGCTTCTCTGACATTGTGACGTCGGGTGATTGACTGGCCTGCCTATCAAGCTTGGCCTATGGGGGAGGTAAGGATCCATCCAGCCTCCTGGCCAGATCCAGTTCCAAAACCCTGCAATAGAGCTTTCTCCATGTTGGTGCAATATCTATGGGACTCTCTTCTGCATTTTAGGAAACAAGTTAACTTTCTTAATCTTGATCCATTTTTAAAGTACCTGCCGGCTAAATAAGGGAATATGACATATTGGATATCCCCTCTCTTTAAATTTTGGCAAATGGCAGCCACAGAGGTGGCAGTGGGAGATCCCTCTGGCTTCTCCCTTAACAGAACAAATACCTGTTTCATGTATTTCTGAAAAATGGGGTTTTGTGCGTGTATGTGTTAAAAACACCACCATACACACTCACTCACTGCCTGCACCCCTGATGCTCATCACTGCCTTCTCCCAGAAGCTGCTATTTGCCAAAATCTAAAGAGGGGGATGATCCTATCACAGCGCTCCATCACCTTGCTTAGTGTGGCCCCAGTTTATTTCCACTGCAGAAGTTCCTCTTAAAGAGCTCCTTGTGTTTGTTTGTGGCTGACTCTCTTTTGCTTTTGCAGCTGGAAGAACTCAGCAACTCCATGTATCCTCCTTATGGTGCCCAGTGTGTGAATGCCCAAGCCATTTCCCAGGCGGACTGGGGGCAGAGGCGATGGTGGGGGTGAAGGGTGGGACGCTGGGTGGGGTACAGGGAAGAAGTAGTCTATCCATCTGTGGCAGATAGGCAAGGTTGAATAGTCCAGCTACTCCTTTTTTAAATAGGAGATTCCCCCCGGCTCCCTCCTCCTCTCTTTCCCCAAGAGAAGCAGCATCAGAGTGAAAAGGTATGTCTGCAGAGAAGAAGGGGGGCGGGCATCATAGCTTAGCTGCCTTCCATTTTTCCTTAATAAGACACCTCAGACAAAAGCTCCACCTGGCAGAAAACCCTGACTTGGAGGATGCGTCCACAGTCTAGAACAAGGAGGAGGAAGAGGAGGAGGCTGCCTGGTTTTTCTCTTGACTGTTTTCATTAAGAAGCCTCAAAAAGAAAAACAAAGGAAGCAAAGAAGCAGCTGCGGAGCCAAGCAAAGAAGACCCTCGTGCAGAACTACTTCTGGACTGTACACGGAAAGGATAAGTTAGATGGAGCCTGGTGGAAAAGGATGCAACTCCTGGGCCTCAGTGCACTGGGACACACTGCTGATACAGCATGGAAGCCAGCCTCTGGCAGAGACCCTGCGCCCCATGACCGACAGAGGGCAAACAGAGAGCTCCAGTGCAGGGCCCTCGGGGATGTGGCAAGGGATGCTGGGGGAGCCCTCTAGGTCCATGCAGGGCTCTGGCTCTGACTGGCAAAATGTCCTGTGCCAAGACAGAGAGATGCAGGTTCTAGGGCTTGGTTGCCTGCAGACAGTCCTTAGAACCAGGATCCGCTGTTTTTTCCCCTCCTACAGTTCCAGACCAGTTTGCACACATGCCATGTGTGTACGCAAACAGTTTGACAGGCACAAGGCCAGCAAATTGAACGGTGATGTATTCCATCAGTCTTGCTGCTTCTGCCAAGAGTTGTCTGCCTCCAGTTTTAATCCCCCCCAGCATAGCATGAATGCTCATTTTCATGACTGTTTGTTTGGTGCCCCATTAACATTTTTTTAAATGCCAACTGTTTAATAGGAAACCGCCCCCGGAGGAGGAAAGTGGTCTTATGACTAGGAAAGGCCAAATTTATCAGAATTTCAATTGAATTCCTCCTAATTATACAGAGTTTTCCTTAACCACATTTCTGCAAGCAATTTCCCCGAATGCATTTTTTTTGTATGTTATTTTCCTTAATGTATGCATTTTATGCACACTTTCCCCTAACATACACATTTTAAAAACATTATTTGGTTGGAGAACTGTGTTAGACTTCAGAGGAGTGTGAATTTTGAAGAATAGCTGTATTTTTATTTACACATTGTTTTAATAAGCACAACTTATGGAGTTCTGCATTAAAATGCAAGCCAGACCCAAATTTATCCCCCAGGCCTATTTGTAGAGAGCTGGTGTAGTGTAGTGGCTTAAGAGACTGACTATGAATCAAGAAGTGTCCAGTTTGAATCTTGCCTCTGCCACAAACTGACTAGTTGTCCTTAGTCACTTTCAGCTTCAGTACCCCCCTCTGCAATATGGCGTATGAGAATATCTTACAGGGCTGTTGCTAAGCTTTACAGCCAGAGAGAGTACATGTGATGGTTCAATACGGATGTCAAGTGTTACTATTTTTATTATCCTCATCATTGGGATCATCCAATCCTTGGTCTGCATGTTTCATTTCTGCCATGAAAAGGAGGACCCAGTTCCCCCTGATACCAGATTTGAAGGACAGGTTGTGGAACAGTTCATGGAACCACTTGAGGAGGGCAAGTTTCCTGGCTCCACAGCCCTTCACATGCTGCCAGCTGAACTTCTGCACTCTCTCTATTCAGGATGTAGCTGCCCCTTGCAACTGCACACAAACAGCCGATTTGCTAGAGGTGTAGAAATACTATTCCTGGGCTACCTCCTTTCTCTTCCCTGGGGCTTGTCCCTCATTTCTCGCCACCACCTCCTGCCCCCACAACCCAGCCCTAGGAATCCCCGGACAGGCCTAATCCAAGACTATGCTAGGTTACCCCTACATCACATGCAGGGCTCTGGTGGTTGTTCCAAGACAACAAAACGGAGATGCAAAACTTTCCCAGTGTTAACAACTTGGGGAATCTACTTAGAGTTCACATTTGCTTAATCAGAACCTAGTGAGACAGTAATGCATAGCCAGTGAAAAAAGACTCAAGATTATACATGAAATGAAGGTACATTATTCATTTGCTTCATTTAAGGTATATTATTCTCTTTATATAGATAACTGTGGCATTTGAAGAAATGTAATATTGCAGTATAATACTAGAACTTAACATGGATATCGTCTCCAGATGGCCTCTACATTGAGCATTCATTCTGATTTGCCTGCACAATGTTTATGTGGAGGGGATACGGTGTCTGGTTTTTATTGAGCAAACATTCTGATTTGTTTTCAGGGACGTTAAACGACAATGGACATTCATTGATTGAATTGCTTGTGTGATGGTGTTATGCCTTCCTTTTAATCAGTCATTTATCCCACACTTTTTAGTGCATTTTTAGTGCATCACTTTCTTAACTGCAGAAAGCCCTTGTTTTTTTCTTTTTCTTTTAAGTGGCTTTGTTGTGCCGAGCAAACCTAGGTTTCCAGAAAATTTAGCCTCTGACTTGGAGCCATCTAGTTGTGAAAATTAATTTCTAAGTTTGATGGCACATGTATCATTTTGGAATAAAATATTTAAGCATCAATAGCTGTGGGCTAGGATCCTGTGGCCTTTAGCTGGGTGAGAGGATGTAAAAAAAGAGTTAGACCCCAAGCAGGCAGGTAGAAAGAGAGAGATTCTCTGAACACCTTTTATATACCAGAAAGATTGTGTTTTTCTACCTTTTCTATCAATTTCATTACTTGCTTGGCAAGCCCATATAAGATGTAGATTCTGGGTGCACATAATCTGTGAGCCCCTTCCTTTTCCAGCACACCTTTGCTCAGGTCGCTGACACTCCGTTGTCAATCATGTTATTGATTCCACATTTGCTGAGGCACTGTGGCTGTTGTTCTCATTGCGCTTTTTAGTATCTTATTTATGCTGATGGGATAATGTTTCCTGTGACGACCTCATCAGGTTGCCAGGGCCTCTCATGACTGTCCTTGAGGGTCAGCAGAAAGTTCCAAGTGGCCTGCGCAATGTGGCAGAATTGATCTTGTCGTCCGCTTTAGCCCATGACAACTGCTGTGCTGCCTGCTGGCGTTTGCTGCAGCTGATGGCTCTGCAGGCCTGGCTAACTCCAGATCAACATCCAGATTCTCCATGCGGATTAATGCATGTGGGAGCCACCTCTGCCTTCCTGCAGGAGAAATTAGCGCTGAGGAGTATCAGGGGCAGGAATCTCGAGGACCATATTTCTTGGGATTTTTCTGACCCTCAGTTCCACCTTCCCCAGTTCTGGTGCTGCTGCAAGTGCTCCCAACTGCCTCCTTCTCCTGATCATCCTTAGCCTTGAACCCGGAGTCACTGCCAGAGCCATTTGGATACCTGGACCCGTAGTGCACTGCCCGTCCCTTGAGGCTTGCAGAGGATCTCGCATGGCCCAGTCAGTGTTTGTTTAGTAACTGATGGTGTAAGGATATGGATTGAGTGCTTAATGAGTTGAAGTCCCATAGAAGAATTATTTGTTAATGCATAGGACTGCTGAAGGCAGGGGTTAATGCAGCCTTCACCAACATGGTGCCCTCCAGTTGTTTTTGGCTACGTCTGGAGTTGTATCCGAAAGCATCTGGAGGGCACAAATTTGGCAAAGACTGGGTAGTGTGTACCCCCCCAAAAGCTGCATTTAAAATCACAAGAAGCAGATAAAGTATGCAAACTTTAATTTGTATTACTAGTCCGCTTCCTTGTGTTCTCTTTCCCTCCCAAGCTCTTCTAAACCTTTGTGAAAATTGTAGTCTACTGAACAAATGAATGTGGTTTGTAATTTTTTTAATGTCGTTATGCTTGTTAACACATGAAACGTTCATCGTGGAAGGGGGTGGAGTCCAATTTTTGTAAAATCAGCTCATAAATAGTTATTAAACTTTCTATAGGACAAAAGTTTTGTGTCTTTGGTTTTGACATCTAACTTGGCAACACTGCAATTTAGCAGCATCCAGTCGCTGCTGGCGTGCTTTACACTGCAAATGGTATCACAACTCGGTTTCCAGACTTCTGGAGTCCAAATCACATACTGTAGCCAAGTGGGCGGTAGGATTTAATTAGGATGAGAGTCCAAATACTTGACCCCCCCTCCAGATTCCTAATCATGATTGCCCTACCCCCACCAATTTAGAAGGCAGGGGAAGAAAATAAATAGAAAGGCAATAATATTGGGAAAGGCTGAATGTATGAAACAAAGTAGGCTCCCAGCAATCTCACAAAAAGCTTTGGATTATCCCAGACTATGCACCCAGTATTCCAGAGACGTGTCCTCTGCCTAGTACCAAACCATCACTTCTGCCCCAATGCTGCTTTCTGTGGGTACAAGCAAGATGCTGTGCAACAAATGGGCCTGCTGTGGTCAGATTTACCCACATCCTTTGCAAGGTTTATGGCTATGTTTTTCCCCCTGAGAAAAGTTAAGATTCTGGAGAATCTGGATTCTGCCCCTTGTGCCACTATCTGCATTTTTTTCTGTTCTTGTACTGAATTGCAGAATACAAACCATCCGTGATCATCAGAGGTGGCAGCCACATTTCCTACCTGGCTGGACAGCAATGCCCGATGCAGGGAGATGGTTATGGAGCACCAGGTTCTGTGAATATTCACAGAATATTCTCCAAGAAACAATCGGCTCTGCATCACAGGAGTTATAACACGGCTGTTTGGGACTGTAGTACTTAGTCCTGCCAGGGTGTATAGAGCTTGCTTTGACAAATAAGCAGCCCAGGGGCAAGTCCTGTGGCTTCAGTGGGTAGGCAACACATTCGACCTCTTTTTTTACATCTGTAAATTGGAATTAACAATGGACTACCTTGCCGAGTTGTTAGGTAGGCAAGCACAGGAAGGATTGCAAATTCCTTTGCAAAATAAGTGTGCTGCCTATAGTGTGAAAATATACGTTCCCAAGCTGTGTCCACCAGTGGCATCACTTCTCAACATAAGTGAGAAGGGCCTGGAAGACTCGTTTATAATCCTAGGTGAGAGGAACTCTGCACATGCCCATGTTGCGGGCCTGAGAACTAGATAGGTTCTGAAGTCAAAGGAAGGAACCTGGACTGTGAATGTTGTTCAAGGGAGGATAGGTGTCCATGGCAAGCCAAAAGTGACTCACTCGCTTCCTCCCTCCCTCTCGCTCTTGATGTGGCTCAGCTTCCTGGCCTGACAAGGATATTTCCTCCTCCCCTGCTGAGCTGGCAGCTATGGAAACGGCAAGCCTTGCTCTCTCAGAACAGACCTTGGCAAAGAGGCCCTGCTCAGACTGGAAGGGTTTGCAGTGGTGGGAGCTCACTAGGATTGCCCCCCGCCCCCATTGCTCTGCTTTCCAACTTTGGCCAAGGGGACTTGCAAGATAAGCAACCTGCTGGTACCCGCAGGCCAGAGGGACATGAGCTCAGGGACAGTGGCAGTGGCCCCTGTGGCCAAGAACGTGATGGTGTATCGCAACGGGGACCCCTTCTTCCACGGCAGGAAGTTCGTGGTGAGCCACCGGCGGTTCCTGACCTTTGAGGCCTTTTTGAACGAGGTGACCAGCACAATCCACGCCCCCACGGCCATCAGAAGCATCTACACCCCCCGGCACGGTCATCGGGTCTCCGACCTGGACGAGCTGCAGAATGGGTGCCAGTACATTGCAGGAGGCTTTGAGAGATTCAAGAGACTGGAGTGAGTAGGCACTTGGAGGCTGGCTGTGCTGCCTGCCCTACCGATGGCAGCAGAATACCTGCCCCCCTCCCCAACCCCAAATAATCCCAGGCTCTCTGCAGAAAATCAGCTCCACTGACTCTGAACCTGTTAGCTATGTTGACTGGCAGGGAGGGATGAAGTCAGGTATGAGGGCATTGATTTCCTACCAAAAATGAGGGTGTCTTCTCACCTGGGGCACTGCAGGATGCCAGATTTTTATTTGAAAGTAGCTGCTGGTGTATGTGGGGGGGGGGGCACTACGTACAGGGGATTTAGGCTTTCAACCCAGCTGTCCTGCACCATTTCCCTAGATAAAAATTGTCCTCCTAAGCTGCAGTTAGCTCTGTAGGGAAACATGCTGGTTCAATGTGCATGTTTTCTCCTGTTGAGCAAATAACAGGACTGGGGGCGGGGGGAGGTCATTTAAACCTGAAAGACCCTGCCAAACAGAGTTAACCCTTTCTCCCGTATGCTGTCCCTGATCCTATCCAATGTTTTTGTTTTCATGTACAGCCGCCTCATGGCTGTGAGCCTTTTAGGAATATGTTCGGGAGGTGCCTAGAAATAGACACTGAATCTCGTTGTGTCTGGCAAGTCGTCTTATAAGAAAACTCCCTCAGAGAGCTCCCTCTGCTGGCACGTGGTATTTGTTTATTTATTAAATTTCCATGCTGCCCTATACCCGTAGATGTCAGGGCAGTTCACATCGTAAAATTCTCATATGAAAACACACACAAAATACATAATAAGCGTAAGAACAAAGACAACCCAATAATCCCCCCTCCCACCACACATTTAAAAGGGCATCAGATGTCATTCCGCCCAAGACCTGGTTGAAGAGGAACATTTTCTCTGGACATCTAAGTGTATAATGAAGGCACCAACTGAACCTCTCTGGGGAGAGCATTCCACAAACGGAGCCACTGCAGAAAAGGCCCGTTTTTGTGTTGCCACCCGAAGGCCTCCTTGCGGCAGGATCTCCTACATGAGTCCTGATGGCATGGTGGAAGTTAAGAGCATAAGTAGAGCCCACCTGCTGGATCAGGCCAGTGGCAATCTAGCCCATCACCCCTTACTCCCCAACATTTCTCTGATGAAAATAGGGACGTCCTATTCAGTAGTAGTAGCAGTAGTAATACCCCACCCATCTGATTGGGTTGCCCCAGCCACTCTGGGTGGCTTCCAATGTATATAAAAACCATAATAAAATATTAATCATTAAAAAACTTCCCTATTCAGGGCTGCCTTCAGATGTCTTCTAAAGTATTGCTGCCATATGTCTGGGTTTTCCTGGACACGCCTGGGAATCAGATTGTCAAAATGGCGGCTGGGCAACTGGGATGATTTTTAAAATAAAAATGCTTTAAAAAAATCCGCCCCAAGGCCCCAAGCCTTACTTGTTTTTTAGTCAACAACTTTGTCCGGATTTTCACTTTTGGGAATATAGCAACCCCACTTGAAAGGTTGTAATTACTTATCTCCTTGGCTCAGGGGTCGCGTAACTGCATCTCCTCCCACATTTCTCTGATGAAAAGAGGAAAAGCAGGACATTCTGGGATCAAATCAGAAACTGGAACGGCTTCTGTAAATCCAGGACTATCCCTGGAAAATAGGGGCACTTGGAGGGTCTCTCATCCTGTTCTTACTCTGGCCCTCTGGGAAACGCACAAGGAAGACCTGAGTGCCATAGCAACACCCTTCCCATTTGGGATTCCCGTACCCATACAGGAAGCCCCACAATGGGCTGTTGTGTCCTAGGAAGGCTGCCCTCCTGGATTGTGACAGCAGCAAGTCTGTGATGTCAGCCCACAAACATCACAGGCATTATCCTCAGCAAGTATTGTGTATGCGTGGGCTCCTGACATACAAAGCTGATGTGCAAGGTAACGGAACAGTCTGAATTTCAGTGCCTCTTATCCCACAGTCCGCTGGGAATACAGTCAATCTTCTGGCAGGCAACAAGGGCTGCTTTAAGGAGCGGTGTATCTGGTGGTCAATGTTTAGTGCAGCCTTCCTCAACCTGGTGCCCTTCAGATGCTTTGGACTACGCTCCCATCGGCCCCAGCCAACATGGCCCAAAACAGGGGTGGGTGGGTGTCCAAAGTCTGGTGGCTTTTGGAGGGTCCCAGAGAGAAGAGGTGACTCAGCCCTTTGCCTGAGACTTGTGGAGAGTGACTGAGGTGAATCATTGTGATTATTATTAGGAGAGAACTAGAACCTTTCTGCAAGTGCTTTTGACTTTGGAGATCATGGCTGAGGTTTCGGAGGGACAGGGCACACAAGTCTAATGAGGCTTCTATTGAGGGGCTATATTTTGCTAGAAATAATGGGGGGCATTTTATTAATTAATATTAATAAATATTTCTAGAAGTGTTTCATTTTTTTAGAGAAGTGGTTCTTCTTGTCTGCTCAGTCTTCTAGGTGCTGTGTGGAGGGTTGGTGAAGTCACCTGTAAGCAATCTTGCTTGGGGAGGCCTTTCCTCTTGTGATTTGGCTGCCTTTGCTTGCTGATTTGATGGTAGTATTTATTGCACTCCATGAAATAAGGACCCCAGCTTGATCACTGCCGTTAACCAGAAGAGGGCATCCCTTGCTTTTGACTTTCAGATGTCTCTTGAAGACCTTTTTATGTCAACAGGCCTGTTCAGTTGTTTAAATTTTTAAAAAGATGAGCCAGTCAATTATTACGATTGTTTTGTACTGTTTTGAGGCACTTTACAGGTGTGTGTGTGTGTGTGCGCGCGCGCATTGTTGTACATTGCCTTAATATAGTTTATGGGAGGAGGCAGTTTATAAATATTTTAAAGAAATAAATATTTTGTTTTAACATGCTGTTTCCCACTTTGGGGGCCTTTGGGCCAAAAAAGTGTATAATTTGTAGTTGTCATAATCATATATTAGAGACTGGATTAGGACCCTAGTCTTTATTTGCTCCTCAAGAGCGTTGGGGGATTTTAATGGTTGTTGACAGGGATGTTAGCAGAAGAGAAAGGTGGGTGTGAGACAGACAGAGGCAGCTGTTTGGCAGTTTGCATTTTGGAGGGCTGTTACAGTACGAAGTTGGGGGTCGTTTCTGGCTTTTGTAAACCACAGTGTCTCTGGCTTTGGTTGCCTCCAAAGAGTCACTATTTTCTGGGAGAGGGGCGGGATTCAAGGGAACACCATAACTTTAGGTTTGCACAACAATTAACGTTCACCACTGCTGTTCAGGCTGCACAGGGGAAAAAATTGGTTCTAGAAATTTGTTCTGATTGTGCAGATAAAATATAATGGATAGAATTCTACAGGATGTGATATTAGTGTGTGAAAACAATCAAGATCCGATGATCCCCAGGCATGATGGAGATGTCAGGCGCCATTCTGGTTCCCTGGCATCTTCATTTGTTCGCAAGTGGCCGATAGTCAGGTTCAAAATACGCCTGGCTCCTGGCTAATTTCGAACACTGGCAATAAAGCAGCAGCAGCAATGGCCATGGTGCTGCTGGTGCCTGCTTACTTGCTCACCCCTGCAAGTCCTGGGGGGCACCCCTGCTATACCGCAGCACTTCGTTGCAGATCCAACTAGTTTTTTTAATCACCCAAATATTGCTGTTTATAAAGATCACATTGGTTTCGTCATGGGACATTAATTCCACCAAACAAGAAGCTGTAAAGCTAAATTACATGTCCAATCCATAGCAGAGGAGAATGAGACTTGGCAACAGTAGACTTAACCAGACCCAATCAGTGAGTCAGACGTGAGCTGGGATTTGACCTCTGCTTGCTCACCCTGTTCATTTTCTTCCGTCATTGCTTTGACAGCTATCTAAACCCTGGAATGAAGCAGCTCGATGGGAACCAGAAGAAAGACAGAGTGCAGGTGAGTTCCAGAGCGGGGCAGGGAAAGGCCTCGGCTGTTTGCAAGCAGCTGATGCTGCTTTAAAGGATGAGCAGTCTAAAGCGGTTTTCACACACACACACACACACACAAACTTTTATTGGCACATTAGGCACTGTGGAAGCAAAAGAATAAGCTTTGCCTTCAGGCTTACAGTCTGGAAAAGTTACTCTTTCTGCTTGGCCCACCCACTCCAATATAGTCCAGTCTCTGATAAGCCAATGCAGTGAAGCAAACCTGCAAGAGGGCTCTGAACTGCTCTGTTTCCATGTTTTTAGGCTCAGTAGAAAGCAGCTTTAAGTGATTTTAAATGTTTGGTGTTTTATTATGCTTTTATATTTGTTGGAAGCCACCCAGAAAGGCTGGGGCAACTGGTCAGATGGGTGGGGGTACAAATAATAATAATAATAATAATAATAATAATGATGCGTGTGTTTGTACACAAATTGCAATGCCTGGTAGCTGATGCAAGTAAGTTATCCACCCATCCACTGATTTTTCTCTTAAATATAGCAACAAGACCTTGAACTATCTATCACTGTGGTGATTCTACTTAGGTCGAAAGGCAAGCAGTGGCGGGGTACAGAATGGTCCACTCATTGAAGATGGTGATATGAATTATATAGGTTAACCTCTGAAGAGTAAATCTGCGGAGGAAGGTCTGAATCTTCCTCAGGCTGAGTGGAAGCCCTTGAGTTAGCCCCATCCACCTTACAAGACTAAAAATCATACAATTGTAAGAGTTGGAAGGGAACCACGTGGGTCATCTAGTCCAACCCCCTTTAATGCAGGAATCTTTTGCCCAACTTGGGGCTTGAACCCATGACCCTGAGATCAAGAGTTTCATGCTCTACCAAATGAGCTGTGTGTATATACAGTAAAGCTTTAGTCACCGTAGCAGCAAGATGTGCAATCAGCAAGCTATTGTGAAGGCTTCTTTCTGTGTTGGTGACAACAGAGACCTTGTCTTAGCAGTGCCTCTTAGGAACAGGCCTGCCAAGGCCACAATGACTCACTGCTGTGTGCCATAGTTCTGGGCTTAGCGGGGAGGGCAGCAGCCCATTTAACCTGTTGTTGGCTGTCTGGTTTCAAATTTCGAGTTTGAACTCTAGAATGCATAAACCTGTCAGGCTTTCCTGGGCTGCCTCTGTCTTCTGAGTCACCCCATGTCCATCGCTTGTCAGACTTGGTCCTCCCTCCCCTCTTCTGGTCTTCCAAAAATCAGATTGTAAGGTTGCTGGGGTAGAGACCCCTGTTGGTCTCTCTTTTCTGTTTATGCTTATCTGCAGAGCACCAAGAGCATGGCTGGAGATCTCTTGTTGTCAATAACAATTTTGGTGTTTCTGGTCTTCAGAGCTACCCAGTTATTCCCCAGAAGATGCCTGTTTCGACACAGTGGAGGAAGCAGGCGAACTTGCCCTGCATTATACAGTGAGTGACTCCCTGGCTGCTTCTGACAATTTCCCCTTTGGAGCAGTAGAGAACTAAAACAAATGTTCTTTGGACAGTGGTGGTGGGGGGAGTGCAGGGATTATTAGGAAAGGGTCTGAAGGCAGAACATGCCCCGTCCCTCACTCCAGGCCTGGTTCAAGCCATGTTTCTTGACTGTTATAGGGGTAAACGTCTTGGCACAAGGGCTTCGTGCTGCTTTTAGCTGGTGTGTGGTTAGCAAAAATGTATAAATCTGAATTAAGTACCTGTTGGATGCAAGGCGGCTTGGAGGTTCCTGAAGCAACAGTGGCATTAAGTGTCTTGTTGTATGTAGTGGGTGGATTTGGTGGTCGTCATTGTATACCATCAGTGTATACCATTCACACACTGGTTCATCTTGGTCAGCATTGTCTACAGTGACTGGCAGTGGTTCTCCAACGTTTCTTTTTTTTTTTTAAATAATATTTATTGAAAATTTTTTAGAATTACAGAAAAAAACACAGCAGAAAAAGAAAAAAAAGAAAGCAAAAAGAAAACAAACCACATCAAACAATGTAGATTCAAAAAACAAAAATACACCACAAACAGATAAAAACAAATCCATCATTCTCGAATCCTCAACTTTCATTACCTTCTTTCTTTGACCTCCTCCTCCTCCCTTTTTTTGTATCCTAGTTATTAATTATCGCAGCAAATCCTTTCCATATTTCATAATATTCTGTCATTACATTACCTTAATCTATTTTCATCTTATCTTATAGAAAACCTTAAAACTTAAAACTTAAATCTTATTTTTACCAACTTCTTATAACCATAATATTCTTACCTAATTCTTTAGACATTTTTGCTAGAGCCAAGTAATTTCGTTCCAACATTTTTCTAACATTCATCAATTTTATAAAACAATCCTAATAATAATAAAAAAGAAATAAAAACAATCCAATCTTCATCCAGCATCCCTTCCTCCTGGTCCCGGGTTTTGTCAGTCCTTTTTAGCCCATTTATCTAGCGCATTAACCTGGCAACCTTATATCCGAGGCCCTTAAGGCTCTTCCATGTCCCTTCCGCGGCTCTTCTTCATATTCTCCTTTCACTCTTGGGAACTCCAGCTTGGTAATGTTTTTGACCCTTTTCAACAAATAAGCCCCTTTTCCAAAGTCCAGACTAAACTCCATGTGGTATTTGAAAACATGTTTCAGAATCCCTCCAAGATTAAGAGCCCCCACAGCCCCAAACATCTCACGGCCCATTGCCAGACTTGGAAAGTCCAAACATCCCTGCATAGAATCATAGAGTTGGAAGAGACCACAAGGGCCATCGAGTCCAACCCCCTGCCAAGCAGGAAACACCATCAGAGCACTCCTGACATATGGTTGTCAAGCCTCTGCTTAAAGACCTCCAAAGAAGGGGACTCCACCACACTCCTTGGCAGCAAATTCCACTGTCGAACAGCTCTTACTGTCAGGAAGTTCTTCCTAATGTTTAGGTGGAATCTTCTTTCTTGTAGTTTGGATCCATTGCTCCGTGTCCGCTTCTCTGGAGCAGCAGAAAACAACCTTTCTCCCTCCTCTATGTGACATCCTTTTATATATTTGAACATGGCTATCATATCACCCCTTAACCTCCTCTTCTCCAGGCTAAACATGCCCAGCTCCCTTAGTCGTTCCTCATAAGGCATCGTTTCCAGGCCTTTGACCATTTTGGTTGCTCCTCCTCTGGACACGTTCCAGTTTGTCAGTGTCCTTCTTGAACTGTGGTGCCCAGAACTGGACACAGTACTCCAGGTGAGGTCTGACCAGAGCAGAATACAGTGGCACTATTACTTCCCTTGATCTAGATGCTATACTCCTATTGATGCAGCCCAGAATTGCATTGGCTTTTTTAGCTGCCGCGTCACACTGTTGGCTCATGTCAAGTTTGTGGTCAACCAAGACTCCTAGATCCTTTTCACACGTACTGCTCTCAAGCCAGGTGTCACCCATCTTGTATTTGTGCCTCTCATTTTTTTTGCCCAAGTGCAATACTTTACATTTCTCCTGTTAAAATTCATCTTGTTTGTTTTGGCCCAGTTCTCTAATCTGTCAAGGTCGTTTTGAAGTGTGATCCTGTCCTCTGGGGTGTTAGCCACCCCTCCCAGTTTGGTGTCATCTGCAAATTTGATCAGGATGCCCTTGAGTCCATCATCCAAGTCGTTGATAAAGATGTTGAATAAGACCGGGCCCAAGACAGAACCCTGTGGCACCCCACTAGTCACTCTTCTCCAGGATGAAGAGGAACCATTGATGAGCACCCTTTGGGTCTCGGTCAGTCAGCCAGTTACAAATCCACTGAGTGGTAGCATAGTCAAGACCGCATTTTACCAGCTTCTTTACAAGAATATCATGGGGCACCTTGTCAAATGCCTTGCTGAAATCAAGGTAGACTACATCCACTGCGTTCCTTCATCTACCAGGCTTGTAATTCTGTCAAAAACGAGATCAGGTTAGTCTGACATGACTTATTTTTCAGAAATCCATGCTGACTATTGGTGATCACAGCATTCCTTTCTAGGTGCTCACAGACTGTTTGCTTAATGATCTGCTCCAGAATCTTCCCTGGTATTGATGTCAGACTGACTGGGCGGTAATTATTTGGGTCCTCTCTTTTCCCTTTTTGAAAATAGGGACAACATTTGCCCTCCTCCAGTCTGCCGGGACTTCGCCTGTTCTCCAGGAATTCTCAAAGATGACTGCCAGTGGTTCTGAGATCACATCTGCCAGTTCTTTTAATACTCTTGGATGCAATTCATCTGGCCCTGGAGACTTGAATACATCTAAACTAGCCAAGTATTCTTGTACTATCTCCTTAGTTATTCTGGGCTGTGTTTCCTTTGCTGAATCATTTGCTTCAAATTCTTCAGGTCGGGCATTGTTTTCTTTATCAGAGAAGACTGAGGCAAAGAAGGCATTGAGGAGTTCAGCCCTTTCTGTGTCCCCTGTTTGCATTTCACCATCTTCTCCTCTGAGTGACCCCACTGTTTCTTTGTTCTTCCTTTTGCTACGAACATACCCATAAAAGCCTTTTTGTTGCTTTTAATCTCTCTAGCAAGCCTGAGTTCATTCTGTGCTTTAGCTTTTCTGACTTTGTGTCTACACGTGCTGGCTATTTGTTTGAATTCCTCTTTGGTGGTTTCCCCCCTTTTCCATTTTTTGTACACATGGGGGGGGTCTATCCAACCCCCCATTTCCAAACCAGTCCAAACTTTATCTTTCCAAATCTGGCTTTTTCCAAGTTCATTTGTCAAATCCAAAAGCTCATGTTCCTGAAGGGCCACAGCTCCCTCCATCTCTGGCGCCCAAGATTCAGCAACTCAGTTTCAGGCCAGGTTCTCTCCCAGCCCTACCAGGTGCCACTGGGGTTTCAACTGGGACCTTCCATATGCAACCATTCCACAGAGCCACGCCCCTTCCCAAAGGAATGGAGAGCTTACACATACAGGTGACTATGGAAATCATGCCCCATGCAGCCTGTCCCTTTGCTTCTCTGTTGAAGTGTTTTCCGCAACGGGGACCTGCTAAGCCCCCCCTTCCGCCTGATCCTCAACAAGAGCACCCTGCAGGAGTGGAGTGCCGTCCTGTCCATCTTGTCAATCAAGGCGAACCTGCGGACTGGGGCTGTTAGAAGGTGAGTACTTTGAACAAGCTCCACCCCTTTTGCCTGCCTTTCGCTTTCCAGCAACGAGATTCTTTGGAAAATGGACCCGAATGTTTTTGTCTCCTAGGAGGCACCTCTATGTGGGATTTATTGAATTCTGGAACACTGGCTATTTATATGTTGTTTAATGCCAAAATAGACTTTTAAGTAGTTTATAAGTAGAAAAACCAGCTGGGAATGATATGTTTTCAGTATGGGGCTGCCTTTCCAAAGGTGTGGTGGTTAGAGCATTGGATGATGACCTGGGAGACCAAGGTTCAAACCCCTACTCAGTCATGAAGCTCACTGGGTGGCCTTCGGCCAGTCACTCTCTGCCCAACCCACCTCACAGGGTTGTTATAAGGATAAAATGGGGAAGAATCCCGCCTTGAGCTTGAAGGAGAGGTGGGGTATAAATGCCATAAATAGATAAAAATAATTGGCATTGCTAGATTCTTCTTCTGAAAGTGCCCATTCCTAGGAATATGTGCAACAAGGTTTGTTGACTGGGGGTAACAAGCAACCACGTGGTCTGTAGGAAGAGAGCTGCACTCTCTTTTATATTGGCAACACTGTCATGGTTTTCCTCCCAAGGAATTCAGGGAACTGTAATTTGGCAATTCTACTCAAAGTCCCAAGCTGTCAACACAGTTCCCAAGGGAAGACAGTGAGATTTAAACCCACATTGTTTTGTGCTGTAGGTTTAATGTTTGAATAGAATACCAATTCATTATTATTATTTTACAGTAATGCAGAAAGGTGCAAAGTTCATTCTCAAGACTTTGTAAGCATTTTGGTTTGCTAGTTTCACTTCAGATTTATAGTGAAGTTTCAGAAACTACTTTATACCGAGGCAGACCATTAACCCATCTAGCTCAGTATTGCCCACACTGGCTGGCACTGGCTTTCCAGGGTTCTCTCCCATGGAAAGGTTGTTTTCTGCATGCGAAGCAGGTGCTGCACCACTGAGCTATGGTCCTTCTCCATTCAAATATAGAACTTTCTCTCCATCCTCAATCTCATTCCCAGTTTAGATTTTCCTGCCTGTAAGATACTCGCTTTTCTGTCTCTGGCCAGGCTCTGCAAGCTCAATGGCGATGCCGTCTCCACTGGTGAAGATCTGGTGAGCGGCAACTACTACGTGGCGGTGGGCCTGGAGAAGTACAAAGACCTGCCCTACTTCGAATTGCTAGTGCCCCCAAAGATAACACACCAGCCAATTCGGTAGGTGGCTAAAGTCACTGAGGGCCAGTTCAAGTGCCACTCCTTAGATGGCTACAAGACTGTAAACACCAGCCCCTCCCCACTCCTTGTTCATGCTGCTAAAACTTGTTCTGTCCCTCTTGTTCCAAACATAGCCCTTTAAAGCAAAATAAAAATCATTCATAATCGTATTTGTAGGCCACTTTTCTACAAAACAAATAATGCTCTTACAACCAAGGAAACAGGAATGCATTTCAAAATCAAACAGTGCAAAAACAATGTCCTAATTACATAGTAAAACAACACGATAGCAGATATAACAACGTACCAAAGGCAACTTTTTAGAACTATAAGAATTATTATTTTAAAATAAATCTTACCTGTCCAGACCCTTTTTCCCTAACCAAACTTATCTGGGTGTGGGCCGCAGTGAATTTCCTGCTTCTATGATTACAGGGACCACTCAAATAGCAGACGAATGAGCCACAATCGAGGGGTAAGTTTTGCTGACCTCCCCAGGGATGGTGCTGACCAGGGATTCTTCTGGTTGAAGGGGGAAGGGTGGGGACAAGACTTCCAAATGGGTCAGTGTGTCATATGGTGGGTTTGGTGGTGCTCATGCAGAATGGGCAGCCCATGTTTTTTCTCAGATATTTTATGAGAAAAAATATTTTATTCTAGATTTTCCCTTTCTGGGAAAAATCCATTTTTTAAAAAAGGGTTTCCAGTGACCATCGGGCAGTACCCAAAGAGATGTTAGATTCTTCAAAAATAGTGTGATTTCTGCAAAACTATTGCTTCCCTGTGTGATGTATTGAGCTGGTCCACACCCATTTCATTAAGTAAAAGAGATCCCAGGGAAGCTAAAATCTCACATTGCTAAATCTCAGTGCATAGCATTTCCTGATGTTGTGTCACAGAAGTCTGCCCTTTCCATTGCCATGGCTCAAAACCCAATTGAAATGTAGAGATAGGCTTTGGTTCCTCTACTCGGAATTCCAGCCTTCTGGGTCTGCCTGTCTTTTTAAAATGAAGCAGCCTTGGGTTAAGTTAACAATAAATTTGATTTATTCGCACCCTGGTGGGAATTTTATATCTTCTTTTTTTCCAGTTAGCTAAGCTCCACCTGGCTCCGCTAGAGGGGTCCAGTGACTCAGCACTCCTTGAACCGCCACAACAGGTAGAGAAACACAAACAGCAGCTCTGGGGAAATGGGGGCTTCTCCTCACGCTTCTCTTTCGTGTTGACTGAAAAAGGGAGCTTGTGATTACATGGTCATCAGTACAAGTGCACAAATAATATTACTGCAAAGAACTTAACAAAGACCCCTAAGGTTTGTGCAGCCTTAAAAATTCATTGATGTCATATTTTTAAAAACATTTTTTATTGTATGTATCTCTTCCTTCCATCATTAAATACTTCTATCTGCCCCCCAAGAAAAGCAAATGGTGGCTCTTGATATGCAATTTGGCACATAAATGTTTGAACCATTTAAGATAGGGGTGAGCAAGCTCCAGACTTCAGGCCAGATTTGGCCCTGTGGGTTCCAGTTTGGCCTGTGGGACTGTTTTCCCCAAACCACACCCATCTTCCCCATACCTGATGTCATGTAGAATAATAGATTCATAGAACTGCAGAGTCGGAAGGTACCCCAAAGGTGTTATAGTCCAGTCCCCTGCAATGTAGGAATCTCAACACATGGTCTTTCATCCAGTTTTAAACCATACTGAATCCTGCTTAGCTCTGCAAATGTAACATCAGGTATAGACGTAGGTAGATCATCTGCATGACCAAATTCCCTGTGGGGCACTTGATCATGGTTCCTGCAGTTAACAGGACTGGCCCATTGCCCATCAGCAGGTGAACTCAACCCATGATTGCACAGCCAATCCCTCCAGAATGCAGCTTTGCCAAGCATAGGCCTGCCCAAGCTCCTCTTGCTGCAGCCCCCAAGCAGCTAGCATCGTAATGACCCTGTGAGGGTGGGAACAGAAGGTGATCAGGCCCACTGGGCCAGGAAGACTGCACACCCCAATTTGAGATGGTGTGTTTTCAAAGTGGAGAAATCTCCATGAGGTTGCCATCGAGTCCACCCTCTAGAGCTAGAGAGTGATGACAAATGATGGATGTGCTGAAAGCACTTGTTCTCTGGCTACCCAAGTCTGCCATTTTATTTTGTGGGGACCCTTTCCCCAAGTTTGCTTCAGCATGAGAATATGGAGTGGGAAAAGTCATCCTGTGGTGTGTCTTCCACCTTAGCAATCATTGTGCGGTTTCTCCCTCAAACCTGATGGCCAGCTCAAAAGTGACAAGGTAGCACACATGGTTCTCTTCCCCACTGTTATCCTCACAACTCTAGGAGGTAGGTTAGCCTGGGAAGCTATGACTGGCTCAAGGTCACCCAGTGGCCGAGTGGGGATTTGAGACCTAGTCTCCTGGGTCCTAGTCTCACACTCTAACAACTACACCACACTAGCTTTCTTTTTTGGGTGGAAAGATCCTAGTTGTGTCAGCAGTGGAATGTGAGTGTAGGAGCTCACAAGTGGCAGCCATGGCAACTTGTGCGATTGTGAAGAAACACCTGACCTGAGCATCAGCACTCATAAATGTGGAGATGGTGGGGCTCCCAGCTCAAATAAGGCACCACTCCTAGAAATAAATTTCTCCTGAGAATGATAAAATTGTCTCACACTTGCAGCTGAACCTTCGGAGAGTGCAGTCCACAGGGATTGTGCAGGAGAGCAGCCAGAATCTTTCCGCGGTGACGCGGAAAGGCAGGAAGCACCTGCGCAAGGAGGCAGACTCCATCTTCCACGCCAAGCCAGGCCAGGCCAGGCGTATCAGGAGGAACTCAAACCAGAATTCTGACCAAGGTAAAAAGGAAAAGGAGGTTTTCTTGCTTGGAATCTCTGTCAGCTAAGCCAGCCCCTCCAGACCTCCTCCTCTCCCTCCCCTCAACTGTCATCCTGGGGGCAGCCATTCTCTCAGGCTGCCTCAGGGGGAGAGATGCGAAGCAACAGGGCTAATGTAAGCAGCATTGCTGGAGGATCATTTCCATCAGGCCCCACCTGCCCCTGAACTGTGCCAGCTGCTCAATATAGGAACAGCTGTGTAGTGCCTGAGTTTTTCATTTTCCTCTCCCCTCCCTGTTCCTTTTCCCTTGTGTGTTGTGTGAATTTTTAGATGATAAGCCTGTCTTGTTTTGATTGCATGTAAGCCACTCTGGGAGCCTTTTGGGCTGAAGAGCAGGGTACAAATGTTATAAATGAATGAATGTTGCACATAACACAAAGATAGCCTCATTGGTCATTAAAAAACAAAACTCAAATCCCTATGAGGGGCAGTGTATTCATTCAGGCCAACCAAATGTCTTTAACGGTTGGTTTAATATGGATTGTAGTATCCTTAATACAGCAGTAATAAAGATGGTAGAATTCACATAAAGCCCAACCACATGTAGTATGACCGGTGTGTGTGGAAAGGTCTCGGGTTGAGCCAGCTTGATTTAAATTTAGGCTGTGCCCCCTGAAGGTTCCGTCTTCCTGTCTTCCATGAATTTGTCCTTAGCTGGTGGCAAGAACTGTGTTTTGGCATAGTGAATCCCATCCATCATGTGTGAGAGATGTTGAAAACTTCTTTGGAATATGACGTAGCTGTGTTATTCAGAATTACCTCTTGGGTGAAATGAAAGGGTGCTCCTAATTTTAAGGGGAAAGGTCATAGGATTCCCCCAAAGTGAAGAAGACTTCAGACTTGCAGGCCATTTGGGTAGGCTGCCTTCGCAATCCCATTTCCTCTGGTAAGGATGCCCCAGGATACGAAAGAATGTTTTCTCAAAATGTTTTATTTTCCGACAGATGAAGGAAGTGTTTACAAAATAAAAGGTGTAAGGGAAGAGATACAGAATGCCCAGGAAATCAGAGATGATGAAAACACGCAGGTGGAATTGCCTCTTGACCAGGTATGAGGGGGTTATGTGGGCCTCTCTTTAGGTCAACATCTTCTGGATTGATTTTATGAATGGAAACTCTCACCACCGCAAAGAATCCCAGTGGGTGACGAAACTTCAGCAGGAAGAATTCACTCTCAAAATGTGTCTAGGGGAGGAGTTATGGAGAACTCTGAATATTGGGTTGGAGTCTCTTTGCCTTTACATTGACTCGAAAGCTGAAAGCTTTTTTAGATCTCCATCCTCACACAAGGAGCCTGTTGTTAAATTTTACATTCCAATTGTGGCCATGATTCTAAAAAGCAGCTGGCTTTGTGGCTGTGGCCAACTTACTTTACAGCCCTCTACACAGAAGCAAGTCCCATTTTCTTCACTGGGACTTACTGCTGTATGGAGCAACAAAGCACTTCTCCAGCTGTGTGTGTTGTGAATCCTCTTGGGCCTCTTCAATTTTATCTCCCCCTTTTTCCAGAAAGCTGCAGAGACTGTAGAAGAGGAAGTTGTGCCCAAAAGTGAAGCTTTGCAACGCAGGAAGGTAAAGTAGCCAGAAGGTAAAGTAGCTGTCTCATAGAAATGTGCATATTGTCTGCAGCACCTTTCACGGAAAAAAACGTATCCATAGTTTAACCCCTTCACCTTAGAAAAGGTGGTTAATCACTTGAGCACAAAATACCATTTATTCTTGCACGTGTTACCTTTTTCTAAGACAGGGGTGGGGTACATCAGTGGCCCTCCACATCTTGCAGGACTCCCAAGTCTCATTGTCCCCTGCAGGCAGCATGGCCCAATGGACAGGGATGATGGGAGTTGTAGTCCAGCAACACCTGGGACACCACAAGTCCCCCATCCCTGTTCTCTTCCTACAGCCCTCCTACTCCAGCAGTTGCACCCCAGTTCAACCTTCCTTCCAAAGCCCTCTAGATGCTTATTTCAATATTTTGAAGGCTATTTCAAAATATTTTTTTTCAATAGCCTTGTTTTTTAATTTCTAATTCTTTATGCATCAAGTAGGTTGAGAATACTGACAAACTACAGAAGGCCCACACAATTCAGTGTTCTGCTGGTGACTCACAGTAAGAAGTGACAAGAAAGCCTCCTTTCCATCCGGCTTGAAGAAACTTTGTTTCACCTGAGAAAAGACTGTGGTAACACAAAGACCCGGCAAGGCTTTTCCTAGTTATGCGTGTGTGTGAGATCCTTAAACAACCACATGCTGGTTTTGTGCAATCTTCGACTCAAATGCTTATCTTATGGATGTTCTTACAATAAAGATGTAGCATTGGAATGCTCTCTACTTTGGAATGTACATCTGAGGATCACATCACAGAGGTGGGCTGTGGTGGTGGGATCCAGGAGGCGGAAAGGGGCGCAGACCTCAATGGGACTGTGTATGTGAGACAACTGATACTTGCTAGTTTAATACAGTGACACACACACAAATATGGAAATGGGTAAACAGGTCAGCTAACAAAATAAAAAAATTCCTTCCAGTAGAGACCAACTAAGTTTGTTATTGGTATGAGCTTTCATGTGCATGCACACTTCTTGAGATACACTGAAACAGAAGTCACCAGACCCTTATATATAGTGAGAGGGTGGGGAGGATATTACTCAGAAGGGTGGTGGGAATGGGTGATTAGCTGATAGGTGTGGTAAACCTGTTGACGACTGTTAACGACTGCAATTCCCACCACCCTTCTGAGTAATACCCCTCCCCACCCTCTCACTATATATAAGGGTCTGGTGACTTCTGTTTCAGTGTATCTCAAGAAGTGTGCATGCACACGAAAGCTCATACCAATAACTTAGTTGGTCTCTAAGGTGCTACTGTAAGGAATTATTTTTTTTGTTTCGACTACGGCAGACCAACACGGCTACCTACCTGTAACCACGACAGTTAACATCAACCAGGGGTGTGCAAGAGAAAGTGTGCATGCACTCACTTCACTTTTCCAAGGGATTTGTGCAAAAGTTGGGTCCAGTAGAATTAATCTGAGCCTTGAGAGCACATCGTGTGGGAAACGGGTGTCCAACTGCCTCCTTCAGTTCTAAGTACTTTTCAAGGGAGAAGGTGGTAAGGAACCTCATCATCTCATGATCAAGGGGGCAGTAAGCCAGGAGTTCAGGGGCTCTATGTGGGCTGGGAGACATCATTGTGGCAGTGCAAGTCAGACTGGCAAACTGTGTCTTAAAATAATTTTTTCTCAATTCTTGTTCATACTATAACCACATTTGCTATAAAATTGATTCTGACCCAGATTTGGGATTGAAAATGTCTTGATGGTCCTGCTAGATGGTCTACACCAGTGGAGGGTGCGTGCGAGTATATTGGCTCTCCTATAGCTTTTCAGCTTTTAATACTAATATGTTTTGAAGGGAGGGAACTGGCACTACACTTTAGTGACTTATCTGGCTGATAGCAATCCTAGGGGACTGCTGCTCTGCCCCAAGGCTCCTCTTGGCTGTGTCACCCTCCTGTGCCTTCCCCATTCATTTGCTCAGGGGCCCTTTCATTTCTTGGATGGATTTTTAAATGTCATTGTAAACTGCCTTGGGAACTAAGGCTGAGAGATGGGGCACAAATACATAATTGCAAGGCTTGATTTAAATATGAGGCAGTGTGGGGAGACAGACTGTTTAATAATGCATCTCTGTCTTCAAGCAAACTTATACATTAGCATTCACCATATACTGTCAGTACAAAACATTTATTTAGTGTCAACAGTGCATAACACCCCTCTCAGTTCCAGACTAAGGTTGCCATATTTTGAAGAACAAAAAAGAGGACACATTTGCTAACTTCTACTTTTAATTACCTCATGGTATGTCACTTTCAAATGCACTTTGTTCTTCTTTCTGATGTTGTCTCGCCCAAGCATATTTCTCTGTAGATCTTATCTTATTCAACAACTGCTTATTGCTTAAGAGATAAGCATGAAATTCCTTGCAAGTAAAGTGCTTATAATTATATTGTACTAGCAATATACTCCGCAGCGATTCCAAGGATAAGTGGCCTCTTTCTTTGCTCCACCAACTCTGCATCAAAGAGAAAATGTGTTCCATATTTGCATTATCATGTGATGCAACAGCAAAAAAAAACTGTGCAATCTTCAGAAGTTCTGAGTGGCACATGTTTTGGGAAGTCTCAAAGTACTTGGTCCACTTCTGGTGTGCCTGAAGATTAATGAACCTATCATCACCTTTGTATTGATCCACAAACTTCTTGAGATTGCAGAATTGATCAAAGCATTTCACATCATCTATGGACACATCCCTGTCCAGGAGAAATTTTATGGAAAGTTCTACCTTATCCCACTCAAGTGACTCACTAAGAGACATCCACATGAAGCATGAAAACTCTTTCATGCACTCCATCCATTTTCCCAGATATTCTATGCAGCTGTCATATAAGCTATTTACTTCTGCATAGAATTTGTTACACTCTGCACCAAGACCCTCCTTACGCTTTTCTTCTAGAAGGCTCTTAACTTTGAGGGACATAAAGTTGTTGCTTTTATGTTCATTGAGCACGTTCTGAACGCAAAGCAGAACTTTCAGAACCTCTACAACTGAATTATTTTCCCTTTCGAGTTCTAAAATATATGAGTGAAACATACTCATGAGAGACTGCAAGTGCAATAAATAAACCTCACTAAACGCGTGTTCAAAAAACCTTTTTAACACTGTTGGTGGATTATTCTGCGAGAGAAAAAATGCCTTGACAGCTGGAAACACGCGAATGAGTCTATTGATGCCTGGAAATAATGACAACCACCTTGTCTTGCTATGAGATAGCAGCTTTTTGTATTCAGTATCTACAAATTCACAGTACTCCTTTAACTGCTCCGTTCGGACTGTATAGATATGAAAGTACTGGTATATCTTGAAAATGATGCTCTCAACATCAATGTCCAAAGTTTCTGCTGCCTGATGAACACAATTATTCAAAATGTGTCCTGGACATCCCACACCAATTAAAGTTTTGTTATCTAGCTCATTGTTCAACTTTGCGAACACATTTCTTCCTTCTGAATCCCATCGTATCCCTCCAAACATTGTGTTGCAGTTGTCACCTATGAATGCTATGCATTTCTTTAGCAGTCCTTTACTTTCAAGAGTTTCCTTCACGTATGACAAGATTGTATCTGCAGTCTCATTGGGTTGGCTTCGCATTTCAATTATTTTGGACTGCAAACCACCACTTTTCCAGTCAAAATACTGAATAACTATTGGAAACACCTTTACTGAACCATGGTTACTCCCATCAGTAGAAACTCCACAATAACATACGTCATTTTCTTCAATGCTTTTCAAAACATTTTCCAAACAATCGGGTGCCAAGACAGAATTTACAATTGCTTCTGTCTTGGTTTTTGCACTTGAAAACTTCCTTGTGATATTGGAATCTGGGAATGTCGTCTTCAGTAGGCCTGATGTGCACGCCATCACGTTATAACTGTTGTGGTGCTTAACAGTGTGAAAAGCAAAAGTTCCTTCAGCTGCGGTTACTTCATCTTCTAATTTGCTGCACGGTTTTATGAAAAAGTCTGTTAATTGTGCTGAGGAAGCTTCGCCTCGAATTGCTTTTTTGTGTTTTTCGGACTCCACGTGTGATTGCAGGTCCCGTCCTCCTTTATTTGCCACAGAGACAAATGTACCCGGTTTACATATCATGCATTCACCTTCAAAATCATCTCTACCTCTTCTAAAACAGGTATACTTCTTCTGTAGCCCAACAGAAAATTTACATTTTCTTTTCGGCATTTTGTTGTGTAGAAGCACTAAATCTCAGTTTTGCCTGAAATGTTTGAACCAGAAAGCAAAAACAGCTCTTGAAAGTAGTATGCAGAACTTAAGAAGTTTATACAATTATCCTTTCCATGTGGGAAAATATTAGTCCAAGGTGTTATCCTGAATTTAAGGGGAATTTCAAAAGTTCATGAGGTGGGTTCTGCAGACTTCAGAAGTGTTTGAAGTGGAAAAGTGACTGAGCTGGTTTTAATCCCAATTCGCTTTTTAGTCAACGTTTTCCCTTTCAACCGAAGCAGACTCTGCAGGTCAACATCCAGCTACCTTTTGTCCCCCACAAGTGAGGCAACAGGTTGCAAAACATCCAGGCCTCATGTTCAGAATCCAGATCACCTAGAAGGCCAGGCTGGGAAGAAGAGACAAGAAACATTGCAATCAGTGTTCCTTTCTCCAGACGTGAACACCATGTACTTGTGAACAAGGAAGCCTTAAAATAATAACATGCAACGAAATCCACACCGATTGCGCTGGAAGCATACGCTAAAATCGGCAGCAAAAAGGGGAGGTGAAAATGTCTTACTGCAGGGTGAAACGGCGATACTATCATGGGAGGCAGGCGCGAAGGAAACCAGAGGAATTAAAACTGTCAACAAGCACGCTCCTTGGCCCAACTAGCCGAAGAGAAGGCAGTCCTCGGTGAAAGGAGGAGTTGCAGTTGCAACACCAAGGCATAAGAGTTACTTGGGAAAAGTCCCCGTTACGCACCGTGGCTTACTTCCGAGTAAACATGCAACAGGACGGCGCTGCAAACCACCAGAGGTGGCAAGCTCGGATCCGGGACCCGAGGAAAGAAAGAGGGGGCGGAGGAGGAAAAGCGCCCGTGGATCTCAGCGCCTAACCTGCAGGAGTGTGCGCGCGTTTCCTGCCCTCCATCTCCCCTCCATAGCTGTCAACCTTCCCTTTTTTGCGGGAAATTCCCTTATTCCAGCGCTGTTTCCCGCTGCTATCCCGGATTGTTAGATATCCCGTAGACTGTCCCCGGGACAGGTGAGGCTGCTGATCCCTTATTTTCAAATCTGAAAGTTGACAGCTATGCTCCCCGCCCATTTCATAGCCAGGTAAAGTCGGGTACGACTCCCCACTCCCCGCCCCAGGTTGCCCTATCTACACTCTCTCTCCCTCGCAATCCGCCTCCAACTGCCGCCCCTCGACCAAGCTGGACCCCAATGGAACTTCAGTCCCATAATTTTTTTCCCTTGGAAGAAGAAAGGAGACGGGGGAAGGACGGAGGGGCCGCATGCTCGAGGCAGGGGGGGGAAGAGACGGAACTATGGGAGCCTCAGAGCCCGGCTTCTCCTCCCTCTCCCCCCCCCCCCGGGACGAGCCCCGCCCCCCACACGCAAGCATTGTTTCCTTCGCCTCCTCTTCCCTCAGGCCGGTCGGCGGTGTGGAGGGAGAAGGAGGAAGCGTTGTCGCCGCCGCGACTCTCACCTGCCAGCCAAGTTCCAGCAAAGCACAGCAGCTCCAGTCGGGATCCCGGATTTTGAACGCTCCTCTTTGCCGCCGTTTCTCCCCCGCCGCGCCCACAAGGCCTCGCTCTAGTCTGCCAGCCAGTTCCAAAATGGCGCGGCTCAGAGGCGCATGCGCGATGCCTTGCGAACAAGCCTCGCGAGAGTTCGCCAACAGCCGCCGCGAGCAGCAGAAGAGACTTGTCTGCGGGCAGTGGGCGGGGGGCAGGTGGGCTGGAGGAGGGGCCGCGCGCGCGCCAGACGTTACAATTAATTTGAAAGCAAATAACGGAAATTTTTTAGTTTCCCCATTCGCCTCCGTCATCCAGCCCGGAGAACGAAGAGGGCGCCTGGACAGCGCCACTTCGCGGCCGCTCTGAGGAACTTCAGGAAAAAGGAAGAAGAAAAGAGACCGCGCTTGTCGCACTTCGCTGATGTCATCGAGAGACGCGGTTGCCAGGGCAGCCAACGCCGAGGAAGATGATGGAGAAGAGCGAGGAAGAGCAGCAGGAGCTAGTGCTGAGGAGGAGGAGGAAGGTGCTGGGGACGCTGCAGGTGCCGGAACCAGGATAGTGGGTGGCACTGGTTGGCATGGTGGACCTGCCACTCAAGGCAGACCTAGGGGTGCTCGTCCTCATGGTTTGGCTTCCTATCGTGGCCTCATCCCCCTGGGGACCCTGAAAAGGAGCAGCAGCCCTGGAAGGACGGGAGGCTTGATGTGGGTGCAAAGCAGGCGAGAAGAGCTTCTGCATGCAAAGCAGATACTCTCCCTTCCCAACATGGCCTGCTTTGCGTAAATACACATTTCACCCACCCCACCCCTTTCCTCAGTGATTCCCTTGCAGCAAATAAACTGCTCTGCTTAAAGCATTTTGTGCTGCTGCTGCTGCTTTTAAATGGAAATGGTGGCTTCTGTTAAAGAATGCCCATAGGGAAAAGTTCTCAAAAGTGGTGGTGGTAGCATGTAATATATAAATACGCACACATACGTATGCCTTTTGCTCCTATTTCTTTCCTTTCCTGCCTCCAGCATCTGTTCTCTTGGGATTGGGGTCAGGAGCGCAGTATACTAGGACTGCCAACTTCCTAACTGGCCTTTCTCCTGCATCTTCTACAGCAGCCTGGCAAAGGTGGAGATAGAAAAACCATCACTATATAATTCCTGCTTGTTGGGCTGCTTTTTAAAGCCACAAGACCAGGAAGTGGGGGGAACTCATGGCAACCCTAGAAGGCTGGCCTGTGTAGACTTGTCTTATTAAACCAGGCTTGAGCTAATGGCCTTTTAATTCCTTCCTAATTTGTGACTGTTATTTTTTTATGATTCATTTACTTCCTAGGCTCATGTCAGGGGTTACCTGGTCAGGAAGAGATTTCAAAGCTTAAAGGGGGAATATGATAGCATCGTCAAGGAGATTGAAGGGGATCTGGATTGGCTGAAGTGGGACAATCATTACATGCCTGTGCCGGTGTTTCTTCCAAAGGTATGGTTACTGGTTCTTTCTACTCTTGGTAGAAGCTGGCAGTGCTTATAATTTCGCTGGCTTTTAATTGCACGAGGAGGAAAGAGAAGAAGGAAATGAAAACTGGCGGCAGTAAAAGTGAGGGTGATACTTAATGTTGCAGCCATGCATTGAAAATGGTGCTCTTCTTCCTCTGTCTTAAATATAGTCTGTCCAGAAGCCAATAAAAGCCAAGGAATTAAGTGTCCAAGAGCCAGGGGCCAACAAGAACAAGTTGCATGAAAAGGAGACAGCGTTTTGTCGTCAAGAAGAGCTACTCTCCAAAAAAACCCTTTATTGCAAGATGCAATCACCAGCTGAAGTGGTGGCAGAAACTGAGGCTGAGGAGCATCTTGTGGGCAGGCCCCCTGGGAATGCTTGCAGCCTGCCAGGAGAGAGTGAGGAAGGCATGTACCACAGTAGCGTGTCATCCGAATGGAGCAGCATGATCCTCGACATGGAGTCTCCAAGGCTGAGCCAAGGTAAGGCATGTGGAACAATTTGAGACTCCAAGCCCCACCCACTGTCTTCCTTTGCTTTGCAGTACAGTTGCTGTTTTTCTCTGTTCTTCAGCATCATCACCCAACATAGTGCTTTTTGCTTATGCTGAAAAGGCAAGTCCCTGCCCCAATAAACTTACCTGGTAGTGGGGGGCAGGGAATAGGAGCCAACTGGAGGGGAGAGACAAGGGGGGGGGGCAGACTAAGAGTGGTTTCTTGACCTTTTGTGCACCTCTTGTTGTGCAGAGCTTCATTTCCAAACAGTACCAGAGATGCCCCAAGCTGTGCCTGACCTCCAGCGCTACCGAAAGCACCTGGCCATGGAGCTGCTGTGGCTGCAACAAGCGATTGCCAGCCGTAAGAACGTAAGAGCTGGTCCTCAAGGAGCCATGGGGTGTCTTCTGTGCATGGGAAAGAGATGCTAGGAGAGCCAGTGCTGTGGTGCGGAGCTGTGACTTCTTGTTCACACCTTTGTAAGATGCCTACAGCACCCTCCCACCATTGAGAAAAGAGCTGGTGGGTCTGGGATGATCCCTCAGCTTTTGTTTCTTTTAATCTCAGTGGGTGGGTAAAAGGTAAAGGTAAATGGACCCCTGACAAGTCCAGTCATGAACGACTCGGGTTTCGGCGCTCATCTCGCTTTACAGGCGAGGGAGCTGGCGTTTGTCCGCTTCCGCAGACAGTTCAGCACCAAATAGCTAAAACTGTCAAAGGCATTATCCATTGGAGTCTAATGGGGGTACTGGTGCTTATTACAATTTAATATTCATTTCAGAACCAATGGTGCCCTAGGTGCTGTACAAAGGACAAGACTTCATCTGCAACTCATTTCCTTATTTCTTCCTTTCCTCTCTCTTTTCTCCCTCCCTCCCTTCTTCATAGTATTTGATCCTGAAGCAGAAGTTGGGGAGCCCAGAGTGACTGCCGACTTGGAGGTCTCCAGCCTATGTTCCCAGTCAAACAGAAACAGATGTAACTGCTCTTACCAGCCATCAGGGGGAAGAAAGCATTGGGGGAGCAGCTCCCACCATGACTGCAGGGAAAAGCTTGTAGTTCCCTGGAGCCGGCTACTCCACATGCCCCCAGCTTTGATGTTTGTGAAAGCAACAGTGAAGATTCTCTTCCGATTTATATGTTGTGAGTGAGGCTCAGAGCCCATTTCTACAGACTGATAGCTGGTCTACCTTGGATGAAATCTGAACTTTACATGAGCTATTAGCACCCTTTATGGTCTCTGTATTGGCTTGTTCTGCAGTCTGTTGGTTGTTGACCTTGGCTGCATGTGGATGATTTGACAGAAGGAGGTAAGTCCCAAATTGGAGACGGAGCTTTGTGGCTTCATAGAGTTCAGCTCCCATAACTGTACTCCAGAGCTTACAAATATCACTGTGAAGTGACAGACATGGCTCTTAACCTTTGTAGAACAGGCTGCATTCAAGCCACACAGTGTTTAGATGTGCATCAGCACACCCACAACCACCTCTCCATCCTCCATGGACAATTTCTAAAAAGAGTTAAATGTACACCTGTGACAGAGGGTGTAGTGCAGAGACTTTTAAGGGAAGATGGATGAAGAAAAGCTGATACTGTGGAGAACACACAAGAGGATAACAAGTGGGTGGCATCATCATGTAGGTGTTCCATAAAAAATGAGGGAACAATCTGTTAGCTCTCTGCTAAATGTGCAAAACAAGGGCTGTTGGACTCTAGGGGAACTGCAAGTGTCTAGCGTAGACAACTGCTGGATGTCTCTATTCCATTACTTATTTTGTTGTCCTTTTTCTCATGTTGCACTAGGCCAAACCATGGCTTACTGAGACCAAAGAGGAACCCAAGTCCACTTTGGTCTCCCTGCTACTTGCCTTACTCTTGCTTTTGATGAGATGCTCTTTAGAAGGTGCCCCATGCAAACAGGACCTCTCTGCAGCTAGAAACTTGGATTTTCAAAGGGATAAAATGGCTATCAAGAGCACTGGTCAGGCACCCAATATCCTGGTCCCAGGCTTCTTTGGGGAGAGGAGAGGTAGTGACTACTTGAAACTAAACAAACACATGCACAAGCCTGGCTAAGAACCAGTTTCCTTCAGAACCTCCAGGCTCCCAGTTTGGCAGAGCTCCAGGCAGTCCGTTCTGGCCAGAAAGAAAAGACTCTGCCTGAAGTTTTGGCTTCCTGTTTCCTTCAAGGGGTTGAAGGGAGTTTCCGAACCTGTATTTTTTTTTTGGCAGTTTGTATATCATGGTTCCCTCCTAAAGAATAGATGTTGCTTGATAAGTGGTATGTTCTATGGCACATGCCTTTGTTTGTCCTGCTTGTAAACCTAAAGGGACTCAAGGAGGCAGGTGACTAGAGAGAGAATGTTTAACACTGTTTGGGGTCTCATCACCCACACTTGTAGGGATCAAGACATTTGCCCCCTTTTAAGGGAACGGGAAGAAATTCACTTAGCCAGGACCTTTCAATTCTTAGCTCTGGCACAACCAGAACCTCTTAGACCAGGCTTCCTCAACCTCGGCCCTCCACATGTTTTTGGCCTACAACTCCCATGATCCCTAGCTAGCAGGACCAGTGGTCAGGGATGATGGGAATTGTAGTCTCCTAACATCTGGAGGGCTGAGGTTGAGGAAGCCTATCTTAGACTCTTGCAGACATAAATTTTATTTGTGGGGCCCTCCTTTCTATTCCCCCACCCAAACTGAATTGGGTAGGTCAGGTTTTAATTTCAACAGTGCCAGCTAAATGATGCTTGTTTTGGTGGGGTGGTCATAAGCCTCACTCATTAACTTCCCCCTTACACCAGATAATATGAGGAAAATGATATTAAGCCTCACTTAAGAGGCTTGCATAATAACCTTCCCATGCACAGACATAAAGAAGTGGCACACAAGCCTTGAAAAAATGTGGGGCAGGATAAAACCCAGAAGGATTTCAGGGTGGCTGGAGACACTGGCCTTGGAGATGCTGTGTGTGTGTGAAATCCCAACATAGTTGATGATGTGGATATAAAAAACCTTCAACAGATGGGAACAGGGAAGACCCTGGGCTGGCACAGGCTCTCTTTGGGGCATCTGGACCCAGAAGCCTTGCCTTCTTTTCCCACTCCCTAGATGCAGGATGGCTTCCTTCCCCCAACACCCCTTCTCATCCCCTCATCCACTGCATTCCAGGCAACATCCTGCCCAGCCCCCCCCCCCCCGCCTGCCTGCAGGAAAACATCTGGCTCCAATTAGAGCAGCAGCAGGAGGAGAGGACGGGCTATTTTTATCAAGCCAAACTAGGGAGGAGTGGGATAAAGAGCTAAAGGAGCAGGGAGGAAGGGGTGTGTGCCTTGAGCCCTTTTTGTCCCAGGACCAATGACCCCAAATGTCCTACCAGGGGCCAGATGCTGTCAGGGGTGGGGTTTGTTTTCTTGGATGGAAGAATTGGTTGTTTTCCCTAATTGCAAAATAAACTCTTTAAGCATCTGATTTTCAGCTGTGCTTGTCCCTGCTCCGCACTGCCCATTCCCAGCCCAGACAGATTTACTCTGCTCTCACTCTCCACCCCTCCCACATCACCAGTGCTGTGTCTCTGGGGGAAAACATGCAGCTACTGGACAGAGGCTTTGACCCTGGGAAGCCAACCCCAACCTGACCCCGCCCCCTCTTCCCACCAGCCTGTTACTGTTTTCCAAGATTGAGTCAAGGGACAGGTGGGGGGTGGGGAGGAGGTTTGTGGGAACCAAGCAGAGGGCTCCCAAACAAGGAAGGTCAGTAAGAGCCTTCAAGTAGCACGGGTAGAAAAAACTCTTCTTCCAACAACACAGGGAAGGTCTGGTCCAGAGGAGAACCAGCCTTTTTCAGGAAAAGACTAGACATCCTTCACGTTGGCTGGTCTGTGTGTGTGTGAATGGGGACAGAGAGAAAGTTAAAGGAAGTTATACTACCAAAATATGCTTGGAACATGGCCAAGAGTCTCTCAGATTCCCCCGCCCTCTCAAACCTCCCATCTGGCTCCTTCCTGTGCATTAGGGGGCTTAGAGAGAGAGGCATTGGCAAAGCATCTCAACCAAAGGAGGTTCCACCAGGGGCAGGGGAAAGCTAGCCTTCCCGCCTGCTTCCCCCATTTTCCTTGTTACCCAGGTAAAATTAGGCAGAGGACCAGAGGTGAGACCACAAGGCAAGTTGTGGAAAACTGGAATGAAGTTTATGAAAGATAAGGCACATTTTTACACAAAAGTTTACCGGCCTGTTAAAAACCAAGGTTGTCCTGTATACAACATGGGTCTGTGCAAAGTTGAAAGAGTCCCCCTCTGGGGTACATGGGCACCAGGCACAAAGCCCCACAGGACCAGTGGGAGGGTTGCTAATCCCCCCCCTTTTTTTCCATCCGGGGAAAGAGCCATAAAGGCCACTGGACAATGCTGCTGCTTGATAATACTTAGCCAAACCACACCCTGTTTGTAGAATGAGAGGAGTCAGGCAGCAAAGGAAGTGCTGGGGTCATCCCCAAGCTGCCTCCCTGCAGGATGCGCCCCAGTTGTGCATCAACCTGGCTGAAGGTGGGATGAGATGAAGTGCTGCACCCTGAGAATTCACTGGGAGTTTCCTGGTAGTGTGGAAAAATACTGAAGTTGGCACTTACCTGTTCCCTATGCAGCTCCTTGAAATAATAAGCACCATTTGGGAGGGGTAGGAGAAAAACAGGCTTCCAACACAGCCAGGAAAAAAGGGAGATACAGAACTTTGTCACGGTTGATCTGTCTCCCTTGGTATGTAGTTGTGTGTAAGCACAGGTGGGTTGAAGTTCCTTGCAGTCTATTCCCTCCAACCCATCCCTTTAGAGGTACCTGGACAGGTGCAACAAGACCCCCCCCCCCCGCTGCTGCCACAATCCTCCCCAAGAGCACCATATTCCTTTTTTGCCTACTAAATCAGTTAAGCACAATGCAAGCCAGAGTCCTGCATGCAAGTACTGAGTTTGGTCTGTTCAGGCTGGTGAACTGCAACCCCCGTACCTTTCTGTTACTGCAGTGGGCACTGCTACACCACTTTCCATGTTCCCTACACATGTCCATTGTGAAAATCAGGAATAGTCCTCACACGTAAACAAAAGAACTGACATTAGTTCTGTGTGCTGCTCCTTTACTTTGCCTGCGCTGCCTTCCCTCTCAAGTTCCCAGGAGGAAAAGGAGCAGAGTCCTTGAATTTGCTGTCCAACAGTTTAACTAACTCATCTTGGTCCTTCTTGCCATTTTATCACTGTCAATTGATCCTCTCTCACCCCTGTGTGAAACCGCTGCCTCTTATCTGGCATCAGGGCAGGTCTCGCAATGTTTGAGATACTGGCTGGGTGAAGTGATTAACCATAAATCCCTTGGGGTGAGACAAGGGGGTTCAAGAGTTCAGTAGCAGTCCACCCTGCCCGGGTGAGGAATGTGACCATGGCCAACCATGGGTCAATAGTAGTGGACTCTGCCAATGGTGCCAGTGCCTGTGCCCAGGATGTCAGGCTGCCCGTTGCGCCAGATCTCCCGGAGGATGCGTTCCCGCTCCTCCAGCCGCTGGGCACGCTCCAGCTCTTCCGCCGAGGCAAAGACGTTGACGGTGAGGGTTCCATCAGGGGTGGAGTGGGCCTCCAGCGGCAGCTCCGTCATAGCCAAGGGGGGCTCAGAAGCTGCTTGGTCAATGGTGTCTTCTTCCTCCTCATCGTCATCATCCTCCTCGTCCTCATCTTCACTGAAGTCGCGTAGGCTTTTTCGGGGCTTGCGGGGGATGGCCTGAGGCTGCCATGAGATGTGGATGACCAGCAGGCAGAGGGTCAAGACAAGGCCAAAGCAGACCCCCAGCACGAAATAAAGGCCAAAGCTCTCAGGGTGATCTAGATGACAGAGACATGGAGGAGAGGGTCAGAAATAGGCTAGGAAGACCACCGAGGAGACCGGCTTTTGAGATTCAAATGGTAGTGAAGGGGACAGAAATGGTTAGGAGCTGGGGCTCCCACAGACTCTGTAGACATTAGGCGGTAAGAAACTGAGTTGATTTGCCATTTCTTTGTGGATGCTGGAATTTTAGTAGCCAAACACTGAAAGACACCAGAGATTTAAACTATTGTGCAGCTGGAGGTGAAGGGCTGTTCAGTACGAAGTGCTTAAAACTTAGATAAATACTATGGTGGAGGAAAAGTACAATGACATATATAGAAAATATAGGGATATAATTTCTTCTGTGTGAAATAAAGAAATGGCCTTTGAATAGCTGGGATGTAATGAAGGAATACGGAAGTGGGTACAGGAAGAAGGCAATTAATTTGACATGGTAGTCTTTCGCTGAGGTTTCTTAAATGGTTACCAGAGTATTATTTATTTATTTTGCTTTGTAAATGCTCAGTTTCAGGCGTTTGTGAATTGCACATCAAGGGATGGATAGCCTTCATCCTCAATGACACAGCGCTATACGAATTAGTTTATGAATGAATGAATGAATCAATGAATGGAAGAGCACGGTGTTGAATGCCTCCCACTGTTTTCCATTATGAAGTCAAGGAGGTATCCTAAATCACACTGCACTGTATGGAGCAATATAACTTTTATAATGTTAAGTTGACCAAGAGGGTTCCTGAACTTGAAATGCAGTGGACTATATTGGCTTCTGAGAGAAGAAATCCAAAGGCTGGTGGCTAAATTGGCCGGTCAGTTCATAAATGCAGGTAAACCAGTCTCCATTCTGGGGATGGGAAGGAAGGAGGTTGGCCTGCCATTTTGAAACAGGAGGAAGAAGATCCTCCATCCACATCCCAATATAGTGTGCTGAGGACGGATAGTGGGAACAAGATGCCACCTCTGGCCAAGTGCCAGAGACTGCCATTGCTCACATATATGTCTGCCCCTGCCCCCATTTCCTGACCCACCTCGAATGTGTGCATAGGCTGCCATGCTGTTGCTCAGCAGCTCCATCTCCCGCTTGTGGGTCTCCATGGTGGCTCCTCAGTGGCACCTGGGAGGACAGGGAGGAGGGGTTGTTATTAGCATATTACTCCTGCCCAATTCCTTAGAATTAGGAGACACGGTTCATCTAACAATTTGTTCAGACAGGAGGCAGCTCGACTGGAAAGAGGACTAAATGACAGGGTGTCCATGAAGAATTGCAGAGAACATCAGGCTAAGGGCCTTCAGAAAGAACACAGAGGACCTTCTATCAATATCCCTGCTGAGGAGCAAGGACAGAATTGTTTGTGGTCTGAGATAGGACAGTGTCACCAATGGTCTTCAGAATCGTATTCACAAACATTGGCATCTCAAGATAGCGTTCTATGTTTAGAGAGCAAACCTTTAATCACAAAAGAACAAGGAACTTAAAGCACTGGTTGGTCCGCAGCGACTCTAATGTAAAATCCACCATAGTCCATTATCTTGGGAATATCTAAGCTCTCTGGCCACCATCCCTGCAGACACTGCATTCACTGTAATCATACAAGTAAATTTTACATGTTCACAAATCCAACAGTTTATACCAGCCAACATTTCTCCATGTGCAGTAGCAGTTATGTAGAACATGCCACTTGGTGTGCATGCAGGAAACTGTATGTGGGTCAAACACAAAGACCACTACAAATGAGCACCTCAGTAACATGTGGGATAAAAACAAGGTACACTGCCCCCACTGTGAACCATTTCTTAGAACCAGGTCACATAAAGCTGAATGCACACAAGTTAAATGCATGTGGGTTGCAGGTCTACTAAGATGCCTCCAACAAAGGAATTTCTCTAAAATGGGTCGGGCTTTTAATAAATTGATTGTGGCACTCCTGAGAACTCCTCTCTCTCGGTTTTGCTCACACTGTGGGGTGCACAGCCCCAGAACTCTTAAGCTTAAAGGGCAAACAGCTGAGATAGTTTTAAATTGCCAAATAAAAGAAACCTTGGGGGCTTGACTGTGCCAAACAACTGCCCCCCCCATTAATTAGCAAAACAGCTGCCTTGCTTCCCACAGGCCCCCAGGCCAGTCATGGGGTTGCTGGACAGGACAGCCTCTCAGGCTACAAAGTCCTGTGACAGTCATCCCTCCCAGGGGGCCTCTTCCGACATGCGTCACACACCACACCCCGGGCAAGCTTGGATGGAGGCATCTGTCAGTGACTCTGCAAGCTGAAAAGAGGGGCGCCAAAGGGTACAAAGAATTTCCTGTGGCATTTAATCCTCTCAATGACCCAGGCCTTTGAGTTTCATGCCCAGACAGGGTTTGAACCCAAGTTTCTCCATACCCAAACCCAATGCATTATTCACACTGCCTTGTCATGCACCGAGGCCCAATGTTTAATTTACGCTTGTGCATGACCCTGGGAACAGAGTCCCAGCAAATGTTTCCTCTCTTCCCCCATCCCTTAAGCCCCCCACCCCCAGGGCACTTCCTGCCACTGTCACAGGAAAAGATGCATCCTCAGTGGTGGGAAGATGGCTTGTTGTTTGGAGACCGGATGTTGCCTCTTCCTCTGCCCCCACCCAGCAACAGCCGCACTCAGGAGTCTTCCAGGTCAAGGCTATTTCTGGCAGGTTGAAAGGATGTTGCAAAGGGACCAGAGGACATACTCCAGGGTGGACAGAACAAAGGCCAGGGAAGAAGCTGATAGTCATAGAATTGTAGATGCTGGAAGGAACCCTGAGTATAATCTAGTCCAACCCCTTGCAATGCAGGAATATGTGGCTGTCCCATACGGGGATCAAACCTGCAATCAGAGCAAAAAGGTATTGAGGACAGAAGGACAGGTTGGGTCTGAGACTCTCAGGTTCAAACTAGATCTGAGTCAAAAGCTTTGAAGATTCTCAAGCTGCATGTGAACACAAATTTTCACCAATATTACTACCCACTGACTCCTTAAACAGGGCCTTGGGCAAATAATTATTCCTGGCCCCCACTTCCACTGAATAATAGATAGAAAGCACCCCACCCCCATTCAGGACAACATGCTGGATTGGATGCCCCCTTGAGCAATGAGCAGCTCACAGCCACCCATTTTCAGGAGCCATCCAGGCAGATGCCAGCCTCATCTGCAAACAGAAGTCTCCCCCCTCAGCCCACAAGCTTTTCATGAGTCCAAGATTTCCTAAAGCTCTGAGCGACCCTTTGATGAGAGCCAGGCAGCTGGGCTGGGCAGCAGGCCAGAGAAGAAAGAGGGGGTTGGTTTTGGGAAAAAATTACCTCCTCTTCTGAACATGCTAAGGATAAACCATGCAAAGTTATGGGCCCCAAACATAACAACATAAGACCAGCCTGCGGGATCAGGCCCATGGCCCATCTAGTCCAGCATCCTGTTCTCACAGTGGCCAATCTGATGCCCTAAAGGGGAAACAGCAACCAGGATTTTCCAGTGGTTTCCAGCAACTGGTATTGAGAAGCATTGCTGCCTCTGACTGGTCGTGGCTAGTAGCTATCATGGTTGTTAGTCCACAATAGCCCTCTCCTCCGTGAATTTGTCTAAACTGCTTTTAGAGTCATTTAGCTTGGTGACTGGGACGCGGGTGGCGCTGTGGGTTAAACCACAGAACCTAGGACTTGCTGATCAGAAGGTCGGCAGTTCGAATCCCCGCGATGGGGTGAGCTCCCGTTACTCGGTCCCTGCTCCTGCCAACCTAGCAGTTCGAAAGCACGTCAAAGTGCAAGTAGATAAATAGGTACTGCTCCGGTGGGAAGGGAAACGCTGTTTCCGTGCATTGCTCTGGTTCGCCAGAAGCGGCTTAGTCATGCTGGCCACATGACCCGAAGCTGTACGCTGGCTCCCTCGGCCAATAAAGCGAGATGAGCGCCACAACCCCAGAGTCGGCCACAACTGGACCTAATGGTCAGGGGTCCCTTTACCTTTACCTAGCTTGTTGACTACCACTGCCTTGTTGATCTGGGGTGTGAGTTTGGTCACTTCTGCTGGGAAGGAGAGCACCTCCTCCTGTTACCTCCCACTGTTCATCTCTACAAGGAATGCAGAGAAGGTTCTGCATCAGGGGTCTGTTCAGCTCCTACCAGGCTGGCTAAGCAGTATTTCCACATAAGTCGGGGATAACAACAAAGTTGTAAGGGAGGGAACAAGGGGTGTTGCTGCTAACTTTCATCAAAGGTAAGAACTGCCTCTTCTCATTTGTCTGTGATGTTGGAAATTACGCACACACCCCTTGACCAACCCCATGGCAGTACAGCAGGGATGGAATGGGAAAGGGAGTCTAAAAACCACTTGCAAAAATATTTGTAAAACTCGGAAATGAAAATGAGATATTTGGGCACAGAGGATGAAACCCTTAAAAAAACCCAAAAAATGCAGAAAAACAGACTTGTGCCATCGATCACTAACTGGAGTGCAACACACACATATTGGGTAGGAAAGGGGTCCCCCCATGACCTGTTTTTCATCTGTTTTAGCTAATAAGCATAGAGATAAATGCTTCCATAATCTGATCAAAATAATTTGAGATAACGGAATAATTTAAAAAATAGAGATTTATGTTATGAAGCCAATCTCACCAACAAAACCCAGCTTTGTCCTATTTAGAAGGTGCCTCAGATTCTCTCCCGCCCCCACTGGTACTTTCTGGGGAACTCTCATAGATGCGTTTTTTTTTCTTTTTGGTTTTTTTTCTTTGCAGGGTGAATGAATTTCAAAGAGGGACCACGCAGTTCCTCCTCCAGTTGAGCCTGAAATTAAAATGGAAACTGGCTTGGCTTGGTTGGAGTCTCTCCTGTGCTGACCAAATTGCCCAATGATGCCTGGCCTGTTGCAGCAAGAAGCCAAGAGTGCAGGAATGCAGGGGAGGGAGAGAGGGAGAGGGCGGGGAGGGGGGAACCAGCAGAAGCCAGACACAGACGCAGCTTCAGGCACAGTCCCGGTGCTCAGTGTTGCTTTAAGCGCATCTCTGGGAATGTGCTAGCTAATAACAAAGGCAAGAATAACCAAAAGCATGCACAGAGTGCATCCCTCACATTGAGGAAACATTGCTTGTAATTTGGGGGAGGGGTGAGGGAGAGCAAATCTAGAAAGTTAATTTTTCAATTTCAACCCTCGGGCTGTTTATAGGTTCTATATAACATCAAATTTTTTAAAAGGGAAGAGGAGTTTGGGTGTTTTTGGGGAATGGGGGGAGACTTTGTGAATATGTTACGGTGAACTGCAGCTTTAGCTGAAGACATAATGTTAGTAGGGACTGGGAAAGGCTCCGTGAAATGGGATTTTCCACAGAGCGTTAAAGATGTAGAAACTGATCTCACCCAGTAACAACAGGATATTAAGATGTCACTGGGGGACTTGACTGGAGGTACAAGTCATTGGCAAGACTCAGCTTAGAATTTAATAATAAATTCTGTCTCTGAGCATGGGCAGAGTGCTCTTGCATCCACAGCAAGCCCCCTCCCCCAATTTGGGATAAGAGAGGACCCTCCAAGGGCAGAGGTGATAACTAGCCAGGTCTGCTTTGTGAAATTAAGAGCAGTTACCCCATCCATTGGTGAAAGTGAGCCATGAAGGTTCAGGAGCTACACCTGAGTAGGTTATTCATGCCACTACAGTAAAGGATGCGAGGAAGAGGCCAGAGATGGAGCCAACAGGGCTGTCCCTAGAGGTGGGGACTCTCCTTCACTGGAAGTTTTAAAGCAGAGGTTGGATGGCCATCTGCCAGAGATTCTTTAGCTGTGATTCCCGCATTGCAAGGGGTTGGACTAGATGACTCTTTAGAGTCCCTTCCAACTCTACAATTCTTTGATTCTAGGAACAAGCATGACTTCTTCTAAAGGAACAGTTGCCGGAGTAGAATTGGACTGGAATCCCAAGGCTTGTTCACCCACTATTTCCACTGAGAAGCTCCTTCCACAAAGCTCCTTCTGTCAGCCCATCCTTCCCAAATGGCACAGGGACAAGATCCCCACTCAGGCATCACCCGAAAAGGATCAGATGCAACACCAAAAGAGGGGCAAAGAGGATGCAATTGCACAAAATTTGGATGCACTAATTCACAAAAGCTTGCAAGTATTTACTGTGCTTTCGATGGAAATAGAGTACATCTCACACTGGCAGGGAAGTTTGTGGGTAAAGTAACCTGTGCCCTGTGCTTGGCCTGCTATCCAAGTGCGTAGATGTGGATGGGCAACTTCCAGCTCTCCTTTCTGAAAAGTTTGCTATCTTCAAAGCAGATTTGAATGGGACCGTTACAAAGCAGCTCATGCAAATAGCAGCCACAGAATCCAGCTATCAGACCAACAGTGAGAAAGGGTGCCAGGCTTACCGAGCGCAGGGTCCGTCCGAATTCAAGGCTGCTGCTCTGCCTCCATTGCAGTCCCTGTCAGAAGAAAGGAGCCTCTGAGAAGGAGGGGAGAAAGGGAGCCCCCCCCCCGCTTGAGCGGGATCTTACAGAGCAGCAGCAGACTGGCCTCTGGACTGAGCGGCTAATGGAAACTGCCGCTCACTTCCGTGCAGCTGGAAGCGCACAAATGTCAGGACCGGCCTGGATCCCTTTGGACAGTGAACCCGCCCCCTCCCCTGAAGCAGGAAGCCTGGGCTGGACACACGGACGGACACACACACACCCAGGGACACACAGAGGGAGGAGAAGAGAAGGCCTCCTGTTTCTCTGCGTTCCGGGAGGAGCAGCCCCCAGGCAGCAGAGGGCCAGGCAGCAAGGAGGAGAGGCTTGCAAGGGCCAATGGACTGCAAAATCATTTGCAAAAGGAGCTGTTCCTGTGCCCGCCCGCCTGCCGTGATGGTCGAAGGGGCCCAGAGTCCACGGGAGGAAGTCAGGATCAAAAGAGGTCCACACAAAGGACCCTCTCTCTCTGCACCAGGGAGGCCTCCAAGGTTGGGCTTGGGTTGGCATCAAGACCCGCTGGGTGTGTTTGCACAGCCAGGGCAAGAGAAACACCCTCCTGCCAGCAGAGGCAGAAAACGGCTCCTTTGGGCCTCTCAGATTTGGTCCCGGGCTTCATCAGCAGAGCTTGGTTTTAAAAAGGAGGGGTGCTGGATGGGCCCCCAAGGCTGCCTCCTTCTGGATGGGAAACTAGTCAGTAAGCTTAACTATAGCAGAGCAGCAATTTCTTAGTTTGAGAGGGGAAAGTCTCTCTCTGCACATGGCTCAGAGACACTCTGTTCCTGTTTCTCCAAGCTAAGTGGTTCTCGGATTAAGCTCCCAAAACGGCACCCTGGCAGCATGCCTCCAATGGGAGGGGTGCTCATTAGATGTGGCCGGTTAAGTTTAACTCAGCCCCACAGGAGAGAAAACAAACACTGCAGCCAAGGCACTGGTCCCAGGAGGCCACACTGGTTGGCACACCCTGCAAGGGAGGTTTTTTTGGTGCGCGTCAAAATAGCCTCTCCTCCTGTTGCCAAGCCTTCTCCCCCAAAATGTCAAAACAGGCCACAAATACAGCATCCAGTTCCAGCAGGTTTTGCAAACCCTGTTATCAAAAAGACAAACGCCAGGTGTCCTGTCTTAGGGAGAAACACTGCATTCAGACAACCAAACTTTCAGTGCAGGAACCCTTCCAAGAATGTGGGAGGCTGCCCACCCCCACCTCCCCAAATACATTAGAAATACTGGTCAGCCTGATAAGGAAAAGGATCCGGCTATCTGCTCCAGAAATATATAGTGACTCCTCCCCTCCGCCATTGGTTCAGATTTGGCACACATGTTTTCCTGGCACACCAAAGTGCTCTCATACCTCTGGGCACTCCAGCCTTTAAGTCCCTCAGCCTTTTAGTCACTAACCTCAGAACCCCAGCAGTGGCAATGGGGCTGGGAAGGATCAGGCCTCCTCTAGCATCCTCTCTCTTTCTCTGCTTCACAACACTGAGCTCAAAAGCAGCTGTCCCGTCTCCTTGGCTGCAGCAAGCTTGGCAGCTGGAGTTTTCCTGGGACTGAGAGCGATGGCTGCTGAGTTTAGCCCAAGTGGGGCAGCGGACACAGGGGCAGCCAGATCCTGTTTTTCCCAGAAATATCCGGATGGATGGAGGATGAAGAGAAAAATCCAAAAAATGTGACACATCAGCAGAGATGAGTCAAGCCAGGCCAGCAATAGAAAACACAGACCCCCTTCGGTGGGGTGGGGGGGCTTCTGGCAAGGAGCAGGAGGAGGGATGCCAAGTATTCAGCCACAGGAAATGGGGGGTGCTGGGGCCCCTCTCTTGTTTGTGATGGTGGTGGTGGGGGGGGCAGTCACTGCCTCAAGGAGTGGAGCTGTTCCCTCAGCCAATTCAGTGGCTTCTCCCAATCTGTACTGATATGTCCGGCTGTATCTGTCCGACAAAGGGCTCTTTGGCTAGTCTGGGGGGGGGCGGGGAGAGGCAAGTCAATGAAGTGGCCAGGCTTGAGTGAGAGTTGACACTTCACTATCACAAAGAGAGGTGATGAGGTTGAAGCTGCCAGCCTTGAGAGGAACCTGCCATAGGCACATTATGAGTCCAGACTAGGGCCACTAAAATAATGTGAAGTGGCCCTAGATTGACCCTTGCAACCTCTTCCACAATCTTCCCCTCCTCCCTTCAATGCAGCAGCTCAGTTCCTATAAGCTCCCACCACCCAGCGGGGCCCCCCTCCCATTCCCTGGTCTCCGCACAGCTCAAACATCTGGTTAATGATTAAAGCAAAGTCAAGAGGCTTGAAGTGCAGGGAGAGAGCAGTGGAGGGGGTGACTCAGGGTGCCAACTGTTCAGTTGCAAAGTGTAACTGTGCCTTTGTAACAGCGCATTGGGCTGCAGACTTTAGCAGGTGAAAGCACAAGTGGTCTCAGTGCTGTTGGAGGCACAAGAGCAAGGAAGTCCTGCATCTTCGTAGTCAGCTGGCAGGCTGGAGGAGGAATTAGTTACAAGTGGAAAGAGAAATGGAGTCCCAAGACAAAGGGTGTGCGCTTGCAATAAGGCCACCAGCTGACAGTCTTCCTGGGGTGCCCTTGGCTCATGCTTTCGTCTCTGCAGTATTCTCAGCTGGCTCCTGACTGCTTAGGGGAGTCTGCAGCACTCTATATATGCATTATTGCAACTGCTGAAGAGCACCCAACCTGGGAAGCTACGTCCATTTGGCCCCAGCCAGAGCCATGAACAAGAATGTCCTGGGCCTGCTGGGAATGTGCTAACAGGACTGGGCATTGCCATCATGCTCCAGTCCTCATTGCTGAGCCATGTGCTGCCAAGATGGCAGGAGAAAGCTTTCATGGCCCAAACCCAGGAAGCAACACTGAGCTTTGAAGAAGCCTAGCGCCCTGTGGACTTTATCTCATCTCTTTGATCCTAGCAGGCTTTAAAGGCGGTGCAAGGTGGAAGAAGGGGGTGGATTTGGACCTGGAGCCCCTTCTCAAGGCCTTCATCAGAGCCAGCTTCAGGTTTGCCTTGGGCAACAATGTCCTCTGATGGGCTTAGCTGTGTGCTGGGTAGTAAAATCTATGTACTTTTAAAATTTCACATAGTACCCCAAAGCAACATTAGGCCAGGGGCATTGTTGGGAAATATAAAAGCTGGATAGACCCTATTGCTGTGCTCAGAGTGCTCCCCCACCCCATCAAAATTATGGGAGGTCCAGGGCAGGCATCAGCAGTGGACCATGCCAAAGTACTGCAATTCTGGAAGCTGCCCAAGGATGCTAGATGCTGACACAGAGTCTAGCATTCAGCGCTGGGACACATGGAGTCAGCAGCCCCACTGTGGAGTCAGCAGTGGGATGGGGTGTCTACAAAGGCTAGTGAAATTCTAGGTTGCATCAACATGATAGCATCCAGATCACAAGGAATGGTGCTGCTCCATTCTGCTGTGACCAGGCCTCATATGGAGAACAGTGTTAACTTCTGGGCACTGGAGCTTAAAAAGGATATTGACACATTGGAATGTGTCCAGAGGTTGGGGTTGGGGTGGGCAAGCAAGCAAGCAAACTAACAAGAGGACCCCTTTCTTCCTAGGTCTTTAGGTTGAAGCAGCTGAGTATATTTAGCCTGAACAAGATACAATGACGACTACTTTCAAATATCTGAAGGGCTGTCACAGAGATGGGGCAAATTTGTAGGGCTCCTGAAACAACAGATTCAAATCACATGAAAAAGGATTTTGCCTTATTAGAAAGAACTTCCTGATGGTGTGAGCTATTTGGAACAGGCTGCTTCAGAAGGTGGTGGACTCTCCTTTGTTAGAGGTTTTAAGCAGAGGTTGGATGGGATGCAGAAGCAATGGGCATCTTTGGGCTGAGCAGGGGTTTCAAGTGGACCAGCTTCAAGGTCTCTTCCAACTCTATGGTTCTGTGAAATAGCTATGGCATCACTGAACACATGCGGAGGGACATTGCTGAGTAACTACAGTCAACTGCTACACATTTGAAAACAATGGCTCCTAATTCCAAGGGTTAGAAGGGTTGCAGAAGTTAAGTAGGACCGGAGAGGAGGAAGGTGGCTAGCTTGTTCTCCGGCTGAATTCTAGCATCTGAGAGAACTCAAGTCTGTTCCCAAGATGCAAATTTGAGCATGCTTGCACTGAGCTAACAGGCCCAGATCGGTTCCTCTCCCTACATACAAGCAAACACATGAACACACACACACACAGAGAGCAGAATCGGGGTGGGGGGAGATTTCTCCGCTACCTTCCTTGTGAAACATGGTGGAGAACCTCAAGCTAAGTGGCTTCCAAGCCAGACGCAGAAGCCGTTCCTCTTTCTCCAGTGAGCAAAGAACTGTGTCGCCTGGATCCCTGGGTGGGAAGACACAGGGGATGGGGGTGGGGTGGGGGAAGGCTGCTCGCCATGGCATACTCACCGGGCACACGGAGAAGAGGGACGCGGGAGCACCAGGGGTGCCAGGAGGGAAAGATGGAGCCCCTCTGCCACGGAAGGACCCCCCTGCTCCGTCCTCTTGCTTGGGAATGAAAAGAGTCAGAGAGGCAAAGATGGGGTCTGTTTTCCATTAACGCTGCTGAGCAACAGGAAGTGGTTGAGAGGGGGCTGGCGGGTCAGAGCTCCCCCCCTTCCACCCACACAGAGGGAGCGAGAGCAGGGATGGCTGGATTATTTTGATGGCTAACCTGCTTCAGGTATAACAAGCAAGGGAAAGCAGGTGCCGTCCCTTAAACAAAAATGGCCACTGGAGTACACAACAACAATAATGTGTATTGAAATTCCATGTGGATGGGAGGGAAGGAGGATTAAATATTCCAGCTGGAATAGTTGGCATGTTAATTTATTTAAAGATATGCAGATTTGAGGAGTCTGTTGGTTTAACCTTAAGAAATAGAATAGGCTGAGAGGCGGGAGAACAAGAGACACAATCCCTACCAGGACAGAACAACAAGTCCTTCATGGGCACAAACTACAGCTCCCTTTGGTTACAAGGATCCAGCTCTTGAAGGTGTAAATCCAGAGACAGCATGGCTTTCACACATTCCCATATCTCCTGCTCTGGTGTTCATGGGCAGGCCTGCAAACAGCCCCTGTGTGTCCTGTGGAGTTTAAGGGTGGATCTGTGCCAGGGAATGACTCGAAATGGGGGACCCCTTTAGACCAGCTGACTCTGTGTTATCAGGGGTGGAGAACCTCAAACCTGGGTCTGAATGTGGCTGGGAGTCTTTTGCAGGGCACACTCCTTCTCCCCAAGGCCACAGCCCTCATCTGCCTGGCTCAGCACCCTCCTCAACTGCTTTTGCCTGGCTAGAACGTGTCTACGAACTGTGTGATCATGCCTCCTGCTTGCTTGGATAGAGGGAGAGGTGTGGGTGTGTGGCTAGAATGCAGAAAGTAGGTGTCACCTCTGCTGCTCCGCCCACTCTTGCCTCTGGCTCTGTCCACCACTGGCAGGTGACTCCCAGAAGACATGCTATGGGCTGAAAATTCTCTCCTCTCATTCTTTCTGCTTCTCAGCCATTTGCAGGTCCTGCCCAAGTGTTGCAGAGACCCCCACCCATAAATCCAGTCCCCTCCCCTACCTCATTTATAAGCTGCTGCTCTCCCAACAAATTTAACCCAAATTACTAGATCTGGCCATTCCCTTCCCTTCTCACGGGTATCCTCCTGCTGCTGCTGCTCTCTCTTTCTGAGGCTGTTTCCTCCACAAGACTCTTATGTGTTCAATCACGTGCAACTTCTACTTGGGTCGAGGGAGAAGAATTTGTAGGCATTAGTCCAACCAGGGTTTAGAGGGTGCTCCTTAGTCCACTTCTATTACCTCAAAGAGCAGCTGTGCCAGTAGCACAGTCCATTTCTGTCCACCCAGTCCCACAGGGAAATGGGGCTGGAACTTAACCCTGCCTCCTTGCCTAGATGCCATGTCCTCCAAATCCAGGGGGCAGGAGAGTGGGGCTGCGCTTATTGAGCTGTGAGAGAAAAGCATGCACTTGGGAGAGGATGGTGGACACTGGCACTGGGAAGCAATGGCAAGTGGTGAGGAAGGGGAAATGCTGCGTCCTCAAGGGCTAACCCCAACCTCTGAAGAGCTCTCCCCAGCCACCCCTTGTGGGCTGGCTCCATCTCAATCACCTTCACTGTACAAAGGGATTTCCAATTATGCTAAAATAGGTCCCCAATTCCTCAGTTTGGCACAAAGTTGCACAAGCAGTTTGCCAACCCCAAAACAAGTTTGGGGCCAACCTGTTGGGTACACAGCCCTCCATCTCTCATTGTTTTGGGGTGGGGGTGCAAGAGACCCTCAGGGAAGCTGCTCAAACAAGATGGGAAGCTCCAATAGAAAAGGTCCTTTCTCCTTCCAGGTCTTGTACTGGGGAGTTGGGGGGAAAGCGCTGGCAGAGACTTTCCCACCCCAAATCTTCCTTTGCAGGAAGGGAAGGCTGCTGCTGCAGTTGCAAAGGGTGGAGCTTCCAGGAGGGACTGAGGCCCAGTCAGGGCTGCATCCAGCGCCCAACCCTCAGGCGCCCTCTTGTGCCAAAAAGAGGGCCAGGCATTAACTCAGCAGTGGAAGAGTCCAGCCTGAGGCCCTTGCTTGCCCTCATATCCCTTTCAGGGGAGCAAGTGAAGGTGCCACACTGGGAGCCCCAGTCCTTCCACTGACTTCTCTTCAGGCCCTTGTTGCAGCACCCAATGCAAGAAGAGCCTGCTGGATCAGGCCAGTGGCCCATCTAGTCCAGCATCCCTCTTCTCCCAGTGGTCAACCCGATGCCTGTGGTAAATCTGCAAGCAGGACCCAAGCACAAGAGTATTCTTCCCTCCTGTGGTTTCCAGCAACTGGTATTCAGAAGCATTGCTGCCTCTGACGGTGGAGACAGAGCGTAGCCATCTTGGCTAGTAGCCTTCTCCTCCGTGAGGTTGTCCAATCCTCTTTTAAAGCTATCCAGGTCAGTGGTCATCCCTTCCTCCTGTGGGAGAGAGTTCCACAGTTTACCTATGTGCTGCATAAAGATTCTTTTATCTGTCCTGAATCCTCCACAGCTTTTGGCTTCGAATGTGTTATGGGAGAGGGAGAGAAACTTTCCCCTATCCACTTCCTCCATGCCACACATTTTATAATCTTCTATCACATCACCTAACTAAATTCTTGCCATACCAGCAGTGACCGGGGGGGGGGGCTTGGGCTGGGCTTCGGCAACTGACCTAGCCCTGGCAGCAGGCCTCAAAATCACCATCACTTGCAGGGTACACCTCAGCAGTGCCCCTTTGTACCAGATCACTGCAGAGGATCCTCCGGGGCCCAGAGAACATAGAGAGGGCCTGCACCTGATTGGCTGGAAACCCCAAGTTCAAGCACGGGGGGGGGGGGGGCTATACCAGGTGGTAGAGATGCGCCCAATACAGTCATACATCAGGTTACAGCCACTTCAGGTTGTGTTTTTTTGGGTTGAGGACCGCCGAAACCTGGAAGTACCGGAACAGGTTACTTAAAGGTTTCAGCATTCGCGCATGTGCAGAAGTGCTAAATCGTGCTTTGCGCATGCGCAGAAGCGCGGAATCGCAACCCACGGGTGCACAGACATGGGTTGTGAATGCTGCGGGTTGCGAATGTGCATCCTGTATGGATCATGTTCGCAACCCGAGCATCCACTGTACCCTGAAGCAGGTGACACCAGGTGAGAGGAACAAAGTAACAGTCAGACTGATTCTACGTGGCAGCTGCGTGCAAAAGAGGGAGCATCCAGCCTAGCATAGGGGTGTCAGCAGCATGCTGTTGGTTTTAGACTGGGGTCAATTTCAAATCTACCCACCTCCCTGAGCCAGAGCACTCCCTGAACTAGTCATCCTTTGGGGCTAGCCTACCTCACAGGGCTGGTGCAGGAGATGTCCCGCCTCACGAGCTCGCTGCAATGTGGGCCAACCACAGTGTTACCGAGGCAGAGGTGGGTTAACGGTGCCTTGTTGGACTAGAAACTCTAGCTCACTTTCCCTTCAGCCCTGCTGTGAAGGTTCCTGGATTTTCTTTGCCAGGCCATTTTTCACCGTGAAGGTAAAGGTACCCCTGACCTTTAGGTTCAGTCACGAATGACACTGGGGTTGCGGCGCTCATCTCGCTCTATAGTCCGAGGGAGCCGGCGTTTGTCCGCAGACAGCTTCTGGGCCATGTGGCCAGCATGCCCAAGCCGCTTCTGGCGAAACCAGAGCAGCGCACGGAAACGCCGTTTCACCGTAGGGCTGCCTAAATGTCTGTGTGCAGATAGAGTCAGAAGCGGGTGGCAAGGGAGAGATCTGAGAGTGTCTTCCCCTTCCCAAGTTGAGTACCAGCTTGTGCCCTCTTGGGTTTCGCTTCCTCAATGGTGAAGTGGTGCTTCAGAGGAATTTTGAGTGTGTTAGATAAGACAGACCAGTGGAATTCTCTCCCAGCTGGAGCTCAACACATTCCTAAGTAGAAGAGTTTTAACTACCACAAGCACCCATACCACCAGGGCAGAAAGGACATACTTGACTGCCGGTGATAACACAGGTGTAGAACATTGGTGTTTGAAAAATGAGTTGCACAAACAACTCAAGGGATGCTCCTCAGGCAGCGGGGAGAAGCCCTTCGCTTTGACTCACTGCAAGGCTTTATTATTTGAGACACATTATATTCTGTCTCCTTGGACAACTCAGATTTTGCACCCAAACTGCAGGCCTTGCATAAGTTACACAAAGTGATCCCATGTGCTCAACCTCCCCATGTGCAATTCGTTCTAACCTGTGGTCTCACATGCAGCCTTCCTTGCCTCCAGCTTCCAAGATTTCTGCAGATATTGCCTACCTCATTCCAAGCACATCTTCAAACGCATGAGAACTAGCAGTTTCTGTAAAAATGTTTAAAAGCTAGCAAAATAATTCTCTTGAAACAGAATTCTGTTTTCACACGCTTCTCTCTCTCTCTCTCTCTCTCTCTCTCTCTCTCACTCACTCACACACACACACACACAGCTTGGGTCCAGACAAAAGTCGCCAGCACCTTCCAACACAATACAGATTTAGTTCTACATTATGAAATTTTATTGCTGACATGCAGGAATAGTTGGATGTAATACAAAAATAGGTCTCTATACAAATTATCTTTGCAATTTTTTTACAATAGGATCTTTTGTCTCTGGTGTCTCACCCGGCTTGTAATCCACAAAAACACAACCCAGACAGCTCACCCCAATTTCCACACACCCTCACTCCCCATTTCCTTTCAGTTTGCTTTTCATCACCATGTCCAGAGTTGGGCGGAGCACACAGCTTGACAGCCTGTCGAGTATTGCTATGTTTTTTTTGAGGATGGAGAGAGTCCCAATGCAAAACACACAGCCAGCTCTGCTGGGGAAGATGGTCAGTACTGGTGAAGGGGAGATGAGAGAAAGAAAGGAAGCAGAGGGAGCAGAGTCTGCCCTGCCTGAATTCTGAGAGGGGAAGGAAGAGCCGGCCCTGCCCAGGGGGCTTCTATTGCTACTGACACAGGAAATATTCCAGGCAGAGGAGAAGCCCACAGAAACCGCCTGCTTGGGAAGTGGACTAGAAAGTTGTCGTGAAAGCTGGCCCACACCTCGCCTGTCATCCTACACTTCTCCTCCCACCTTCCAATACTGTTAAGAAAACATGTCAGCTGGGACTGCAGCCCCATAGAAAGCTGTAGGTAGGACTGAGGGGAACTGCTAAGGGTCTGTCTTCAGCAGAATAGTTCGTTTTGGAGATGAGCAGGCCCCGCTCAAGCAGGACACCTCGCGTGTGCTTCCAGATGACAAGATGGGCAACTCAGTTTTTTGGAGTTGGGGAAATATCTTACCCCCCGACTGAGGGATTCCTCCATCTTGTGGGCTATGATGGTGCTGCAAGCAACAGTCCCAAAAACCACCAGGGAGGCTGGGCCCCGGGACACAAGATCCAGGGGTGTACAGCAACTGGCTCACCTGGAGAGGTTTGGCCCACAGAAGGGGCTGTGACATGGGAGCCCAAATTTACTGCCCCCACCTGGGCCAACAAGGGGTGCCATTAAGCTTGTTAGCATTCACCAATCCAGTTTTGGCTTGATCCACAGAGCTAATGCCTTATAGACAGGTTTATGCTGTGTTTCTTGGTGAGACTGCATGGGGGGCTGGTGACCTTTGAGGGGTTGGTTACCGTCCATCCCTAGCGAGAGAGCAAAATAAACTGTTCCTGGGTTTCCCTAACTCCATCCCTGTTTCCCAACTTAGCAACGATGAGAAAGCCAGAGAACAACCAAAGCAGAGTCTGCCCCACAGAGGGGAGGGGAGTGTAGATCAGGCACAGAGGTTCTGCAAGGAAGTTTTAACGTGGTTGGTTTTCTTCTTTTCTCTTTTTAAACAGATTTGCAGAATTCTTTTGCAGTTCTTGTCAGTAGAAAAGAATTCCTTGTGCTGAAGTCAGATTTCAGGATCTACAACCTTCGCTAGTCCTCCTCTTTGCACCATGCAAACACATTCATGCTAAGGGAGGCCGTTGTCCTCGGCTGGTTCATTCATCTCAGGGCCATCCAACAGCCCCACTCCAGCCAGACTGCAGAGGTCTTAAGCCAACTTCCTTCAGGTCAGTGTCGCTTCCTGGATACTGCAATGCTGCTTCTGCTGGCATCCAATGGTTCAACAGGGTGGGTGGGGAGGGGACACCTCACATTTTTGAGACAATTTTTGAAAGGGTGATGAAGGCTGACCGGAAATGGGAAGGGAGTGGAAATGGGGCAGCACAGCTTAGGGAGGGTTGCTTGAGAACAGCTTATCTGGCAAGAGAGGCATCCAGTTCCAACAAACGAGGCTCAGAAATGATCCAGCCCAGTCCCAGCAAGACCTGCTGTTTGCACAGCATCAGGGGAACACTCCTGCCCACCCCCGCAAAAAATAATAATAAATGTCATGGTGGGGGAATTGTCTGTGACAAGATGGCAATGGCAAGACAAAGCAAAGAGCACATAAAGGAGTGGAGACCAGCAGGCATTTCTGAACCTGAGACAGCCTGGGGGGCGGGGCGGATAGGGGACAAAACAAAAACGAAGCAAGCAAACCCTTTTCACATTTTTCACAGATTTATCCCTTCAGCCGTACCAGTGTGGGTGAGGAGGAGGCAGGGAGAAATGTCAACAGAATTAATGCAACGTTACTGCACCTTTCAAAAGCTACCATTTAAAAAAGAAAGGAAGACAGAACAAAACAAAAACCCTCCCAGGATATCCCCAAATAATTAAAGTGTTTGGAAAAGGGAGGTTTGGGCCCTCAGAAAAGCTACATTTTTTAAACAGCCCCTGGTTTGGAACTCTTTCCCCAGGTCAGAATCTGCAGAGCGAGGCTTTCTCACGTGGAGAGAAGCTCGTAGTGGAGGCAACCCATTTGCTAAGCCTGTGGTCACGCAGAGGGCCCGAAACCAACGTTTACACAAAATATATTCAAACCAGGTGTTAAATTAAAAATAGAACAAAGGGGATGGGGGAGAGGGTTTAAGAAATAGTTACTTTCATGAAACCCACCAGGGGGGAGGGAAGAAAGGAGGGGGAAATGATTAAGCTTATTCAAACCAGACAGAGCGAAGCACGGCCCACGTGGTCTCCGCAGCAGTCCAACGTCTGCGTCAGAAAAGAAGCCTGCGGGGGCAAACATTGCCAAAAAACGCTCCTCGTTTCAGTCCAGAGAACAGTGTGGTTAAAAAGAGGCAGAGAGGTAGATTTCAGAGTCATGATTAAAAGCAGATTAGCTGTCTAGGTGTGGAGTTAAAATCCGCCAGCCATTTCCCCAGACAGTTGGGGTCTTTCCCCTGCTGCCCCCTCCGGGGTCGGGGGGCAAAGCCCAGCAGGCGAGGCCCACTGAGCACTCAGCACACAGGGAAAGACTGCTACATTGTGAGGGATCCTGGGACCTGGCTGTCGCTGTCGCATGCCCCGTCGGGGGCAAGAGACCCACGGTGGGGTGGGAGGAGCTACTTCCGAAGGTAGCGCTGTGCAAGGATGGCCGCGTCCAAGGGGTTCATTGGCTGGGCATCGTGGCCCAGGCGCCGCACTGGAGGGATGTTCCCAAACTGCCGCTTTTGGAGGAAACTCTTGGCCTCGTGGAGCGTGTTCTTCTCCTCGGCCAGCAGCAGCTGCTGCCTCATGTAGTTCTCAAACTCGTACTGCGAACACTCCTCCGTCACCTTCGCCTGCAAGGAGAAGCAGCCCTGTTAGAAACCACCGGGAAGGTAGGGGCCAGACCTGCTTGCAACAGCATCCCCCCCTTCCCCCCAGCATTTGTACACAAGCTCACTGCTCCACTGCACACACCAGGAAGCCTGCCAGGCTCGTTTTCTGCATTGACAAGTCGCTTCCCACCCCTCCATGTTCAAGCACCTGGGAATCCCAGATTCGTTCAGAGCAGTGGGCATATGACTTGAAAGCAAGCTCTGAGAGGCGACAAAGGTCTCTGCTGCAAGGAGCCGCCAGATTTGCAGCACTTGAACACAACCTGGGGGCTCTTAATATTTGGCAGGAATGTCCTCAAACAGTCCAACTGCCAAAGGGAAAGCAGGAGGGGCCTGGAGGAAAGGCAGGTGGAGTCAGCTAAGAAGGGAAGGGGCCACCTGCAGGTGAAGAGAGAGAAAAAGAGGAGGCCAAGAGACCAGCTGAATTTCATGGACAGGCAGAGGTGGTTGACTTCAGATCCCCAGTAGCATTTAATAATACTTAAGAATCTGCATTAAAATTGCAATTGGGTTTAAAAATGTGTTGCTATCTCAGAGAACTTTCTCAGCAAGACATTCGTTTTCCCCAGCCATCACTCCTCATCAGCTGGGAACCAACTGATGGAAAAAGCCCCCAAGGCCAGCAGAGACAGATGCTGCTGGGTACCTGCTCTGCCCTGCTTGTTTCATTTCTGACTAAAAAACAGATCACACTAAATGTCCTCACAGCTTCTGTCTGAAAGACACACACACACATGCACACCAAAGAGTTCCCATGTGGCTCTGGAAGCAAAATCTGGGATCAAGCCACCTGAGAATGGGGCTTCAGAATGGAGCGGAGCTCCTTTGACCCTCCGCACAGCTTGCAGAAAATATGCAAATCAAGCAAGACACACCATCCAATCAGGCCGCAGAGCCCGCCTCCCTCAAGGGCAAGTGGTCCCGCTCAGCAGGCAGGACTTACCTCGTGTGCGCCTTCTGGACTGGCCACCTGGTCGTCTATGTCAGGCACCACTTGCAAGGGCCCACTCAGCAGGGACATGGACTGCCTGCAGGAGAGACAGGCTGGTGGGTCAGGAGGCGGCACATTTGTGCCAACCTCAGAGGTGGCCTAAGCCCCCAGTTGGAAGACGGCAACCCTCACACACTGCACCCAGGAGCCTTGCCCACCCACCCACCTCACCATTTCTCAGCATGTGAAGCAGCAGCACAGGACCGGGGTGGGATGGGGGCAACATGGTGCAAAGGTTATTATGGATGCTTCTTTATCAGTGGACCGAAGGGTCAAGTGCTGTAGGCACTTGTTCATCACATGCTGCAGGCAGTTGTTCCATCCCCAGGATCCTTTTGACTGTCCTTTGACAGCTCTACAATATCTTTTTAAAGACCTGGTAGTCAGAACTGTAAGAGGTCTTCCACAGTGCCCACTGTCAAGAAAGGCAAGCCTTTCCCTGGGCTGGACACTGAAGGACACAAATGGGGTGCTTCCATTTAGTTGAGAAGTAAGTAAAGGTGGCTTCTCGTGCTTGATTCAGTACTTGGGTCTTGGTAGCAGGGTATAAAACTTAGCTCAAGAAGATGCTCTTTTAGCAAAGGGAGCAAGGTGAGGAGGAGGGTGAAATTATGCCGCACCCACCATTAAGAAACAAGAGACATGGCCCAGGGTGTTCCTTCCCAAGAAGTTGAGACAACACTTCCTGTGTCTTTTGGCCAATGTTCAAAGCATTTACAAAAGACTCCTCCACCCAGCCTTCCCAACAAAGCTCACTCCTTTACCACAGGCCAGCTTTGGGCTGGAGGGGTGAGATGGGCCTTTGGCTTGATCCATCCGCAGGGCTCTTTGAAGGATTTTATCCCCTTCCACCACACACTCACCAGGAAGCAATGATGGAACTGAGGGAGTCGAGCACTTCGGAGGCGGTCAGGCGCTGCTGAGGGTCCAAGACGAGCAGCTTTCGGATCAAGCACACAGTGTTTTCCGACACCCGCCCATCTCTGTTAGGAAAGAGCAAGAGTGAGGGGCAGTGGAGCTACCAAACCAGAGACACCAAGGCCCAGAACCCCGTGGCCAGGCATGCCCCCGACCCCTACTTACTCAGGGATGGTGTATTCAGCAGCCTTGATCTTGCGGAAGAGCTCCTGGGGGATGCTGTCGTAGAAGGGGAACTGCCCGTACAGCATGGTGAAGAGGACCACACCCAGGGCCCACATGTCGCTGGGCTTCCCACGATACGGCCGGCCTGCAAACAGAGAGAGACAGCCCTGGAGAGTTAGCAGGGCCCATCCAGGAGGAGGAGGAAGAGGAAGACAAAGGAGAGGCGCTAAGCAACCAGCCTGTGGGGTGGTCTCATGTTCCCGTCTTGGGCCCAAGATTGGAGGGGCTCAGTGCCACGTCACATGCCTGTGATGTCATGCATGCAAAGCAGGGAGGAGGCCCTTTTGGGTGAAAGGTCTGGGGGCTGCCATGGGATGCTGCTGCCTACCACTGAGGACGTCAGGGCTGATGTAAGCGGGGCTCCCACGCTGGTCCTTCAGGAGGTCATCTTCACTCACCAAGTGCTTCCCCAGGCAGAAGTTTGTGATGGTGATTCGGTGGGTCCTGGAGGGGAGAAAAAGTTAGTGGCCGGGTAACGGGGGGTGGGAGTGAGGGGTGTTGGAGTGGTATGAATGACCGGGGTGTCAACAAAGACACTGAAGGCCGCTCTGAGGAATAATGCCAAGCAGCTAACAAAAGTGGATGTACCAGATGGGGCTTTTGGGAGTTTGGTATGACATACACATCAGAATTATTCAGAGCCACTGTGGTGCAGCAGATTAGCTGGGAAGACACAAATTCAAACCCTCCCTTCAGCTGCAAAGCTCTCTGGGTGACCTAAGACCAGTGAGTAACTCCCAGTCTAGCCTACCTCATGCGGTAGTTGGCAAGGGCATGTGGGTGTATGGATGCAAGACCATGTACATTGGCCTGAGCAACTTGGAGAAGCACTGTATAAATATGTCGCTGCCTATTTATCTAAATTTGTGAACTCAGGTTCAGCTTTAACTTTGATGTTCAGAGTGTGAAGAATCGTCCTCAAAACCCTGATTCAGCTTTCACCAACTTGATGCCCTCCAGACGTTTTGGACTAAAACACCCTCCAGTCCTCCACAAATGCGGAGAGCACTAAGATGGCAAAAGTTTCATTAACCCCCTGGGAGTTGGGGGTCTGGCACTCCCCTGAAAGGTTTTGATCATCTGTGCCAGATTTATTGACCTTCACTCAAGAAATATGAGCAGACTTTTGACAAGTTGGGAGTGGGAGGGAGGGACGATGGAGCAAGAGGCCTGAATGCACAAGAATCAGCAGGCCTGGATGTTCTTTGGCTAAATTAACTGAGACTTTTTTAAAAGAAAGAAAGAAGTCAGCATTCCAAACAGCCAGCTCCTGATGACTCTCCTGTGAGCGAGGGGTGGAGGATGGCCTCAGCTCATAAACATCCGCCATGTCCTCCTGGCAGACGACAATGTTTTCTTGGCAATGAAGCCATCAGGAGATCAGCATCCAAGGTGCTTCAGCTGTGAAATGTATGAATGGCTGTTTTCAGGCAGCCAAAAACTGACCTCATCCCACAGGGGATCAGGAAGGAGCAATAAATGGCACCACTTGCCTCACTGTGATCCTGGATGAGCGAGGGCCACCCAAAGGGCATTTCTGCACTACCAGGCCGTTGCTCAACAGATATTTGCCTGCTTCACACCTCTCACTCCACAAGGCCATTTGATGCGCTTTTAATGCAGCGGTAGCAACAGAAACAAGAACATGCCTGCAAGAACATGGCCTTGTGGCCACCTTGAATGCAAAACACTGCTGGATCCCTGGGATAAGGCCTACTCAGGAAGGGTTCATTCTTGGTAAAAGAGCCAAAGTCAATGAAAGGCACTTTGAGCCACGGATATCACTTCAGACAATCAACTGCAGGGCTGGAACTCAGAGAACCTTCCAGGTGCGAACCAGATCCTTTTTCAGGGTCATTCATCCCCAACTCCCTAGAACACCTTTCCCCATCCTGGTACTCTCCAAAACTTTAGGACTTTAATTCCAATCAGCCCCACTCAATGGCCAACATTAAAGGGTTATGAGAGATGCAGTCCCAAACACCTGAAAGGCACTAGGGTTGGGAACGGCTGCTCTAGAAAACTGTTGCATTTCATTTTTAGGAGTCTAAGAGCGGCCCTAGTGGGTGATACCAGAAAGTTAATCTAACCCAGTATCCTTTTTCCAAATGCAGCAGCTAAGTATCTCCAAGAAGCTCACAAGCCAGACATGAAGCCACATGTATGTCTTGTACGTTTCAGAACAGATATAACTTGTGCTTGTGGGTGGCAGAGGCTTGAACAGGCAAAGTCTTGCCAGAAACGTGAGTCACATTATGCGGAGCATGTGAGTGTGTGCAAGCAATGGATACAAAACCTACTGATGTGACATAACATCTTGTTTAAAGGGGTGCATGGAGCTGTCAGCGGCATTCCTCACTGTGATGCTGAGTTGTCTGGGAGCAAAGGAAGGGAGAGGGCAGTGGCAGCTATTGGAAGTTACACTCTGATGATAAAACTAGTTGGCCTCGTCTCACTTGAGGCTCTTATGAGGTCAACCCTGAACTGGTGCACAAATGACAAGGCTGCAACACATGTTCCTGCATCAGATGTCTAGGGGGATGAGACTGACATGGCCTCCCTCCTCCAGTTTCATTCTCCTGTGACCTCGCTAAACTCCTAAGGAAGGCCAAAGTGCTTTCTCCAGGGAAAAACAGGCAAACAAGACACCGCCTTCTAAGGTTGCTGTTTGATTTGTGTGTGGATGCACAGACTGAAAAGCAGGAGCTTTCTTGGCAGGTGTTTCCCAGCACACACAGGAGCTTAACTTTCTTTGGCGTGCCACCTCAATCCGCAGAAATCCCACCAGCTGCAAATAATGTTCCAGACTTAAAGTTGCAAAAGAGGCTCACCTTTTGTTCAGCACCATGTTCCCCAACTTCAAGTCTCTGTGCACAATGTTCTTCTAGAAAGACAAGAGGGAATTTATACTATTACAGTGGTACCTCGGGTTACTAACACTTCGGGTTACAGACTCTGCTAACCTGGAAGTAGTACCTCGGGTTAAGAACTTTACCTCAGGATGGGAACAGAAATCGCGCAGCAGTGGTGCGGTGGTGGCAGTGGGAGGCCCCATTAGCTAAAGTGGTACCTCAGGTTAAGAATGGATCTCTCAAACGAATTAAGTTCATAAGCAGAGGTACCACTGTAGAACAAAGTAGATTATTTGGTAAGATAAGAAACTTAAATGCTTAATTCAATCCCCCCAACCCTAAAGTTGTGCTTGCAGAAAATGGAGTGGATCAAGATCCCTTGTTCATTTCACCTGGCCATTTATGACCTGAAGACTTTTGCACCAGCTAAGTTGGATATAAGAAGATGCTTTGCACAAAACTCTTTCTAGCTCAGCATCGGCAGACGCCATGCCCCCCACCAAAGCACCAAGCCTCCCTCACAGTCATGTGGCTGCCAAAACCCCACAAGGGCCCCACATCTTCCTCACAGCTCCCTGAGACAAGCAGAGACACCCTACCTTGTGCAAGGCTTCCACTACCCGCACAACGTCGTAGAAAATCACGACGGTCTCCCGTTCGCTGAGGCGCTTCTCCTTGATGACATAGTGCTGCAGGTTGATGAGGTCGGCTGTCTTGTCGCTGAAGTCATGGGCACAGAGGCAGTCCAGCACCAGACAGATGCGCTTCTTCATCTTACGCACCATCCGGTTGGATTCCAGGTCTTCCACATGCTCACAGGCTCGGTCCTGCAGCCCCAACAAGGATGGAGGAAGGTGTCATTTTAATCTGGGAGAGATGGTGCCAAACTGGCCTTTCCATCCATCAGTGGCTGACCCCCATACTTGCTGCTTGTGTGGCTCCCAAAAGTCAAAACCCCTATCTAGGCCACCACTCCTTGGCACGAGAGGTCACAGCCAACCCCAAACTCTACACCTGCATGATCACAGACATGAAATAAAGAGCCCAGTTATGGTTTTGGGGTTGGAGGAAACTAAGGTATACTCAGAGTTGACCCCCTGAAATTAATGGGCCTAAGTCAGTCATGTCGATTAACTTCAATGGGTATATTCCAAGTATGACTAATACTGATGCTACCCTTCTATTTCAAAAGTCTCCTTTCCAAAAAGGTCTCTTTCCACCAGCACAACAGCAGCATGTGTGGCAGGTCTGGCCCATTCACCTTCTCCAGTCATGTGCTGAATTTACATGGATGGATGTGTGTGTTTGGTGGGGGGCCTGAGAAAAGGCCTTATTGCTGGAAGTGTGCTGGAATTCTTCCCACTAATGTGCCACAGACTCAAAAGGCTGAACTGCTAAATGTTCCACTGAAGAGCTTCCTAAACACTTCAGTTTGGGTCACCCGCAGTCTGTATTATGAACTGCAATTTCTTACCTTCACCATAAAGTCCAAGGGTGGGTTACAACCATGGAAATATATTAAAACCGGGTAAAACAAGTTACAGTCAGAAGAACTTGAAGACTGTAGCAAAGCCTGAACAGAGTGACATTTCATTGTTGCAATATGATTGCAAAACATGAAGTCACTGTGGCACTGGCAGCCTCAGCAAGCAGCTTTAAAATATATTTGATCTGATCTGATTTGATACTTTATTCCACTTTTCAGATAACAGATGCTGAGCTCAAAGCAGCTCATAATAATCATAATAGCATTTGGGGGGGTGGATCATGTTGCAAACACTATAATATCAATAGAGTGACATATAAGTGAAGCAAATATGGGGGCAATCACGGTCACAAGAGTGGCTGGATAGGTGTGCAGTGTCTTTTGAGGAACATAGGCCCCACATCTCTCTAAAGGGCAAAAGCTGATAGAAAATGCAACCGGTTGGGCTGGGCAGGGATACAGAACTCCAGTGTGCCCAGGATGGCTGTGCTTACCTGGAAAAGGCCATGGTGGTGGACCACCCCGTCCTGGTTGTGCAGGAGGGAGAGAAGCGAGTACTCTGTGTGGAGTAGCATCTTGCCCTGGCGCTCCTCCTGGGTTTCCGTGCCTTTGTCATTCCTATCCTCCAAGGTAAGGATCTTTGGGGAAAGCAGGCAAAGAAAAGAAAACACACACACACACATACACATATATTGCATTTCTTTCTTGAAAGTCAACAAGCTCCAACATCAAACTCTGTGCTTGGAATATTTACAGCTGGACCAAGGAAACCCTGGTGCCCGACCTTTGGGGACTTGAGCAGAGCTGCAGCACCCTGGCAGCACTTTGTGCTGTGGTGTCAGCGGTTTAAAGGCTGACCATCACAGAAGGAACAAGGCCACAGACTGCAGCAGCTGCCGATGCTTGCGCAACCTGGCCAGCTCTTCTCCAGAAAAACGGATTCCACCTGCTTGGTGTTTACCTTGAGCTGGTAAAAGTCATCTGTCCCATCCTTCCTTGCCAAACACTGGACGATGCTCGGCACGGGGGAGTTGCCCAAGCGAGGCCCTGAGAAGGCAAAAGGAGAACAATGGACTTTGCTTCTTCTGACTCATCACCTACACTGCTCACTGCTGGCAGTTCAGCTGCCGACCCTGATTATCAGGAAGTTCCCTTTCCCTGCCCGAAATGGATTACATGTCTTTTCGTAAGTCACATAGAGCTTCAGAGCATGGAGGCCCAAATGCTTTGCAGCCCCAAGTGAGGGTTGATGAAGAGAAACAGAAAACAGCGGCCACATAAATGATGTTTGTGTGACTTAGGAAGTATGGGATACAGTTTTTTTTAATTAAAAAAAAAAAGTCCAGGATTATCTTTACTGTCTCCCTTTGTGTTAGTGAAGTGAGTGGAACAGATATGCTTGAAAAATTAGGAAACCGCTCTTTTGGCTCCAATATTTACATCTCAACAGTTGTACAGTGTATTTCTAAAAATAGTAAGAGTTTGAAGTACTGTCATACTAATCCAGTAGTTCAAATAATCTGGTGTCAAAAATTCATGGTAAGAAGTAAAAAAAATGTACAGTATATGATTAAAATTTGCATGGTACTTGTAATAGCTTTTAAGAAGCCTAGGGAGAAATGAATGGCTCAGATATATCATATCAGATATGGCACTTTATATTTGCAAGAGATCCACCTCAAACCATCTGTTGGAAAAGGAGAGAATCATTAAACTATGTAAGTGGTATCTGACCCCAGACAGGCAGTTTAGAATATTTAAAAAGCCACAGATCATGGCCGGTGCTGTACTCAAAATATGGCTAATTTCTACCACAGATGGTGAGCTTGCTTGTAAATTAAATCCTTTTCCAAAACAAGCTAACTACACATTATGCCTAACATGAGGTTACACAATGCCACTAGATCCTCTCTTGAGGTCAGTAGGTTATGTGAATGACACAGTAAAGAAAGAAAATTAGGGGCTAGTGTGAAAACTATTGTCAGCTGCAAAAATGGTGATTACAGCAAAGCAGAGAGTCAATCGTTTTTGTCACATCAACAAAAATGTGATTGCTCGAGATTTGGACTATTGTGGAAATTGCCAAGATTACCGAGAACATTCAGTTAAGAGATGGCAGGCTGGGGGACAGACGGACAAAGTTTTCATCACCACTGAACATTATTTCTAAACTTTATGAGGAACAGATATGGATTAGATATTAACTGCTATAATCCATTCAAACTAATTTAAGTGATTACGGTTAATGACTGCATTTATAATCCTGGACCATACTGCAGCTTATTATATTAGCATTGTAGTGGGTTTAAGTGTATTTGGTGCTATTGACTGGTATTTTAGTATGTACCAACCTGAAATTAATCTGAATAAGGAAATATAAAGACGGAATGGTATCAGGTAACTTAGAACTAAATTACTATTCTTCTTGATTGCACATCTAAACAGAGATAAAACATACCTACATTTTAATAGCATTTTAGGTCTTTTTAAGGAGATACAAGAAAGGACACCTCCTCCAGAATTGGATCACGGCAGAAACGTCACACATGCCAGAAGAGCCTGGCTGTTTTTCACTTTTGGCGCAAGCCCTCCTGCTGCTCAGTGGTTGCCAGCCATCTAGTCTAAACCATCACAGGACCTTTGGAGGCTGCACTTGGGCTATATCACAAGGAAACAAGGTGGCCAGGATTGGGCACTGGACACAGCAAACCACCAAAAGGAGAAAGGTAGTGCTCTAAGTCAGGGCCAGATCTGTGGAGCAGTGCTTGAATGACGACAGCAGAGTCTCTGCTGCTTACCAGGAGGGAGAGTGGGAGGGGCAAGGAGGTCGCCAGGAGCAGAGACAATACAGCATCCCTGCCGGTGTGTTTGCACAGCACTGACCTCCCCACCACCTCACCCCTCCTACTTTCCCAGTAAGCAGCAGTGACTTAGCTGTAAGGTGAGCAACACTGTGTGCTACCGAGGAGCACCAATGTGGTACCAGGGACAGAGCTCTCCTTCAGAACCTTACCTATTCCCCCTTTCCCCAAATTTAGAAAAAAAACAAGCTCCTAAGCCACCTGGCTGTGAAAATAAGCTTGAATATGGAGGGATCTCAGATGCCAGAGGGGTGGGCAGAATATGACCATGTTGCCAGAGAATTAATTGTGCCCACTGCAAGCTCTATGCACATTTGATTAACATGCATTCAGCATGCCAGCTGCAGTGTAAGCACAGGGTAGGTTGCAGCCTGCCTTTGCCAGGTGCAATGCAGCAGATCACAGGCTCTGTTCCTGCTTACCGAGAATGAAAGGTCCTGCCCGCTTGGTGTTGCTGCTGGAAATTCCCGGGCAGAAAGCCTTGGTGGACGTTTCCCCGCCCCCTCTGTCGGACACTCGCTGGTTCATTCTGAGTTCTGGGGAAAGAGAGCAGACACTTATTGTGAGGCCCTGAGGGAGCCCCCTGACCTTCAAGTCTTTCCCTCTGTAATGCTCCTACATATCCTAGGCTACCTTGAGAGAGAGAAAGAGAAAGTAGTATTGCATGATCTCCAAACTCAGGATCCACAAAACATGGCTGACTTCCCATAGTAAGCATAAGGTTGGCATGTCTCTCTAATTTTGTGTTATGTGCCTCCCTGCCAACAGCTATTTTCTGAATGGCACCTACAGTACTCACTCAAAATTCAAAATGGTCCTAAAACAGTGACCCCAGCTCTAGGAGCGAAGGTGATTCCTCGAGCAGTGTTAGAAACTCAGATATATAAGCCAGGCGCCAAATGGCTCCTTAAACCAAGGTTACAGTCGCCAAAATGGAATGTCTAGTTGCCGTTTTGGGGTAAAATGTCTTAATCTTCAAACAATGGACTGACTGCGATTGATTCTCATTTAAACATCTGGCTAGTTCAGATGACAACCTTGAGCTAGGTTAAGAACTTTGAGAACTTAAAGAAGAAAAGCCACTTGATCCAGAGACAGTCCATGTATATACTGGCTTATTCCAACCTTTTTCTTAATAGTGACTGCTCCTGATCAAGCTGCACAGAAAAAGCATTTTGGTTCCAGAAATTCATTCTAATTGTGCCTATAAAAAATAAGTGATAGAATTCTACAGGATGGGGTATTAGTGTGTGAAAACAGTCCAGATACAATGATCCCCAGATGATGGAGATGTCAGGCACCATCCTGGCATCTTCACTTGGTCGCAAGTGCTCCATAGCCGGGTGCAAAGTGCGACTGGTGCCTGGCTAATTCTGAACACTGTCCTCAAGTCAATAAATGCAACTCTCTCCCACTTTATTCCATCCCTGCCAGGGACAGCCCCTGGGAAAAGATGGCTGTGCAACCCTCTTAATCCCTTGTGCCTTTGCCATGCACTCACAGCCACCAGATACTGCCCACCCTGGGCAAAGGTCGCAGATGAAACATACAGGCAAACCAAAGGCTAAGAGAAATTAACTGTGTGCCTGCCCAATGCCCAGGATCAGACACCAGACTGGCCTCAAGTGATCCACAGATAAAACAAGCTCAGCTGCAGCAGCTGTCCCAGCCTTGTTATGTAGGACTGTTGCTTTGTCAATCACAGCCAAAATCCAAGCACATTTACACTTTTCATACAAGAACAGAAAAGCACCAATAATGTGAACACCGCCTCTAAGGTTGAGTCAAATAGGATGAGATGTAAAAAGGCCCAGGTGCTCCCGTTATGAACCGGCAGTGGCCACAAACTGAAGGGGTGGCAGTGAAGCTGCCCACGTTGCAGCTTCTGGAGCCAAGAGCCTAAGGAATGGTGGCTGAATTGAAAGCACATTCACCTTCCTTAAGGGGCATCACCCTACACACATCCAGGAAAATAGGGCTGAGGGTGGCCTTTGGAAACACAAGAGGGATTTCAAATTGGGGACTGTGAGCCTGCTCAGCCCCCGGCGCACAGGACCACCCACCCAAGGCTGAAGCAACTGAGCATAATGTGACACGATGGGGAAATACGAGAGAGGTTCCCACGCTGCTGAAGTTGATAGGCATGCAGAGGAGATGAGTCACTTCTCCCTGGAGACTCCTGGCGGGCACCATTTGTCATCAAACTTGAAATGTCAGCTGTTGCTGCAGCCTTGCCAGGACAGAGAGCCGCCCAGGTGGCAAGGGGCCAAGGGGATCTCCCAGCAGTGGCTGATGTTCTGTCAAAAGAGGAACAAAGGGAGCCCATGGGGGAATCTGGCCGGGATCTCCCTCAGGCTTCTCACCCTGTGAAAGTTCACTGATAAAACAAATACACAGAAGCTATGGTGAAACTGTGGGCTCAGCCAACCCTCCAAGAGCTGCTGTCACCTGCCTTCAGCTGATACTTGGTGGCAGAGATTATGGGAGAAGAAGATTTGTTTGTTCATGCGGAGAATAGGCAGAAGGGCACTGCCTTATTACGGTCAAAGGGGAGAATGTGGGATACCAAAAGAGCCATCCAAAATCTTACAACACATTCCCATTCGCCTCTCTGAGTTTACTTGGTACACAAGAACAGGTCTCCCTAGCCAGCTTTGCCTGCCCATCTCTTCCAGTCTGAGAATCATAAACTCAACAGCAAAGACTCCATAGAGCACCAGTCAATGCAGGAGGGCTGAGAGCAGCAACGTATGTCAGATCACCCAAACGCAGCACAGAATTCAGCAACCTGGAAAATCTCCACTATTTTTTTTAATATAAAGGTATTTTTTGCACTCACAATAATCCATGAGGAAATCTATGCCCAGTAAAGACATTCAAAGTTGGGGTGGGTGGGTAGAGCTAAGCAGTCACTGCTACTGCCTGGGGTTTGAGCTGCAACCATCAGCAGAGACAGAGAAAAATATATAACTGGCAGAATTTAGCCAGGTTGCAGGACACAGCTTTTCTAGGTGCCAAAATGTCGGTATTGTGATGCCAAAAGCACAAGCACGTGGCTGGGAAAGGCAGCAACACTGCAGCCTGATTCAAAGCCAGCTGTTCTCTGCACTTTGGCCCCCAGCTTTGGATCTGGCTGCCTCCGAAGAGGAAAAGTAAACATCTGCTTCATTCCACTCTGCGTGGCCTGCAAGGAGCAGCCAGCCAAGCGCAGCGCCTTCTGTTACTGAACCATAGCCCACCCTCTGGCCGCCTCCTCTTGGCTTCCAAAATCTGCAACACAACTGGCCTGCAAGTTCTGTGCAAGGAAACCCTGTTTCAGAGATGCTGAAGATGCCGCAAAGCCCAGCTATTCAGGATGACGGCAAAGCCACACAAGGAGAACTGTGTTTTTAGCCCTCAAAGCTCTCAGGGTGTCTGTGGTTGCTGTTAGGGAGAAGAGAGGCAGCACGGCAGATAAAGCACTGCAGGGAGAGAGTGAGGAGTTTAACTCTCATCCTCCTTAATCATTGGCTGAGGCTGATGTGGGCAGGAGTACAACAACAACTGGAGGTCCACAGGTTCCCCAACCCTAAACAATTCCTGGAGAAAAAAATGTGCCTAGGAATGAGGAGACAAGCCTGCAGTCCCACCCAATAAATATTGATGCGTCCTTAGAAGGAAATCTTTCCTAATAAAGAGAGGAGCATGGCAAGAGTGGTTCTTGATGACAATGCCATCTGCTGCAGGGGAAGTAAGAAAACGGATATGGGATACAGAAGATGACCTGGTGTGGATGTAAATCTAAACCTAAACCAAAGTTTTGCATTACAAGCAGGCATTGCAGCCAGCCCCTCCCCTCCCCAGCCTTTGGTACAGAGAAGCGGCAGGGAGTTTGGCTTACTTTTTAGGTTAAGCATAGCTTGCTGGGCTGCCTGAACCCCAACAAACTGTGGTTAGCCTTAAGAAACGTCAATGGGGAAAAGGCAGCTTAAAGCCACAGTTTATGAAACTGACTTGTTTCAACTAACTATGGAGTTCAGAAGATTAAAATGGAAGTGGAAATTTCCAATATCCTTCTGGCAGCTGTAGTGGAGACACGGTGCATGCTGGTGAGCGCCCTGACATGCTAGGGATTGTGCATGGGACCGTCAGCATACAGAAGATGCACAAAGTTGAGGCAGGCTTAAAAATAAGTAAGTAAGTAAGTAAGTATTTTTAAAAAGCTCTCTTGGATAGGCAGTGTGCCAATGTGAATCTGCCCTGGACCAGGGAACTCTATCTAACAGCCTTCACCATCCAGATGACCAAAGGTGCGCAAGTTATTTAAAAGACTTAAGCAGGCTTCACCAAGCCCACTCTGGGACTATAAAAGAGGTTGGGGCTAAGGAAAAGTTGTAGCCCAAAACATTTGGAGGGCACCAGGTGGGTGAAGGTTGGTCTTAGGTGACATCATCTGGCTTTTTGGTGCCAGCATTATGTTTATAGGCCTATTTCAGTATTAGGCTTTCTAGGCACCAGAATCAAATACCTATCATCAGGCGTCTGGAGTTTTTTCAGCCCTGAACAAAGGCTGATGCGGCTGGAAAACAGAAGAACCAGGGAATTTGGAAAACTAGAGATTAGAGCCCTACTCAGGCATTGTTTAAGCATGCAGGTTACCGCATGACAAACACAGTAGCTGTGCCCCCCGCTTGTTTTCATCACTTTCCACAAATTGAAGGGAGGCTGTCTGTAGACAGAAGCCTCTTGTCTCTGTACATTTTGGAACACTAGTGGAAAGCATTGAAAATGGGGGTGGGGAGAGCTAGCACCCTCCCCACAAGCTTCTCACGTGCTAAGTTACACGCTTAAATAGCATGTGAACAGGGCTCAAGATGCACCATACCAATCAATTCATATAACCAGCCCAGTAGGAGCCAGAAGCAGAGGGGAGGGGAGGGGTAAGAGGAAAGGCAGGGCACAAATGAGACTGGCCTTACCCAAGTACCGCCGGTGCTATACATCACACAACTACCTCTCCGGCGCTTAGGAAGCCATATCTCTTCTCTGATGCTCCAGAAATGGAGGGGACAGACTGGCAGGACCAGAAGGTCTGATTTGGATTTAAAGTTCTATCCAAGGTGGCCTTGCGGAATGATACAATTGTAGAGTTGGGAGAAACTCTAAGGGTCATCTAGGTCCAGCCCCCTGCAATGAAGGAATCACAGCTAAAGAATCCCTGACAGATGGCCACACAACCTCTGCTTAAAAAACTCCACCAACTTCTGTGGGAGTCTGTTCCACAGCTCTTACCATCAGAAAGTTCTTCCTGATGTTAATCGGAATCTCCTTTCTTGTAATTTGAATCTATTGATGCGGGTCATAACCTCTGGAGCAGCAGGAAACAAGTTTGCTCCTTTTTCCACGTGACAGCCCTTCAGATATTTGGAGATGGATATCTCCATGTATGATAGGAAATCTCTGGTGAGACCTTTTCTTTACCAGCTGGGCAGGTGGAGTAGCTTGTAGATTTTGGAGTATTCATGTTCACAAGATAGGACCTGGAAGATTTCAGAGCTGTGATGAAACTCTCTCGTTGTCACCAGTCAGGACAGACCGGTGAAGGCCTGGTTTGCTTACCACTGTGCACAGACATCTTACGAAGGACGAGTATCAAGAGGTGGAAATGACAGGGAAGAAGATTTCAGCTAAACATCAGGAGGAACGCCCTAGTGGTAATATTACCTTGGGCAGAGATGGGCACCTCTGTTGGAGTTGTTTAAGCAGAGACTGCCAGTTGTCTGCCAGGGATGCTGTATCTGCTGTAAAGGGGATTGGGCTAAGTGACCCCCTAGTCCCCTTCTAATCCTCTGCAAGAGAACCCTGAGCAGCATGCAAGAGAATATCCTCTCCACTACACACACAAACACACATACAGGTATATCTTGTTCAGTTCTCTACATCTCATCAGTCTAACCTGCACCTACAGTTGGGAGATACTCTGGTACCGAAAAGTATCACAACATTCCAATGCCTCTGCACTGCAGTGATACTTTCCTAGCCCTGATAATCACTGCATGCTGCCACAAAGCACCCAAAACACAGAACAGGATTATCTACAACTGTGTATATGTTTCTTAGCAAAGTCCTGCTCACTGTTTGGTAGCTCTCACCGCCAACGGAACTCCAGCTTGATGCCCCATTATGCCACTGAAAATACACCCCCAAAGTGTTCTTTGGTGACTAATAAAAAATGGGATTAGCAAACAGGTCTCACTTTCAGCCTTTTGTCACACTGACACTTCCAACCATAACTCAGCTGCAGGAACGTGCAGTTTTTGCATGTTGCGCTGCTACATAACTGATGACCCCAAAGGTGATAAAGATATTTAAACAAGAGGTTTGATCCATGATGACACAAATATTAAACACCTTACTGGTGAACCCATGCAAGGAAAGTGCCAACCTCTGGTTGCCCCTGTCTGACCAATCCAATACAGTGGTACCTCAGGTTACATATGCTTCAGGTTACATACGCTTCAGGTTACAGACTCCGCTAACCCAGAAATAGTACCTCGGGTTAAGAACTTCGCATCAGGATGAGAACAGAAATCGTGCTCCGGCGGCACGGCGGCAGCAGGAGGCCCCATTAGCTAAAGTGGTGCTTCAGGTTAAGAACAGTTTCAGGTTAAGAACGGACCTCCGGAACAAATTAAGTACTTAACCCAAGGTACCACTGTATGTACTTTGATCAGATCCCATTCACTGATAGGCTAAAGGCTGTGATAAGAAGGTTCGTCAGAGGGCAAAGACTTTTCCATCAGTCAAAATCTCAAAGGAGCTCACCTTGGTAAAAGCAAAAAAGTTGTATGTATGCTGACATACTCATTACACAGAGACACAAAAAAACTCAGTGCAAAGTTCTTCTACCCAGTAGTAATGCTGGGTAGGAAATTTCCCACCGTTACTTTTTTCAAAGGAAAACGTTCCACTTTTAGAAATGCACTACTTCATAAGATTGGTAATATAATGAACAGACACAACTCAGATTGGGCAACTGGGACAGATACAATACCACTCAAACCTAAAATCGATGTTTTAATTGTATGATATTTAGGTGACTATACTTAGGAAGCACATATATTTATGCACAGAGCTCTTCAGACATTCTAAAATGAGTACGTTAACAGTCTTCGGATCCTTCATTTTCCCTTCATGCTGCAATCCTAAATACACTTTATAAAAAGTAAATTCCACTGTGTTTAATGGGACTCACTTCTGCAGAAGCAGACATAGAAATGTGATGTTAAAATCCAATGATTTGTGGGAAGCATATGCTACTGAGCTGTCAGGTCTTAATGTATTTCTGCGTATGTCAATAAAAATGTTTTCCAAGTAAAGTTTTGATTTTTTTTCAACTATAACACTTAAGCCACGCTAACAGCACTTTATTGGTCTCCCACAACCCAAAATTTCAGCTCACTGACTTGGGCTACAGGGGCTGGGGAGGAAACTTACAGCTCAAAAAAGGAACATGATAGGTTAATAAACAAGACAAACAAACAAAACTGTAAGACTGTAATTCTAACCCCACTTACCTGGGAGTAAGCCCCAGCAGACATTGTTAGAATTGCACTATTAGGCAAACAAACATGCTAAATCAGATTTCCAAAGATTTAGAGCAGCTGGGGGGGGGGGGAGAGAAATAAATTTAAATGTTTCCAGAAAAATTGCAGAATGTCTCCCCAAAATAATATTTACACATGCCCCAGTTGTTGCTCAAAGGCAAAAAACTCTGTTTTCCTTGGGACATCAGCAACCCAGTGGGCTGTTCGCTGGTCAAACTTATTTTAGCGCCGTTCACTGGCCGAAGGTATGCCAGCTATGTGGGTTTGGCAAGTTTAGCTCAGAGCAAGCCACAAGGCTTGCCCACATTTGGTCATACGGATAAGGAGATTGGGGCGAGTGGAGGAAGGCCATGGCACTCCAGAATAGTAAGCCAGCCTAGTCATGATACCTAACAGCTGCGCTCTTCCAAAACCTTCATCCTCAGAGCCAGAAGCCAGTTTTAAATGGGCACTTCAACCAATGGAGTTTGAAAGGGAGGGAAGGCCTTCTTCTCAGAAGTCCCTTGCTGTTTTATTTATAACTTGCCTTTTGATTGAATTAGTCTCAAGACAACTTACAAAAGATTCCAACAGCAAGCACAAACCCCCAAACAGCCCTCGGCCTCTTGGTTGAAAGATGGGGCAGGACACTTTTCCTTTCTGCTCTGTAGCCTCATGTGGAACTTTAGAGGAGAAACTCACTGAAAAACCAATCCTCAGGGGAAAACATGGTCTCTGTGGGCCAGATGACAGGCAGAAAGCAATATGGAAGACACAGGCATATGGAGCAAACAGACCTTTCCAAGCACGAGTGAGGGGACACAACTGCTTGTCCATGACAAAGGACTCCAGGCCCGGAAAAAAGGGGTCTGAAGTTATGTGAAGTTAAATTGTTCTGGGCCCGACTAGTGAACCTAGATTTCCTTAGCTTTGCCACTTGGGGATTCCTGAAGAACAGATACATCAAGGGTTCCCAAACTGTGGTCTGTGGACCACCAGCAATCTCTGAGCCCTGTCAGGTGGTTTGAGGTGTGGCTGTGGATTTGTGGCTGAAGACAGGACAGCGGCAATCCATCACATTCAACATTCATACTTGTTTTTAATCGTATTTTTATTGCTTCTCTTATTTCTTACATTGTATTTTACCATTTGATTTCAAATTGCAATACAATAAAACCCAAATATGAGAAGTAAAAGAAGCAATGCAAAAAAACCAAAAACCCAGTGTCTAGCACAGCATATTACAATTACTACAACAGGCAGAAACATCACGTGGTTCGCCAAGACCTGCATCACTTTTCAAGTGGTCTGTGGGGTGGGGGTTGGGAACCACAGGGGGCAATGATTAATCTGGTTGCTGCCTCTTCTAGAGCAAATTAATAGCAGCCCAAACAGAACCACTGACCTGTGCACACCCGTCCTGGGTCAGGCACCTGTTTCAAGAAGGACAGGTTTCTGTGCTATCAGTCACCAAAGTTTCTCATTGAGGAGCTATAATTATTGTTATTATTAAGAAAATGTATTTGTCCCTTTTTCTTGCTACAAGAAACTCAAAGTGATTTACAAAAAAAAAATCAAAAAAAATCACATGCATACAATTAAAACAAAGGAGAAAATATATTAACACACATAGCATTAAGAAGCCATAGATCATTAACAGAGGAATGTTTTTGGGTGGCACCTAAAGATATGTAACCATGGTGCCAGGTGAGTCTCCCTGGGGAGAGCATTCCACAAACGGAGGCAACACAGAAAAGGCCTGTTCTTGTGTTGCCACCCTCTGGACCCCGTGTGGAGCTAATGCACTGAAATAGAAGTACATGAGCATCTTGCTCAGTATCTGCACCTGCAATCTGCACACGCTATGCTTGCCATGTCCGTAGAGGAGATCCATAGCTCAAGGCCAGAGTCCATGCTTTGCATGTAAGTCCCAGGTCCAATCTTTAGTTAGCACCTTCGATTAGAAGGCTAGGAAGGGAAGAAACCATAGAGCTGCATGCTAGACGGAACAGCAAACATGATGCCCTCCAGATATTGTGGGACTATAACCCCCATCATACTGGACTACTGGCTGTGCTAGCTGGGGCTAATACGAGCTTTAGCCCAACACCATCTGGAGGTCTCCACATTCCTTGTCATCAGATTAGACAGTAGTAGGCTTGATGAGCCAGCATGAAGCAGCTTTATCTATCCAAACAGATCAGAAGACCAACAGCCATTGGCAAAAACACTGCATTTATTTGGAAAATGATACCCATGACAAATGTGAACCAGCCTTGGAAAAATATCTTGCTATATGGATTTAGAGATCAAACCCAAATATATGTGCATGTGTGCAAACGCACACTTTGACTCTGTTACTTTGGGCTCTGATCAATTGTATTTTACAGAGGCTTGCCTGGTGCCATCACTACATATCTTCCTGTGCCAGGCAAAAGCATTCCTCTTTATCCAGGCCTTTGGCTTCTAATTATCTGTGGCATTTTTGCATGGATGGAGCGTTTTAATGTAGAGATTTTTCTTTACTGGTTTTAACTTGTGTTTTTGTTTAAAATGTTCTAAGTCGTTTTGAGTTGCTGCGGCAAAAAAGAAAGCAACTAATAAATTTAATAAACAATAATGCTTCTACAGTACTGCTTTTTACTTCTGGGGTGTAGCGCTGCAATCAGGACTAGAATCATGTTTAAAAGGAAGACCAGAATGCTCAGAATGCCAAATAGACCCCACAAAAGCACATCAGGTTAAGTGCTATGCAGCCTGCCCGTGAACTAAGACATAACCAGAAGCAAACCACAGGATGTATTTACATGGCCTGCCTTTCATTTTCTCACTCTCATTCATGCACATGAAGACACAGGAAGCCAAGTTTTTCATCTCTGACAGCTAAGATTTTAACTCTATACCTGACTAACTCCTCCGTAAAGACCTCAAGCACAAGGTATCAGATGTATTCATTATGCCCATAAATCAGCTCCTCTCACTGCCCACCCCCCAGCTTCCCATCAGAATTACAGAGCATATCCAAGTGTCATAGAAGCTATCAGAAATCAAAGAGAGGTTTTAAAAAAAAAAAGTTGTCAAGATTTACAAGCTACACAGATTCTGTGTAAGGTGACTGGAATGCCAATGATTTCTATGGATCACCATCATGGGTATCATTACCTGACTTTCCTACGAGGCTATGGCTCGGGCTGCAAGCCAGCAGACACAACCGTGCTACTACCTGCAGAGAGGACTGTAAAATGAAGCCTAGTCTCTCAACCTTTCTCTCTACCTGAAGTGGTGGACTGCACCTTACTATAAAACCACACCTCAAGTTGCAGCATTATCAACGTGACAAGAAAAAGGAAGAACTGAGCAGAGAAGCAGCCCAGAGAAACTTCAGGTTGAAAAGGGAAGAGTGTGGTCCACACATGAAAGGAGAGCAAGCTCTGAACTCTGGGCCTGTTTTATAAGGCAAGCTTGCCAAAATCACACAATGGAATCAGAGGCAAACTATGCCTACAGAGGAGAAAGGCTTACTCTATTTGTGCTCAATATGTATATTTGCAATTAAAAACAAATGTTACGAGAGAGAGAGAGAGAGAAGGGCTTAGATCAGAAGACCTAAGAAGACTCATAGTTCTCCAGATGCTGAAGACCTGTAAAACAGCCACACAGTGACCCTCTCAGGCTGGAAAGCTTTTTCAATTCCTAGGTCAAAGATATTTCAAGTTCTGGGACACGAGCATCAAATTGCCATATATATTTTTTTCCAAATCTTATTCGAGAAGCTGCTAGTAGAATTTCTATAGCTTTCTCTCATTAAGGAAACTTGCTTCCATAGACTTCTGGAGACAGAGCAGAGGCGAGGGTTACACCCCTGCTCCAGCTACTGGTGACACCAGAGTCAGAGGACTGGGAAACCTTTGTCCCACCTCAACATTTTAGCCAGCAGCAGACCTGTGAACTTCCCCCACAGCTGTCAAGTGGAGCCACAGCAGAAAGCAAGGAGCTGTTAAGGTGCAAAAGTGCTGCACAATCTTTTTCTGAATCATGGAACACAAGTGCCATCATTCTCATTTGAGAGGAGCAAGTATAGTGGCTAAGAGCCAGAAATGTGGAAGCTCCCTCTCCCGCCAATATCTCATCTCCTACAATGGCCACTGCCAATCTTTTTTTCCTTCAGACTCAGCTCCCACATTAGCCACATTGAGATAGTAGCTGTAGCTAATCATGTTTAGATAATGGTGGTGAAGTGCTTCAAAAAATCTACAGTGCTGTAGCCTTGCTGAGCAGAGATAATGGTTTGCCATGGCAGAGCTGGGCATAGCCAGGTTCCCACCACATCCAACGATAGTGGTCCCTGAACACTGACCACATTGAGTGGGGCTGATGGGAGCTGTAATCCAATAGCATCCAGAGGGTACCAAAAAGACTATCTTGATCTGTAGGACCACACTTTCTCAGAGGGCAAAAAGCAAATTCTTGTGATATAACTTTTATACATAAAATGAGTTGCCTGTTACTTGCAGGGTGAAGGCTGAGCCCTCATATTTCTCTTAGCTCTGCAAAGGAGCCCAGCTGTCATTCCCGAACAAGGACTGTTTTCATCCCCACTTCATCCCCCTGAAAAAGTGCTCTTCGGACTGCATGTGGGCTCCCAGCCTCTCTTAGGCCAAGAGTCCTTCCTCTCACCTTCCTTCCTGCCCAGCACTCAGCACCACCACGGGGAAACCCTCATGGGTTGCAGCCTTTCCTTGATCTATCATCCCCATCCAGAGAAATGAGCAAAGCCAAGCACAGATCTCTTGAGCAGGAAGGGATGGCAGTGTGGGGAATTATGGCATGCTGCAGCAGCCCTGAAAGGGGCCAGGTAGAGGAGCTGAAGCAGCGGACATGCCAGAAACAAAGCAACTGGCCGGTGGGGGGTACTGGTGGGTGGGGGGAAGATGGAAGTAGGCGTGGTCACGGAAGGGAGAGGAAGGAGTCTCAGCTGGGGGCAGGCAGGGAAAGAGAGAAAAGAGGGATTGAACGTCGCCCCCCCCCATATTTTTCTGATTGCAACAGCATTAAATGGACATGAGACCAAAGTGGCCAGCAGGGTGTGTATGAAGAGAAATGCAAGAGAACAAGATGAAAGGATCAAAGTAGAGGGGCAACATCAGTGAGCAGGGGGCCGATTTCTAAAAGGAAGGAGTAGGCCAGACTGCAGACGAGGGCAAACCTGAGGGTGAGGGAGAGAAGCAGCCATGGCCAAAGCAACTGTGTCCTCGCTCTGCAAGGAACAGAGGGGGAGTCTTCAACCGTTTCTTTTCGGGGGGGGGGGGACTCTATGCCGGTGATGAACGACTGATTTCCGCAACGGAGGTGTTCAGGGGGTTGTCTCCACAAGCCCGTATCCCAGTGAGAGGCCGGAGATGGGGAAGGAGGGGCGTGGTGGCTTACCGACCAAAAAGCTCGCAAAGGGGCACGTTGGTCCCCGCTCCCCGATTCCCCGTCCCTCTCCCCACCGCCCCGAACATCGTATGCCAGGTCTACTAACCCCCTCGGCTCCGCGCCGCCTGCAGTCCTACGTGCCCTAAGCAGCCTTCCTGGGAAGGCCACCCAGTGGAGCTCAGCGAGGCTTACTCCCAAGAAAGCCTGCGCACCAACTGCAACGGGAGTCCAAGGAGTACGTAGAGGGCTGGGCTGCCGCGGCTGGCCCTTGAACGAGGGGCGGGAAGGAGGACGGGGAGCGCTCCTGTACAGGACGTTGATTTGCCAGCCAGACCCTCTGCCAGGAGACTCCATTCCATTCCCTGCTGGGCTGCCGCGGCTGAGCCATTCATAAGACAGAACGCTGCTGCCGTACGGGAGGAGGAGGAGAGGCGGTGGGAAGGGCTCCTGCTCAGGACACCAGCTGGTCAGCCGGCCAGCCATGCCCTCTGCCAGGAGACTCCATTCCAGCCCTACCTACCCCTCTTCACCCCCGCCCCGGGAAAGAGAAGGTTTCGCGCGCACCGCGGCGGGGGTAGGTGGGCGTCAGGGGGCGGCCTGCCCCTTCTTACCCATCGCCGCCGCCTCCGGGCCCGGCCCCGCCGGCCACCGTCCGCTTCTCGCCTGTCCCAGCCAACTCGGGCTCTTCGACTCCGCCACCTGACAACGGACGTGACGCGACGCTGCCGTCATCGCCAATGCCGGCCACGCCCCCGCAGGCAGCCGCCGCCGCCATCTTCTTCCCCGGAGCCTCGGCCTGTGTCAAAGATGGCGCCGACAGAAGCAAGGCCGGGCGGAAGAGAGGAAGGGGGGAAGTAGGCGGGGAGTGCCGGTGCAGGATTGGTGAACTCGAGAGTCCCCCACCCCTCCCTCCGGTAAGAAATCAGCCCTGCCCCTCACCTACTCGAGGGCGAATGAAAGGCCTGCGCAGGGCATGATTGGCAGACTCCGACTGACGTCACTTTAAATACCATAGGTTCACTATATTAATCTTTCTGTATTATTTCTCTTTCGGAGCAACGTGTTTAAATATAATTAATTATTAAAAAAGCAAAACACACGAGAAACCTGGCCTGGCCGTTTCCACCAGATCTGCTCCTGGAACTGGCCTAGGGGGAAAGGGGGCTTTATTATTTATTTATTTATTTATTTTTATAACTCCTATCTTTCCCACCTTTTCCTCTAAGACGCTCAAGGCGGCGCACATGTTTCATGGCCGAGTAGGGATTTGAACCCTGGTCTCCCTGGTCCTAGTCTGGTACAACACCCTGGTAGATCAGGGTTCAAATCCCCACTTAGCCATGAAGCTCATTGTGTGACCTTGAGCAAAGCACTACCCCTAGGCCTCACCTACCTCACAGGATTGTTGTGGGGATTAAATGAGGAGAACCATGTCTGTACACCACCTTCAGCTCCTTGGAGAAAAAAAGGTGGGCTCTAAATGCAGTAAAAAATATATATTGATGGGGCCTTCGCTTGCTCCTTATTTGACAGCCTCAAATTGCCATATCTTTTTTTTAAAAAAAGTGAAAAGCAAGTAACCCAGAGCAACCCTCAGCCACTTTTGTAACTGGTGAGTCATGCTTGGGTGGTGGGGGCAGGAGGGAGAAGGACAAACAGCAGCTCGCTTTCTCTCTCTCAGTTGCGCACTTGCATCATGCAGGCATGACTCACTCTATGGGAGCCTCAACTGCCACTTGTGCAAACAACAGACTCCAGGGAGGTAACAAAAGAGTGTTCGCCTTCCTTAGTACTGCCGGCATTAGGGGAAGTGGGGCTGCAGTCACCAAACCTGACTTGAGTCCTCTGCCAGATTTGGAGACTCTTTCTGCAAACAGCTCTGTGTTCTGGGTATGCAACTCCCTCCTGCTATCATTGGCAGGGGTGCTCAGCACCGTTTGGAAATAAAGCCAGGCTCTTCCCACGCTTTGTCTAGTGCCAACTGAAGTGGATAGAAATCACTTTTTCTAGAAGTTGTTGCAGCAGCCAAGAATCCTGAATTATGAGCCAGTGGTGGTGTGCTGGTTAGCGTTGGACTAGGACCTGAGAAACCAGGGTTCGAATCCCCACTCGGCCATGAAGCTCACTGGGTGACCTTGGGCCAGTCACTTACTCTCAACCTAACCTACTTCACAGGGTTGTTGTGGGGATTAAATGAGGAAAGGGAGAATCATGTAAGCACCTTGAGTTCCATAGAGGAAAAGGTGCAATATAAATGCAATAAATAAAAACAAATGCCACGTGTGCAGTCTGACTAGAGACCCTCAAAATACATGTAGCTGCAAGCAAAACGTCAGGAGACGGTTCAGCATGTCCAAACTAGTTAGCACAGCAAATATGGAGCACACAGAATTCCATGGCCCTCATTGGCTCCTTAATGTGATGTGGCCAAGATGCCACTTTTTTGTTACCAGACAGACACACCAACATGTGCCAGGCAGCCTCTGCACAGCCTTTGATTCACTTTGTAAACTTGCTCCATCAGGTGAAGGGGATGTGTTAACATTTCCTGCAGTACAGATGAGTCACGTGCATGCGATGGGGTGAAAGGGTAGCTGCGGGGCCCACATTGCTGCAATATTCAGCACACATTAAGATGGATCCACACAAACATTAACTCTTTTGGGCTGTAGATTTTGGGAAGAAAAGCAAAGCTGGTGCAGACAGGCAGGCTGTCTGCTGTGTCCTCAGTGGCCCTGGAAAGCTCTGAATCATCAGCCCAAAGGCATTTAAGTCCAGCTCCTCTCCTGTGCCAGTTACCCCTCAACATGTGCTAGGCAAGTCAGCAGACTTGGCAGGAAGAGCAGCTTTCAATGCCTGCTGGAGGAAGGAGGGGATGCTGCTCTTTCATCTGCCTAGAGAGTAGCTGAACTAAATGGTGCGAAATAACAGGTGGCCTGTTGCCAACACAGTACCTATTTTGTGGGGAAGATGGTGGAGAAGCTGCAGAACTGCAAGTGTTCCTGGATGACACTGGTTATCAGGATCCAGGTTTAGGCCTGGTTTTGGGAATGAATTGGCCTTGGTCACCTTGATGGATGACCTGTAATGGGAGAAATATGGCGATACATGGCCCTGTTACAATTGCTTGGTATCTCGGCAGCTTTAGATAGCATTGGCCAGGGTAACCTACTGGATCACCTGAGTGGGATGGGTGATGAAGACACTATATTAGTGGTTCCACTCATACTTGCTTGGTTGTGTCCAGACAATAACACTGGGTGGGGGACTGCTCTTTGACATTGTTCTGGCATTGATATACAAAGCCCTGAGCAACTTGGGCCTAAAATACCTGAAGCCTGAACTGTTATATTCCAGCTTGACCACTGAAATCCAGAGGGGTGATGTTAGTTGTCCCCCCATGTTACAGACCGACATTTAGAAACCAGACATTTAGCACCACTGGTCACATAGCCTCTGATGTACCTGCTTACTCTGCGCCTTGGAACCTGACTTCTGTACCAAACTGACTTATGCATTAAAACCTTTGGAAGAAATGGTGTTGAGAGTTCTAGTTCCTCATCCAGCTGAGAGCCAGGACAATCCCCAAGCATTGCTTATCCATGGTGCAAACCATTCTCTCATAACAAAAGAGCCATAGTTAGCAGCAACCTGCCTCATAGTACCTGCTGCCCACTTTGGAGTGGGGCTGCCAGTTCAACTAATGCCCATGGGTGAAACGCAAGGGGGAACTGAGCAACAGTTGTGGGATGTTAGTAAGGCTGCAGCTGCCCTCCTCCATTATTTTCAGAAGAGAAGGCATTACAGTCTACACATGTGCTTCTGGCACAAAGAGACGATGCCCAGCAGCTGTATTATGAACTGAATGCACTCTGTCCGATGCAACTTCAGATCAAACAAGAGGATGAGTGAGAGAAGGGTTCAATGACAGGTTTATGCTTTGCAATCCTTGGGCATCTCCTACTGGAAAGATGTAATGCAGCAGAACTAAGAAAGCTCTCTCTGCCCATGGCTTTGGAAAACCACCACCATTAGTCAGCACTGGGCTAAATCAGACTCCTACAACTCCCATTAGTCCCACCCAGCATGAGAAATAGCCAGGGATAATGTGAAGTGTAGTCCAGCCTCTGGAGGGCACCAGGGTGGAAAAGGCTAGGCAAGATTGACCAAGTTCCTGATACTACTACTACATGTTCATATTGCATTATTGAGGTTCTAGAGCCAGCGTGGTGTAGCGATTAGTGTTGGGCTAAGACCTGGGGGACCAGGGTGCAAATCCTCACTCAGCCATGACATTGGGCCAGTCACTTATTTAGCCTAACCTACCTCACAGGGCTGTTGTGGGGATGAAATGGGGGAAGAGAACTGTATATGCCACCTTGTGCTCCTTGGAGGAAAGGTGAGATATAAATGTAAGTAAGTAAGTAAATAAAGAGTCAAACTCTGTACAAGGACTGAGTGCTCTCTCATTTGTAATTTAACCTTGGCTCAGCTGCTACTTTTCTCAGTCTGCAAATCCTTGTTAAAGAGGGATGATATGAGGATTTTCAATGTACAAAAAGCTGCTGGTTGGTTTGGTGAGAAACAGTTTGTAAAAGGAAAGTGGATCTTAAAATTTTGTAAACAGTTTATTTGGAAAAAAGAGGCTGAAGAAGGTGAAGAGAGTATTAGTCCACAGAAAGCAAGAATCCTATTTGTTGCTAAGGTCAGTTGTATTCAAACTTATTCTTACAAAGAGACCTAATGACCACTTCCCCTTTCTATAGAAAAGTTTGGTGAACTCTTGAACTCAGGAAGTGCAGCCAGGTAAGGCATCTAGAAAAATCAGGGAGGGTTGTCTACAGGTCACTTCTAATCTCAGTCCAGAAAAATGTGCTTCTTCATCAGGAGTACAAGCAATGTCAGGCTGAGTTTGGGGCACATGGCAAATCCAGGGCACTAGCCTGCTCATTTGTAGCTCTGCTTAAGGAACTCCTTCCTGCCCCTGTCTCGGCCACCAAAAGTGCGAACTCTGTGAATGAGCTGCAGCTGTTTCTCAATGGTGGTCGTGATGTCCATGTCATCAGGGATGTGGACGTAGCGGACGTTCCTTCCCGTCACAAACAGATCATCCAGCCAGGTGGAATGGCCACACCGGTCAGTGAACGTCGCCTCGGCCAGGCGGATGTTCATGAAGGCGTCAACATTGGTGATGCGGCCCACAGCCATGCTCTCGTCCCGCAGCTCCACAGTGGTGACGTGTCCGTGGAGGCCCTGCAGCAGGATGACAAGGCTGTTCTCCGAGATGGTGCGCTCCTTCACAGAGTGGCTGATCTCCATGGCTTGGCACCACCTGATGGCGGGAACAGAAATAGGAGGAAGACGAGAGTTCAGTGAGTTAGCCCCATTAATCGCTTTCTCGTGCCATATAGAGAACGGGTCTGTGCTTGTTCTGTGCCAACCACGGAATTCAGCTCATGATTTTAAAATCACAGTTCTTGTTCGTTTTGCTTGGAGAGTACACAGGTGAAACCTCAAAACCCAAACTGAGGCTCTGCAGGATCTCTAAAGCCACCTAAGCAAGCTTCAGTACAGAACTCTTTGTGCTGGTTGGCCTCTCCTTAGCAGCCAGGCAGTAAGAATCAAAAGGGGCTGAGCCCATGATCTATCATCTGCCCCAAAGAATCTGCACATGCCCAGAGGCCAACTGCTCAGCAACCAAACATTCTCACTTGGAAGGAGCAGCAGTAAAATAGCGAGAAAGCTGAATTTCTTCTCTTTCCCATAATGTATCTATGCATACTGTGTGTGCTTCAGTGTAAGTTGCTGCAAGACCTGCTTGGTGACAAGCAACTAGTAAGTTTAGTGCATAAATGAAAATAAATAAATGGCAGACCTGGTGCCAGGGCCACTGAGAGAGGAACACTGTTATACTGGGTCCAGACTCTTGAGCTTTCTTTCTTTCTGTGTGTTTTTTAAATTGAATTTAACACTTGTAGAAGGAAAGTGTGGAAGCAAAATGTGTGGGCATTTGAAGCAATTGCTATTTGAAGCAATTGCTTTGTGATATGAGCCTATTCCTGCCTATCTGTTTTTAGCCAATGAGTACAGTCACAGCTGTGACCCATAAGTGCTGTGGGCAAATACATACACAGAGAAGAACCCTCAAACCTGGAAGCCTTTAAGAAAAAGGATTGGGCAAATCCACAGAGAAGGCTGTTGATGCTTCTTAGCCATGATGGAGGCCGGGCTCTGCCTCCACAGCCTGAGGCAGAAGTGTTTCTTAACGCCAGCTGCTGGAAACAGCAGGAGGGTGTGTGTGCTGCTATTGCCCTCCGGTCCTGCTCTGGGGTTTTCCCATTGCGGGTATCTGTTTGGCCACTGTGAGATGAGGACACTGGGCTAGATTGGCCCCCTGTGTCTCAATCTAGCTGCAGCCGGGCTGTTCTGATGTTCTTCTGTAAAACAACTTCCAAGTGGCCCAAAGAGTCCCTCTCACCAAGGAGGTGGCCTTCTAGTGGGGAAGAGGGCCCGATCCACTCATGGGGCCTGCTGGGCCGCAGGAAATCATGTGGGCGCAGAAAGCAAGCAGGCAGACAGGCCGGAGAAGCAGACCCAGGGGCTCATGAGAGGGGTTCCCAGCATGAGCTGCCCTGGCATGGGTGTAGCCAAGGGGGGCAGCTGCCCCCTTCAATAAAAATAAATAAAAATACATGGAGGGGGCAGAACCTCTGTTAGCTAACAAATGGCCATGCCCCCTAGGCCTGCTCCTGGCTGCCTAACTCTCGCTCTGTCTCGCTCTCCGGCCTTTCGCTCCGCGAGCAAAGCCAGGAAAGGGGAAAGGGCAGCTCGTGGCGGCTCCTGATCCGAATCGGGTCCCGTGCAGAGGAGGCGCGCACAGCGGAGTCTCCGCTCGCCTACCTGTCTTGGATCTCCCGCCTCCTCGCCCAGCGCAAAAGCAGAAGCACGCGTGCGCAATCGACAGGCGGCTTAATCAAAGAGACTTCGCTCCTCATTCGCCGGTTCTAAGCCCAACCGGAAGAAAGTGGAGCAGCCCCATTGGCCATAATGGAAGAAAAGGCGGGGCTCGAGGTGGGGGAGGAGAAAGCTGGCTTGTGATTGCTCCGTTGCTTCCGCCCGTAGCTGGTGCGCTCGGAGATTAGCTTTCCGCCCTGAAAGTGACGCGAAGAAGCCACCTAAAAGCTGGAGAGGTTGTAGTTTCGGCGGTGTTGATGGGCTCCTTTGCTCCAGCTCAAAGCCGCCTTAACTCTCAACTAAGCATGCTCAGAATTGCCGGTATCCGGGTGTGATTTTACGAATCACAGTAACATCAGGCTGCAATCAAGTATTTTGGAGCAACCCTTGTTGAGCAGGGTAATGCTTCCTGCCCGGTAAACATGGATAAGATTTAGTTAACTACACATGATGAGCTGTGTGTTTTTATACACACATTAATGGTAGTAATGGATTTATAGTTAGCTTATAATAAAAGTAGAACTATCTTCTCTATTAAGCAGCTTTTGTTCTGTGCAAATAGGCTAGATCTAGTTCACCAGAAGCGGTTTAGTCATGCTGGCCACATGACCCGGAAGCTGTCTGCGGACAAATGCCGGCTCCCTTAGCCTATAGAGCGAGATGAGCACGCAACCCCCGAGTTGTTCGCGACTGGACCTAACGGTCAGAGGTACCTTTACCTTAGTTAGAGTCTATTTGCGAGTCCTATGCAAACTCACTTAATATGAATGCATCAGCTCCACAGAGACTCATCAACCATTTTACCAAACCTGCAGGCAGTTCCATCAGCCTGATGACGAACATCCTGGGTCAGGACGTCACCAGCACTCCATGCATTAGCACTGGTGATCACACGCTTGAGATGGTAGACTGTTTTGTCTATCTGGATTTCACCATAACCAGCAGCCTCCATGAATGCTGAGCTGGACAAGCATACTGGCAATACAGCTACGACAATGTGATGCTAACATCCCATACCAAGATAAAGGTCTACCATACTTGTGTGTTGAGCAAGCTGCTTATGGAAGTGAGTCATGGGCAACTTAGAATTGTCAGGAGCGACTTCTCAACGCCTTTCATGTGTGCTGTGTCAGGAAGCTTTTGGGTATCATCAGGGACGTGCTCTATGGAGAAATGGCTTCAGGCAACAGGCCTGTTGGCCAACCAACTCTGTGTTACAAAAGATGTCTGCAAACGTAACATGAAGGCTGGCAGCATTAACCCCACCGTGTGGGAATACCTTGCAGAACACTGGAGTGCCTGGAGATAGACAGTCAGGTTGTGTATCCATAGCAGTGACCAGAGGAGGAAAGACCACTGGGAAGAGTGTAGAGAGAAGAAACGCCATAGTGTATCTGCACCAGCACCACCAGATGCCTTCATCTGACCCAGCTGCAACAAAATGACTCTCTTGTATTAGTCTCAACAGCCACGGCAGGTGCTGCAACCATCCAATAGATTAGCTTGACCCCCAAAGGCACACTCCTTCACTGTCTCCTGAGACAGATGGATGCCAACAACAATACTTAAACCATGCTGTCCCACAATCAGAATTGTTAAGGTTTTTGCTAATAGGGCTGCTGTGCCTTTAACAGCTGCAAAAGCAGCAGAAATTCATCAGTGGGAGAGGCATCTAGGGCAGCCTTCACAAACCTGGTGCCCTTCAGATGCTGTTGGACTACAACTTCCACCAGCCCCAGTTGTAGTATGGCAACACCTGGAGGCCACCAGGTTGATATAGGGAAATAAACAGTGGCAACTCTAGTAAGAGTGTTGTTTCTCTCCTCTGTCAATGTATGTCTACGGGGATTTTCAGAGCTTGCAATCCTCTGCACACTTACTGGGAGGAAACCCTACTGAACAGAGGGGGATTTGCTTATGAGTAAACTTCTGGACTTGGCAGGTGAGGCGGTGGGTTATCACAGGACAGGTGGGGTGGAGAGAGCCTTAAAAGGTAAGTGATAAAAAAGGCAAAAGGACATCTTGTTTCTGGTCTTTATTGCTGCAACTAAAAATACCTTGGTTGCAACACCATTAAAAACTTGGTCCCCATAAACAAAATGAAGGAACTGGTCTTTCTGCTCATGTTATAACACACTCACAAACTTAACTAGTGATATAACACAGTTTGGACCTTTAATTAGGAAGCCTATAGAGGGAATCTGTGTATGCACACAGGACATAAATGCCCACTTTCTTTCCAGATGCTCCAGCTTCTAACTCTGGGAGGCACAATCTAGGTCCTTATTAGCACAGGGATGAAGCTGCTATTTGACCATGACCCCATTTCACCAAAGCCAGAGACAGAATTGGTCAAACACATCTAAGCAACATCCAGCCTTAGTGACCCAACAAAAATGGATGACCTTGGTAATTGCTCTGTTCTACAGGAGGCTGACAGCCAGGTGCTCTCCTCCTCAAGATGGGAGAGACTTGCATTCATGCTCAGCATCCAGCTCATCCATCATTGCCAACAAGTCAGCACCCTTGCTGATCCTCTCCTTTGGTTCTTCTGCGACCTCGAACTCTCCCATGATGCGAGCCAGCTCCTCATTCCGTTGAGGGTCCTATTTAAAAGAGTCCAATTGGTTCTACTTATGGGAGAACATAAATCATAAATTTGACAATTCAATACTTTATTTTCAGTAACCAGCTTTAAAAAATCAATTTAACCTCAGTTGCCAGAAGCAACAAAACACCATAGTTTTGATTTTAAGAGCATCAAAATGTTCCTCTGAAAATCAAAAGGAGCTTTGACTGCTGTGAGAGCAGCAAAAAGCATTCTTGGTTCGCAAACACCAAGCTCCAAATACATAACACACACCAGATATGAAACTCACTACCCACAAGATGTGGCAATGGCTACTGGTCAAGTTGGCTTCAAGGGGACTAGACAGTTTTTATGATTATCAGTAATAAATATTAAAAGCAAAAAGAAGGAAACTAGACAAATTCATCAAAAAGCGCAAGTTATCACTGGCTCTATGGAACTTCTGTTTTCAAAGGCAGCACACCATCTAAGATGCAGGGAACAAATATCACTGGAGTGCTTTTGTTCTGCCAGGTTCTGACCAGACACTGTTCGAAACAGTATGCTAGTATAGAGAGGCTCATGTTCAGATTCAGCAAGGTTTTTCTCAATTATGTTCACAGAATGTGGTGGCTTCTCTCCCCCACACTCCCCATGTGTTATCTTCTTTTCATCTTTTATGCAGGCTGATCAGGCAGAAGAGAGATTCTGCCGTGCAGTCAAGAGTTCTGTGAAACTCAAATGCTTGCATGCCCAACTAAAATTACCCCTCCCCAAGTTCCTTACCTATTTTGTTATTTTCTGGAAGTAACATAGCAGCAAACATCAATAACAATACACTTCACCAAATGCACATTCCTTTAGTTTGAAAACTATTCAGCTTACTCTCGAAATGAGAGGCTAGGGGGCAATGACTACATACCTTGTCTGCTTGTATGTTGATAACTTGATACAATAATTCCTCTGGGCGGGTCAGTGCAGCATGTCTTGAGGAAAATAATAAAGAGCTGTCACAGAATTGTAGAGTTGGAAGGTGAGATGAGAGTCATCTAGTCCAACCCCCTGTGATGAAGGAATCTCAACTAAACCAGCCATGATTAAATGCTATTCATTTGCAGACAGAATGCTACAAATGCAATCTGTTTGGTAAGCTGTAATGCCTCTAGCAGCTTTTCACATATCTCACTTGTTTGAATTTTTAATGAATAGCAATTCCCTGACAATTGCTCCCCGTTGCTGCATCTGATGAGCCTTTTCTGCAATAATGGTACTAATTAAAGAAGGTTCTGCAGCAAAGGTTCCCAAAAGGAAGGGGGGGTGTCATGCAAGGGCTTCAGTACGTGCCTCTCACCCACGGATTGATTCAACTAGATGGCTGAATGGCCAGCTCTCACCCACACCACCAATAAAGCAAGTGAGACTAATCATACTCTTCCTCCTCATCTGTGGTGAAGAGATTCAGCCGGAAACCAGCCTCGTTGACAAGGGGCTTCTTGATGTCCAGGCTTCCCATGAGTCTGGCCAAGAAGTTCAGCTCTTCTTTTGCGAGAGGGTTTGGAGCAGTATTCTCCTACATGGAACAAGAGTGGGTCTGTTACACGGAGAGGCAACCAGTGGCAGTATTGGAAGAGCTTTGTTCACAAGGGTTGTGGCCTCCTAGCACTATAAAGGCTGCAACAAAGCGGTCTGCTGGGGCTCTGGCATCTTGGTTGAAAGCAGCTTTGCAACTGACATTTTTGAAATTGGGACATAAAAGAGCATACTGTATATGGTTGTAGCAGAGTATGTTCTGGCATGGAAATTAATGTGCCTGAGATAGGCATGATTGTTGATTTCAATGAGCCTTCTTTGAGTATGATTAGCATTGGATACAACTTATGCACATATCATAAAAAACGTCTAGAATAATCTATAAAGCCAGCTCATTGCTCCAGAGGTTATCAGTTATCTCCACAGAATTAATGGCAGCAACATGCAACTTACAGAATATGAATTACTGGGAGTTATTTTGGTGTGAAACTCATAATTAAGTGGACATCTAAATCTCTCTCTCTCTCGCTCTGGAGATCACTGGGATGAGATGTTTATGTGTGGCCTTGGCTCAAAGTACTCTCTGTCCCCAATAGTCTCTCAGCCCTCAATGCTCTTAAGAAAAAACCAACACTGGCTTATAGAAGTTGCATTCAGCAACAGATCAAAAGAAAAGAAACTGATCAAAAGAGAAGACCAGAAAAAAACAAACTCCAAGTTGAAAAGATATGATTAAGGATGCTCTGTCTGAGCAAAATGGCATCTAGAGAGAAGGACTGATTATATTACTAAAGGATACAGGATCCTAATCTGAAACAGAAAACATTTAGGTAGCAAAGTGGTTTTCTGAACAGCACTACTTAAGAGCAGCCCTCTCCAACATGGCATCCTCCAGATATTTTGGACTACAAATCTCACAGCCCCTAATCACTGGCTGTTTGCAGCTGTTGGGAACTGTAATCCAAGAACATCTGGAGGCACCAAGTTGGGAAAGGTTGATTAGGAAGGTAGACTAAAGATACTGACCTTTACACGAGATGCCAAATTTTTGGCTGCCCCCGACATGTCTGTCTCTACAGGCCGACTGATGCTGTATCTAGAGGCAATTGGTAAAGGCTTATAGTAGACACAAAGGAAAACTGCAGAGAGCCCCCAACTGAAATGTGGCTTTGCATTCCATGGCTTACATGTTTGTTCCCAATTTGATTACTCTGTCTCCATAGAGGTCGAATGAGCCTTCTCGATATGGAAGCTGGTAATTTCCACCACTGACGAACTCAGTCCTCTTAATTTCATCCCCTTTACTGTTGAAAAGTCTGAAAATTGCAAAATTGAAGCACTGTAGTGACTTCTAGTGCTTTTGTGAACAAGGAAAAATAACCCTCTATCTCACAGAACAGATGGGAGAGTTAATAAAGGGCAATTTGCTGGCCTAAGGTAGTGCACATACACTCTTTACTCTCAGCAGGTTTGTCTCAGTCAGATGACCCATGCAGCCTGGCACTAGGAATTCTCCTCAAGATTGGGATAGATGGTTAACTAGGTGCAGCTCATCTATCTAGTGGTTACATGGAAAAAGCAGGGTGCAAGGTAGAGAGGTCTAAGATTCACCTGATGAGCCCTGGAACCTCTGTTCCCCAAGGAACTGGACCAGAGGTTGGCAGTACAAAATGCCCATTTGAGTTCTGTACTTTATCTTTGAGGAGGATGGAAACCTGTGGAGGAAGCACAAAACTTTGTAAAGTGGTCTTGCTTAGAAAGAATTTCTGCCCAAGACCTCCTTATTCCTGTATCACATCATGCAACTTCACCTAGGGATCCTTGCTCTTCTATCACAAGCTCCTGATGTGTAAAAATGAAAAAGCCACCCACCCTGATGTGTATGTCCTGGAAGAAGATGAGCAATGTCTGCCGGATGAGCTGAAGTTCGCCAGCAGAGAGAGAGCCGTATGTCTGCGGAAGAAAATCAGAATAAATCCTTCCTGCTGCTTTAGCATTATTCAAGTGTATGATTCACATGGATGTTTAAGTGCATCCTCATAGCTGTGGGCAGAAAATTATTTCCATTTTGGTGACAGGCAACTGAGAAAGAGCAACTTGCCCTGAGGACACCCCAGTGGTTATTTAGTTGCTGCTGGGATTTTAAACCAGGTCTCCCAGATTCAAGTAAACTTAAATAGAAATCTAACCCCCAGTAAAACATGCTTCCTTTATGAAATCACGAATCCATTTCAAAACTTTTGTTACTTTTTGAATATTATTAATATCAGTACTGCAACACTGATATAACCCTGGTAACGAGACATGCTTGCATTGTATTTTACTCAGTTGTCTTATTTCTGCTTTCACTGGTGAAATCTCCAGACTTACAGTGCAGCAGCTTGAAGGGAGAGCACACTACACAGTAGAAAACCAATGAAGACATGCTCCAATATGTTTTGCCTTCGTATCATTTCCCCCCATAGTTGTACATACATTTGAATGGAATCTAAAAGGTATGGTGTGCTCTTACATCAATGAGTTTCCTAAAGGTTGCATCAACCTGGGCCAGAGTTTTGGGTGCTTCATAAATGAAATCTTTGATAGCATCCAGGTGGTTGAAAGTGATGAGTAAAATGTCTTTGGGCCGAGGGCAGAGTAGAACTTGGTACTTGAATGCCATGGTCATTAGATCGTAGAGCTACAAAGTAAGGAAACTGGAATTAGTTAAATCACAGAGCCCAGGCTGAGCCTTATTAGATATTAATCAGCTGTCTTCTTGTGCAGTTGGCTGGATTTTATTCTGTGAGCCATTCTAATAGGAGTCTGTGCTTGGTTAGACCTGTCTTGATCTTGCTCTAGTTGCCACTGCAGTTTCTTCGCCTTCAGCTCCCTTGTGTACCTAAGCTGCCATTCTCTCGATTCAGCTATCACTTTCCTTTATCCCTCAATTTTTCCTGAATGTTAGTGTGAGAATACTAGTTTCATTTGACAGCACTTGTTGATAGAGAGTTGCCTGAATTCCCCATAAGACATTGGGGGAAACAGAAAGGTTCATCCTCACCTTATCCATACTGGGTGCATTCAGTCTCATGATTGAGGCATGAACCAGACGCTCAAAAACTGTCCTCAGGGCCTTCCTGGAATAGAGCTCCTGCGGCTTAAACAGCTCGTCCATAAACTTTTTATTGAATATACCCCCTATGATGTCATTCATAACTGAAAAGACAAAAGATTCAAATTTATCACAAATGGATCGGCTTTGCTTTTGTTTCACAGGAAGACACAGACAGTTATAGCTGAGGGGGGACTTGCAAAGGCCACTCTCCACCTGAAACACACCATGCCCCACAAATGTCTTCTGTGCAAGGCTGTGATCCTCTCCAAATCCCCTTCAGTTCAAGGAAACTTGCACAGAAGCCATTCCCAGCCTTTGTCAGCAGTGCTGGTAAAGATACAGGATCTGGAAACGTTTCCTTTTCTTAGTAATGAGACACGGTTGCCCTCATTGAAACTACTGTTTCCAAATTCAATAAATTCCAAGAGTAGAACAGCAGATTATGGTAATCTGAAACAATTCGTCTTCTTTTGCATTTGCAAACTGCATCCATTCTTTTTCTTCTGCAAACATTTTATAGAGGCTACCGAATCCATGGTAAGTAAATTGTGGTAGAAGAGAATCACAACACCCTGTCCCCCATTGTTTAATCATTTGCAGTTGGGCTGATAACCACAACCAAATACTGAGAAGTACATAAAATGATTGAAACAATATTCAGATGTAGTGGTCAGGGTTACTATTGCCAGAGGTACTACACCAGTAATACTCAAGCACTAGATGTTATTTCTTTTACATTCAATACCCAGTAGTGTGCAAGCAGAGTTGGCTACAAAGAATCTCTCATGTACCATAGTAGGTATCCCTACTGCTAAGAAAATGATATTTGGCCATGTAGATGAGCCAAGTTTTGAACACTGGAGAGAATCACTGTAAAAACCAGTCTTAGAAATGACTGTGTACCTGTGTGCAGAGAAAGGGTTAAAATATTTCACCAAAATGTCAAAATTCTCCATTTATCAACACCAGATCTTAGGTGCCTGGGATCTTCCTAGTCAAGCTAAAATTAAATACAGTTTCCTGTATGGGTCCTAGCTGCTACAGAAACCATATTCATGTGGATACCAATAAAGTCTGAGTTTAAAAGGTTTCAATCCTGATCGGTTGCCCAGTGCTGTCCCTTCCTCACATGCCCTGGTTGAAGTGGACAAAGGCAAACTCTCCTGGTTGCCTATGCCTTCACTGGAAGTTTTTAAACAGAGGTTGGATGGGCCATCTGCCTGGGACTTTTAGCAGTGATTCCTGCATTGAAGGGGGCTGGACTAAATGACCCTTGGGGTCCTTTCCAACTCTACAATTCTGAGATTCTATGCCCAGTCACAAAGTCTTTTCTAGCTCCCATTTTCATTCTGCCTTGTGCTAAGTAGCAGCAGTTGTTCAATCTAGTATCCAGCAGGTGTTGCTAAGCACAGAGAGACAAGGATGGATAAGCAGAGCTTTTAGTGATGCAATTCTCTCTTGACCCGCTCCGATGCAATCCTTAACAAAGCTGTAGTAAACTCTCCTTCAGTGTATGCTTCTAAAGAGATTTGACAGAGTTCTGCTTCTGTGCTTCTCTGTCAGCCCCAGCCAGGAAAATTCTCTAGTAGTTTGGAATTGGACAGAAACATGATCACACCAAATAGTGACCTCTGACATTTTGCACTGTATTCGTGTAACTGAATGAGATAGTACATTGCATCACTGTCCCAAAATATAAGTCACTAGGGGTGGTAGAAGATTAGGATGCTTACCAGCCAGTTTTCCTCTCAACCCTCAGGGTGGCACAGGGTGTTTAGTGCCAGTTGAGTGACTAAACTTTGGGTTGGTAAATGAAAGTGGAGAAATCCTGCATTGTTCTATTGTTCTATGATCCACACCAGAATCCTGTGGTGGAATTGCTTTTTTTCTTTTCTCTTTCACTCCTAAACAGTTTTGTTTATTAAGCCACCACCAATTAAGACTACCTAGTACAGTCGCTATACACAGCATTTAGGGTAGCCATTAGCCATAAGTGGTTAACAATTCCTCCATACCAAATCCACTGGTCTGGCCTCCTGTGACACACAGGCAAATGCAGGTGGGCTAAAATTCAGCCACTAAACAGCATTTTAAAAAACCACAGACTCCCTCGTTCCCTCATTTACCTGCAGACTGCTATGCATCTGAGCAATAGAAACAGAGATCTTGTACCATTTGGGGGTTATGTTGGGTTACACAGTTTACTTGGGGGGAAAACACACCTGGTGGTTTCTTCAGCTCAACCCATTCCAGGTATTAAGCATGATGCAGAAAAGCACGATGCAATATAAAGATATGCAATAATGCCATACTAAAGCAGCAGCAAATTCTGGGATTTAATGAGGAAAGTTGTGGATTAAAAGACATAGTTCAAGGCAGAGAACTGGATTTATTTCTGCAGTATGGAAGGAAGAGAGCAAGAACCACAGGATACACTCTGCCTGCATACTGCTCATAGTATGCTTGTACAGCTGCTCCTTTGTCAACAGAGATGTTCAGCAATCAGTTGAGCTACTACCTAAGATGAATTTTCCAATAAGTTTTTTTCCAAGGCGCTAGTGAATTATTTTTATGTTTCAGGATCATTCCTGCCTGTTTTTAAAATGCAGAAAGCCCTAGTCAAGCATTCAATTGTTCGTCAATTACACCTGCTACAGAAGTGTTGAAGCAGCTGGGAACACCATGCAGCTGTGTGTATGTACAACATGCCACTAAAAATGCTGTCAGTCAAAATTTTAGTCATTAGTCAAGTTTTTACAGGAGTTCACTATCATTAGAGGTTCCGCATAGAGGTTTAATTTACAATCGGTATATAAATTTTGTTAGAGAAATAAAATAAAACCACTGCAATCAACACACAGAAGGCCTGTAGGTAGTTCATAGGTTTTAAAAGCACATCCTAATACATATGTGCACTTTGACAGTCTACTGCATTTATGGCTTGTTCTTGGTTCCTGTTCAGCTATAGCAAAATCTTTCAACTCTGTATGTTGCCTGTTTCAGTTAGTCAGAAGGCAGTTGAGGGTTGTGGCTGTTGATGGGTTAAAAAAAAAGGTCACTTGACTAATCCAATATTGTCAAATAATGGTCAAGTATTTTCAAAGCATTGCTATTAAAGAAAGAAGACAGTCATCAACCAATTTGATACTCATACTAATTACAACAAAATTAGAAAACTTTTACTTTAAAAAGGGGAATGAATGATTTATTTTTAATACATATTTATTTTGGGTTCTTCTGCAGAAACTGAGGGCAGTCTGCCCATCCCTCAGTGTGTTCTCACAACAGACCTATGTGTGACTTAACCAAAATCGCCTAATGACTTTCTTGGCTGAGTGAGGATCTGAATCTGCGTCTTCCTAGTCCTAGTTTGACACTTTACTCATCAATGACTGCTTCTGCTCCTGTTTGGAACTGCCTGTTAAAGAAGGTAGAGTGTGGAAAGTGTTTTGATGTGGAGTTTGTCACTAGCAAGCAACCCTCGTGCCTGCTCCTGCTAACAAATGATAACCTAATCAAATAAAAAAAAAATGACAAGTTGCCATATTCACAATGGTATTCTTCAAATATTTGATAATATGTGACCAGAGTCAAATAACAGGCAATCTTGCAAGCAGAAGGTCCCAGGTTCAATCCCCAATCTCTATGTAGGGCTGGGAGACCCCTGCCTGAAATTCTGGAGAGCCGCTGCCAGTCAGTGAGGACAATACTGAGCTAGAAGAACCATAGTCTGACTCCATATAAGGCAGCTTCCCAGGTTCCTAACAGTTGCCCAGCGTGCCAACACTACTATAAGTTACTTAAACTAAAGTCATAAGAATTGACCAACGAGGGTTCAATGAATTTCTTTCAGGATTTGCTATAAATGTGGTACATAATGTTGTCAGTCACCCGAGCTCCAGAAATATAATGCTGCTGGTCTGAAGAGATCTTCCAATGGCATGCCAGAAGATACTGTGTATGCATAGTTTGGAATCTCAGTGAGAGAAAAAAAACTCTTTGTGCAGGGGGCTAAAAATGTTACAGTACCTCGTCTCCTGTCCACATCAGTCCATTCATCTACACGAAGCATAAAACAGAAAAAATGACGGGTCAAGTACTAAGAACAACAAACTGACAAGCAGGATGAAAGAGGGGAAATAAGTAAAAAAGAATCCAACAGTATTTAGTACCCTGCTGCATTAGAGCTGCAAAGCAAAGGAGAGCTTTCATCTAATATTTTAAAGTGGCAAAAAAAAAAAAAAAAAGCCATAATGTGTGGAGGGTAGGGGTGATATACAGGCATTATAAAAATGGACCTATGACACTTCTGTAATCTCACTCCACACATTGTGGGGGAAAGAGGCTTATTTTCCCAGCATAAAATCTGGTGAAAAGATTTTGCGACAGCTGCACAGCCTTGATGTGGAGCATTCACTTCAAACAAATGAGATACAACAGAATTAATTGCACTAACTGCTCAAAATGACTGTGCTGACTGCCGAGCATTGTCAGATCCACATAGATGAGTTACTGTGCTAGAGCAACTCCAATACTTCTGAGCAAATGTAATCTGTACAAAGCCATTGTCCCATACTTAAGTCTGCAGGGTAGAAAAAATATGATACATGCATGCTGGATCACCAAGAACGTAACAATATTTGTTTCCCACCTTTCCTCTTGAGTTCAGCCACTTGTCCAGTAAGCTGTATGACGAATTGAACTCATGCTATTTACCAGCCCAAGATTTAAACACATGCGTATCAGTAGCTTGGAATTTTAAGCATTTCTACAGTAGAATTAGTATACTATAGGATGTGATGCTGGTGCCTAGAGAATGGAAATCTTTTTCTAGTCCTGTTCACCTGCATCTGAATGTCAACCATGACTTACATTATTATTTTTTCTTTTACATTTCCTTTCAATGGTCTGTTTCTAGTACAGCATGCCCTCAACTTATATGAGGGTTATGTTCCAGGGATCACACCTAAAGTCAAAATCAGTGTGTGTAACCCTCCGCCCAAGTGTGTAAAGCTGAATGTGCATAAGTTAAATTTGTGTAAGTTGCGGGTACCTTGTACATCAGGAGCAACATTCACCTTTCAATGCTAGCCCTATATGCTCATGCCCAAGAAGCAGCAAAGCTATTCTTCAAGTACCTAGGAAGCAGATCAGACAAACCTTCCCCCCAACCTTGAAATGGCGGGGGGATTGTCCATAAAATATGCTGTTCTTCCAAAATGCTCCGAGGGACTCCAAAGTGTAGCATGACTGCAGCTCCAAGTGGGAGGGAAGGGTCTCGACATGTTCACTAATGGGTAGTGGCATACTATGGCAAAGGAAATTGTGGAATCCTGCATAGGACTTATTTCTAGAGAATTCCATTAGAATGCTAAACATTTCCAGCATTCAGCATTCCACCATGTGGAAATATTCTCCCCTCTCAATGTTCCCAAGTACTTCTAATGTGGCAATGTCTTCAGAAATGTTGATCCTAACAAGGTTACCAGTCACTTTAAGACATAGAACTTAAAACTGTCTGCACAAGTTGTCATTCAGATATGGTGGCAGAACTTTATAAAGGCTGTTTCACATTCAACATCATTTTATTATTGTACAAAGTTGCCTGGTCAGAATATTGTAAGTCACCCAGGAGGTTGTAATCTGTGACAGGGGGGAAGTACATTCCTCTGAAAAGCTGCTCTAGGTAGCACACCTTGGCTGGCCAGAAAATTTACTTGCAACTAAAGGTATGTAAAGGTAAAGGTGAAGGGACCCCTGACTGTTAGGTCCAGTCGTGGACAACTGGGGTTGTGACGCTCATCTCACTTTATTGGCCGAAGGGAGCCAGCGTACAGCTTTTGGGTCATGTGGCCAGCATGACTAAGCTGCTTCTGGCAAACCAGAGCAGCGCACGGAAACACCGTTTACCTTCCCGCCGGAGCAGTACCTATTTATCTACTTGCACTTTGATATGCTTTCGAACTGCTAGGTGGGCAGGAGCTGGGAGTGAGAAATGGGAGCTCACCCCATGGCGGGGATTCGAACCGCTGACCTTCTGATCGCCAAGCCCTAGGCTCTGTGGTTTAGACCACAATGCCACCTGCGTTGAAAGCATGTAAGAGCCATCAAATAAATGATTTTGAAATGATGTTCAAAATTAAAGCTACAAGGAATTTGTCTGATATGGGGATTCAGGAGAGTGTGGTATTAACAGTTGCCAGGCTCTGGAAATTGAGAAAGTTAGTTTGTGCAAGGAAGCAATTTCTTGAATGGCTCATGGATTGTGTAGAGAATGATCTCTAGTTACAGAGCCCCAACACCCATACTTCGGGGGTTTTTTAAGGTAAGACCTTCTCCCAGCTCTTGGAACAAGACTGGAGAGATGTTTTATACAGTGAATAGGAAAGAAGGGACTCCCTACACACTCACAATAAAAGCTTGGCTTTGCACTGGGAGATGGTTGGAGAACAGCCACCTTTCAACTCCCTCTGACTCATGGCTGGAGAACCTGTGGCCCTCCAGATGTTGTAGGACTACAACTCCCATCATCCCAGACCAATGGGCATGTTGGTGGGAGCTAATGGGGATTGCAGTCTGACAAGTGGAGGGCCACCCCTGCTCTAACCACACATGATCAGGTGACTTGATTTGCCTACCTCAACAGGTATTCGGAAATGTACACCCCTCCTCGAGAGGTCTGGAGGGTGGCAACACGAAAACTGTCCCTTTCTGCAGTGGTTCCCTGCCTGTGGAATGCTCTCTTCATTATACACCTTTAGGCGCCAGGCAAAAACGTTCCTTTTTAAACAGGCCTTTGGTTGATCTGATTTGACATCCTCTGCCCTTTTAAAATGTGGCACTTTTTTGGGGGGGTTTGTTTTTATTTTGATTTTATATATTGTGGTTTTTATGTTGCTCTTTTGTGTGAACCACCATGAGACCTCCGGGTATAGGGTGGTATATAAATTCAATTAATAATAATAATGATAATAAAGACCCAAGACGTAAGTGGGCGAGATACTATGTCACACTAAGGTGTGCAGAGCCTTCCCTAATTTGGTGCCCTCCAGATGTTTGGGGCTACAACTCTCATTGGGCCCAGCACGATTCGGTCGTAAGTCCAAAACATCTGGACGAGACGCATGTTCGGAATGGCAGCAGATGCGCGTTGCCAAAAAATGGTCCTCACAGCTTCGGGCAGGGTGTCTTTCACCCTCGTCGTGGCACTCGCCCCTCCCAACCCGAATAGTCGTTATGAGGAACTCAATCCCACCAGCCCCCTCCCCCACCCCGTTAAATGACACCCTCGCCCCGCGTTGTAGCCGGAGAGGAAAGGGGTGTGGGGGGTGAGAGAGAGAGCGCGGTATAGGCGGGGCCCCTCCCAGACCTTGGCGCGCCTTGTCTCCCGGGATGCTTTGCGCGCGCAGCCGCTGGTCCACGATGTAGAGCATCTCCCCGCCCAGGTTGAGGACGAGCAACGGCAGCGTCCTCAGCGACATGGCCGCGGCTTCGGTCCAGGAGACAAGCTGTGGCTGCGACTCTGGTTGCGGCTGCTGCTACGACGGCAGCGGCCCCGTTGCCTGGACAACGCCACCGCCAATCGGAAGGCTGCTTGCTGGCAGGTCTCGTCTCCTTTTAAAGGCGGATCTTAGGTCTCCGCCCACAACTTCCCTAGATGGGCTTACGGCCCGCCCTCTCATCCTCTTTCCCGCCCTCTCATCCGCTGGTGTATAATCGAGACGGAGTCGGATGTTAATAAGATGAGCTTTTTATTGGCGCATGCGCAGCTCAGGATGCAGTGTCCAGTTCTTGCCCCGCAGATCTGAAACACACAAGGAAAGTGGGGAAGATTTAGTAATAATAATTATAATAATTATTTATTTATACCCCGCCCATTTAGAAGCTTCATGCGAATTGGCAAAAATGACCATGAATATCAGAGATCAAGAGGACCATAAATTTACTAAAGAATGGGGAATTTTTAAAAGTTACTTGAAAGAGCACTGTAAACAATTGAAAACATTGGCAGGATTTTAAAAACACTGCAATGAAGCGAGAATTATGATAAAAAGTGAGTTTTAAGAAATATGGATAATATGATACAATTCAGTTTGAAAAGAATACCTGGGGAAACCATGGAGGGGTGGAGGGAAGTTCGGGGATTCTGAGAATCCTATTTGTAAACTGATTATGATTTGTGTATGATGTCAAATGCTAAAAGTGAAAATGAATAAAAAAACTTTAAAATCAAAAAATAGAAGCGTCATGTGAGGGAAAGGGCGTGGCTAAGCCCTTCTAGTTGCAGCCCTAAGGCTCCTGGGAAGGAGAAAGTCGTTACCATTTGCAGCCCAGTCCCCACACGCGTTCTTCAGGCAGTTTCATACGCTAAACACATTTAGTGACACAAATACACAACTGACAGGGTGCAAAAGTCAGGCCTGGCTCCGCCTTCTTGCCTCAATCAATGAAGTTTCCTTCCAAATGCATAGCCACCTGCATCCCTTGTTCTTTTACTCAAATTGCGGGCTATCACTGAAAAGACCCTGTCTCTAATACCCACCAGCGAAATTGATCTGGCAGGTGAAGACATGAACACGGCCCCTGACGCAGATTCTCGATGTCCAGGCAGGCTCTTGGAGCTTAGGCTACAAATGTGCAAATGTGAAAGAGAGAGAGAAACTTCTATCCACTTTCTCCACAGTGTGGATAATTTTATAAATCTATCATGTGTCTCTCCTCCTTTCTCCCTCCTAAATGGCAAAAGTCAAAGTTTCGCAATTTAAGCACTATCAGAATTTAAACAGTGTGATTTCCCTGCTTCAGCACTAACCAATTGCAAGTGGACTCAAATACAGTTGTTCCATGGATCTCAAACGCCTTGGCTCCTGAACAAATCAGCTCCGGAATGATTGAAACCCGGAAGTGAGTTTTCCGGTTTTCGAATGTTCTTTTGGAACCCGAACGTCTGACGCGGGTTCTGTGGCGTTTTCTGCAGCCAATCAGAAGCCGTGCTTTGGTTTCTGAACGTTTTGGAAGTCGAACGGACTTCCGGAATGGATTCTGTTCGACTTCCAAGGTATGACTGTACAGTGGTACCTTGGGTTACATACGCTTCAGGTTACATATGCTTCAGGTTACAGACTCCGCTAACCCAGAAATAGTACCTTGGGTTAAGAACTTTGCTTCAGGATGAGAACAGAAAGTGTGCTCCAGTGGTGCGGCAGCAGCAGGAGGCCCCATTAGCTAAAGTGGTGCTTCAGGTTAAGAACAGTTTCAGGTTAAGAATGGACTTCCGGAACGAATTAAGTACGTAACCAGAGGTACCACTGTATTCCCTTTAGGCATCTGACTGAAATATGTGCTTAGAGATCGTCGGATTCCGACAGAATTTTTGTCCTGGAGGGAAAAATATGCCAGTGCTCCTTTTCCATCAAGACCCACCTTTGCCCCTCCATTTCCTTATTTAGTCAGAGAGCGGGTGTGCACTTCACGGCCCATGCGGCACAACTCACACAGGCCACAAAGACACATTGACATGGCATCCCTAAAAACAGTGCCCTGTATGATTCAGACAAAGAAAAGAGATTTAATGAGACATAGCACCTCAAATCTGGAATACATTTTTGCTCCACATACACTCCTTCAAGCCTTGCACACAGGCAGTTCTTTAGAAACATACAATGAGCCAGTAGACAGGATCAGCTTAATGTGGGCATGAGGAACATGCAGGTGTCATATTCTGGCTAAGATGCTGAGGTATGAACCTCCAAGGCAGTCCCTTGGAATCTCATCTCTCAGAATCAGAATTAGATAGGATAATACTTTCCAGCCTCACATGACTGTTGTAAGGATCACAAGAAAATGTACATGAAGCCCTTTGGATGCTCTGAAGCATTACAATACTAAACATTAATAGTATGAAAATCAGATCATGCACAGGAGAAAGATATACCCAATACATTTGTTTAAAAATGGTATCCTCTCTTCTTCCAAGAAGTTCACATTGACATTTTGCTGCACAACCATCCCATGAGGTAGGCTAGGATGAAAAATAGCAATTTTTCCATAGCTACCCATAAAGCTTCCTAGCCAAGTAGGGATTTGAAAGAGGGCAACATGCTACAGTACTTGAGTGTGTTCACAGTGACCATTGACTGCTGGACAAGTCACTATTTCTATAGGGTTTGCACTTAACTACTGGAAGTTTGGGGTTCTAGCACCACTTTACTCCTGTTTCCCCTGAAAGAAGCAGTTCATATGGTTCAGGAGTAGCGTGGGCTGTCTGGTGAAAACAGTTACCTAGTGTGTTGTGGGCTCCTAAGGGAGGAAGAGTGAGACAGCAGATAAAGAAATGTCTTCCTCTGCCTTCAGTCAAAACAGAGACAGGGATCGCTATTTTCAATAAACCCTGCTGAAGCGCCTATATGGGGAAAAAAATCAAAGATGACATACTTCACAGTTTATACTACAGCTTTTGAAAAAGAGTCCAAACATCTATAAACGTCAGGCGAGCATTGAACCAACCTGCTCACACTATACAGTGGAAGAATGAATTGTTCAGCAAAAGAGAGAAGAGGTGAGAATGCTTTGTAGGTGGCAAGAAGTCCAACCCAATGAAAAATCAATATTGTCCTCCTTGCCAATTTCTACCACCACTGAGATATGAAGCTATTTAACCAGGACCTGTTCTTCTGTTCTGCTTGTTGCACTCACCACAGCACTTCTAACTTCCTCTGCAACATGACAAAGGCTTTTGTAATGCTACCCTTTGGATGGAATGAAAGACAACCTGGGCTGTTGAGAAAAAGCTGGAAATAGTTATCTGTGGTGTTGCAAAAGCAACAGAAATAATGTATGCTCTGTTTTGTAATGAAACAAGGCAGTTCCAGGCCTCGGAACAAACTGTTCCCTGCTGTTTGTGTTCAAATTGCTGGAGAAGATATGGTGCAATTTATCACCTAGAATTATTAAAGAGTTGGAAGGGACCATGAGGGTCATCTAGTCCAACCCCATGCAATACAGGAATCACAACTAAAGCATCCATGACAGATGGTCATCCAACCTCTGCTTAAAAACATCTGTTGAAGCAGCCTAGAATAGCATCAGCATTAGCTTTTTTTCCTCCTTGATGCCTTGCCCCATAAGATTATTCATTCCTCTCCCAGCCAGCTCTGATAAAGGTAGAGGATTTGGGGAGAGGAGAAGCAGTGAAACTCAGTGTTAGAGCATCTTCTTTGCATGCAAAAGTTCCAGGTTCAATCCCCAGCAACTCCAGGTAGGGCTGGGAATGTCTTCATCCTGAAGCCCTGTACAGCAGCTGCCAGTCAGTGTAGACAGTACTAAGCTAGATGGACCCAATGGTCAGACTCAGTATAAGGCAGCTTCCTATGTTCCTAAGAGACAGAGAGTTTGCAAAACAGAGGAGTAATCCCTCATTTGCATGATGCCTCTTTGCTGCTATCTGCCCTTGACAGAGGATATTAAGGGGTGGCCCCTCCCTGAGTCCCAGGTCCTTTCTCTTTGGCCTCCCCCCACCCCGCTTATTTAAATCTTTCATTTTTAAAGAAAGCATTGTTTACCACAAGGGTGGGAACATGTTGCCCTCCATAAGTTGTTCCGCAACAACTCTCTTTATCCCTAACCACTTGCTATGCTGACTGGGTCTGATGGGAGTTGGAGTCCAACAACATCTGGAGGGCCACAGCCAGGGCTGTCTTAAGCATATCTGGCGCTGTGGTGCAAAGATCCCTCTGCCCCCCCCCCCGTTTCCCAGAGTTGTCAACCTTTTTTAAGGGGGGGGACCCCAGAGTTGTTGACCGTTTTTTTTTAGGGAGCTGACACCATGCTTACACATTATCTCTAACAAGCCCTTGGAACAAAATAAAATGGAAAGGCAGAAGAAAATCTAATGAAGTCCTCAATTCCAAAGCAAGACTCATTCAAGACTCAGCAGTTCTGCTAATTCATCCTCATGATTCAAATCACCACATATCAAAAAGTCAAAGCAATCACCAGTTTGTTGTTCTTTAAATAAATTGATAAAGACACAGAGAATGAAGTTCCTGGCCAATTTGTGTTTAAGTACAAAACCGAAGTTTTCAAATATTGTGGGGGGTGGGTGGGGTGGGGGTGGGTGTAAAGCAATGACATCCTGAACCTAAAAAGGACCCTAAACTTGGGTCAGCCCTAACTGCACTTACCTGAGAGTAAGCCCTGCTGAATCTATTAGGACCTTAAAACCTGCCCCCCTCTTTAAAGGACTTTTTGTTGGTGTTTGTTTGTTTTTAACCACTAACTGCATGGAGAGCACACTCTCAGGTCCATCCTTACCTCCGAACTGAGTCCTAATGGAAGTGCGCCCCCCCCAGCTTTCTCCCCCCACCGCCCCAAATCTGAATGAATCCATCCACCTTTTTCCTCGAAGGAAGGGGTAGGGGGCTGACATTATCAGCACCCCTCCCCCTCCTGGCCCCCTGCGCTGGGCAGCTCAGGGTCGCTTGCCACGCGGGCTTCCTCAGCAGTCCTGCTACTGCCATGGGGCGGGCAGGAGGGAGAAGGGTGCCGTGTAGCTTTGTGCACCACCACCGCTGCCTCCTCTCCCAGGCAGGAAGCGAGAGAGTGCAGCTGGCCGTAGGAAGAGCCGCCACCGCTCAGCATGCCCTCGGAGCTGTTCCCGGTCGGTCCCGGACTCCCGCTGCTGGGTGCCCCTGATGGGCTGGTGCCGTGGCACAGGGTGCCACTAAACCTAATGGGTAAGATGGCCCTGGCCGCAGCGGCCCCACCTCTGGCTTAAAGGGTAGCTGGGCACACTACTAAGTGCAGCGTGGTTTAAACCCACCCACCCACCATCTCAATTTGCCCAAATTTGTGCCCTGAGTCTTTTAAGAACCTGGCAATGCCCTTGCATCCAAGGGAAGAGAGGGAAGGTGACAGCAAAGGCCAGCAAGCAACTAATTGTCCCAGGCATCACTCTGTCCCATAGAGGGTTGCATTTATCTCAGGAACTCACCACTCCCCTGCTGTAGAGGACTACAAACAAGTTGTGTAGAAATAAATCATTTCTTGGATGATGCACATTTCATCTGTTTCTTTCACTCTCCAGACCCCTGCTGATCAATGAGTAAGAGCACATCTACTGGGGGAACAGACTGTACAACACCACAAAATGTGATGGAGGAAAGTGTTACCGGAATGCCATAGGAGAGCCGCATGTGAGTCCGCAGTGCTGTCAAGCCGCCAGGCACCAGTCCGAGGCAACAGTTCTCCCCGTATTTGCGTGACACGTAACAGGCCAGGATTGCCGGGCAGAGAAGCCCAACACAACCTGCCCAAATGAAACACACAGGTGAGGAGGTAAACATCAATGAAAGGGAATCAATAACCCTAACCCTGCCCTTCTTAAAATATAATTCCTGCTAACTATACTTTTTGCACAGATCGTCCCCTGTGCGGTTCCTTCATGGTTAAGGGTTAGACAGCAGGTGTGCACACAAACACTCAGACCAGTTCACAAACATAAACTTTAATAGTCCTTAAAATTAAGGAGAGAATAACTGTCTGTGAAAGCCAAGTGAAGGAAGAAAACAGCAAGCTGAACATCTCTTGATTTTAAAAGAATATCACACATTTTTATGCTGTTAGATTTGGGTACAGGAACCGAACATCCCACGCTCCTGCAAACCAAAGCAGCCACATAAATAAAGGGTCACTCCAAGACCTACACTGAGGTTGCCCTGGATCCAAAGACCCATGGAACTAGATCTGAGCACTAAGGGGGCACTGGTCTTGTACTTCTTGAGAACCCCCTCCCTCCATGCCATAAGGCAAAGGCTTCCAAAGGCAGTTGTCAGGTATAGTAGGGATTCTGCCACTCAAAGAAAATGGTAAAAGTTCTCTTGGGCACAGCGTAAGGAACTGGGCATCTCAACATCTGCAAGCAAAATGTTTTCTGTATTTTGCAATTGCTTCATGAATCCCCTCAATTGTTAATTTTTTTATTGCATTTCTATTCCACCTTTTTCTCCAAGGAACTCAAGGTGATGGGCATGGCTTTCCATGCATTCCGAATCTAAAGAACCCCACAACTTAGCTTCTCTTCACAAAGAGCCTTGAGGTACAACGGCTGCAGGTCTGCATTGTAACAGGTGGCAAGTTTTAAACACATTAACCTGGAAGCAACATTGGGAATCATCTGGGAAATACGTTAAGGAGGGGAGTCAGTCTACAATAGCCCACAGCAGCTTTCTTCCATCTTATATAAAATTGATCTCCACAGGCTAAAATACAGCCAGACGTTTACTTACACATGGGGCAGTCTGAACAGCAGTCATACCTCCCACTGCTCCAGCTGCCTTCTGAGGACTGGGTCAAAGGTGAGACTGTGGCAACCGGCTGGCAGGTCACAGGCTGGGACATAGCTAGAGCTAAGGCCACTGGCGGCTCAGAAACCACCTCAAAAAGGCAAATCTGAATGGCAGTGACAAATGTTTTGCAAGCGGTGCTTAAAGGCAAACTCAAGTCTTCAGTTCCTTGTGGTCAGGCCACATGTGTATTTGAGCAATGGGGAAATGGTAAGCAGGAAGCAGAGGACTGCAAGGCCTGGTGAAGTTAGAATGGAAATGTAACCCCCTCCCCTTTTTAGTGGTGAGACTTTGTTCAGGAGGTTGTTCACTCTGTCATGGTGTCTTCACCCCCCTCTTCAGGTAAAAAGGCTGAAAGATTGGTTTACAGAAATCAGTAAGAAGATTGTCAGCTGAGGGCAATCTGGGACATGACACAAAATGGAAAACAAATTGGAGGAAGGAGGAGAAACACAAACTCAGGCACTTCTTAGTTACAAAGGCCAGCAGACATGGAAATAGTTCAAGGCAAGGAGGCACCCAAAGTTGCTGGTTTCTCAGCTGACCCTATTTGTCCATAGCATTAAATAATCTTAGAATTGTAGAGTTGGAAGAAACTCTGAGGGTCATCTAGTCCAAACCCCTGGAATGCAGGAATCGCAACTAAAACATCAGTGACAGATGGCTATCCAACCTCTGCTTAAAGACTACCAATGAAGGAGTCCGTTCCACTGCAGGTCTCCCCAGTCTTATATCCGCGTAGCTGGTTCTTCCTGCTTAAGTGCAGAACCTGACATTTGTCCCTATTAAAATTCATTGTTAGTTTGTTCCAGTTCTCCAATCTGTTAAGGTCATATTGAATCTTGATTGTATCTTCTGCTGCATCAGCTACCCCTCCCGGTTTGATGTCATCTGCAAATTTGACAAGCATCCTCTCAATTCCTTCATCCAAGTACATCACTGGTAGATGGTAGGCCAAACCCTTGGTCTTTGCTACAAAGACTGGGAGTGATATTGATACTGTGGGTTATGATTGGTGCTTTAGGGTGGTGACGGCTAGTCAACTGTAGGGTTGGTAGCCCCTGGAGACCTACAGAATTTGCTCAGGTTCCTCAGTGCTCTGGTTGGAAGGCTGTGGAATGGTGAGATGGAAAGTGTTGTCACAGTCGTGCTCATGGCCTTCTATGGCACTGCAGGAAGCCCAGACTGCACCTTGTTTGCAGGGGAGCTCCAGGCAATGGAACAGGCAGAACAGCAGCTTGAGCACAAGTAGTGTGTCTCACAGCAACCTGCCATGACAGGAGTGAAAGCATATGTTTGTGCTACCAAAGGAATCACTCCAGCACCCTCTTCTTCTTCTTTGGCGATCACTCGCAGCCGGGTAAGATTGTCTTCCATAAACACGGTTTTAACAGTAAGTGACTGTGGAGGCCAATTCTGGATCCGCACGTCATTCCACAGTGGGGACATTGGTTTCCTGGGAGGAGTTTACCATGACACCTTTGGTAAAAGCTGTCCTCAAGTAGCCATTTGGAGTCATTCTGAGTGGTGAAATAGGCTAACTAAACCTACCCTGAAGGGAAAAGTGGCTGGACTCATAGGCCTGCTGTGACAGGCTTGCAAGGCATTTCCAGGATAAAGTTGCTCACATTTGTTCTAACTAGACACTAGTAGAATCCCAATGGAGGCATCCAGAGCACCGTCTGTTCTGGTTGGGATTAGTTACAATTGTTGCAGCCCTGATGTGGACAAGATGCTTGAGGGCACCTGGTCAACTACCCGCACTTTGAACTTGGCACTCCATCATGGGTGAGAGTTAGCAAGAGGGAACTGACTGGGTGGGGCTGGGGTGGTGAATGCACGAAAGGGTGGCACTGGTCATCTTGAAAGGAGTAGTGGTGTGTGGCCTACCCTGAATCCCTCTCTGGACCTGAGGTATATGAGAACTACCTCCAGGTGATGGTCATTCAGCTTCAGACCTGCTTGAAAGATGGTTGTTCAAGGGTAGTGTAACCCCATCCAGGACAGGCTTTACACCAGTATCCAACACCAGCATCCCAACCCACAAAACCTCTTTCTTTCCTGGGTTAAGTTTCACCTAGTTCCCTTATCCATCTCAGTACTGCGTCCAGGCATCTGATGGTTAATGCTGCTGCCTCCCTGAGATTCTTAGGCAGAAGAGAGACAGAGATGCAGGTCATCTGTGCATTGGTGAAATTACACCCCAAACCTCCAAACGACTGATCCCAGCAACTTCATACAGATTGAAGAGCATCAGTGATAAGACACAGCTCTGTGACACCCACAAGCCAGAGGCCATAAGGCGGAACAACAATGAAAAATCATCCAGCGCGAATTTTGAATAATGACCACCAGGAAAGGACTCGAGCCACTGTAATACTGTGTCTCTGAAGCAAAGCTCAGATAGGCAGGGTGGAAGGATGCCATAGCTGATGGCACCCAATGCTACCCAAAGGCACCAAATTCAAAAAGTGCTGAACTACATCTGCCGCTGGAAAAGAAGCATTGGGAGTGTACTTAAGAGTGCATTTTTGAAGCTTCCTTTTCAATTTGTCCCCATGATTTTACCTGCTGTCCTGCCTGACCTCATGTGACATCCAGTGATGGACAAGTAGGCATGGTTTGCAAAGCAAACAGGCCTAATTAGGTCACTCATGGGCTGGAGGTTCCTCATCACTAGTTTCAAATAGGGCTTGCACTACTACGTCTTTTTGAGAAGTAGGAACAAAACGGTCCCTAAATATGGCATTCCTTTCTCTCCAGAAGTGCTGCAGACTTTGTTTTTGCTGCAAGTGACTAACATAATTAACCAAGTGAATTAATTCTTATTTCTGGTTTCTGGGAAGGATCAGAAACCAGGAAGATCAAGTATTTCTAAAAGACTAGAATAACTTTTTAACATACTTAAAAGACCACTGTAAACAGTGAAAATCATTGGCAGCGATACAATGACACTTGTAATGTGAAAATAACTTTGGTAACTATGAATATATAACAGATAGATAATGATAAAAGATGCAGAAAAAGAAAAAAGAAATTATTTTCTCTGAAAATGGAACCCATGGAGGGAGGGAAGGAGGTCCGAAGGTTTGAAAGAACCTTTTTATTTTAATGTTTTGAAATGGTTCAAGTTAAAATGTATAAAATTATGTAAAACCAATAAAAATATTTAAAAATGAGAAGTGATTAAATTAACCCAGTGATGATGGCCTCTGAACCATATGAATGGCCATCATCATTGCGCAGAGGACTCTATATACACAGACTTTCATATGCACCCAAGGCAGAGGAAACAGTGGTGGTTAAACTATTTATTGTCTACCAGCTTCAGAAGATGTTGCTCAGTATGAGCCCCCTCCCAAACATAGGGCAGGTTTTGCTTAGACTGGGCTGCCTTCAGTTGGCGATGCTTGCTTCTCTGCTTCTCTGGCCCTGGTTCTCTCTAGCCACTCTTGTCGCTGCTTCAGTCTCTGCGGGGCTTTCAGCTTCTGTGCCTCTTGGTAGACCTAGAGGGTTAATGGTAAGAAGGGAGGCGGGAGGCAGTTAGGCAGTCAGTAGCACAGACCAAGACTACAAAATCCCAGAGTTCTATTGGGAGTGGTCTAATCCCCATACCAGCTGACAATGGGCATTTACTATGTTTATATTTATTACTCCATGGGAAAAGCCATGGCTCAGTGACACAGCACTTGCTTTACACATAGGTTCAATCTGTGGAACCTCCAGATAGGGCTGGCAAAGTCTCCTGCTGAAACCCTGGAAAGCTGCTGCCAGTCAGTGACTGGAGACAATACTTAGCTAGATGGCCCAAGAGTCTGACTTGGCACAAGGCAGAACCTCCTATTTCTTACAGAATTCTAGCACTGCACTCCTGCTATTTGGTGCTGCTCAGGGTGGCTGCTTACACCCTCAGTCCTACCCAGTATGTGCCCCCAACACTACTGGTCATGCGAAATACAAAACAAAGGTAAGCTCCATTGAGGAGGGTGGAGGTTTTGCTGGCCTGCCTGGCAATTTAACAAGAGTAATATTGCTTTAAGAAAGCCTTCCCAAACCCAGTGCCCTCCAGATGTCTCCCAGTTGATGGGAGCACAAAGAGCACAAAGCAGCACCAGGCCCCTCCGAAGCTCATCTGTTACAGAAGAGGAGCTCTGCTTCCAAATGCCTGGGTAGCAACATGCCATGGTGGCTGTACCTTGTTGCACAAGGCTTTCTTGGCGATCCAGCGCCGGGTGGCTCTCCGGCAGTACAGTGGGGGAAACTCGTACTTGATGTCCAGCACCTTGCATGTCTTCTCAAAGACGTCGTACTTGGTGTTGCGCAGGTACTTCAGCAGCATATTCCGCCGGTCTATGGCTATCAACATCTGGCGACGGTTGACTGTGTCCTGGGGACAAGGGTTACTTGTTGCTAGTTACCACTACTACTATTAATTGTTTATATCCCAGATCTCAGGACATCTTTCCAAGGTGGCTGATCACACGAAGTATCAGCATATAAGTAATTGTGAGGATCCAGCTGGTGGTATATACAACAGTCTAAATGGACGCAACAGTCCAAATGGAGCAGCCTCTCTTGCTCTCCTGCTGGCATATAAAGCCCTAAACTACTTGGGACCAGGATACCTTGCAAACTATCTTCTTTTATACATTTGTACATCTCCAACCAATCATAAGATCTTAAGGAGGCCTTGCTAGGTCTACCGAGTTCAGTCAAATGAATCTATGCATCTAAGGCACCTATGAAGCGGGCCTTCTTAGTGATGGCACCCAATCTCTGGAACACCCTCTGCAATTTAGGAGGTGGGAAAAGGAGCACCTTTTATGCAGGCTTTCCCTGGACTATAAAGTTTTGCCGCACTGTTTTGTATTTACCGCTACGGATATTAACTGTTTTATTTTGTAAAATGCATTTATATTTTGGTTCTGACATCTTATGTAATCAGTGCTGCGCAAGATCCAACTTTGAAAGACATACTGACATTGCTTTGTATCTGAACAATGGCTGTAGCAGTTGGCACTCAACAGTAGCTCCACCCTGAAATACAAATTATCAGCTGGCTCCGAATACAGCATATATTGTGCTTGCATCAAAGACGGTTACCTTGGTGTGCATATGCAGATGTTCCTGGAGCGTGCGGATCTTGGCTGTCAAGAAGGCAACTGCAAGAGCAAAAGAAAGTCACTGCAGAAAGGCCAGAGACAAAGTGCCTATTCCAATGTTGAATGTTTCTGAATTCCTGCTTTAAAAACTGCGCATAGACATTGCCAGCCAGCAAGCAAACACAGGGAACTGACCACTTAGAGCTGGCTGCTGGATGTGCTTCCATTATTCTAGAGCTTGCACTTGACTAATGACAGTTTGATGTTATATAGCTGGAAGATCTAAGGGTCTTCCCTCTGGCTACTTCAAAATCCTTGCGTGGACTTTGGTAGTAGATATATGGCAGAGGTTGAGAACACTGTTGGCCTTCCAGGTGTTGTTGGACTGCAACTCTCATTAGTCCCAGCCAGCATGCTCAATGGTCCAAGAACACTTCAGTGTCTGTAGGTTCTCCACCTTGGTATAGGGCAAAAAGAGAATCATGACCACTCCACCTGCTCTGCTGAGAGACCAGCTCCATTTGGCTCCAGCCAAATGGAAACAGGAGGCAGCAGCTTTTCTCTTGGGACATATTTTTCTGCTTACCTTGGACCTCTAAGGAGCTAGTGTCAGTTGGGGACTTCCGGACCTGGTCTGCTAGCTGCTGTTTCTTGATTTTCACTTTCTCCTTCTGCATGCAGAAGGGGAAGACAAAATTAATACAACTAGATACTCATACAACTAGATGACTAATAGTCACTCAACCCTACTCCACTATGCAGGAATGGCAGGCCATTGTTTGCTTACAATGCCAACAGCAAACCTGCCTGCCTACAGAAAAGGCAGAAATTCTGTTTTTATGGCTTTTTTAATGGTAAAGCATGGAAGAGTGGGGGAATGAAGGAAGACTTGCCCCCAATCCTAATTTACCCATGTAGGAGAACACTGACCTGGCTTGCCATTTCCAGAGACAGCAACCTTCTCACAACATCATCTACCCTGCAGGAAAACAGAGAGTCCTTTGATTACTTGTCCCCGAATTGCTTAACATTTGGGGAACAGCTTTGAGAGATTAGAAATCAAGGGAGCCATGTTAGATATCCAGTATTAAATGTAAGTTATAGGATCACTAATTTAGGACCTCCCCCATCATCTGAAGACCCCAGTCACTAAAATGAGGCTTAAGTGGTTGCATTTTGGGGGCCCCTAAAGGGCAGCCCAATGTGGCAGACTTGCTGTTTCCTCCATGAAGCCCCTTTTCATGAAACTCACAGTCCTTCCCTGGTCCTCGCAAACCTTACTTGTCTATAACTGGGATGTTGGCATAAGGTTTCTTCAGCATTGTGGGAGGCAGATCATCCAAATGGCTGGGGATTTCTGCAACAACAGCAACACAGCAATAAGAGCACAGCAGCTGCCTTGCTAGTTCTCTCTAGTACAGAATACTTTTTTCTAACAGTAGTCAGCCAAGTATTGGTGGGAACACATGAGCTGATGTCTAAAAGAGAAGCTCTTGGCATCTCTCAGTAGGTAAAGAGAGGGAAGTACATTGTGGAAGCTAAAGAGGGACTCCAGTTGCAAAACATGGTGACCCACAAGCCAGCAGGAAGTTGGTTCACCTGGGCCAACAGAACATGTAGCAAGTGGTGTATCTTAACATGTCCAATCACCCTTTTTTATTTAACAGAACTTGTGTGCTGCTTAATTGTAAAAAAAAATCTAAGCAATTTTATTTTCCATTTCAATGGATTAGGAAATGGTGTAAGAGACAGAGACTCAGACCCATAATATCCAGTACAGTCATGAAACTGGAATCTCAAACAGTTCAGGTGACAGCCTTAGCAGACCAACTGCTTACAACAATGAGAATGTAATACAAACCTTGCTTTTTTCTACGGACAGGCCTGGCATAATCCCTGGCTGTTTGAAGGAGGGGGCTCTTATCTAAAAGGACAGAAAAGCAGCAGGGGTTACACTTGAGCCACATCAGTGCAATACAATAACACAACAGCACATTAACATTTTGCTCCTTGGAAGTAATTAGGCACATCACTTCTCTCTCTTGGTTTTTGGGGAGATAAAACAGCTCTTCCAGTCTAGAGAACAGCCTGTGGAGAAGCAATTTTTAGGCTCATAAGTAGACGGAACATTTCATATTTGAAGAAAGCATTCTGTTTTCTGCCCCACGGCCAATAAATGTGGGCAATGCATGAGCAGAGAAAGAGTAAGCTGCTCTGCCTTCACCCCCAACAAGGCTGCTGCAATTGCTCAGGTTGTTAGATGTGACCGAAAGTCACATTTTGGGCATTGGGCGAGGGAAGATCTCTAACAGCAAAATCCTTTGCATATTCTTTTCTATTCTAAGTTCAGTAGTGTCATGCAGTTTCCAGTTCAAGTAGAGGTTCCACTACAGGGAAAGAGGAAATGGCTACCAATGCAAGGGACATGTAAACAAGTTCTTTTGACATACAACAGCAACTTTTTAGTCACCATATTCTTTTCACAATCCAAGGCCGTAATCAAGATAATTTAGTGCATTAAGACCAGAAACGGAGGAAACAGCCCACTCTACTGCCTCCTTGGTTGTGAGCTTGATGTTGCATTTAATAGGTGAGGAGAGAGATGGAGTGAGAGGCCTTGGCACATGGAAGATGACAAGTGATGCAAGAACCCGTGACAGAGCTACAGAGACACCAAAGCAGCCCTCACTGCTGGGAAGCTCCATCTCCATCCACCAGATGCCAGCGTGGCACAGTGGTTAGTGTCAGACTAGGACCTGGGAGACCAGTGTTCAAATTCCCACTCAGTCATGAAGCCTACTAGGTGACCTTGGGCCAGTCATTATGTCTACTTCACAGGGTTCTTATGAGGATAAAATGGAGAGGGGCAAAAGGTGTGTACAGCACCTTTAGCTCCTTGGGAAAAGGTGGAATATAAATGTAATAATAAAATAAACAAATAAGTGGGATGGTGGAAGGTGTCTGCCACACTGCAAGGTAATTACCAGGTCAACCCCCTCCCCATGTCCTGCCTTCTGCTCCAACAAAGAACACGCATAGATGCGTTCGTCTATGGGTCTTCAGTGCGTTTTAGCCACCTCCCCAGGTGCCTTAAAGCAGATTGACTCCCAATCATATCCATGCTCTTGGACAAAGAGGCCACCCGGGTCCCCCTTTAATTCTATTTTGATGAGATGCATGTGACTTTTGCAAGCAGTTTGGAAGGCACCCTGTGGAAAGGGGCCTTTCTGTCACTTGCAGAGACGGGGACGGGGTGAATCCATTTCCCCCAACCTGGTGCCTTCCCGATGTTCTGCACTGAAATTCCCGCTAACCCCCCAAACAGCGTGGCCGCGTTCCCTTGAGCTCCGCCCGGCTGTGCTGTCTGGGACTGAATGGGAGCTGCACCCCAAGGTGCCAGGTAGGGGGAGGCCCGTATCTAATCCGAAGCAGAGGCAGTGTACACGGGACCAGCTGCGCGCGCTCCGAATTACTCAACCCCGAGCTCCTTACGCAGTGATCCCCGACCCGCCGCTGCCACGTGCGAGCCGAGGCAGCTCCATCCGCGCAGCGCGGCAGCCCCCGCCGCCGAGACTCCCCTGAACAACACCAGCGACATTCTCTCCCGGCTTAGTTCGTGGGCGCCGCCATCTTGGTGCGTCACAGGCCAGGTCCCCGCGGGAGCACCGAGAGCATCGATTGATACCCTGCGCGCCGGAGCCAATGGAAGGTAAAAGAAGAGGGTGAAGCCCGCCCCTTAGGTGATGAATGGCAGCCCCCGTTCCCAGCCTGCTTTTGTTCTGATGCCGAGCGCGGGCTGCCTGCGAGGTGGCTCAGTGGGAGCGACTTCAGTGCTTGGCAGAGCTTGCTCACTTGGGCTGCCTAGGCCAGCGTTGCCTGCTCTGGCTGGCAGCGGCTCCCTTTGATCTGGAGATGCGTGCTGGGGCTGGACCTGGCGCTGGGACTTTCTGCATGATGCAAAAAGGGCTCCACCACCACCACCTTCTCCTTCTTCTTATTCGGCGATCACTCATAGCCGAGTAAGATTGTCTTCCATGAACACGGTCTTAACAGTGAGTCTGTAAGTGACCATGGAGGCCAATTCTGGATCCACACGGCCTTCCACAGTGAGGTCATAGGTTTCTGGTGAACATCCTTCGGCTCCTCCATGATAATATGACAGCAACAATTGCAGATAACAACGGCTCTCAAAGTGAACCATTCACAGTGGGATCAAGTGTTAAACTGGGTTGTGTTATCACCCCAACTCTTTATTATTTTCATTGCCATGATCCTACACTTTGTTGAAGGGAAACTCCCCACCCGAGTAGAAATCATATATTGAACAGATGGAAAGCTCTTTAATCTGAGTAGGCTGAAAGCAAAGAGTAAGGTTCCCATAACTTCCATCATAGAGCTTCAGTATGCTCCACCACCACCAAGCTGTGGGTCCTCCCTAGCAGCTGGGAGCGGCCAGTTGGCCCAGGATTCTCTGCAGACATCAACCTCTCCCAAATTGGTGCCTGTCAGATGTTTTGGACTACAACTCCCATCAGCCTGAGACAGCTACACCAAAAACATTTGCAGATTGGTGTACTTGACTGGGATTGTGACCATCAACCATTATTTTGTAGCAGATGTGACATATGCATTGCTTTTTAAATCCGAAATGATTTTAATCAGAGATGGTGTAGGCTGAACCAGGAATCTTAGGTGCCCCCAAGAGGTGCTGCACCAGCAAAGCTAAGGGTCTCCCTTTAATTGTGGGAATATTTTTGTGACCTGTTCAGTGGCTGGTTGGTGGGGGACCCTTGACTTACCTTTAAAGGAACTCCGGGGTTGTTTCCACACTAAAATCCTTTAGCACTGCCAATACACTTATTTACAGGTAGTGAAAGGGGAATTAAAACAGAGGTGTCATATAGTCTTGGTGCAGTAATGCCCTTCCCTGTATGCAAGCTCTATTTATAGTGAGCTAGTTCACTTCACGGATCAATGCCTTGCCGTGGCAAAGGGGCTTGAATAACTCAGAGGAGCTATGAGCTATGCCGTGCAGGGCCACCCAAGATGGACAGGTCATAGTGGAGAGTTTTGACCAAACATGATCCACCTGGAGCAGGAACTGGCAAGCCACTCCAGTATCCCTGCCAAGAAAACTCCATGGACAAAGACAACAGGCATATAAAAGTTATGACGCTGGAAGATGAGCCCCTCAGGTCGGAAGGCGTCCAACATGCTACTGAGGAAGAGTGGAGGACAAGTACAAGTAGATTCAGAGCTGATGAAGCGGCTGGGCCAAAGCCGAAAGGATGCTCAGTTGCGGATATGCCTGGAAGCGAAAGGAAAGTCCAATGCTGTAAAGAAAAATATTGCATAGGAACCTGGAATGTAAGAACCATGAACCTTGGTAAGTTGGATGTGGTCAAAAATGAGATGGCAAGAATAAATATTGACATCCTGGGCATCAGTGAACTAAAATGGATGGGAATGGGCGAATTCAGTTCGGATGACCATCATATCTACTACTGTGGGCAAGAATCCCGTAAAAGAAATGGAATGGCCCTCATAGTCAACAAAAGAGTGCCGAAAGCTGTACTGAGATGCAATCTCAAAAATGATAGAATGATCTCGATACGAATCCAAGGCAGACCTTTTAACATCACAGTAATCCAAGTTTATGCACCAACCACTGGTGCTGAAGAAACTGAAATTGACCAGTTCTATGAAGACTTACAACACCTTATAGAAACAACACCAAAGAAGGATGTTCTTCTCATTATAGGGGATTGGAATGCTAAAGTAGGGAGGCAAGGGATAAAAGGAACAACTGGCAAGTTTGGCCTTGGAGTTCAAAACGAAGCAGGGCAAAGGTTAATAGAGTTCTGCCAAGAGAACAAGCTGGTCATCACAAACACCACCAGATGGGCAGCATCGAAATCAGATTGATTATATTCTCTGCAGCCAAAGATGGAGAAGCTCTATACAGTCAGCAAAAACAAGACCTGGAGCTGACTGTGGCTCAGATCATCAGCTTCTTATAGCAAAATTCAAGCTTAAACTGAAGAAAGTAGGAAAAACCACTGGGCCGGTAAGATACAATCTAAGTCAAATCCCTTATGAATACACAGTGGAAGTGAGGAACAGGTTTAAGGATTTAGATTTGGTGGACAGAGTGCCTGAAGAACTATGGATGGAGGCTCGTAACATTATACAGGAGGCAGCAACTAAAACCATCCCAATGAAAAGGAAATGCAAGAAAGCAAAGTGGCTGTCCAACAAGGCATTACAAATAGCGGGGGGAGAGAAGGCAAGCTCAATGCGGGGGAGATAGTGAGAGATACAGGAAATTGAATGCAGATTTCCAAAAATAGCAAGGAGAGACAAGAAGGCCTTCTTAAACGAGCAATGCAAAGAAATAGAGGAAAACAATAGAATGGGGAAAACCAGAGATCTGTTCAAGAAAATTGGAGATATGAAAGGAACATTTCGTACAAAGATTACCATAATAAAAGACAAAAGTGGAAAGGACCTAACAGAAGCAGAAGACATCAAGAAGAGGTGGCAAGGATACACAGAGGAACTATACCAGAAAGAAATGGATGTCTCGTATACCCCAGGTAGTGTGGTTGTTGACCTTGAGCCAGACATCTTGGAGAGTGAAGTCAAATGGGCCTTAGAAAGCACTGCTAATAACAAGGCCAGCGGAAATGATGATATTCCAGCTGAACTATTTAAAATTTTAAAAGATGATGCTGTTAAGGTGCTACACTCAATATGCCAGCAAATTGGGAAAACTCAGCAGTGGCCAGAGGATTGGAGAAGATCAGTCTACATCCCAATCCCAAAGAAGGGCAGTGCCAAAGAATGCTCCAACTACCGTACAATTGCACTCATTACACATGCTAGCAAGGTTATGCTTAAAATTCTACAAGGCAGGCTTAAGCAGTATGTGGACCGAGAACTCCCAGAAGTGCAAGCTGGATTTAGAAGAGGCAGAGGAACCAGAGACCAAATTGCAAACATGCGCTGGATTATGGAGAAAGCTAGAGAGTTCCAGAAAGACATCTACTTCTGCTTCATTGACTATGCAAAAGCCTTTGACTGTGTCAACCACAGCAAACTATGGCAAGTTCTTAAAGAAATGGGAGTGCCTGATCACCTCATCTGTCTCCTGAGAAACCTCTATGTGGGACAAGAAGCTACAGTTAGAACTGGATATGGAACAACTGACTGGTTCAAAATTGGGAAAGGAGTACGGCAAGGCTGTATATTGTCCCCCTGCTTATTTAACTTATATGCAGAATTCATCATGTGAAAGGCTGGGCTGGATGAATCCCAAGCCGGAATTAAGATTGCTGGAAGAAATATCAACAACCTCAGATATGCAGATGATACAACCTTGATGGCAGAAAGTGAGGAGGAATTAAAGAACCTTTTAATGAGGGTGAAAGAGGAGAGCGCAAAATATGGTCTGAAGCTCAACATCAAAAAAACGAAGATTATGGCCACTGGTCCCATCACCTCCTGGCAAATAGAAGGGGAAGAAATGGAGGCAGTGAGAGATTTTACTTTCTTGGGCTCCATGATCACTGCAGATGGCGACAGCAGTCACGAAATTAAAAGTCGCCTGCTCATTGAGAGAAAGGCGATGGCAAACCTAGACACCATCTTAAAAAGCAGAGACATCACCTTGCCAACAAAGGTCCGTATTGTTAAAGCTATGGTTTTCCCAGTAGTGATGTATGGAAGTGAGAGCTGGACCATAAAGAAGGCTGATCGCCGAAGAATTGATGCTTTTGAACTATGGTGCTGGAGGAGACTCTTGAGAGTCCCATGGACTGCAAGAAGATCAAACGTATCCATTCTGAAGGAAATCAGCCCTGAGTGATCACTGGAAGGACAGATCGTGAAGCTGAGGCTCCAGTACTTTGGCCACCTCATGAGAAGAGAAGACTCCCTGGAAAAGACCCTGATGTTGGGAAAGATTGAGGGCACAAGAAGAAGGGGACGACAGAGGACGAGATGGTTGGACAGTGTTCTCGAAGCTACAAACATGAGTCTGACCAAACTGCGGGAGGCAGTGGAAGACAGAAGTGCCTGGCGTGCTCTGGTCCATGGGGTCACGAAGAGTCGGACACGACTAAACGACTAAACAACAACAGTTCAGTTCTAATGTTAATTAAAGCTCCAATGACTTTTAAATGCCTTTTAAAATGTATGTGTCTGGCCAAGCTATCCTGGATTTTGACTTACATTTTTTGTATTTATTTTGTGCTGTTGTGTTTTCAACCACTTTTAAAAGTAATTTTTTGAATACTAATATATTGATTTTTATGCTCAATTTGCCCCTAATATATGCACTTTTGTAATCCTTGCTTGGTTGGAGAACTGCATTTAAAAATTTGGATAAGTGTGAATTCGGAAGGATAGCTGTATTTCAAATTGCATGTTGTTTCAGGAAGTGCAAATATGGCAGTGTCACCTTTAAACACAAACCAAATTTCTCCCCCATCCCTTCTGGAGGACTGCAACTGCCTTAAAGGTTTGCATGTGATCTGAGTAAGAGGGTTCACACTCTCCCGCCAGCACCTTCTGTGACCTTGCAAAGTGCCCTGAAGTGGAGCACGCTTTGATTCCACTCTTCTTCATTGGGGCCCTGAAAAATGCAACTGCCCCTGAGCAACTGCTTGGGTTGGTTTGCAGATGCACTGACAGAATATGAAGGAAAAGCTAGAAAATAATAGATGATGCTCCCCCTGCTCCCTACCCCCTGGTGCGCCACCACAGATTGCAACAGAACTATGAGACCCGCATCTTCCAAAGTTCCTAGGAAGTTCTTTAGGGATCATGTGCTGATTTTCCACCCAACAAAAAAGATGGGGTAGGGGCTGCAGCCAATTCTTGTCTGCAATCTCTGCATGAGGGGTGTTGCGGGAGGAGGAGAGTGCAAGAATTACGATGACAAACTCAAGGAGAATTGTGGAGCACTTTTAATTTGCAATGTTCCATATACATGATAAATAAACAGCAGCAGTGGGTATAAACACGTTGAAGAAAACTGGCGTTCCCAACCCTACTTCTGGGAACATTCATCCCCTCTGATTTCCTGCTCAGGCTGTGCTAAACAGGGAAAACCCCGTTTCCCCTTCTCAATTCTCCAAGCTCCTCCTTGGTTTCCCCTCCAAACCCTTTCAGGCAAAAATTGACATTTTGTGGGCACCCTTGTTTCCTGCTACAGAAGGAGCAACACAGTATTTCCTTTGCACAACACAACTTTATGCTAGCATGTACCCTGGTCTGACCTTTTGTATTTTTGTGACGACTGCAATGGCTTTTAGCAAACAAAGCTGACTGATGAAATGAGAAAGGAGCAACTTCACAATGATTGTGAGTTTCTCGGGCTGCTCTTTTTCTCATGCCTCTTCCTTTTCCTCCTCCCCACCTTGGGAGGTTCTGGATTGTGGCTCTCATCCAGCTGGCACTGTGCTTTCTGCAGCTTCTCCACAGCTGCTCCTTCTTTCCCCAACACCTTTGCACAGCAGAGGCAGATGTCCCCAGAAATGTGGCCAGCCCAGGGAGTTTGCCTTTAGGTATGGGCTGCCCCTGTTTTTCTGAGCAGCGGAGACCATGCCACATGGGGAAGAGAGGGGAGTCTCCATTTGCAAGTGCTTGGTAGACTTGAGGTGGGAGGTGGGTTGTCCATGCAGGTCCAGGGTCACAGCAGCAGGGGGCAGCACGAGGTCATCAGCAGGGGTTGAATAGGGGGTCACAGTTATGGAAAGTGGAAGGAACCCAAGGCAGGGCTTCTTTCAGTTCTGTTCAGTTCTGCAAAGCAGATGTTCTTCCACTGAGATACACCCCTTCCCCTAAAGGGGAGCAAAAGGCATCACTCGGGGAACACCACTCCAACATCCGCTCCACTTTCTTAGTCTCTCTAGGGTGACACAAAATCTAGGTGGCTGGATGTTCGGCTGGAATAATTCAGTGCTTCCTCCAGTGAAGGAGGAGAAGAAAAATGCAAGAAGCCACAAGCAGCTCCAGTTTGATGCTCCCCCCCGTCAATCAGGTTCTACAGTTTTCGGAAGTTGCTCAGGTCTTCATCCCCATCGATTTTGAGGCCCTGGAGCAACGGGAAATCTAACAGGGCCCTGTCCAGGAAAACGGCATCCTCCTGACAACTGTAGTCGAGCTCTCTGTTTGGATGGTCGCTGTGAAACCACAAGTTCTCGTAGGGCTTTGGGCTTGGCGTCCTGTCGCTTAGGAGGGGCTGTGTGGAGTTGGAGCGCATGTAGAAACTGGGCGAGGCCTTCTGTTGGCTGCAGTAGCTGTCCACAAACACCTTTGCGTACTGGACAGACTCCGGGCTGTTCACGTAAGAGGCTGGCGCTGGGTCACCGGTTGGCAAAGTGGTCTCAGCATTAGCCATATAAGATTCCAAGGAGGCTGTCATTGACCCATCCTCCAGGGCCTTAGCAGGCTCCCCCTTCCCACAGGAAAGGCATTTCTTCTCATCCGCTTCAATCACCAAGATGGCCGAAACAACAACAGGGCTGAGCTCGCACGACTTTGGAGCCTGGAGGATCTCCTGGGAAAGAAGGCAGTAGGTCAAGTTAACAGCTAATGGCCACAGTACAGGTCACCCCGCTGTTGGGTGAGAGGAAAGGCCCATCATCCCTTGAGGTGGAATAACCATCCCCGGTGAGGCCTCAGCATCAGATGGTCTCTGAACATGAAGGCTTTGCAGTGTTGGTCCTCATAGCTAGAAAACTCCAATAATCTTGGATTCATCCATGTATTCATCTGGACCAGTTGTCTCCAACCTGGTGCCCTCTGGACACTTTGGACCTCCACTACCATCAGCATAGCCATAAGATGCTGGTGCCAGTGCTGGCTGCAGCTGATGGAAGTTGTGGTCGAATTCGGCTTGAAGACAGGAGGGTGGCAAAGGCTGACCTGAGCCAACAAAGCACAGCTGAGGCCCATGTCCTTAAACATCCCTGGCCTGTGGCTGCCGACCTTTGGGGTCAGTATGTGCTGATACCTTGCTGTGGCTACTATGCGATGTGGGGCTCGTGATGTGCAGAACTCAGCCCATGACTCACACTGCAGCTGAGATGTGTGTAAAATGTGGGTCAGTATTCCAAAAGGCCTGTGCAGGTAGGGGAGGAATAGGAGGGGCAGCAGGCCAAGCCCAAGCGACTCTACCCCCCACACTACATTTACCTCTTGCAGAATGGCTGGTGCCCATTTGCCAAGGCTGCTGTTGGCTGGGTCAGGGACGCTGGGCCAGAACTGGGTTTTCATCCTGTGGGTCACATGAGAGAGAGAGATCTGGTGAGACTCAACATCCTAGGAGGCAGGATGGACATCCCACGAAAGGCAGGATGTTATTGCTTTCTCTGTGTCAGCCTGATTCCCATTCAACCACTAAGAGCCCAGCTTATTGCTCCTCCTTTAATTCCCCATTGTCCCACCCCCTCCAACTACTGTTGTCCCACACTTTCCCCTCCTGATATTCATATGCTTTGAAATCCAAATAGGAGAGCAACATCAATTGCATAGGAAATCTCCATCCTTTGAAATCCACACTTATCTGAATTTTGTGATGTAGTTATCCACTCAAACAATGTTCACAAAAGTGCGTAAAAAGCTCGCACAAAAAATAATATATTAGTGAACTTAACATACACAAGTGCATTATATTCTTGCACAAATGTGTACGTCAGTCAAAAGAGTACAGTGTATAAAATATGTTTGTTAGGAGAAATTCATATTAAAATGCTGATGAATTTTAATGAGGATTTTTTAAAATTGCAAATTGCTGCAAAATGTGGAGAACTGAACTTAAGATTGGGAAAATGAGAAATCTAAATAACTGAAATTGACTGATCCTTCCCTCCCTACTCTGAGTCCCGACTCATTCTTTCTCCTTGTCCTTTGCTTTCATGCTCATTCCCTGCTTCTTCCCTACTTACATCCCAAGCCCTGGTCTCTTCCTTTCCTCCTCCTGCAAATATCTCACTTCCTATCTGAGGCCCTCTGGGCAACCACTGTGTTTCCTCATCTGCTATCAGAGATGACAAGCAGGATGAGTTCTGCAACTCCTCCCCACACTCACCTTTTGCTCTTCTGGAAACAGATGACCAGGACAATAATTGCCAGCAAGAGGAGCCCAATCAGCATGTAGACAAAGGGGAGGTCCATGTCATCTGGAAGAGAGAGATCACAGAGGAGTAAGCCCAGGTGATAGTGGTGGCATGTTAAGAGGACCTTCCGCATTTGGGACTGGAGGAGAGAGAGGGGGATGGGGTGCACTTGGACTTGTTTAGCCTTGCATGGGCATCATTTGCTGGCTGCAGCCTCAAGCGGGGATGCCTTGCCGATGTGAGCCACAATGCATGTCAGGAATGTGCTCCCCCCCCCCCGAGTGCAGCAGAAGAGTAAGCCTCAGAAATTGAGCTAAGTGAGCAGGGGGCCGACTCTGCTGATGAGAGCTGGCTGTCAGAGTCTAGAAAGGGCAGTCCAGCCCCCCTCCTTCCCCGGGAAGACGCTGTTAGCTCCCAAGGAGAGGAAGAGTTGGAAGGTGCCCAGAGCATTGCCAGGCAACCAGCAGATAAGCCAGAGTCTGAGGCTGTGTCTTCTAGGAGTGGGGAGGAGACAGACCAGCAATTCAGTCCCCATACTAGGAGACTGGAGAAGCTCAGAGAACAATGGAAGGGAAGGAGAAGAAAGGTGGGATTTTGTTTGTTTGTTTGTTTGTTTATTTATTACATTTATATCCCACCTTTCCTCTGAGCTTGAGGTGGCATATATAGTTCTCTTCCCCTCCATTTTATCCTCTCAACAACCCTGTGAGGTAGGCTTGGGTGAGAGAATGGCAGAATACAAGTAAGCTTCCCCCAGCATGAGCTGGCCTATAGCTTCATAGCCAAGTAGGACGAGAACCCTGGTCTCCCAGGTCCTAACCTGACACTCTAACCCCGACACCACACTGTCTGCGTTTTAAAAAATGACTTTTTTGGTGTAGGTTGGAGATAATATCCACTTGACCAGCACACACATGTTCAAAATGAGGCAGCAAATGCCCTGAATAGCAGCAGAATGTGACAGTGTGCTCACCATCCCGGGACCTGATACAGAACAAAATATGTCTGCCCCTAAGCCTTTGTTGTACTACCTACAAAAAAAGTATAAAATGATAGAACCAGATACTGTCATTGGAGAGAAGGTTCCCAAATGTCATCTAGCCCAACCCCTTGCAATGCAGGAATCACAGCTAAGTGGAAAGAAAGATGGCTGTCCCTTCACAGGCCATCTTTTCCAGAGGTATTTGCTGCCCCACTCTGAGCATGTGTGTAGTGATGGTGGCAGAAGTGGCCTCCTTGTTGTACGGGGAGGCCATTATCTGCAGAAAAGACAAACTTTTTTTTTTAAAGGATAGTCCAGAAAACTGCAAGTTTTAAAAGAAACCCTTACTTTGCCCCGCCTACCTGGACATCTGCTTCCACCTCCCAAACTTTTTGAGGTGTTTGCTCACCCCAAATGCAGCTGAAAACATAATAACTTAACAAGAGCCCTCTCCCCTCCTGGGGTTTCCAGCAACTATATTCAGAAGCACTGCTACCCCCAAGTGTGGAGGCAGAGCATGGAGACAGCCCACCGCCCCCACGAACCCAGCCCCACCCTCCATCCTATGGTTCTCCTTACCAATCGCCTTGGTATAGAACGTGAGGATGGTACCGTTGGTGCTCCCACCCACTGTTGAGGCCATGATGTACACCCTGTACATTCTGGAAGGCCAGAGACCCACGATGGTGAAGGTGTCGACTGAAGAGTTCACGACAGCACCTAGACAAAAGGCAGCCATGTTTAGCCCCCGCAGGGTGAAAGTGTAGCTGAGGCAGGGGGTTCTGAGGCCAGAGGGTGGGTAGATTTGACAAAAGGCCACCTGGCAATGCTTCGGACAATGTGGCCTCTAGTCTAGCCTATGAAAGCTGGTGTCACCGTAAATTTTACCAACACGACTCATGTTGTTCTGGCCTAGTAGGTTTTAGAAACTATACAAAACCCTATTCAGTGGAAGTTATAGCACTGTATATGCTTTGATAGGCAGCCTACATGTGAAGGGATATAGAAAGGTATAGAAGAGATTGTGAAAGGATGTAGTGAGGAGAATCTGCTTGCTCGGACTGTATAATGTGTCGAGATTGTGCGGGAAAATCTCACTCTTGAGGTATGTAGCCCGATAGTAAGTAGGTACCCTGTTCTTCACTGAATCAGACATCCAGCTCTCATGATGCAGGTACACTTTTCCTCCAAGAACTGGTTCACCCACACTTCTGTTTCCCCGCAATTTCTTCCATTTGTCCGGAGATTTCTAGCCATGGGTCCAAGAGGTTTCTTTTGTTGTCGTGCTGCTTTCCCCATGAAAACCTGCCGTTTATTGCTGAATCAGAATGAACGCCGATCTGCAGCAAACCCAATCGACGTTTGTTCCAACTGAGCAGTAAACAGTGGGCTTTTCTGAGGAAAGTGGCAGGACAACAAAACAAAACAAAAACAGAACCTATCAAATACCTGACTAGAAACAAACAGAAGTGTGCATGAGCCCAACGTGACTTAATTTCTACGCATGCGTAAAGCTAAGGTAAGGGAAAGCCTCGGTATAAGCCTGGGTGATTTATAGGCTGGTGGACTCCAGTTCTGTGGGTTTCCCAGAGGCTGCTGCTATGACCAAGGAATTATCCACACTTATCTCTTGCCCCACTGATTCCAGGCACAGGCCTGTGTTTAAAAGTTCTGTGTCTGAGCATCCCCTGCCCCGAGAGCTTTCCCACAAAAACCTGCTCTTTAGCACTCAATCAGAGCAAACAATAGTAGCTCCAGAGCAAAACCAAAAAAGAGGGACCTTTGGACATGGAGCTTTAAAATGCGGAGCATGCCTGGAAAGAGCAGAGGACAGGTAAAAAGGTAAAGGTAAAGGGACCCCTGACCATTAGGTCCAGTCGTGGCCAACTCTGGGGTTGCAGCGCTCATCTCGCTTTATTGGCCGAGGGAGCCGGCATACAGCTTCCGGGTCATGTGGCCAGCATGACTAAGCCGCTTCTGGTGAACCAGAGCAGCGCACAGAAACGCCGTTTACCTTCCCGCCTGAGCGGTACCTATTTATCTACTTGCACTGGTGTGCTTTCGAACTGCTAGGTGGGCAGGAGCTGAGACCGAACAACAGGAGCTCACCCACATCGTGGGGATTCGAATCGCTGACCTTCTGATCGGCAAGCCCTAGGCTCTGTGGTTTAGACCCGCGTCCCCCTAGAGGACAGGTAAGGGTGGATAAACCCCAGGTAAAATTGTCTTAAACATCATAATGGTGGGGCTGTTGAAGAAATCCACTGCACCTCCAGGCCTGTTGACCAGAGGTGAAGTTAGACACCCAGCCATCTGTGCAGCAACGCAGATGCCTTCTTCCAGCCCAACTTGAGCTCTTCTTGTCCACTGGCTGGGCAATTCAGGGTCCTCTCACCCTTTGCTGGGGGGATATGAAATGACACAACTGGGAGGGGCTGAATGTATGGGTGTGACTCACTTTTCAGGTCCTCATTGGTGCCGTTCCAGAAAATGGTGTAGTTGGTGATGAAGCCATGCCGCTTTTCAACCGGGATGGGTTCCCAGTGAAGCTGAGCTGTGGACTTACTGATACTCCCCGGGTGGAGTTTGGGGGTGTCAGATGGAGCTGCAGAGGGGAAAAAGGGGGGTTATTACTATTGCCACCAGCAAACCAGGGTCACCAGGAGGCTGCAGGGGGACTGATGGGTTTTATTAGGGCAGATCCACAGCATAGTTTTGAAGCACATGGCTTTCCCCAAAGAATTCTGGGAATGGTAGTTTGAGTCCCAGCTTTGTGAGGGAGGGGAAGACTACAGTTCCCAGGATTTTGGGGCGAGAAGTTAGGCACTTTAAAGGCACATTGGGTGTGCTATAATCCCATGGTGTGAATCCAACCTGAGAAAGGCAATCTGGACCAAGGCTTGCTAGGAGTCATCCCTGGAAGCTGCTCTTAGCTCTACATTTCAGAAAGATAGTGCCTGAACATGTGCGGAGTATCTTTCCAGCACCACTGTACATCCACAGGCACTCCCTAACCCAATCAGAGGAAGTGGCATCCAGAAAGGTTTAGGGTTAACTCAAATAATAGCATGGGAATTTGTAATTTTGGAAATTAAGTTGTGGGGCGTGAATATCTGGGGGAAGGGAGGAATCCTCCAAGTCTAAGGGGACCCTCCGGAGATGTCTTTCCTATGCTGCATTTGTGTGTTCTCATGATGGTATCAGGGCAGTTATAAGCGATTCCAATACTCTTTGGGGCAGACTTGCTGCTTCGTTTCCAATCAGTGCATATCAGGGGGTGGGGCTTGTCTGGCTTTTGTGGCACAATAGCGCAAGAGTTCCCCTCTGCCTCCAGACAGCAATAATATGATAACACTGGTCAATCTCTGCAGCACAACTAATACAGCAGAATGGCATGTGGATGGTCCCAACATAAATCCACCACTAATGCACTATTATTGTATCAATTACAAGCTGCAGAAAAGAACCTCCCTCCTGCAACCACCCACATCGGTCTGGATGGTTCCCAAGATGCCGAATGAAGACAGTTTTGTTGGAAGGAAGATAGTTTTATGCGTCCAAATAAGACTGTGCATCCCCAGATGATGGCAGCTGAGAAGAAGCAGGGGGAGGCCATACCTTTCTGCCTGGTGTAAACTTCCAAACACTGGGGCATCCCCACTCTGTCCCTGTAGAGTGGGTAGATGGAGATGTTGTAGCGTTGAAAAGGTTTCACGTTTTCTGAAAGAGAGAAGGGGAAGGTTGTCCGTGAATGTGAGAATGGGAGCCAGAACATCAGAAGGTGAGCTGGTGACTGGGCCTGAAGAACAATCTGGGATATGTACCCATTTCACAGAAAAGAGTGTGGAGGGACTCTCAGCTGTCCTACCCCACTAACGGGCATCCCTCCTCTGTGTCCCAAGTGGCTCTTCCAATGGATGAAAGGGCTCCAGCCCTCTCTCTCCCTCTCACCTTGGATCAGAGCACGTGTGACGGTGCCACTCTGCACTTTGGTCCATCGCATGTTGTTGTGACCGTGGTTGCCATCAGATGAGTCTTCCGCTGAGGTCATGCTGTGCCACTCGATGATGTAGCCCCTGGCTGGTGTCACTGGGGGATCCCAGAACACCCAGATGCTTGTCTCGTTGTGAGGGGAGGCCTGGAACTTGGGCACGGGTTGACCTACGGACAGTATCAAGAAGATGCAGGGGAGATGGTTAGAATTATAGGCAAGAGAGCATAAGAAGGCTAACTGGTGATGGGGGGGATCATAGAATCAGAGAGATGAAAATGACCCCAAGGGTAATTAGTCCAGCCTCCGCAATGTCAGAATCACAGCTTAAGAACCTCTGACAGATGGCCATCCAACCTCTGCTTAAAAGCCTCCAGCGAAAGGAGACTCCCTCGGAAGGTGATGGACTCTCCTTCACTGGAGGATTTTAAGCAGAGGTTGGGCGTCAGAGATTCTTCAGCTGTGATTCCTGAAATGGCAGGGGGTTGGACTAGATGATTATCAGATCCCATTTGACTTTACAATTCTACGATTCTGTGATTCTAGTTTGCTCCACTTTCAAACAGCTCTCACGGTCAGAAAGGCAGCAGACTGTCCTTTGTTGGAGGTTTTGAGCAGAGGTTGGACGGCTATCTGTCAGTAGTGACTCCTGCGTTGCAGAAGGTTAGACCGAATGACCCTTTGGCTCCCTTCCAACTCTACAGTTCTATGATTCTATACAATCTCCACACAGTACATATGTGTACTTGGAGATGGCAATTGACCTCTTTATCATTGCTGTGCCTTAGTTGTGGAAGACCTATGCAAGACCTCAGTATAAGCTTTTTAAAAATTTTAAAAATCCAAAGCACAACCCTCTTTTGCCCATTTCTCCAATCCTGTACCTATCTTTGGAAAATCTTTGGATAGGTACAGAAATACCTGTGTGTGTTCTCCAAAGAGAAGGTAGCGAATGGAGAGAGAGAGGAGTAATTGAGGTGAGGGGCTTGCGCACCCGCCCTGATACCATTGGTCAAGTTGTATCCATTAGTGTGGATGGCAAGCAGTAGAACAGAGATGAATATCCAGGATGGAAAAAACCCCAGAAACCTGTGGCACACAGAAAAACCAAGCCCCAAGACTTGTGTAGAGGGAAACCCCAAAATCCTGCAGCTGGCAGTGAATATGCTCCTACTCTTGAGAAAGTGAATACATTGCAAGAGGTGTGTAAAAGTGACTCTTTGCAGGAGAGCTGTCCCCAGATTGAGGAGGCTCCTACCTTTCTTCTCGGACAAGTAGACTTCAGTGGGCTGAGATGAGCCTCTGGCGTTGTAGGCCATGAGATAAATCTTCTGGGTTCCAAGTGGAAGTGAGAAAGTGCAGCACGTCTCAGAGGTGTTGCACAGTGGCGATGGCTCCCCGCTGTGCCGCCGGGTGCTGAGGGTGGCCATGTAACCCAAGATTTTCCCATGGGCCTCATTGGGTTTCATTGGCTGCACAATAAGAACAGAAGAACATAAGAAGAGCCTGCTTGATCAGGCCCATGGCCCATCTAGTCCAGAATCTTTTTCTCACAGTGGCCAGCCAGATGCCCCAGTGGGAAACCCGCAAGCAGGATTCAAGCACAAGAGCCCTCTCCCCTCCTGTGGTTTCCAGTATTCAGAAGCATCGCTGCCTCCAACTGTGGAGGCAGAGCAGAGTCACCATGGCTAATAGCCATCGGCAGCCCTCTCCATGAATTAGTCTAATTAAATTTGGTGGATATCACTGCATCCGGTGGCAGTGAGTTGCATAGTTTAACTATGTTTAGCTGCATGACGAAGTCCTTTCATTTATCTGACCTGAATCTCCCAACATTTCTTGAGAAAGACAGCCTCTTGTTGCCCACTTTACTGTAAGGGGTTGCTTGCTTAATGAATGAACCAAAAGTGCACATTATATCCAACATGGGTGGGAGCAGAAGACCCTGGATTAGCCTCTTGCACCTTATGATGATGCCTCCTAAGACTGCAAGACACAGATCTCATGAGGGCTTCTTGCCTTGCACAAGCTGGTGCCCTCCAGATGTTTTGGAATGGTCAGATTGTAGCCGATGCGAGTTGTAGCCCAAAAATCCTGGAAGGCACCAGGTTGCAGGAGAATGGTTGGCCTTGAGGTCTGCAGTGTAGTCCCCCACCCCTCACCTTCCACAACAGCTGCACTTCAGTTCTTGCCTCTGCCTCCCTGGTCTTCACTTTCCACCAGGCATCAAGCTCTCCTGAAGGTGCTGGAAGAGAAAAAGAGGCTTTGGGTCCATCTACACTGGAGTTTAATGTGAATTTGAAGTTGCTTGTGTCTCTCTTGTTTTTGTTGTGGTAGGGTCCACACCGTATCCTCATTAAAGTGACAGCCCACACTCCCACCACCGCTAAATTTGGACTTTTCTATCCATAGGAAGAAAATTCAGTATAGGCCCAGGCTGTCTGAAGGACCATATTCTCCCATACAAACCTTCCCTGGGTTCTGAGATCTTTGGGGGAGACCTTTCTCTTAGTCCCAACACCATCATAGGCACACTTGGTGGGGATGTGGGAGAGGGGCTTCTTGGTGGCTGCTCCTAGACTCTCAAACTCCTTCCCTAGAGATGCAAGACTGGCTTCTTGTAGTCCTTCTACCGGCAGCTAAATACCTTTTTATTCTAATAGGCCTTTGGGAACTGACTCTTTTTCAATAGCTTTTAATACTGCTGTGCTGTTTTATTATCTGAATTTTAACAGAGCTGGTTTTTTTATATTGTATTAATTCTATTAATTATTGTTATTATTAATAACATCCTGCCCTTTTGTCAGATCAGTACTCAAGGCACAAATTAAAACAACACACATAAAATACAGAAGTCTAAAAACATACGGAAAATAATTGTTCGAAAGTAATTAAACTCTTATCTTTTGTATGTTTTTAGCCTTCCGTATTTTATCTGTGTTGTTTTAATTTGTGCCTTGAGTACTGATCTGAAAAAAGGAGATTATTATTATTATTATTAATAATAATACAAAATTGCAAGTTACCTGACTGTGGGTACACTGAACTGCCTTGTGTGGGTGGCTGGGTTTTTTTTTTTTTACATGTGTGGTGGAAAGTGATCCTTCCCTGGGTGCTGCCTTTCACGACACCCCTGACTTCCATTTTGTTTCTGTCAGCCCAAAGGAAAGAAGGTAGCCTGTTGTTTTTCAATGGTTGTTGCTGGAGGTACCTTGGCGGTCCTTTTATTTTTGAAAATGCTCTTGAACAAAACAGCTGTACAAAAGTGTTGGCAGATAAACTCTTTCCCTCCTCATCCTGCATGGTTTGAGGCTGGATCGGTTCTGAGGCTGCCTCCCAGCAACTCCTCCTGGCTCACTCAAAACCCTTTAACAGCACAGGGAACGGAGGAACCCCTGGTTTCTTATTTGGATGAGCTTCTCAGTTGAGAGCTTAGGAGGGGCTCTGGACTAGCCCCCTGCCCTGCTTCCCCCTTGACAACAGGGCCACAGGATTTCGGAAGAAACTGCCCCTCCGTTCCGCCCACCTTTCTCGTGGGTGGTGAAGTTCATCATTGGACTCCAGTCACTCCAGTAGCCGGCTCCACCAAATCTCTGGCAGCGCATCTGGAAGTGGTAGAGGGTCCCAAAGAGGAAGCCGCAGTGCCACACACGCCACACTTCCTGCCTTTCCCAGGTGGGGTTGGTGATATTGTGGACCTGGGGGGCGAAAAGCGAGAGTGAGAATGAGCTGTGATTCCTGTATTGCAGGGGCTTGGACTGGGTGGGCCCCTTCCACCTCTACAGTTCTACAAAGAATAACAGCCAATCGTTCAAGGCTGCTGTGCCATTGGCCCCTTGGGTGTAGGGATGGAAGGATCTGCCAGGTTCACTTCTCTCCCTTTCTCATTTTCCCAATCTGCAACTCTCCAGCAATCTGTGCCTTAACAAAAATCCTTTTTGGAAACCCTTAAGTGTTAGAGGAAGGTTACCAGATGTCCCCGTTTCCCAGGGACAGTCCCCAGATTTACAAATCAGTACCCTGACAAAATCCATCCCTTTCAACTGAAGTTGAAAAGTGTCCCTGGATTCATTGAAAAAAATCTGGTAACCTTATGTTAGAGTGGAAATTTATCCTACTAAACACACTTTCTGTCTGCAGTTTTGAGTAATGTACATATTTTGTAAGCACTTTCCCCTAAAATAAAGCATTTTTCTTTGTTGTTTTCACTAATATATTCTTTGTAATTAACACTTTCCCCAAATAAATGCATTTTGGTAAACAATGGTCAATCGGAGAACTCCATCACCAAATCCGGATATGTGCAATTTTCAAAGTTCTTATATTGTTTCAAAAAGTGCAAATTTAATAGATTTGGCTTTCAATGTGAATGAAATAGAACTTCTCCTGACCCCTGTGTTCAGAGCCCAGCCTTCACCAACTCTTTGCCCTTGGCCAGCACAGCCATGCTGGCTGGCCTGATGCGAATTATAGTCCATAATGGCTCCATTGGCTTGGGCTGGTGATGGTTGCAGTCCAGAATGGCTGCCTTGGCTAGTGTTGATGAGAGTTGTAGTCTGGAACATCTGGAGGGCATCTGATTGGCAAAGGCTGCCTCAGACATCACTGGTAAGGTATGGTGAGAGAGCACCAGCAAGGAGGAGTGACTTGCACCCTTGATGCTCCAGTAACAGGGGAACTGGACCACTGCAAGCCCCAAACCAGGCTGTGCTTGGCAGGATGACCAATCGTAGCTAATTGTGGGTGAGCTGATCTGGAGGAAAAATAGCTCAGTTGCACATTTGCTTATTTGAACAGCAGGGCTACCACTGGAGCAAAAGAAAAAGCAGCAATAGAAGCTGGCAGAGCCAACATGAGGCTGATGAGCCCCTGGCTTGCCGGTTGCCAGGGAACAGCCTGGGAAAGAAGTGTGAAGATAAGGGACCAGGTGCTGTGTGTGTGTTTTAGGGATGATGGATGTGACACAGGACAGGAGTGAAGGAGAACAGGTATTCTTCCATCTTGTCATTATTCTGGTCTCAAGCATATCAAGAAATACCTAAAATTATTAAATCATCTGTTCAGGTCTCCCCACAACTATCATTATTGAATATGTGGAGGGACAACATGAAAACATGCTGCACAAAGAACTTTTGACATGGATGCTACCAGCAGCTACGATCCAAGCGCCCAGCAGTGGAAAACCCTGAGAAATCTACATTTGTCTTTTTGGTATAAGAACTTATGGACTTCATATATTTGCATGTTTCCAGGAGGCTGAAGTATTCAGAACACTTCTGTGTCACCTGGTGGGACTTTATTTCCTATGCTTCTTAGAAGCTCAGCATCCACCATCCACGTCAGCTTGGGAAATATGCCTTGATTTATATTGATGTGCCAGCATTTCTTCTCTGATTATTTATGGTTTGTTTGCTTAGCATACAGTATGAAGTAATACGCTGTTATTGCACTTTCGGGTTGGTAAATATGGGAATAAATGAGTAAATAAAACAGTCATCAAGGGGTTAACAGCAAAGCCAAGCACGTCCTGGGGGTTGGGGGTGTGCTTTCTCTTGCATCAAAAAGCTGCTCTTGAATGAGAGCTAGGAACCTCCTTCAGCCCTTGAATGAGAGCTAGGAACCCCCTTCAGCAATGGAACTGGGTGTGTGCGCAGCAGGGGGAGGCCTGCTTTGATCTCCAGGCTCCCTGTTCGGAAGAGATACTTGAAGTATAGGTGGGATCCCATGAGGCAAGACATAGCAATAACAGCAAGAACCTTTACTGAACTACATAACTAGGAAACAGGGGCAAAGCAACTGCTTATATACATTGCTGAAAGCCTGGGCCACTCCCACTCCCAACGTGATTGGCTGTCCAAACTTCCAAGCTGTGAATCACAACTCAGAGTTCAAGGGCCAATGGCAGAGGCCCAAATCCTGAAATGTTCTGTGACTGGACATCATGTATCGAATCAGAATACAGGGGCTCAGAATCCTTAGTCCAGACTCAAGCTCAGGCAAACACAAACCACTGAATACATAGCAATACTCACCAGCTTCCACTCCTGGTCGCCCTCTGCCTGGTAGCTCAGGTCACATAACTGGTGCATGTGCTCGCTGTCTCTCCCTGCTTCCCACATGACAGATATGCAGTCAGTCTCCTCGGGGATGGACTGCATGGCGTGGATGGTTGGGGGGTCCAGCTTGGCTGAAATGAGAAGTGCAGGGCAAAAAGCTAAGGCAAGGGCAGTGGTGTGTGTGTGTTAAAGTCTGATCTTGAAGGTCTGATCCAGCCAGGCTTTTCTTCTATGGCAAGCCTCAGCTAGCATTTGCATCTTTCATTTCCAAACTCCCCACCTCAGGCAGAAGCGCTGCAAAAAGATGCAAAGTCAGGGCGGACTCCGCTGCCTCTGCCTCCACACACCTAAATCGATGGGGTCTGCACACAGCGGCTCAGAGCCCACTTCTCCCAGGGCGTTGTTCACCGACAGCCAGAAAATCATGGGGTGGTAGAGCAGGAGGTTCTCTCGGCCGATTGTGCAGGAGTTCTGCCCAGGCAGTGGGGTGCAGCTTGCGGGGATGGCCTCTGTGGGGACTTCACACACACCCTGGTTCCTGGAACACCAAGAGAGCAGTCAGTCAGTGGCTGCCAGAGGAGGAAGTACCTTTGACTTCTCTGTGGTCCCACCATGCGCAGGGGTGGGTGAAATGGGGCACTGAACTCCACAAATCAGTGCCTTAATGTGCTCGTGCTGGGTGACTCAGTTCAAGGAGGTACAAAACTGCCAAATTTTACAGACCCTCTAAGTATCCCTATTTTCCAGGGATGTCCCTGATTTAGAGAAGCCACCCTGGTTTCTGATTTGATCCCGGAATGTCCTGCTTTTGCTTAGGATGTCCCTATTTTCATTGGATAAATGTTGGAGGGCATGGAGTTACTTGACCCCTAAGCTGTCTGAAGGCAATCCTGTATAGGGAAGGTTTATTTTTTTAAAAAAGTTTAATGCTTTATTATGTTTTTATATACAAGGTTTGACCATGTGAATGGTCACAGAAATCAGTGAGAAATATTCGAACATACAATCAGCATCGGAAACCCATGAAATGCTTACAAATGTGTACGGCGATGAAGCTGTAACTCGAAAGACAGTGGTTTAAGTGTTTTCGTGAAGGGCGGCAAACCATCGAAGATGACCCTCCGTCTGGCAGACCATCGACGAGCAGAACGGCGGCAAATGTTGACAGAGTTTGTGAGTTATTGATGTGGGTTCTGTGTTTGTCCCGGAAGAATTGCATATTCCGTGTGAAATAGTTACTGAGGTTACTGAGTTGTCCCACCCTCCATATTCTCCTGATCTGGCCCCACTGGATTTCTTTCTTTTTGCGAAACTGGAATCTGCACTGAAAGGCCACAGATTTTCCAACATTTCACATGTCCAAGTTGCTGTGACGAGGGAACTGAAAGCAGTACAAAAAGAGGACTTCTCCAGAAGTTTCCAACAGTTCTACGAATGTTGTCAACAGTGCATTGTATCAGAGGGGGTCTACTCTGAAGGCCTGTATTTCTCGCTGTCCGATTTCTGTGACCATTCACCAAACTTTCTGGTCACACCTTGTATGTTGGAAGCTGCCCAGAGTGGTTGGGGCAGCCCAATAAGATGTGTGAGGTATAAATAGTAAAATTATCATTATGGAATGAGACGTCCCTATTTTCATCAGAGAAATGTTGGAGGGTATGATTTTACAATCTTCATTCTCATTGTCTGGCCACCAGCTCAAACTTTTGGCATTTCCCATAAGATGATCTGTCAACTGGCCTAGAGGTTCAAAGCCAGGGTCAGAATGTGGGAGACAAAGTTCCCCCACTGCCCCCACTCCACACTATTAAAAAAATTATATTTCCTTACCGGTATCCCTTCAGGGCCACACTGACTGGGAGGAAGCTGTCTTGCCCAGGGTCCCACCGGCACGTGAGGTTCTTCGTGGTGACATTCATAACGCAGGTGAGGTTTTGGGGTTGTGCTGGAGGATCTGAATGGCGGGAAAGTGGGACGGAAGAAGAGAAGGAGATGAATTGCATCCCTGCATTCAGTGGGGCTGAGCTGAGATCTGCATCTGCCACCCAATGAAATTTGAATTCTGTGTTTGAGATTTGTCTCTGATATTTCACAGTGGACATACAATGGAATTTCAGACAAACACTTCTTTTCCCAGTAGCAGCACTTGAGATGAGGCAGTTTATAAAATTACATATTTGATACCTGCCAAAAACATAGTAATCAACAGATGCCAATAAATCTAAAGCACTGGAATGCTATGGGGAAAAATAAAATGCAAAACTTGGCTGGTAAAAGATAAGAAATGTTCCCCATTTTTTAAATATTCATTCTGGTTCTGTCAGAAAGGAATGGTCATCCAGGGCAGATCAGTTAGGGACCCTGGTAATTTCTCCCTTCACCTGAAGAATACAGCTTGGCTCATTTACTAAAATCCTCTGGAACTATCTGCTTGGGATATGCTGCAGTCTCATTTGCAATGGTTTCCACAAGAAGAATATGGTTGCTTTCCAGAGTTTTGACTAGAGAGATGGTAGAGTGGATCACATCACAGTAGACCCTTTGCTAACTTTACAGGCTACCAGTCAGGCTCAGCCCAAGATCTTTTGCTGCCTGAGGCAAAGGGGCCTGATCCACATGTTGAAGCTGACCTGACAGGCAGCCAAGTCTTCCTTCAACACTAGCAATGGGACAATGCCTGCCACCCCACCTGTGGACAGCAAACTGTGGGGGCACATACCACTTTAATCTCCGATGCCTCACCGCCACTGTCCACTCACCAGGGTTTGCCACCTCACTCTGCCTCTTGGTAGGGCTTGGCTTGTTACCAATTGGCTTCTGGGTTCAATTAAAGGTGCTGGTTTTGACTTTTTAAATCTTAAATACTCTGGGACTAGAATAGCTCAAGAAATGTCCCTACCTCCTGACAATGAACACTTAGTTCTACTTCAAAAGACTCACCACCAGAGAAGACGCAGGCTCTTTGGGGGGTTGTGCTGCTCCTAATCTAGGGTCAGCTTCCTAAGAGAGGTACTCTTGGCCCCCATTGCTTCTTTTTAAATAATTTTTGTTAAATTTTCTGTTTTACAATTTAAAGTAAAGTAAAGGGTAAAGGGACCCCTGACCATTAGGTCCAGTCGTGGCCGACTCTGGGGTTGCGGCTCTCATCTTGCTTTATTGGCCGAGGGAGCTGGCGTACAGCTTCCGGGTCATGTGGCCAGCAGGACTAAGCTGCTTCTGGCGAACCAGAGCAGCGCACAGAAACGCTGCTTACCTTCCGGCCGGAGTGGTACCTATTTATCTACTTGCACTTTGACGTGCTTTTGAACTGCTAGGTTGCCAGGAGCAGGGACTGAGCAACAGGGGCTCACCCCGTCACGGGGATTTGAACCGTCGACCTTCTGATTGGCAAGTCCTAGGCTTTGTGGTTTAATCCACAGCGCCACCCGCGTCCCTATGACAATTGAAAGTACCAGTACTCATTTTTACATCCTTAAGATATTAATGACATCTCTTTCCATGGTTCATTCTACATATCATAAATCCCTGCATATTTTAGAAAAACTATACCATTCAGTATTCCATTATTACATCCATCAAAACTTAATTACACTGTTGAATTTATCTTAATGTTGCTAGCGTTTACAGCTGTACACAGTTATTTCCCATAAATTCAATAAACGTTTTCCAATTTTCTCTAAACATATGTTCTTCTTGTTTGCTTATTCTACATGTTAAGTCTGCAAGCTGTGCATTATATGGCAACTTAAGTTGCCATTCTTTTTTGGTTGGGACCTCGCTTGTTTTCCATTTTTGGGCTAACAGAACATGGGCTGCAGGAGTGGCATACATAAACAACCTTTTATGACACCTGGGAATTTAAGTCTGAATTATTCCCAACAGGAAGGATTCTGGTTTTTTGGGGGGGAAAGTACTTTTACACATTTTTTCCAATTTATTATGGATCATTTCCCAACACTCTTTTACCCTTCTACAAGCCCACCACATATGAAAGAACGTTCCCTCCACGTCTTTGCATCTCCAGCACATCTGATTCAGTCCTATACATCTTAGCAAGCCTACCTGGAGCTAAATACCATCTGTAAATCATTTTCAAGTAGTTTTCCTTTTAATGCAGAGGTTTTACCCCAGTGGACTTTTCCGGGATTCCCTTGTTAACGAGGATTTCCTTTTACTGTTGCTTTTTGGAAGTTTTGCACCGATCATGATTTTACTGCTTTTATCATTGTAAACCACCTTGATACTTTTGTTAAAATGAATGCCCACGTATATCAAAGATGCCTCCTGCCCCATGTCCCTTGCTCTGCAGCACCAGGGTGCACTTACATCCTGCACGAATCTGGATGACCTTCATCATCTGTGGCTTCTGTTTCCTTTTTACATAGCAGCTCAGAGTGGTCACAGTCTCATTGATGGGCCCGATGGTGATGTTGGAGACCTCTAACCCATTGTCTAAACTGTACTGGGTCCCTGTCAGGAACTCTTCGTCCAGTTTCCACATCATCTGGATTTCTTCATCGTCTCGGATGAGGCAGGAGTTTCTCCAGATGATGCAAGAAGCTCTTGCTGTGGATCCGAAGAGAACCACTGGGGAGTCTGTGGTGATGCTGCTGCAGGCCAAGGATCCTGCTGGGATAAGGAGAGAAAGACTTATTGATTTATCCCATCTGTATCCCACCTTTCTTCCAAGGAATCTCAAGGCGGCTTACGTAGTTCTCCTCCTCCCTGGTTTATCCTCACAACAACCCCGTGAGGTAGGTTAGGCTGAGAGAGGCAGTGACCAGCACAAGGTCACCAGGAAAGATTCATGGCCGAATGGGGACTGGAACCCTGATCTCCCAGGTCCCAGTCTGACGCTCTAACCACTATGCAACGCATAGGCTTGGGAGAGCAACATGGCTCTCACCAAACCTCAGGGAAGGAGGCCTCACAAATCCACCTGTTGCTGCAGCTGTGGCAAAATGCACTACTACAGCTGTTTGTGGTTGGTGGCACATGCAATTGTGAATACTTTGACACAGCTGTTTATTCTATACTGTTAAGTATGATGATGAATTCTATTTAAGTACCCCTTTTTAATCTTTTGTACGACTTCCTTGGAAAGTGGTGGACTCTCTTGCCTTGGAGGTTTTTAATGAGAGGTTGGATTATATATTTACGTGTGATTCCTGCATTACAGGAACTTGGGGTCCCTTCCAACTCTACAATTTTATAATTCTGCGCTTATGCAGTATATTGTTTATTATATTGCTGTGTTGTCAAGCAGCCTGTGGCCTTTAAAAAAAAGTTAAACTTTTTTTTTGTACTTTGCCGTAAGAAAAAATCTATGATTCTATTAAATGAAAAAAAAGAAAGAAAAAGGAATCAGCTGCACATCACCTGTTGTTCAATTATGCCCCAGATTGGCCCCATCTAGACAGCAGAATGGCAACCTACCTCCTGGGAGCAGAAAGAAGCAGGCAGAGCATCCCAGAAGCAGCATCATTTGCCCCCTGGACCAGGGCTTCTTAGGGCTTGCCATGGTGTTCCTCAGGGTTCTGGCATCACCTGGAATCCAGAGAGAAACACTTTCAGGCACTTAGAACTTCAAAATCCCTTCATGACACTATGGCGGGGGAGGGGGATGTTTTCACCTCACGCGATTGGCAATAAATGCTGCCAGTCCTAAACCTAGGTGGGATTTACCTTGGAGGAAGGGGACACATCTAATAAGAAGGTGCGCAGTTAGAATTTCACTACCTTTTGCATTGCACAAAGAGGATTATCATGAGGCATTAGCACCTGCTAGGCAATGTTCTGGGCTGCTCTGCGCCCTCTGCATTCGGTTTCAGGCATGCCAAAAATATCCATGACCTGGCTTTAGAAGTTCTGTGTCCCATCTTTGGGACACAGGAAGAACAGAAGACGCAGAGGCTGTGATGAGACAATGCAGTTGTAAAGTTTTGTTAATCCTTAAGATTGACATAAGCAGTGTGACATTTATCCAACCGTGTTAGAAAAGTTGTTATTTCTGTGTGCTAGCAAGTCTCATGATCAATAGTTTACAATTAAAGAGAGCCAGATATAGCCAAACAGGTTTTTGTGTATGTGTCGTTAGGGAAGTGTATTGAAAAGTCCTGGATGAACAAATTAATAACAAGAAGGCATATGAACACCCCACAAGCAAATAAATATAGATGCAGTTCTCTAGCCAATGTGTATAAAAATACATATTTTAGGAGAAAACTTCAAAATTTTCACTTATCCAGATTTTGTGAAGCAGTTCTTCAACTGGCCAATGTTTACCAAAATGCATTTATTAGGGGAAAGTGTGCAAAAAGATGCCTGCATTAGTGAAAACAGCATAAGCTTGCATTATTTTTGGAGACAGTCTTGCAAATGTGTAAATTAGTCAAGACTACATACAAAAATGTGCATATCAGGATAAATTTGCACTAAAATGCTGACAGAGGGTTGTAACCAATGTCAGTTCTACCCTGAGTAGAGCCTTTGAAATTTATGAACGTGGGTGCATTGATTTCAGTGGGTCTCTTCTGAGTAGGACTCAGGGCTTATCCACGCTTTCTTTAGTCCCTCTTTTTTAAAAACAACAATAACAGCAGCAGCAGCAGCAGCAACATAAAATCAGAATGGACCATGATGATAATCTAGTCCAATGCAGGAATCTTCTTTCCAGAATTGTCAGAAGGTCAATCAGACAATAAAAACCTCTTACTATTTGGAGATTGGGGTGGCATGTAACAACAGGGATTGCAGCTAACGTCATGTTAATGTATTTTTAATTTTAATGTATTTTTAATCTTTGTTGGAAGCCGCCCAGAGTGGCTGGGAAAACCCAATCAGATGGGTGGGGTATAGATAATAAATTATTCTTATTCTTATTCTCATTCTTATTCTTATTCTTATTCTTATTTGTACACAGCCTTATTTTGGATGCTATCCAATTAATCTCTGCTAGAGCTGCCCCCAGATAGCTGTACTATACAACAAGCAGGATACAGTTTGAGCAGCAGAAACTGTTATTATTGATTCAAATGAATGGTGGTCTGAAGTATAATAAAGTGTCTTTCTAGCCCTGCAATGACCAGGCAGGTGAATTTTTAACCACCTCAAAATAAATGCGCCACAGAGAGTTTTCGCAAAGATAAAGCCAAAGTACTTAAGTGGGCAACACTGTTCAATTATACAACCGCTTATGCTGCGTATGCCTTTTGATGCACACCACCAATTTAGTCAATATAATGAGCAAATTAACCTCCCTGATTGCCATAAGTTCCAGATTTGGAAAATAATAATCTCACACCTACTTGGGGGAATGAAACAGGAGCCACACCATCTGCAGAAATCGAGCTGTGTGTGCGGAAAGGGAGAAGAGAGCTCCTGAACGATGTCATTTATGCAGCGATTTAGTACGAGTGGGGCTAAAACGCAGCCTTGTTTTACGCCACCCTTGATATCAATACTGAATCTGAAAGGCAGTTTGCAAGTCCGGTTCAGGTGTCGGCATCAGCACCAGAGCAGAGCTGTTGTGTAAGAAGGGGCAGGTGTTGATTCGCTGTTGGTCAGCTGAATCAAAGGCAGGTGTTACATAACCAATGCAACACACACACACCTTCCTGGTGGGGAGCTAATGTTCTTCACTACCCTTTTTGCTTTCTTTTGGAGATTGCCTCTAGTTTACATTCACATCTGCACCACACATTTATAGCACCTTCATACCACTTTAACAGTCATGGCTTACTCCAAAGAATCCTGGGAAATGCCATTTATTAAGGGTGCTAAGAGTTGTTCGGGGACCCCTTACCATAGCTGTCGACTTTTCCCTTTTCTTATGAGGAATCCTATTCGGAATAAGGGAATTTCCCTTAAAAAAAGGGAAACGTTGACAGCTATGCCCCTTACAGAGGTACAATTCCCAGACCCATTCAATACTTCCTCTCTCAGGTTTCTTTGAGGATGGGGAAAGTAATGACTGTGAAAGTAGTATAAGTGTGCTATAAATGTATGGCATGGATGTGACCTTTGTCTCTCAATCCCAGGTGTGGGAGGGTTGTGTCTGGTTAGCAAGGGAAAGGCACTCTTCACATTCTCAGAGGAATTCCCCCTTGCTGCTGCAAAGCTGAGCCTGGGATGGAAAGCAGGGTACTAATGCCTTTGGTTGAAGCAGGCCTTGTAGATTTGTAACCCCCCGTCTGTCAGAGAGAAGGGCTTCTGGCCTAGGCTTCTTCCTGACCTGCTAGTTTACTATATGCAGAATTTTGTGTGTGTGGCATTTAATTATGTGGGTCCCCAATGACGTTTCTGGGGTGGTGAGGGAGGCCAGACACATGCTCACCTTCTTGGTGAGAACTAAGGGGAAAAAAAAGCTAGACAAAAACAATGAGATGAATCACTGATGTTGGGATAGTTCTGAAGGCCACCCCTGGTGAGCTGTCGGGCAAATTAGGGATTGTCATGCTATGCCTCAAGTCTACAACTCTCTGCTCCATTTATCTTTTTTACATTAGTTATAGCAGAAAAACAACTGCTCTGAGCTCCTCACTTCTTTGAGTGGAGAAAAGTTCCAGGCACTGTGCCGCTGGATTGAATTAGCTTTAGATGATAGAGAGCATCAGGCGCTTTGCACAATTTAGTTTATTTGCAGATATGTAGTTTGAACATTTTGGGAGAAAACCAAGGACACTTCTACAAGAACCCCACCAATCCTGCATCACATTCTGAGCCTGCTATTGTCAGATCCCCGACACCTGTATGTGTTGACGCTTGTAGCAAAACTAAATTATGCTGTCATAGAACTCAGAAGAAGAATCTAAAGTGCCCCAAGCTCAGCTGCTGTGATGGGTCCATCAGAATGAATGGCTAGTTCTTCCAGCAACAGATGCATGTCTGAATGCACAGGGTTGTGGCAACTTCACAGGCATAAGGCTAGCTCACAGCTAGGGGAGGCTGATAGAAATTTGAGTTGTGACTTGGTGCGTGGGTTAGGGCCCTATACTTAGTAGTTCTGTGGGTCGGTAGGCTAGGATCACCACTCTTAAATAACAACTCTTGCATACTTCAAAAGAGGCAAAACCCACAGGCCACCACTCATTCTTTAATGCCAGGTCTGATTGGCCTAATTGCTTGGGTACCCCACAACCATGACAAGTGGCTGGTTTCTGGAATGGTGGCTGATGTTGTGAGCAGTCATTGGCTCCCTTCATGGGTGGGTGGCATCTACAGAGGGACAAGTCCGTCAGTTTCGGTTCATCTCAGTGTCTTGTTTTCCCAGTCTTAAGTTCAGTTCTCTAAATTTTCCATGCATCAGCTTGCGATTTGGGTTTTTTTAATACAAAATGTCCTCGTGGAAATACGCCAGTGCTTTAGTGTGAATTTCTCCTAATGTGCACATGGTTTTCCCCAATCTACACATTCTTGCAAAAAATTCTCCTTATTATAGCATGCATTTCTGTCTGTTATTTTCACTGATATATACATTTCAATGTATTTTATCCCAGAATATGCATTTTTGCACACATTACTTGGCTGGAGAATGACATTGCAAGATTCGGAGAAGTGCCCATTTCAAAGGGCAGCTTCATTTCGTAAAGGGTGAATTAGGGAGCTTCGCCTTTAAGTGAGAACGGAATCAGATTCCTCCCTCATCCCATTGGCAAAATCCTTCACTGGTGGGAATAAGTGATCTGTCCAGGGCATGCCTGCTGCTTTCCTGCCATTTTTGTCTTTCCTAGTTGTGTGTTTTCCTCTTCTTCTGTTCCCGAGCAAGCGCTAGATATAGCACTGGCCTCTCTCTGTTCCCGACATAATGCAAGCGTAGGATTTAACAGCAATCAAACTCCTGTTTGGGGGCAAAGGAGGTACACCCCAACATTTGGTTGGAGGTCCCACTTTTATTCCCTATTAGCCATGGAGTCTAAATGGAACCTCCATGTGCTGGGGCACTCTGCCTTAATGCCAGACAATGGGGACAAAGGGGGAAATGGTCATCCCCTCAAGCCTTACTTGTGGGTGCTGAGGAGTCTGGACTAGACAGTTCTGTGACCTAGCAAGACCATTCTTCTGATCTCTACCCCACAACTTCATTCTGGAGATGTTTCCATCACAAGCAGAGCTGTCCTGTGTCCCACATATCTGGAGCAGAGTTCCAACTATCTCCTGGTACAATGTTTAGCTCTACATGTCAGCATTACCCAGCACCAAAATGCCAGCTGGCTATTCTTCTTTGGCTGGGCATTCCCACCCACAACTGGCACACACAACTACCACCTAACAGAGGAAGAAGGGGTAATAATGCCCCGTGAGCCCCAGAACATATTTAGGACAACATTTTCTAACACAGCAGACCCTGGACAGGGCAAAACACAGTCATAATCTGACGACACAACTGAGCACATGGCCCCATGCATTGAGTGGCAATTAAAAAATAAAAAATATCTGGGATCCCCAGAACTTACCTCTGCTTATTTTCCACTGACTCTCTGTTCATTCTGGGAAATGGCGACGCTGGAGATTGGAGTTGAATCACCTGCCAATGTGCTGCCTCCCCTCAATAAGTTTGTAAAGAGAGAGTGGGGGAAACACACAAAATTCTGCTTCCCAGCTCAAGGACTGCCGTTACTCCGCTCCTCTCTCTCGCCCTCTCAGCAAGGTAATTGCAAAATGCTTCTCCAAAGGCGTTATCTGCCCAACAGTGTCTCTCAGGAAGGAAGGAACTGTGTGGCTGGCACACTCACACGCACATGCCACGCAGGGCTGGGAGAGGCAGCCCCTGCCTCAACTTCCCCAACCTTCACAGCTTTATAGGGGCTTTGCAATGTGCAGGCGGTGTGGCAATCTCCATCACCTTTGCTGTCAGGCAGAGACGGCTCAGAAACTCTCAGAGCAGAGACAGCCGCATGGGTGATCTTCGGGAGGTGGGGGGCAGAAAGGTGTGACTGGGCCTGACTGCATCCCAGCAAAATCTATTAGGATTTAGACCAGTGGTCCCCAAACTTTTTTGGGCCACTTCCCTCTTGGTTCCATAAACTCATCCCCAGTGCCCCTTACCATATGCTATTAAAAAACATAATTCATAAAAGTTTGCATGACCGACAAAGGAAGATAACAGCACAATAAAATTCAAAGCCGTCACAATTAATTGCACATTTATTCAAAATCAAATCAGAACCATTTTGTTTAATTCAGTCAACAGATCCAGTGATAGTCTGATAGTCATTTACACCTCCAGGAGCCCCCTGCTACTCTTTTGGCTCTTAGTGTTCCTCCCAGATAATCCCACAGCCCCCAAGGGGGAGGTACTGCCCCCTGACCCTGCTCTGTTAGCAAGGGGGATCAGGAGTAGTTTATAAAATAAAATAAAACTGAAGTGTGCAGATGATTATGAAAAATCGTCAAGAGACTCACTTGATAAAATTGATTCGGAATTGTGTGTTGGGCTCCCTGCAAGCTCTCCTTAGCCTCAGAGCTGTTGTTGTGCTGCCCCAGAAAGCTCCCAAATTGCAACTTGCGTGGGGGAAGGAGTCGGCCACAGAATGCTGAACAGCAGGGCAGCTTCTGCCAAAGCAAGAGGGACATCAGTTTGGCATGGAGGACTTCTTAAAGAGCCACGAGTCCCGGGAGGGGTGGGGGGTGATGAAAGTTGGAACGTATTCTGGGCCCCTGTCTTTGGCATCCTTCAGTGCTTGCAACAGGTCAAAGATTAACTTATTTCTATTAAAATGATAGAATCATGGAATTGTAGAGTTGGAAGAGACTCCCAGAGTCATCTAGTCCAACTCCTGCAATGCAGGAATATACAGGTGGCCCATATGGGGATCGAACCCATGACCTTGGCATTATCAGCACCATGCTCAAAGGAACTGAGCTGAGCAGTAGAAAATAGTATCTAGGCTTCATTACAATATGACAACACCTTACATCCCTTTAACTAGAGGGATTTCAACCTTATGTGATTGAAGGCTGGCTGGTTGAAAATACGCAAGTTAAATGCAAACAATCTTGAAAGCTCTTTCTGAATGGCATTTCCCAGCATGGAAAGACATTTTCAGCTCTCTGCCTTGCTGGGGAGTGGGTGCTCAGCGCATGGGTTCTGGGATGCTCCCTTGAGATTTTGCAAAGCCATCCAAGTTCCTGAGAAATCTCACATGAGCATCCCTAGGCTTCCAGAGCAAGCGCATTGAGAAGGCCATGCTGCCCACCCCAGCAAGGGGGAGAGCTTAAAAGCTCAAAAATGGTACCTGCTCAAAGTTCAGATCCAAGGATGCTCCAGTGGTCAGAATGGAGGGAATTTGGAGCTTAGTAGGTTCTACATGCACGGGGCTTTGGAAGCTTCACTGTCACTATTTCAATCACATGCTGGCAAATTCTTGTTGTGCAATTAAAGTTAATTTGGTGCTCTTGGGCAGCTAACTTGCTCCCCTGCTCCAAAAAATAAAAAAACAACAACCCCTGAAGCGTTTGCCATACGGAAAGTGACAGGAAAATGCACTGGGAAGTGTGGGATACCAAATGCTTGATGAGACGTTGTATAACCTCCCTACAAACAAATCAGAATTTAGTTTTATAAATAAGCCAATGTTGTTTAACCTGCCACATATGTTGTGCAAAAAAAGGGGACAAAATTCTCAATAAATAAAACCCAGTTGCCTCCCTTCACCAAAGTATTCCATGTTTTTTAATTTTTAAAATTGATTTATTAAATTGTATACTGCCGTCGGGGCAGATCTCAGGAGAGCTCACAGAAACTACCCCCCCCCCACAAAGTACATAATAAAAACAAGAGCAAAGATGAAACAAATCAATAACCCTCCCTCCCACAAGGATGTGAGGATGAAGTAGACTAATTCATGGAGGAAATGGCTATTGATAGCTACTAGTCATGATGATTATATGATATGACTCCATTGTTTGAGGTGGTAAATGCCTCTGAATGCCAGATGCTGGAAACCACAGGGGGGAAGAGGGCTCTTGTGTTCAAATCCTGCTTGCAGGTTTCCTATTGTGGCATCTGGTTGGCCACTGGGAAAACAGAGTGCTGGGCTGGATGGGCCATTGGCTGGATCCAGCAGGCTCTTCTTATTTTTTTCAAGACTTGGAATTGCCTGAACAGGTCATATTGTTGGGGATCGATTTGACCCAAGTACTATATTTAAGGAGTGTTTTGATGACATAAGTGGAGATATCCACGCTTGGAAGGTGGAAGTGGGAGAACGGTTTCCAGGTCTGCAGACTCTCTTCCCAGCTTTAGAAGGGACACTTGGATGGTGAGGGGTGGGGTGGGGTTGGAAGGGAGGGGGCTTGAGTTTTCTTCTCCACTGATAGCTCCACACCTCTCATCTGAAATGGGCTCAGGTCTTGCCAGCTTCTACTCCTTTTCAGGGCTCCACAAAGAGGCAACTGAGCTCTATGTTTACTTCATTGGAGCGGAGTGTGATTGTGAAAAACAGGCAAATTGCACAATTCCACACCACTTTTTTGACACATTAGGATGGTGTCACTTCCTGCACAAAGGAGTTGTTTGTTACGGAATGATGTCCTGTCACGTGCCTACTGAAGGCAGAGAATATTTCCACTAGGTTGGGCTTCTGGAAGCTAGTCCTCATGGTTATCTTCACCACACCTGATTGTAGAGCTGATTTCCCCTCCCTGCTTTGCAAGCTGATATTTCTTCTTTTATTGCCTGTTTATTAAAAAACAATTTATCTCATGCCACTATGTTGGAGAGCTTGTGGCCATAAGGGCACCTTTTCCCATATGCGGGGGGCAGGGAGAGGGTGTAAAAAACTAACATCTTATTGGTGATCTATATTTGCGGATCTCTCCACAATAACAAACCAAACCTTCACTCCTGATCCAGACTTGGCACTCCTAGTCACATGGCAAGTGTCTCAAATTCCACCCATATAAAATAAGGAGTCACTTGCTTTGCTGCCGCCTGCAGCCAGATTCAAAATCTCCCAATGCTGGGAGTCTGCATGGCGTCCCTATTGGTTTGAGAAGGTGCAGGACATGGCCTTGTCTGAGTGTTTAACCCAACAGAGGAGGGTTCTAAGAGGGGTTAGGGAATGAGACCATTTTGAGGATGCATGGTTTCCGATTAGATGCTTTATAAATGCAAAGAGTACACTGACAGCTTAGGCCCCCAACAACAAGTGGCTCTGTGTGGTGAGGCTGTCTTATTGATATGTTACCCTGACTTCTAAAATGCCCCTTCATAGAATCATAACATCATATAATCATAGGGCTGGAAGGGATCCCAAGGATCGTCTAGTCTAACCCTCTGCAATGCATGAAACACAGCTAAAGAATCCAACTTCTGTTTAAAAAACCCTGGTGAATAAGAGTCTACCTTTGTAGCATTCAAGACTTTCCCCCCAGTGTCTATTGTTTTATGATGCAACTGTAAGCCTTCTGTTCATTCCAATTGAAACTATGTGCTCCACACAGTCATCGTTCTTTGTTTCTTTATTGTTTGTCTCATTTGTACACTGTAGTTTTTGAAAACTAAATAAACGTGTCAAAGGAAAGCAAAAGAAAAGGGATTCCAGATTCCAGAAGTCTCCTATCTGTTCATCTTGTGAAAGGTGGCTTAAGAAAGTGTGGGATATTGCGTTGTCCACTTAACCCATCCACAGAGGATGCTGAAGGGGTAATGAAACATGGCCACTTCAGTGTTACATGGCTGCCTTTCATATGTTTCATAAGCAAGAATCGTGCACTGCAAACCCTCCACCACCAGCAACACATGTCTGGTGAGGCTGTATGGTTGCGATCTCCTGCTTCTATGGCTGTATTAGACACTCTGGTTATTGGTCCCTTCCTTTGACTAAAATGTGCAAAATCAAGTCTGGATCTGCCTACTTGCATTACCATAATTGTAACACAGTTTCTGGTTGTTTTCTACATGGTTTATTTCATTTTTATACAGTGGTACTTCGGGTTAAGAACTTAATTTGTTCTGGAGGTCTGTTCTTAACTTGAAACTGTTCTTAACCTGAGGTACCACTTTAGCTAATTGGGCCTCTTGCTGCTGCCGCGCCGCCTCCGCACAATTTCTGTTCTCATCCTGAAGCAAAGTTCTTAACCTGAGGTACTATTTCTGGGTTAGTGGAGTCTGTAACCTGAAGCGTCTGTAACCTGAGGTTCTACTGTACTGCTATAGTTGTACCTTGGAAGTCACACGGAATCCATTCCAGAAGTCCATTTGAATTCCAAAACGTGGGAAAACCAAAGTGCAGCTTCTGATTTTCAGCTCCTGCAGCCAATCAGAAGCCACGGAAGCCCCGTCGGACGTTCAGCTTCCAAAAATAGTTTGCAAACCGGAACAGTCACTTCTGGGTTTGCGCCATTCGGGAGCCAAAACGTTCGAGAACTAAGCTGTTCGAAAACCAAGGTATGACTGTATTTCTGAGAAAATTTAATAAACCTTAAAAATGAAAGCAACAAACATATCTCACCGTTTGTTGCGAGACCCCAGGGTGGGTAACAACGAGGACAAAGATAAAGGAAAATATTAAAATGCCACATTGCAGTCACTAGTCTGCCAATTTTCTACACAACAGCCCAATGTATTTATTATTTATCTCATTGCATTTATAGCTCACCTTTTTCTCCTAGGCATTTAAGGTGGTGTACATGGTTCTCCTCCCTCCTCATTTAATCCCCACAACAACCTAGGGAGGTAGGTTAGGCTGAGAGGCAGTGACTGGCCCAAGGTCAGCCAGTGAGCTTCATGGCTGAGTGGGGATTTGAACCCTGGTCTCCCAGGTCTTAGTTCAGTGCTCTAACCACTACTCCACACTGCATCTCAATGCATTGTTACACACCACCCTAACCTCTATGTGGTGAGAAACTCTGGGAGTTCCATGTGCTTCTACCAGGTTTCATTTACTTTGGAATGCGGGTCAAAGGAGGCTGTGGTATCTTCAGGATATGTGGTTTTATTTACCCATATATACAACCTGAGCTTAGGATGGAAGGACTGGGGTTCATGCAGGAGACAAGAGGATACATGACTCACCAGGTAGGTCTTAAGGCGGCATTTGCTGAGGACAGTCTGATCCCCAAGCAAGTGTTAGTTAACAAGATAAACCAACCGGCATAGAGTTAAAACACCGCTGCCCAAGGAAACACAATCAATTGGGAAGTGTCAGAAAGCCAGAAAATAGAGGACAATCAAATTATCCCCGACTGAGTTGTTTCTGCTGAAGGGATGGAACATGTTTCTCTACTGATTTCCAGGCATAAAATAGCCAGGTGTACCTGATGCTTAAAGGAGTAAATGTTGCTTTGTAACTCCAAAGGTTTGAACAATTCCACACTTGAGGTTTAATCAAGATTTATATTTACGGTTAAAAAGCAAAAGTTCACGCCCACCAGCACTTATTGTAATCACCCTTCAGAAGAAGCTGGACTGGCCCCAATCCCCCCCAAGTGCATTTTGCTCTGATCTAGCAACAATATTGCTACAGAAATCAGTGAGCTTATGTTAATGAAAGTTCAGAAGCTGCTGGACTGCCTCCCCAAACCCCCAAATGTATTCTGCCCTGATCCAGCAAGCTCAGCAGCCAGGCTGGCGACTGTAATAACAATATTGCTATATAGCACTGGTGAAAATGAGGATGATGAAGTCAGGCACTGAGTGAGTCTGCTTACATAGGCCAAATGGTCCTCTGAGAGGATGTTCCACTTGCCTTTGGGGCGCCACATGAGATCATGGAACTGGAAAACCACTTCTTCTGGGGCAAGATCTCGGCCCAAAATCATGAGACAGCAAGGCGCCAAAAATGGCCGTCGTGGTCTCATAAGAAAAAATGGGATGTCCCAGGTTTTCCAGGGCAGTTGATGGGTATGCTAAACCCAAGAAACAAATGAATGTCTGAATATAGCTAATATTTGGGACACTGAAGGGATAAATACAGGCTGCAGCAGTTTTCCTGAACAGTGCCAATGGAAATTCCTGGGTTTAGCTTGTGCAAATTTGCCTGGCTGGGGTGGTTGAATGTAGGCCATTATGAAATGATGGTCAGGTACCCATAACATCAAAGAAGTTGCCCAGGTTAGTACCAAACAGATATTGCCAAGACAATGAGTGTGTGAGAGGTGATTGAAAAGGAGTGTTGTTTTGCAGGAGGGCTGGGTTTTTGGTGAAGGATGTGTTGGAAGGAAGAAGGAGAACCCAGACTTCCATGAGCTGCTAGGCAGGGCAAAACCATCTTGGCTCTGGCTGGAGGAGACTGCACTGAGAGACTAGCAGCCATGTCTGGCAGCTGCTTTAAACCTCAGCTGCTGAACTATGAGAGGGGCAAGGAGAGACACTATTGGGGTATAATGTTCTGCACCCCATCCTTGGAAGACTTTAGGCATATATAGGTGTAAAATAAACCATATATCTTAAAGTGCTACAGACTCCACTGTGCCCCGAATTCGCAATGGAAACACAATCCTGAACACGACCTGGAACTCCCAGAATCTTGCACGACTCGCGGAGATTGGGATGCCATGTAACAAAAAGCAAACCCCTGGAAGATAACTCCATCCTATCTCTCAAGGCTGATCATTCAACTGAATTTGTCAGCATCGTGCTCCCTTTACACATTTTAATTGAATCAACACGTCTCTTGCTCACAAAGGATTTAAGGGTACTCCAAGAGCTGCATGGAAGACTTTGGGCTTGAAAGGAACTGCTTTTAAACAAATTTCCTAATTGAACTTGGAGGAGCAGATGTTTGCAGATGTTTTTTAGTAACTCTGGTTCTGGAACACCCTTATTTCATTTATAACCCACCCAAAGGATCCTCAAATTTATAACAAGAAGACCATTAAACATAATAAAAAAACTATGGCTGGGTGTCAAGGGCGCTGTCCCCTCTGTGATTTCCAGCAACTGGAAACACTGAACCCAAAGTACGATATAACAAACAAGCGAAACCAACAGGAAATAAGCAACTCCAGAGCAGGGGCAGGTCTCACGTATGCCAGTCGCCCAAAGCTGATCCTCCTATTCTCCACTGGATGTTCAAGATCCCAGATAGTCATTTTTAAGCTGTCAATTTCACTCTGCTGCTCTGGGCTAAATTCATGACTACGTTCACCATCTTCACTCTTTCCTTAATTTTTGTTGAAACAGACTCTGTTTTGGGACTACCCACAGGCATTCAACTGTCAGGGAGCCAGCCAGCAATAAATCACACGCAGTATGTGATGTTAACTCTTTATTAGCAGAAACCAGGTCAGCTCAGGAGAGTCAGGCCTAATGAGCACAACAAGTCTTCTCAGTAGGTCTTGCACCTATGAGGCCATTGTGGAGGCTGAAGATCCCCGCCTTCCCACAGCTGCCTAAATCTCCTCCTCCTGTGGGTCCTTCCCATGCAATCTGAAACTCTGCTGACATGGCTGTCTCTGCTCCACCCTCTTCAGACCTCTTCTCATCCTGGAAGATCAGTGGGGAGGGGATATATCAGAAAACTAATATTAAAATCTTAGTTGGGGGACTTCCCAAGCTTTTCTTGGCAGCTGAAACTGGGACCTTCTGCATGCAAAGTGTGATGCTCTTATCACCGAGCTTCTTTGACTTAGTCCCACAATATTGTTTTTATTTACACATCTATTCATATGGAGCATATCTTCCTCCCCCATTAGGTTTCTAGGAGGGAACATAGAAAGCCACAGCTTTCTATGGACTCAGCACAGAGAGCAAGACAGGTTTCTGAGCCTTCCACGCCTCAGATCCAGACCAAGGCTGGCCTAGGCCTATTGTTCTGTCATAGTCACCGATGATGTCACCTTCAGTTCAGGGAAGAAGGGGGAGCCTGCGTTCCGGAAGTGAATGTTGTTGGAGTTTTAAAATCTAAACCAGGCATATCTTCAGAATCTCTCATGAATGAAATAGTTGGGGAAAAACAAATGGAATCTGAAGTGTAAACAGAGCAACATTGGGGTGCGAATGGACAACAATTTGAATGCAGCTTTTTTGTTTGAGTTAAGAAACCTAGGATATTCTGACAAGGGATCATAATACATCCCATATACGTAGCACATGTTAAATGATGAAACACAGCAATGTGCATGAATTTCACTGGAATGAGATTCTTTCAAATGCAAACAGGCAGCAGCTGTTCCATTCCTGATGCATTAAAACCAACTGCATTTGCAAACCACATGGACCAACTATTCCAACGCAACATTAGGAAGATTTTCTAAGAGTAAGAGCTATTCAGCAATGGAACAAACCCCCTCAAAATGTGATGGACTTGGAGGTTTTTAAATGGAGGTTGGATGGCCATCTGTCAGGGATTCTTTAGCTAAGATTCTTGCATTGCAGGGAGTTGGAGTAGATGACCCTTTGGATCTCTTCCAACTCTACAGTTCTATGATTATATTAAAAGATTAGCTCCCGCCATCTTTCCTCTTATAGCTATCACCATCCCCTGTTTTATAGCAAAACTAGGGAACAACAATTTAATGACTGGAAACATTTTTTAATACCATTAGGGACCTGTATAAACACCCTATTGATAGGCACTCAGCTAACAGAAAAACTAGGATACAGACTGGCTGGCTATTCAAGTAAAACACTTTACTTCCAACCCTATAGGGATGTCTCAAGCCATCAGACCACTCAAACCCATAGAACAGCTTCTCCTAAATACTACACATCTAAAAATTACTGTCACATGGTAATCTAGGTTCCTTAAAATCTCTGCAGGAATCAGATTTGATCTGTAATAGTGAGCCAAGTGAGTGACATAAATTTTTGGGGAAACCATTTAAGTCTATATCAGCTTTATATATATATCTATATCAGGACAGAAAGAAATGCTACATAGGTGGCATTTCACACCTCTCAGATGCTATAAAACAAGCTCACAAGCAAACCCACTAGGTTGGAGAGGTTGCTAAGATTTGGGACCTTATTGCCACATGTGGTGGAGCTGCAAGAAGATTCAAGGTTTTCATAGCCTAAGAATAGATGAAGTAAGTTAAGTGGAACAGTTCCCTGTGATCCCAGACTACCATTATCAAACTTGTTTGCTGAAGGTTTAAAGGACTTTTTTTTTTATAAAAGAACTATTAATCCTTTTTATGGTGGCTGCTGGACAGGTTTTAGCTCAAAATTGGAAATCAGCTGCTAATTTTATACGGGATGCATGCTATGGGAAGAGTTGCACTCATAGAAAAGCTATCTAAGATTTTGATGACATATGGTACATTCCCCCCATGTCAGAAACAACAGGACGAAGACACTGCCATTGACTCTCTGGAGCAATCTGCTTGGAGAATGAACATTACCCAATATTTACACTTGATCTCAATATTTACACATGATTTGTTAAACACCTTAATTCTATGCGAATTATATGAATTATATGGGATGACTGGGAAGGAGGGGGAGGGGAAATGGGGGGTGCTTTCGAGTTAGACATTTTAACTGTATTTACTTCTGAAAATGCATAAATAAAGCATATTTTTCAAAAAGCCAAAAACCTGGGATATTGTGGAAGGGAGAATACAGATTAACATCTCTCTGTAAACTTATTGAAAGAACAGAACATTATACTCATGACCTTTCTGATGACTGTGTGTGGGATGTTTCTTATTCGGCTCCATCAGAGTAGGAAAGTGAAGCAGGTGAGCTGTGCTGTGCTGGATGATTTCACTGTGTCATCAGCACTACAGACGACACCAGAACCTGCCTTGGATCATAGAATCACATAATTGTCGAGATGGAAGTGACCCCAACGGTCATTCAGTTCATCCCCTGCAATGCAGGTATCACAGCTAAAGAATCCCTGACAGATGGCCATCCAAACTCTGTTTAAAAACCTCCAAGGAAGGAGAGTCCACCGCCTTCCAAGGGAGCCCGTTCCACTGTCAAACAGCTCTTACTGTCCGAAAGTTCTTCCTAATGCTTAGCTATAACCTCCTCCATTGCAATTTGAATCCATTAGTTGTAGTCCTACCCTCTGGAGCAGCAGAAAAGAGGCCCGCTCCATCTTCCATGTGAGAGCCCTTCAGATATTTGAAGATGGCTATCATATCACCTCTCCATCTTCTCTTCTCCAGGCTAAACATAAGCAACTCCATCAACCATTCGGACAGAGAGTGAACCAGAGAGATGGCCTGACCAAGCTAAATAACTACCTGCATGGACCAAGGATTATCTTTTGTAGTGCTGGGTTGTGGGAGTACGGAGAGGGAGAAATATGGTGATTTAACATGCAGTTTCCCCCTAAGTCTCCTTTTAAGGCAGCTGGAAGGAATAGCCAACTGAACGGATTCAGCCTATTACAAGAGATGGGAAGTAACAATGGGGACTCGCTAAGCTGGGGCACACTTGTTGAGTTTTCAAATGACAGTTACTTTTTAATCTTAGAACAAAGCCCTTGTTATTTACTTCTGCCTTGATTCTTGGACACAGCACTGGCGTAGCTGGAACATCCCTTATTCACCCATCAAGGATCACTGCCTGACTCTCCCCTCTTGCACACATTACACAATCTCTTCTCTGCCTGCTTTGCATTGTATTCATTTACTCTGTAACAGCCTGTCCCATCCTGACTTCCGGAGCACAGTGTCTTAGTAAACTGCCTGTACCGTAACAGTTCCTCTTTCTTGAAAAGAATGTTTGATGTCACAATGGATCTGGCTGTACTTCTAGAATAGCTGCAACTGGAATCTATGCAGCGACTTTGAGCATGACAAGCATTGGATACTAAGGAGTACACGTCATTGCATGTCAAATATATATTAAGGATGATATACCATTGCATGCTATGTTAAATACATACTAAGGATTACCTACTATTGCATATTAAAGAACAGGAATGGGAGGGAAGCTGGTGCAAAATTTTGGCTAGATTTTTGCAATTACAAGATCCCCCACTCCCCATGTCTTCCAAGACTGAACTGCTAGATGTTCAGGTGAGGTGGGGGGAGGCTGAAAATGGAGAGCCAGTGTGGTGTAGTGGTTAGCGTGCTGGACTAGGACCTTGGAGACCAGGGTTCAACTCCCTACTCAGCCATGAAGCTCACTGGTTGACCCAGTCACTGGCTCTCAGCCTAGCCTACCTTGTTGTTGCAGGATTGAGGGGGTGGGGTGAACCATGTATGCCACTTTGGAGAGAAAGGTGGTCTTTGAAATAAATAAATAAATAGATAGAAGAATGGCAATGAATGTACAAGAACATTTTACAACAGGGGCATTGATGCCAGAACATTGGGACTGTGCCTTGTAAATAGGGGCTGCTTGAGGGTTTGCCTTATGTTCAGTGATATGCCACAGACAACATGCAGCATTATGTTTGATAGCATAGTATACTGATAACATGCGGACAGAACAATCAAGAGACACCATGGAGATGGTTGATGGTTCATGGAGGGATGTTTGGTGAGAGACTGGGAAATGTTGGTCTCCCAGGGTGAGAGGCTGGGAGAAGCTGCTACTTTCTGTGGGTAGCAAGGGCTAAGAACTACCTTTAAGGGGAGGGAGGGGGGAAGCAGCCCTGGGCTGGTGGTGGTGGTAGGAGGAGAAGTAGGCTGAGCGCCATAGAGGAGGACCCGCCAGTCATTGAAGGTGCACCGCTGCTGCGTTCTGCTCCTTCCCTTGGCGCCTCCCTGCGTTCCTGCGTCGCACAAACACACAATATGTGCATCGTTGGCTCCCCCAATCTTCTGCTCAAGTTGGTGCCTCTGGCTGTACACATAATTCCTGGACATGGGGACCACCCACCCATGCACATCCATCTTGGGACACCTCCCACTCACAGCACTTCCATCTTATCAGCATTCAGCCTCAGTTATTAGCCCCCATGAAGTCTATTACTGCTTCCAGACACCTGTTCAACACCTCCACATCCCCTCCTAATTTGGATGGAATGGAGTTATATATGGCTGCATGTCAGGAGCTGGATTAAAAATCAGTCCAGCTCTTGGATCTCATATCCTCTTATTCCCTTCTGGGCTCCTCAAGCGCTCCTTGTTAATATCAAATAATCCACCAGTGGCTGGGCAGAGATGAGTCACTGCTGTAACCACCCACCTTGGCCTGGAAAGGTGATGCAATTTCTCACAGCTTGTTACAGGAAAAACAAGCTTCTTTTGTAACTATGGTGACGTGCATCACCCATCTCTGCGGGAAGAAGCTTCGAGGGACCAGCCGGCAGAAAAGTGTCAGACGGAAAACATTGCTTGCTCCTTCCTCTTCCTTGATCGTGGACCATGGAGACAAACACAGTCTTTTGGAGCAGAGCCAACAAATCAGGGTGAAAAACCAGAAAAGGGAGGGGGGGACCAAATAGGGAGGGGAATGCAATGGAGTGGCTGGGGAAAGGTGAATGGAGGAAGAGACACACAGATTGAAAAAGGGCGGAATGAACCATCTCATAAGAACATAAGCAAAGCCTGCTGGATCAGGCTAGTGGCCCGTCCAGTTCAGCATCCTCTTCTCACAGTGGCCAACCAGATGCCTGTGGGAAACCCACAAGAAGGATCCGAGCACAACAGCCCCCGCCCCCCGGTTTCCAGCCACTGATTTTCAGAAGCATTGCTGCTTCGCCCGTGGAGGCAGAGCATAGCCACAGGGCTAGTAGCCATTGATCGTCTTCTCCTACATGAATTTGTCCAATAATCTTTTAAAGCCATCCAGGCCTGTCAGTACCTCTTGTGGGAGCAAGTTCCATAGTTCAACTGTGCACTGTCTGAAGAAGTCCTTTCTTTTGTCCTCCCTGAATCTTCAAACATTCAGCTTCATTGGATATCCACAAGTTCTAGTGTTATGAGGGAGAGAGGAAAACTTTTCTCTCTCCACTTTCTTAAAGGTAAAGGTAAAGGGACCCCTGACCATTAGGTCCAGTTGTGGACGACTCTGGGGTTGTGGCGCTCATCTCGCTTTATTGGCCGAGGGAGCCGGCGTGTCATGCCTAATTTTATAAACTTCTACCGTGTCACCTCTTACTTGCATCTTATCTAAGTCACAAAGTCCCATGCACTGCAATCTTTCTTCATAGGGGAATCTCTACATCCCCTTGATCATTCTGGTTGCCCTTTTCTGAATCTTCTCCAATGCTACAACATCCTTTTCGAGGTGAGGGGACCAGAACAGTACACAGGATTCCAAATGTGTTCACGCCTGAGATGTGTATCACAGCATGATGATAGCAGCAGCTTTATTTTCAACGCTATCCCTAATTATCCATTATCATGGCATTTGCCCTTTTCGAGGCCACTGCACAACCAGCTGACAGCTCACTGATTGTCTGGACAGAGCATTTTGTGATTCACACAGAGAAGTTTCTTCCCACCTGCTCTTTAAAATTTGGGAGAAGTTATTTGGAGATTTGATCTCTGTGTTGAGTCACAGGTATGCAAATGGTGTACAACTCAACCTCCCTTTCCCACCCACCCCCCTGTCCCAAGGATCTGTGCTTTTCTTGGACAGGTGTATGGAGGCTGTTTGGAAGTGCACAAGGATGAGCAAGCTGAAATTTAAACCAGATGAGATGGGAGGTAATGTGTGCTAGGGAGCTGGCTGATGAGGTTACATACCCCCTGAAGGACTAAGTTCACAGCTTTGGGATGGGGACAGGGAGACGACTTTCACTGACTTGTGCTGCTATGTTAGCTGTGAGCCATAAGCACGACCGTATCCAGAGTGGCTGGACCTGACTTCAATTACTCATTCACTAGTGCTAACCAAGTTCAACTACTGTAATGTGCTTCATGTACGGCTATTTTTGAAGATGGTTCAGAAACTTCAGTTGGTGCAAAAAATGGATGCTCCTCTGTTGATGAGGGCTTGAAACTGGAACACATAATGCCGGTTGTGCACCTGTTGCACTGGCTACTAGAATCCACACAATGCGTTCCAGTGCATTCACAGTCAGGTAACAAGTGGTTTATATTCCCAGATCAATGGAAGATATAGGGCAGATCCCATTAGACCTTTGCAGGTGGATTTCTGGCTTGGCAGCAAGGAATCAGGCCAGCCCTCCTTTGTTTGTGAAACAAGTAGGATGACGACATAGAGGTGTTTGTTGGCTGGGAAGGCTTAGCTGAGATGCGAGGTTTCTTTTTATCATAAATGCAAGTGGGAACCTCCAAAGAAGAAGTGAGGCTTTCCCATCATTGCAGCAGAGTAAAAGTCTACGTGGCTTCTGGTAGCAAGTCAGATGTGGATGAATCATCTCCCAAGCTTAGTGGGGACAGCAGTGCCTCGCCAGAAACAATGAAATGCATCACAAACAGAGGACAAATATTTGCATAGAACTCAAGTATCCTCATTTATAAGCATAGGCACAAATTTAGAAATGATTACTGTAATGTACATAGAAATAGAATGCCTCTCACCATAGGGGGACCTGGTGACCCATGTTCAGTCTATTCACCAGATGCTTACAGGAAACTTCAAGCTCCTTCCCCAGCTCTCCCTTCTCCCTTAAACCGGGCAGCCCTTTGAGGACTTTTCCAAACTGAGCCTGATGGATCAGGCCAATGGCTCATCTAGACCAGCATCTTGTTCTCACAGTGGCCAATCAGATGCCTGTGGGAAACCTGTAAGCCGAACCAAGCACAAGAGGACTTTCTGTGGTTTCCCAGCATTGCTGCCTCTGACTGTGGAGGCAGAGCAAAGCCATTGATAGCCTAACTTGCCTAATCCTTTTCTAAAGCCATCCACGTTGGTGGCCGTCACAACCTCCTGTGGCAGTGAGTTCCTAAGTTTAACTGTGTGCTGTGTGAAGAAGTCCTGTCCCAAATCTTCCAGCTTCATTGGATGTCCATGAGTCCTAGCGTTAGGAGAGAAGGAGAAAAAATCTTTCTCTATCCACTTGTACAATAGATTTGTATAATGGTACTATCCACTTGTACAATAGATTTGTATAATGGTATTATGATACCAGCAGTTTTATTTTCAATTTCTTTTTCACAGTTGCTGCACACTGGGTGGGCATCTTCATTGAACTGTCCTCTATGACCTCAAGGTCTCATTCCTGGTCAGTCACCACCCATTCAGACCTCATGAGTTTATATGTGAAGTTAAGATTTATTTTGCCCTGACACGCATCACTTGTTTACACTGAATTGCAGTTGCCATTTTACCACCCATTTGTTCAGTTTGGAGGGGTCCTATGGGAGCGCTTCACAATCCCTTTTTGTTTTAATGACCCCGAACAAGTCACTACTCACTCCTATTTCTAGATTGTTTAGGAACAAGTTAAAAATCACAGGTCCCAAGACCAATCCTTTGGGGACTTCATTTTCTACATCCTGCTTCCTGCAACTTAACTAATTAATCGTCCATAGGAGGACCCCTCCCCTTATTCCATGACTGTTAAGCTTACTCAGGAGTCTTTGGTGAGGTACTTTGCTGAAAGTTTTTTCCAAGTCCAAGTATACTATGTCAACTGGATCACCTCTATATGCTTGTTGACACTCTCAAAGAACTCTAAAAGGGCTGAAAGACAGGACTTTCCCTTACGGAAGCCATGCTGGCTTGTCCTTCTATATACTTGGTTATTTTAACTTTAACAATACTTTTCACCAGTTTTCTTGGGACAGCTAACCAGCCTGTGATTTCCAGGATCCCCCATGAATCCATCCCTGCCATGT